TTCCACTTGTGCAAATTGTCCTCCTATCCCCTTTGCGAGGGGGCCAAATGAGTGACTAGTGGGTGGACGAAGTTTAGCTCGTGTGCTTGAAGCCTGTAAACAGCGGAGTTTTTTAATGTTAGTGCCGTTCGTGCGTTGGCTGACTTGGGCTTAGGCATCTACATTGGACTTTCAGAGCTTCTCCTCATGATAATCGTGTTACAGCAAGGCAGTTACACCCCCACCAACTCCGAACTGCTCGAATACTGGGTGAGCAAGCGCGACCCGGACAGGTTGTTGGCTTGCCAGCATGGAGGTAGGCTTTCAGAACTTTGATCCTTCTAAAGCACGTGCAGGCACGATCCACCCCCCAAAAATTACTTTTACAGTTGTTGACTATGAAATCGAAGGTGCCAAGGTGAAGACGAACCTCCTTTTCGAGGCGGCCACTACGGCAAATGATGTGGGTTTTTAGCAGATAAAGGTTATGATTCAGTACTCCTCAATTCAACTCTTCGTAGTCCATTTGCAAAGATTAAACTTGGATTTTTGAGGAAGAATTTTTCCAGATCCCCAACATCTTCAAGGACAAGAAGTGCCAGAAATTCGAGAAACTCCAGGAAGAGCGATTCCAGGTCTGTTTGTTTATCATGTAGGGATGATTTGATGTCGTATAAATCGGAATTCTTGACCTTCCATTAATGCCTAATCACGACTTCCAGAGCGAAGCCTCCGACTTCAAACGTCGTGGCGGCGGTGGGCTGCTCAGCGGGCTCGGCTCGTTTTTCCAGTCGGCCAATGCTTTTGCCCAGGGCTAATTATTGATGTTAAGACACTGTATTTACCGTATACAATCCCCCACCGTATTCTTTGTCTGCCTAGAAAGCGCTCCGATAGCTCAAAACTGCAATAATGCGTCGTAATAAATTCAAAATTTCCGGCTTCATCACCAAGGATTGGCCCTTCAATTAGCAAAATTACTTCGAACCGCGCTGGCTGCTTTTTGCTCCTATTACCGTAGTCCAATTTTAAGACATTTTCTACAAGAAGAAGGATAAGAAAGGAATCTTCTAAGGCCTACCTGAAATTTTCAATTTCTCAATCTTTTGGAGCACTTTTTAGGGCGGGCCCCATTTTCCCGGCATTCAATCTGGCGTCGATTCAAAGGCGCCCCACTTTTTGCCCTCGTTCTCCGGCGTTCAATTCCGAAAATTCCGTAAAAAAGACGTGTTGTCGTGGTCGTCGTTGCCGGTGTCCCTGCCTCTTCTTGCTTTTTTGCGATCCCTATTTGGTGCTCATATTTCCGGGGGGGATGAGGGCATCTCGGCCTCTCCCTTTCGGCTGAAGCCTGTGGATGGCAGGTGTGTGTATGTTTGCCCTTCCTGCCACCTACCCTCTCATTAGTGTTATATTCATCCTCACCCCGTTTGGCCCTACAACCATATTTTGCTGACAATCCACACCTGTAATTTCAGCAAATTCCGGGATAAGACTTTTATCTACATGCCCTAATCGGGCTCTAATAGAATAGGGCTCTAAAGTTACTTGGCAGGTTAGATAGACTGCCAAGTATCTTTGGGTACGGTAACATCTTTCAAAGTACACCTTAAATGCGGCTTGTTTACAGTATCGTGTTAAAACTAAAAAAGTATCATTTAGGGGGGAAGAAAAAAGGGGGGGGAGAAAAAAAGAAGGTAAAGAGGGGGGGGTTTTATCGGGGGGGGGGCCCCCCGGAAAAAGTCGTTACCTCAAAATTACTGTAGGCACCCTAATTATAAACACCGTAGTGCGTTAACAAAAATAAACAATTTTCCAACATTTTTCGCAGTAGATTAAACCCTTGGCGCTTGAAGACTACGATCACACCTAAAGACGTTTCGGTGTACTCAAAGGTACAGTGGCGTAGTGTAATTCGTCGCCTACTTTTCTGAAGAGACTACAAAGTGAGGCAAAAATAAATCTAGTGAAATCTATGCAAAATCCCGGAATTTTCGATAATATTTCTGATCTTTGGTGACTATCAGATTTCTAGAAAACTAAATTAATCATTAACACTCGATTTTCTCCCCCTATTCGATTCCTTCAATGAAACAGGTGCTTTTCTAGGCGGTTGTGTGTATATATTCCGTTACGATACGACTTACCCTAGCCCCGGCGAATAATTTCTGAAATATAATAATGTGTTGTGGTTGTTGTTCCGTTTCTTTCCTCTTTCCCCTCTTTCCCTCCTGCGCGTCGCGGGGCCACCTGGCGATTAGCTGGGTCGATTTTGCAGCCCTACACACCTCACCATTAAATATTTCTCACCTTGATTACCCTATTTTTATAATATTAATTTATTTCTATACCTTTTCCATCTCTATTTCTATCACCAGTGCCATTTTCGACCCCAGAATCGCCTAGGTAGCCCCGGGAGCTTGTGCCTGAGCAATACATGCACCCGAATGTCTTTGAGCGTTTTTCATTTTTATTTTTTTTGATTTGTTGGAATATTCACACCTTAACGTGCTTTCAAACCCCCGCCAATAATTCCGCAACGATCCGTGCTACTTTCCCATATTTATTCTGCCTTTTATCCGATGCCCTTTTTTCTTAATAAACGTTTTTGTGTCCAAAATGTTATTCGCAGTAGATTAATCCCTTGGCGCTTGAAGACTACGATCACACCAAAGACGTTTCGGCGTACCAAAGGTACGTGGCGAGGTAAACGTCGTCACTTTTCAAAGGACACAAAGTGAGGCAAAATAATATAGTGAAATCTATACAAAATCTCGGAATTTCCGATAATATATTTCTGATCTTTGGTGACTATCAGATTTCTATGAAACTAAATTAATCATTCACACCCGATTTCTGTAACGGGGTTTTCCGGGCGTCGTGAATCGAGGTTTTTGGGGGGTGAAAAGTGGTTGGAAAAACGGTTGCAGCTGTTTTGGATTTAGCTGATGGTTTCAACGGGGTGTTTTTCAACATCTGCTTTGTGTTTGTCATGTTGTCTAGGGATGCATCGGATTTTTTAAACTCTTAAAATTTGCAAGGAAATACAAGCCTTAGAAAATGAAATTTTTCGACGTTTATAAACGTCCCAAGGAATAAAAATAAATAATCACTTTGGAACATGCAGAAAACCAAAATTTCTGACTTTTACTACTGAATTTCTCACTGAGCCATTTTTAGGGTTTTTAGCTCTTAAATATAGCAAAAATATCATTTTTAACCTAAAAAAAATGCTTTTCTAACGATTTAGTACACTTTAAAGACGTTTCAAATTCTCATTTCGCCACTAGGAAGAACAATAACCTCCAACATTTCACGAAAATGCGACGTTTCACGAATTCACAAGAAACCAACCATACCCAAAAATAATCTTTTTGATGGCCGTTCCCTGCGGGACCCGGGCTCAAACCTTCAAAGCTTCCCCAATGCTTCTCCTGGCCGTTTTTAAAGAATTTATTGGGAAAGAGAATTTTGCTGGCCGGCCCGGGATTACCTCCTACACCCCTGAAGCGCCCAAATCCACAAAGAAATATGCCACCAAAAGACTGGCACGCCATCAATAAGCCGCCCAAAAAAATGGCCTCTTTTTCTCTGGGTATCGGCGGACAAGCTGTCGGAAAAAAAGGAGATTTTTCAAGCTTTCTAAGAAGCTTCGTTATTTGGTCTCTTGGGTGATAATCCCGACAACGAAAATCCCGGCATATTCTTGACGTTAGTTTGAATGTCGCTCCCTTTTAATCAGGACTACTAAGGAAAAAGGGTGTGTCCCCTTACAATTAGAAACCTTCCCTCTACAAATGCCCAGCTTTCCTCAAAAATCTCTGCTAGATCGCCCGCCAGCCTAATGACAGCTCCGCGTGTCAGTTTCAGCCCAGTTTTTACCAAAAACTCTTGCCAACTCCTTTGGCCTTCAACTCCAGACCCGCCATCATCACCTAAACAGTTGCCTCCCCCTCCAGGACGCCCGTATAAATGAGTTGCGGTGCTGTTTTTTGAGCGACAAGTTAGTGAGATGGCGGCGAGAGGTGCTAAGTTGAGTACTCGACAAGCGGGCCCTCATTCCCATCCACGACATACTCAACCAAAAAAAAGAGGTGAGAAAGCTGTTGCCGGTGGCCTGGGGGGAAAAGCCGACGCCGCAGGGGGGTGGGACTTGCTTACTCGCCCTCTCGGTCTCTATTTTTTGCGCTGCCTGCTAGTCCAGCCGAAACATCGTCCTACCCCGCATTTGTATATTTGCCATTTGCCATAATTAAGAATTGCAATGTCAATAATCGCAACGTCACGCCTCCTGGTCAGTTCGGTACTGGACTCTTAGCGGGGGGAGGACTTCTGCCCGTCGGATCGTTTTTCTCCAGTAACCCCCCACGGCCCTATAACAAAATGTGAGCTATTCTCAAAGCCTTTTACAATGTTTTTGGAAACAAAAGCCCATAAATATATACAAAATCTCGAAATTGTTCGATTTTGGTCAAAAATGCACGAAAAATAGCGGAAATAGATCAGGAATTTTAATTTTTCCTAATTTTTTTCATATTGTTATGTTTTCCTGGGAAGCAAAAACTACGAAAAACAACCTAAAAATATCGTGCATCACTTTTTGAGAGTCGAATAAGTGAAAGCCAAAAAATTACGAAGATAAGCGAAGTAATCAAGATAGTCCCCCCGCTAACAGTCCAGTACGTCCAGCTCTTTGAAAAAATCTACAACCGGAAATCGACGACAGATCGGGGCCTCGGACGGTGACGAGCCCCCAATTTCCCGGGTCTTTCCGGCCCCCTCCTCGGTTTCCCGAATGACATTAGCGGACCTTATTCGGCAATTTGCAACTCATTTCTTCATGTTTCACCTCTGCCCCGAGCCTCATTCCGAGTTTTCCTTGATCACGATCTCGTGAAAATTCCGCAAGCTTTTTTGCCACATTCCAAACCTGATTGGAATCATTTGGTTCCTCAAAATTTTCCGAATTTCTAGCAATAGCACCCATCAACACGGCGGGCCAATACGGGCTGCCCGGTGGCGCCATGGAGCGCGATCTGCGCATCAAGGTAGACCAGAAATAAATCTAAATAGTTTTAAAAAAATCGTGTATAAAATTTCCAGGCGTTCATGGAGGAGTACTCACGGCTAATGTCACTTTTCGACGACATAATGACGATGAAGAACGCGATGCTGCGACTCGAAATCTACATGGTCATCATGGTGTGCCAGATTGCGTGCGGTGTCATGGTTAGTATTTTGTAGTCGACCGGGAACTATTTAAAGTTACTGGAAAAATGGCGTAAGGTGGCAGGAAAATGACACAATTCTTAACAAATTTCTTATAAGCTGTTAGCAATCAAAAACTACTAAAGGTAGACTGATGGAAAAAGTTACATCCCCCCGTTAAAAGAGAAGCTCCGAAGACCCGAAATTTCAGAATCTCGAGAATTTCATAGGTCCTAAAGATTTTATTTGTGTGATTCCCTGAAACTCTTAAAGTTGCTTCAGCCTATAAAAAGTTCGATATGCTGACATTTCAAGATTCTGACTTTCGAGATTCCAATAAGCTACCCAGCAATACTCGTAACTCCTCGTTTTGTCGATTCCATTGGTAATCCAGTCACTAAAAACGTTCAGCAGCGACACATTGGCGGGCTGGTCACTCTGTTGACTCAACCTGCCAAAGCTTTCAGCCGCCTTCACGGGGAAGAGCCGCGCAAAAATTGCTATTAAATTTCCCCCGGGCACTTGGCCCGGCGCTTCCTGGCGGGACGGGGCGAAAAGTCTTCCTCTCCTCCAGCCCAACATATACACTCATTTTGGGCAAACGACGCGTAGCTGAAGCCGGCGGATCGGATTGCTGACCCCATTAGGCTGCAACTCAAAGTTACAAGCGTATACGTGGCTTTGGGTGCTAGTTACAAGTTAGGGGGCGTTTTTCCAAGGTATCCCAATTTTCCATTAAATACAACAAGAGTTTTGCACTGTTTTCACTACCTATAATAGATTTTCTATTATAATTTTATAATTTTACACTGATTTTATGATTGTTTTATATCTGAAAACTACATAAAATCCAAACATGATTTATATTTCGTTATAGGGCCGCACCGGATTACTTGGAAAAATTTGGTTTCCCCTGTTGATAACCTGCCACCCCCCGCTAACAGCCCAGTACCCACGAAAACGTAACAAAGTTTAGCTTCATTCCTCGCACTTGCCTATAAGGGGGAAACACGTGTAATTGGCTGATTGACGGCCAGCTACTGCCCCCGTGGGCCCCAAGCTCCCCTTAGAATATGGGCCCCCACCAAATGGCCGGCGAATTGACGCGGCGCCAACAAAAATGTTGGCCCGAAAAAGCTTCTCAGTCGCCCCGAAAAGCCATTCAATTTGCCTAATTGCCGAGCGAAAGTCCGTCGGTCCTCGCTTCAATACTGCAACATTTTTGCGGCTGAATTCCTAAAAAATGAGAGATTAAAAGCGGTGGATTAGGCGTAATTCGCCGGATTAATGCCCAAAAGGGTACTTTGCAATTATTGAGGGGGGGGGGGCTAGTTTTCTCCTATAATTTTAAATGTGTCTAGCTAATACAAAATATTTTCATAGTGTTTGCCATAAAATGTATCCATGTTTGAAGCGGAAAACAATTGCCAACATTTAGAAAATGTCAAAATTTAATTTATTTCGAAAAAAGGCCATTGTTGGTCAAATAATCCGCTATTTTTCGGCTGTCTGAGTAATTTTTTTTAATTTTTACGTGCGAAACCGCCAAAAAAACAAAACAGAGTTAGTCCGAGAAAGCTGGGAAACGAGAAACCATTTCCCATTATTACCGTTACCAATTCCCAATTTTTGGACACATTCTTGTTTTCTCACACCATATTCACATTTTTTTTCTCCTCCTCAGCCTATGGACGTTTCCCATATTCGAGTGGGCCAGACAAATGGCTAAAAAGCGGGGAGCCCGCTGCCCGGGGAGACTAGCCTAAGCCAGCCAGCCAACACTGGCATTTGCTTGAAAACAGAATTCCAAAAATAATAGCTAAAGGGGCAAAGGGAAAGAATGGGCGGGAAGAAACCCTTGTAAAAAAACCAATCTGAAACCACAGGGAAAACACAGCAGAAAACGGGTTCTGGGTTATTACAACTTGTTAAAGGGGGGTCTAGCTATAAAAAAGATCATCTTAAACTATCTGCTGAATGTTTTTAGTAGTTTTCTCTTGTGACAAGGTATCAGAATGTTTTCAAAAAATTATTAGAATTTTTGCTCACTTCTATACATTTTTGACCAAAAAAAAACAACAAATATTTTCGAAAATGTTAATAATGCTATATATATACGGTTTATATTTCATTATTGTGAGCCGTGTGATAGTCCCCCCCCCGCTAACAGCCCAGTACCACCATAAAACAAATCATTTCAGGCAGCGGGTATCTTCCTACTTTGCCGGATGTACCATTCGCGTAAGAATCATGGTGAATACCATGTTGAGCATCGCTTCGAGAGACCGTCCTGTGCGTGCAGTTCTCCATCACCGACACCTCTAAAACCGACTGTCGACATTCCATCGCTCGTCAAAAAACCGGTGTAACGGCCCGGGATTTTCAGTTATCTTCAAAGTTTTCATCTTGCCACCCACTTTTTAAAGGGATACAGACGACATTGATCAGCCCATTACGCGAGGAAAAGGGAGTGTTCTGTTAACTGTCGCCTCTCCCATGTTGGCTATTTGCCAAAGAGTCTATCCCTTCCTCCTACAGGGGATCACTTTGCTGTCTTATACTAACCTTTAAATGTCGCCCCCCGTTGCCATGCGACCTTTTTAGACAAATTAAAACCTTACGGGTATTCCTTTGATCTTTCCAATCGGTTTTAAATTGCTAGTCACGCTAAATAAAATATTTCTAGTCGATTTTATGGCTATTCACGAGATATTTCCTCAACTAACCAACAACAATGTTTATTCAGTGCATGCAACAAATTGAAAGGGGTGCATACAGGGACGAGCGAATCAGGCCCCGGGCCCGGGCCCCCGCCGGCGGGGCCGGGAAATTTCATAAGGGGGACCCTAGGAATTTATTTTCCCGGAATATTTTGCCGCGGGGCGCTTTTTTCACGTTTTTCCGGCAATTTGTAGAGCTATGTAACCCCGGTTTTCAAAAATTTTGCCTGCGGCGCGGTTTTCCGGCGTTTTGAGTTTTTTGAAAAAATTTCGGGGCCCCGAAATTTTCCGGGCCCGCCCCTGGGTGCATAGCTCGTTTCTTGAGCGTTGCTACACGTTCGTCCATGCGATTCAGTAGGCGCCAACATGCGAAGTAACTAAAGAAAAATTGATTCCTAAAAATTTCGGTACTGGGCTATTAGCAGGGAGAAACGAATTTCTGTTTCCGCCTAGATCCACCCGGTAATAATAAAACGTCGTCATTGATTGCTAGAAATTTCCAAAAAAAACTTATTTTAAATCTAGTTTAAAATTCGAAAATTGACCTTGTTGTGGTCCTCTTCATAAATTTTTGACCAAAAATCAAAAAAATTGAATTACGAATAATCGAATCAATCAATCGAAAAATTATCCGAATTACGAGGAAATTAGTTTTCCCCCTGGTAATAGTCCAGCACCGAAATTTCAACGCTTGTGAGGCCACTAAAGCTCGGGGAAGGCTAAACATTGTCGTGTGTTTTCGCTTGTGTATTGATTTATCTTATAAAAAATTTATTCAATGGCAAAGTAAAAACACCGGGGTAAAAACCCAAAAAAGGCAAAATTCGACTAATGGAAGCACAGGAAGGTCCGGCTCACTTTTTTTTCTTTACAGCCAGCTCTAGACCGTCCATATACTTGCGCTCGAGGCCGTACGTCTTCATCAACAGCTCGCTAATAAATCCGACCTGAAAATCACCAGTTGAAAGGTTTGAAATAGGATGAATACCTGGTTTCCCTGAACCACGATTTGTAGGCCTTCGCTCAGAGGTGATTCGGCCGTTGCCGCGCTAGCTGCTACCGCAACCTAAACAAGCTACAGTAACTTCGAAAAGCACATAACACACCTGTGTTGTATGCGCTATTTCCTTTGCGTCCAGCCCAAAAGCTGCCAAATTGTTGACGATTGTCACCTTCTTTTGACCGCTTCTTGTTTCAAGCTAGAAAAATTTATATATAATAAATCGATATGAAAATCAAACCTTGAAGACGACTGTCGGCATCTTTAGCTTCTTGACCATCTCTCGCCCATCCGGCAACGTCATTACGAAAGTTTTTGTCATTCGGCTTTGAATCTAGGAATCTCTAACTGTTGACAAAATTTCTGACCCACTTTCTGAAGCAAAGTATTCCAATCGGTCTTTTCGTTGGCCACTGTCGAAATCGAGCTCAACATCGGGTCCAGCTTCACCATCTTTCCATCATTCAAGTTCTGAAATGACAATTATCGACAAAAACAAGTAGAATTACTTCTTTCTTGACATAGCCAGTTACAAGGTCCTTGATCTCATAAGGTTGCACCAGTTCTCCTCGCGACCATTTGCTTCCGGTGGCGTTTAATAGGGGCATCTGGAGAATCCGGTGTTCGGGGAGAAAGAGACTCACCATAGGCTCGGTGACAGCAAGAAACTCGGCGATGAAGATTTTCTTATTGGCTTGACCACCTGTCGCCTCTTCATCTCTAATCCTCTCATCCGTAATTTTGAATCGCGTGAGCCTCGGGTGTTCCCAGTTAATCTAAGACTCATTTTTGGATTAGAATAGTCGACCCACCTCCGTAATAACATCAACGCCTTTTCCCTTTGAATTAATCGTTAGAATAGGCCCTGCATCATTCTTATTTATTTCAGTCAGGAAAGTGCCGAATTTCTTGTATTTACTCTTCTTGACGTCCAGTCTGGAATTGAGAGCAACGGTCAGGTAAACCAATAAAAACTAACCTCTTACCTTCCGGTAAGCACTTCAAGACACACGTCGAATAGAATTGGCCGACGTCCACTGGGAGGGCAGCCGATTTTCCGAGTCGATACCGTAGGCCGGCTAAGAAACAACGTTCCAACTAAGATTCGACTTTACAAACGTTAGAGGAAACTACCAATTGCTCAACGGGTTCGGTGTCCACTGGCCCGGCTTCTTGCTCGCCGACGTTTTCTTCTACTGCTGCTCTGGGTTCTAATAAAAATTAAATATTTTCTTGAAGCATCCCAACCTTGAGCAGCCGCCTCGTCCGATACGTGAAGCTCTTCAACATCCTGCTGCAACTCTTCCACAAGCCCGATTCCCATTTGACGCTGGAAGACATCGGGCTCGAGGATTGGGGGTTGGTTGCGCGGGCCCATCTCCCTAATTATCTTTCGTAAAAACGTAGCTAAATTTTACCAAAGATGGTCATGAAAAGTGTGCAAAATCTGTACTCCTTTGCCCTGCATTCGAGCCGATTGCATTGCCGTCGATGAGAGCAGGGCGATGCCAATTGCAAATGGGCCACGCACCTGACGATTATATTTTCATTGAATTTTCATGTTTTAGTTTAATACCTATTCCGCTCAGTTTCTAAAAGCCCACCTTGCGCTGCTTGTCCAAGACTGCAACTCCAATCGGCGTTCCTTTCTCAAAGTAAGGCATTTGAAAAGCTTCGTTTATGATAACACCTGAAACAACAAAAAATTAAGTTCACAAACTAGACTGACACACCGGGTAGCATCAAATCCGCTCCATTTTCCAGAAACGAAAAAGCTTGCTGCGGAATCACAAGAATGGGACAACAGCCTGGATCATTCCAAGCCTCGTACAACGTCGGTACCATCATGCCCGCTGGATTATCATCGAAGAACAGTGGAACCTTAAAGAATTTTATAATCAAAAAATATCCTCGCTTTATCAAATGTGTAGACGTTGAGCAATGAATCGTCGGCGGTCGTGAGTCTGACATGCGCGATTGCGGCTTTCTTAGGCACATTCTCCGCCGTCTTTTCGTGCAGCCGCTTGACGAGCTTCCGTCTAAATTCTTTGTACATTGCTTTATAAAAATCAAACCCGTCAGAATTCCTCAAATTCGTATTTGACTTCACGGTGAATGGTTTTCGAAACATTGTGGAATAGCTGTCACCCAACTAGAATTCGCCTAAGATTAAATACTATTTTATTAACTTACAAACAAAGCTTAGGACCAGAGTATCAGAAATAATAATGTTAGCATTAGAAAATAGCTAATATTAGAATATATCAATAGCGCGCGTAATCGAATGGGTCTCGGCACGGATGCATTGCCGAGCAGCGGACGGGCACGTCCCACAAAACCGGGCGAATTCCATGGTGATGTAAGTAGAAATGGTCAAAACCAGGGTTGGTCCATTTGGTATCCGGATCCTATCCGGATAATATCCGGATACGGGTATGTATCCATCCCCGCCGCATTAGCATATGTTCTTTGGATACGGATAATATCCACAATGGATACGGATAGTATCCATATCCGTAGAATGAATTTTGCCGGATACGGGTATGGATACGGATACAGATACGGATACTACCCGGTATCCGTTGCGGATACTTTGGATACTTCCGGTTTTTTATGCAAATCACGGTATTCAGTTGTGTTTTGTATGGAAGTCGTAACGACAATATATTTTGTTAAAGTCTAAATCCAAGCACTATGCAGTTACGATGTTACATCCACCGATTCGGACAGCACAATTGTGCACAAGAAGATTTCCTTTATTTTTGAAGTTTTCTTAGGTGGTTCTGTCGTCTGGGTTCTCGCCTTGGTGTCATGTACTTGGATCTTAAAGCCTTGGAACATTGGGGATTTGTTAGAATTGCGGATACACCCGTTTTTATCCCGTTTTCGATGCGGCTGAGGAGTGATGGTGAATCTAGGCTTTAATGTTGATCGTATCCATACAAAATCAAGCTGAATATCGTGATTTGCATAAAAACCGGAAGTATCCAAAGTATCCGCAACGGATACCGGGTAGTATCCGTATCTGTATCCGTATCCATACCCGTATCCGGCAAAAGCCATGCTAATTTTGGATACGGGTACGGATATATATCCGGATACCAAAGTATCCGTATCTGCCCAAATTAGCATAGGTTCACGGATACGGATATATATCCACATGTCCGAAAATGGGTACCGATACTGGATACGGATATTCAAATGCCCAACCCTGGTCAAAACTATTACAAAACTTGTAAAGAAGTTTTATAAAACCTTGATATCGCGTTGTAGTAATTGCCCGTTTACTAGTTTAGCGATAGAAATAAAAATATCTTGTGCAGTTTGGGTAGACCGAAGATTTGTGCCGTTTATTCCAACTATACGAAAAAGTGAAAGTTCGGTTGGGGCTTTTCAGCTCATTGTATTCTGTCCGGCCGTGGCAGGCCTGAATTGATATCGTTGCCTTCAGGCATCGACACTTGAAAACATCACTGAAATTACATGGTTAATTATATACTTTTTAGGATGGTCGAGACAGTTTCCAACAGCATACTTCATGCTATTGGAACTGTCTTATTTCTTTTCATACGTTTTTTTTTCTTTTGTATAAATTCAACTTCATTTTTTAGAAATTTCTCTGGTGTCGATTTTGCAATGAACACCGACATCGATGACACGGTTAAGCGACTCATGGCTCAAAAGAACACCACTGGCGTCGTAATCATGGATTATTCAGGTATTTTTGAGACTTTCAACCTTCCTAGCCTGTTTTCAGGCCGAGCAATACGTTCAACACTAGAAGAAGAAGCCACTGCTCAATACTGCCAAGCCATCCACCAACTGACGGACAAGTCGAAAGGCGTAGTTCGGGACCTGGATGGAACGTAGGTTTCCATTTTTGTTTCGTACAACGTTTGGTTTCAGCAACGACCTCACGTTCCTTCGCCTTAGAACAAAGAAGAACGAGATCCTCGTCGCGCCGGATAAGGACTACTTGATGGCCGTTATCCAAACCTTGAGCGCCAATGCATAATACCTTCAGATCAACTTTTACGTGTATTTACTTCCCAGCTTTTTCGTTGTGTGACTGTTCTGTGTGATAAAGCTTTACAATTTCTATCGCCCACTTTAAAATATAATGGTTATAGACCATCAGAGAATTTTCAATTTTTTTTTAGCTTTTGAGAGCGTAGGTTATATGCTTCAGTTTGGGATGTCGTGGTTATTCGGGGTGAATAAAACGCCGCAGCCAACGGCCGAGGACTTCCTCGCAGCCCAACCAGCTCAACCCGGTGGTGATCCGAACAGCCCAAAGGATGGCAAGGGGCAGGGCCAAGCGCAGGTATGTTGGAATCCGATATCAATATTACGTTTTCAGGGTCAACGAATGGCCTATTCTTTTGACTCGACGGCTTTGGAGCGAGCGGCCAAAGCCGCTCGCGATCTGGAGCGCTTTCCAAATGCTAAGGAGGCTCTCGAGCTCAGCCGGATGCAAGAAGTCACTCGTCAAAAAGAGGTTGAACAGCAAACCAAGGTTGTCAAACATTTCAGACGTTGATTGTATATGTTTTTAGCAAGTTGAAGCCCAAATTCAAGCCATGAAGGCCGACCAGACGCGCGTGGCTGAAGAAGAGCGCAGAAAGACCCTTGGTGAAGAGACGAAACACGCCAGAGCCGTAATTTTTGCTAACGATCCTGAGCCTTCATATTTAGAGAGCCGATTATCAAGATCAATTGTCGCGCAAACGTTCGGAAGCGGAGATGGCGATGAAAGCGCGCCTCCAGGAGGAGAGCCTCCGCAAGCAAGAGGAAAGCATCAAAAAGCAAGAGGCTTTGAGAAAAGGTGATTACCGTCTTCGTTAATTTATTGATTTTTTTAGCTACAATCGAGCATGAGCTCGCCCTCAAGCACAAGTACGAGCTGGAGAAGATTGACGCTGAAGTTCATGTAAGGCGTTTATTATTTTTTTTCATGGCATTTTCTTGTAGGCGAAAGCCAAAGCTGCACGCGAAAATCGGGATGTGAACCTCGAGCAATTGCGAGTGCATGAAGAGGAAAACAGGAAGACCATCATGGAAAAGATCAAGTGAGTTTCCTTTTTCGTGGCAAATATTGCACCATTGGCGGTGATGGGCGTTATTTTGTATTTTTTTCAGGACCGGGGGTGCAGTCGTTGGTGCTGGTTTGAACAATTTCCTCAATGACAAGTCGAAGATCACTGCTGCGGTATGTTTTATAGTACTCATTAATGCGTGACTCGATTCTTATTATGTGATAATATCTACTGAGCACATAACTCTGCTTTTTAGGTCGGCGGGCTCACGGCTGTCGCCATTGGCTGGTATGCGGCGAAGCGCGGAACTGGTGTTGCGGCTCGTTATGCGGAGGCACGTTTGGGCAAGCCGAGCCTCGTCCGTGAAACTAGCCGGTGAGCTTTGCGTATTTTTCTAAGTTTTTTTTTCAGGGTCACACCGTTGGAGACGCTCAAGCATCCAATCAAAACATTCCAAACAATCTTCCGCAAACGCCACGATCCGCTGAAGGGAGTCGTTCTATCGGTATCTTTTTACTTGTTAGGTCCGCCAGTGTTTAAAGTCATCTCCTTTTCACATAATTTTTACATTTAGCCTGACCTCGAGCGTCGGCTACGCGATATTGCTATCACTACGACGAACACTCGTCGCAACAACGGGTTGTTTAGGAACGTACTTTTCTACGGGCCGCCTGGCACTGGTGAGACTTTTTTTGCGAGCTAATAGCGTATTTAGGAAAAACTCTATTTGCTAAATCACTTGCTCAACATTCGGGTCTCGACTATGCTGTTTTAACGGGTGGTGACATTGCTCCGATGGGTCGCGACGGCGTTTCTGCTATTCACAAAGTGTTTGACTGGGCGCAGAGCAGCCGTAAAGGGTGAGTAATGGCGTAATAATGACCTTGTCGTTTTTTAAGGTTGGTCGTCTTTATCGATGAAGCCGACGCCTTCCTGCAGAAACGTAGCAAGGAGGGCATGAGCGAGGATACCCGAGCCGCCCTCAACGCCTTCCTCTTTAGGACTGGTGAGCAGAGCCGTCGGTTAGTTTGGGAAATTGAGACCCATTCCGTTTATAGTTTCATGCTTGTCGTCGCTTCAAATCAGCCGGAACAGTTTGATTGGGCTGTCAATGATCGGTGAGTTTTTTTTGATACCTTCTTTATTTCTTGTTTTTAATTTCGTTCTTATATTTACAGTTCTAACCTTTATCTTTAGTCTCGATCAGTTGATCGAGTTCACCTTGCCCGGTCGGGAAGAGCGCGAACGCATCCTGCTGCAGTACTTCAACCAACACATTGCCGAGCCGGCCACTTCCGGATCTAGGGGCCAAAGGTTCGGTTCGAGGACTGATCCTAATCCGGCTTAGGCTGAAGCTGGCTGATTTCGATTGGGTGGGCAAGTGCGCTGATGTTTCGCACATCACGAAGGGCATGAGCGGCCGTGAATTGAGCAAGCTGGTAATTGGCTGGCAGGTGAGCTGATTTCCAGCTATTTACTTTGAGCAGGTTGTTCTTGCGAGTCGCCACGATACTTTTTTTAGGCATCCGCTTACGCCAGCGAGGATGGCATCCTGACCGCGGAAATGATTGATCGCAACACCAAGGATGCGATCCGTCAGCACCAGCACAAGGTATTGACATTGTTTTTCATTTTAGTTTGAGCGTTTTGCTTCTTTGCTTCCGAAACACTACGCTAATCCTAAATTTAGATGGACTGGCTGGAGAAGGAGCAACTTGATGCCCGCCACCAGAAGATCAAGTTCGGCACGCAAGGCAAGCGCGAGACGGCCGTCTAAAGACACGCGGTCCCGGACCAAATTCACCATATTCTCAAGGATCTTACTCGTCCTACCCTCATCAGCATTGATCTTTTGTTTGTTGTATTGTGTTTTAGAGCTTTATTATTGTTTAGCCGTAGAACATTTGTTATAGAATAATAGGCCCCCATCGTTCCATTGTTGTGTTTGGCGTGATCACCGTTTTGTTTTCCCTGTGCCCACCCATTTTTGCTCATTTCCTCCAGAAAAGTGCTTTTGCTCTGATCGGTTGACAAATAAAAATTTTACGCAGACTTGCCCAAGCAAAATCACGTGCAGCTTGCAATTTTGCTTTCGAAATACGACGATTTTAGGCTCGCATAAACAGTATCGGCCGGCAAGCCAGCGACCCTGCTCCCCCCGGGTTTAATGAATCTCAACAAAGGGTGGTTCCGAAATGGGGATCGGATCGGCCGTGTGAGCCTGGGACGATATTGGGGGAAGAAGACTGGGCCAATCCCGGGTCGACATGGCAGCTGGCACGGAACCACAGCCTGGCCGCAAATTCGAGGCAATAAGGCCGGGCGGGCATTTGAGACCTTCAACTGGAGCTGCCATCTGGTTACTGTAGCGTGTTTTTGGACGCGAAGGGCCATGGCCCTGCAGAGCATACAACTCCGGGTTATTCGACCCAGGGAAACGGCGATATTCTGATTTCCGCTTTACCTTGTTTTACCTTGTTATGTTCTGGAGGCACTTTTTGGGTAATGTGGTGCCTCTTGAGTTTGGCTTACAGACCACTCAGAAGGCGGCAACTGCCCCTTTCAGTCCTTCTGCTTCTCCTGGTTGTGGGCCCTCAGCGGGCTCTAATCCTTGGGGGGCAGGCTGTCTCCCCTGAGGGGCTGCCCTGCCTCTGCCTGCCCTACCCACACATCGATTCTAGGTCCCCAGAGCAGTACTAGGCCCGGTGTGGCCATGGCCTGGGTTGATTGAGACTCAAGGAGTCATCCACTTTCATCCCGAGCCGCCGTACCTCAAGCCCCTTTGGGTTAATAGCCAATTTCGCGTTCATGTTATGTCTTAAGAAAAGATTCTTTTTACTTTTCAAGCTTGGCTTGCTATGTGAGCTAGACGGGGCCCAGGGTTGAAAAGCCTCGACGCTTTTTCAACCCAGGTCTAGTCTATTTTATAGTGTTTTTGGTAGTAACACCGGAAGTACTAGAATCAGTGATAACTGCTAAATTTCATTGGGTAATTGGTTACCCAGAACTCTATCCAACATTATTGTCCCCAGAGGTTCGGTTAGAGCTGCCTGGCTCTCTCTTGTTGCGCACAGCTGGCCTTTCGGGGGTGGAATGTTGCCCGGGGCCTGGAACCTAGCCTGGCAGGATTAAGACCAAGAAAGGGGAGCCTTGCCAATACCCTGAAACCCTTCACCAGTCCCCCGGGATACGCGCAGAACTGGGCTCCGGACTACTTGAGGACCTCGGAGTCGGTCCTATACCGTAATCCGACCTGTTTTATTTTTTTGTAACGTTGGATTGGCTTCGCCTTTGGCTTTGCGTTACCGAAAACATAACAATCCTAAGCGATTGTGGAATCCTAAAGATCTCGAATTTTCAAAACCTTGACTTTTCAGCTTGTCTACATTTGCATAAGCTGTCCTAACTTCTTAACATCTGGAAATTGCACATCTAGGCCGTCTATACGTAGTCTAGAGAATTTCGAGTTTCTGAAAAGTCTAATCCTGGAAATTTCAATATACTGATTTTCCAGGTTCTAAACGCTTTCAGGCTTCTGGTATAAATTCTTTTATCAAAAACCCTAGAAACTCTATCCGAATACTGCTGTATCTGAATGGCCCCTGCTCTGCGCTTGGGGTTACACTAGCCCCAGTTAGTGTAGGCTAGGGGCAGGGGTCAGCAGACCTTCCACATCCATCCGGGGCTACGGCCAGGGCCATCTGTCCATTCTCTCTATTCCCCCTCAGGGCTTCACAGTGGCCACAATCCCCCTGGCACAGCATGTCTCGGCTCAGACAGCCCCCCACTTTCGCTTACACACCCGGCCAGCCCTAGGCTCAGGCTTGGCTTGGCTTAGGCTTAGGCTTAGGAGTTTAGGCTTAGGCTTAGGCTAACGCCTCCCCGCCTATGCAAATCGGCCGTTTTGGCGCCCGATCCGTTTTGTTAGTGGTCCAGTTGGGTGACTAGTGGGGGGACGATCTTCTAGGCTAGCCTACGCCTTAGCCTAAGCTTCTAAACTGTTATTTTTGCTGAAATCAAGACCTTCGACTTGGCTGAACCACGGAAATATTTTGTTCAGACGGGCAATTCCCTGCATATTTGCCGTAACGCGTAACGCGTCTACCGCTTCGCCGCCACGATTGGGTTCGCGTTACGTGTCGCGGCATGATCAGAATGCAAGGGGGAAACTCACGGTCGCCGCAGTTCAATCGATAATTTAATTCCGAACAGCCAGAAACCGCTTTTTGCAGAACGGCCTTCCCAAAGTTTCTAAAGGTCAAAAAACTAAATACAGCAACCCTCGGTTTTCGATTTTCTTCGGCTTCATCTTTTGATAATTGTGTGCCCTCCTGGCTCAGCAGGCCTTGCCCATTGTCCCCCAATCGATGTCATGTGTGTTGTTGAGGCCTGACGGATGCCTGGGGGGCATTTGCCAGTCCAGGGTCCCATTTGGTCCTTTCTTTCCATCTAGCAAGATCTTCACTTACAAAGAATATCCTTATTTTTAGACTCAGGATTTTCCCCTTGGGCTTATGCTAAATCTGTAAAGAGGCATAGTTTATTCGATAGAGCGGCAAATCCCGGAAAACGCCCAAAAACTGCTGAATATTGCCATTTTCGAGAAAAGTAGCGCTTAGGGGGTCAATCCTACACCTTTTCCGCTCTCCATTCCCAACTTGCAATCTCTGGGTGCTTTTTCACTATCGGGGGGGTCTATCAGGGAAATAACATTTTTTGATTAGTCGTAAAATGTCCAGTAATGAACGGTAATCTTTTTAATAAAGTTTATAGAAAGAGTTAACGATTTAACTACCAACAATCGTGCGGTTCTATTATCCAACGATGTTCCATTGCGCAGAATATTTTATGAGAGGCTAACTCCGATTTCCCATTATCAATCACTTCCACCTACCACCTCCACCGCCCCGTTTCACACCCAATAAATTTGCCACCGGCACGGTCCATACTTTATAACACCTCCAGTCCCCCAGATGTGTCTCATTGAAATTCGACAAAATACCTTTGTCCCCCCACCCCTACTCTTACGAGTTTAGTATTCAATACATCTCTCTTTTCGTTGACTTCTACCCTAAATACCACTACCAACTCCTTTCAGCCATGACCGCCCCACGCTTCGTCATTGGCGTGCTGTCCTCAGATGCCGACATCATGCAAATCTATTCCGCGTTGGTGGGTACTTGGTACTAGACTGGTAGCGGGGGGGGGGGGGGCTATCTACAATGCTTTTAGTAGTGTTTCATTTGGAAACAGCCAAAATATAGAGAAATCTAGGTCGACATCCAAGCCAGAATTCATAGATGTTTATCAAAAAATTTTGATACTTTGAAATTTTTGACAAATTTCATCCATTTTGAGCAAAAATAAAACAACTTCGATAATTTTGAGGATTTTTAGAAACTTTCCGGAGTTAAAGACGCCGTAAAAGGCTATGTAGATACCTTTTTCAAATCACTCAATAAAATTCCAGATGATGGGCGGATGCTCGGAGATCTCGTTCGTCAAGGAACTGAAGTCGTCGTTGTTGTGCAAGGCACAGACTTGTGAAGCTGCTGAGCCCCAAACCAAGCTCGATGCGTATGAGCGTAACGACCCAAACCGCCGGAAGCGAAAGAGACCACAACCAGTAAGGGTATGTAGACTTTTTTCTTACCAGCTATATGCGTTTTTAAGGAGCACTCCCCCTCATCCTCACCATCATCTTCTGGAGGTATACCTGGGTCGATGATGGCTCCATCGCCCGACGCGAATCTGTCGCTCGTCCTGAATGGAATTGTCAATGGTGATATGATGATCAAGGAGGAGCCGCAACAACTGTTCCACACCGATACGGTTCGATTTCAGAGCGCTTTCGCACTTTCGGTTCTAATTTTCCTAATTTTGCCCCCGTAAGTCCAGAAATGCCTAGGCACGTAATAGTAAGTATTTTAAAGCGTTTTTAATAGAACTTATATATGTCTCAAGTGCTAAAACTATCTAAAAACTATAAAAAACTGAAGGCTCGTCAAAACCGACCTATTTTTTCCGAAAAATATATATTCTTCGCATTTTTAATCAAATTAATCAACAGAAAAATTCAAGGATTATTGCATTCGATAATGCATAAGCACCTTCGACTTATTTAGGAGCCCGGACACTCGCCCTTGGTATCAGAGGTATTTGAAGGCGCTCCCCTACTCCTCAGCCAGGTTTTTGGAATGGGAAATTCCCATGGACGAGAGGTAATATCAATAATACGCTATATCGTATACCTCACTGCTATTTAGATCATGCTCGACGAGAATGAAGATGATGCTCTAAATGCCGGCGAAGAGGCGTTCGACATGGCAGGCCGAAAGAAAGGGCCGGTCGTAGAATGCATGGTGAGTCGGTTTTCCTATGATCCAAGGTTTTTCCTTTTAAGAAATGCCAGAGCAAAATCATCATGCAGCAAACGCGTTCCCTTTTCCGACACATTATGACGCACGCCTCGCAGGTAACCAAAAAATTCGCTTTTCTCGCGAAAAAAACAATAAATAAACGTAAAACAGTAAAGAAAATAAATAAACGGGTAAACAGTGATATTTCTAGGAGCCCTATCGCTGCTCAGAATGTCTACAAAGTAGCGCCAACTCGTTCAACCTCCGCACCCACATCTATAGAAAGCACGAAGGGAACGCCGAGATTCTACCCAATCGGTTGGTGTCATAGCAAAATAAGTATAGTTGTCGAGGCCTTGTCAAGCAAGCAAAATTCATATTATTTCAGCACATCCGAATTAGAAGCAGAGTGGCGCGAACTGGCTAAAGAATGCTTCCCGCGCCAGCAAAATCGAATCGACAGGTAGGCGACGCTTTCAGAAAAATCACGAAAATCGTCGCTACTTAGGTGCATCTCCTACTTTGTGCACTCCAGCGAAACGTTGCCGCTCAACCCCGGGCGCTCAAAGGAGAACAAAATGCCATAAGCACCAAAAATTGTGATCGAATGCCTTCCAACATGCCTTTTCTTGTTCAACACGCATTGCCCAATTTGCACCATTTTTCTGCGTTTCTTACCACTCAACAACCTCCAACCAGTCATTCCCCTTGCCATAAGCCCCTACGATCACTATTTTTAGTGTTATCCTAGGACCCGCCGATCTCACCCTTTGTCTGATCTCGGTTTTTCGGTGTCCCTTTAAAAGGCTGCCTGTTAACCTATAAATTTTTCCAAAAGCCCAAACAGCTTGCCAGTACTCGTATTCCTTGAATTAAGGTTATTCGCGTCGATAAACTCTATCAAAAATTAATTTTCACTGCTCTGCAACTACAGTCTTGTCCTAAATTACAGTCAATACATTGCGTAACCGAATGCGAAAAAGCAAACAAATCATCCGTTTTCTTCAAGTTTTCCTCTTTTCTGTTTTGTTGCCACAATTTCCCGTTTCCTATCTTCTATTTTGCTGTTTAGATGGCGTTCCCCATCAACGACGTTGTGGTGGAGGTGGTGGCGTCGTTAGACGGAGGCCGGCAAGAATTCACCGAAGAATACCGCTGCACGCTCCTTCTCGACTTCGACCTGGGCTCATTGTCAGTGCAAGAAGTTGGCAAATCATCCAAGGTACACAATCAAACGCCTTGTTTCATTTTCAGATTACCTACTCGGCGATCGACTTTGTGCTGCCCGGGCGCGGTGATATCCGTCAGGGGATTGCTCTAAAAAGGTATGGTTTTCTGACTGCCGTTTTTCTAGATCCCGTCAATTTTTCGCAGTTTCTCTTTTTCAGAGCGGCCGGCGTTGAGAGCTATGTGGTGCGCTTCACAATCCGCCACCCAGATGAAGATACGCTTGAGACAATTTATGTGACGCTGGAGAGCATGAAATGGGGTAAGAATCCTCTGATTTTTATGCCTTTATCTATCTGGCAGGCAACAACGTGATGGAACTCGATGACGATGATGGTGATGTCGCTGTTGTTCCGCACGAGTCGTCCGACGGCGAGCACACGGATTCGTTTGGGCCGTACGTTATTTTTCTTTCTTTTCCATCTCAGTTTTAGGGAAGGTCCGACACGTGCTCAGGTTGCCGTTCTTACGCAGCCCGCTGCCAATGCGCGTCGAATTTTGCCCGGCAAACCCTCGAATGCCGCTGCCTTGGCCACCGTTATTGGTGGACCGAGCAAGAAGCTCAAAACTTTGTTAGTTTTTTGGGTTTTTCTTATAACAATAACGTGATAACCAGGTTGGCCGAGGCAGAACGACGAAAGCTAGTGAATGGAGGCCCTATGCGCAACTTTGGCATCCCCGGAACTGGTAAACATTTTTTGCGAAATTATTCGCTTTTTTAGGCCCGCTGGCGGGACCTTCCGGGAACGACACGCCAAAGCTCGCCGACACTGATCCATTCCAGATTGCGAAATACCTGGTAACTAAATAGTTTTTGGAAGGAGCCTATTTTAGAATTCGTCGCCCGGAGTTGCGAGCCATTCGATTAGAGGGCGAGGAGGAAGGGGACGAGGACGCTACCAAGGACTCACTGAACTCATCAGACAGCAGCAATTAGAGCAGTCCACCTCAACGGCAGTCGCAATGAACGGAGCCAGCCAAAACAATGAGTAAGCTTGGGAACTGGCGTGATAATCTCCTTTTCAGCGGGAAAACGCTGGCAGACATTCTCAACACTGTGGCCGCCACCACATACGTGGATCAGTCGACTCAAACGGATCGCCCGCTAACCCCGAATCATTTCGGAACGGCCATCTCTACACAAACGGATCCCTAGATCCCCTCACCACAATAACCCAACGTTTGATCTCATTTTTGCTTTGCTTGCCACGTGTTCCCAATTAAACGCAAATTTTTTATTGCATATTCAATTCCGCACTATCACAACTTGTTTTTGGATAGCGATTTCGTGTGATTGCCAGTGGCCACTTTCTTCCCGGTTTCTTTCACATACAAGTCCGCCCGGCTGAATGCCATCGATTGACCTGCGCGCTTTCTGATTAATAAATAATGAACACCAAACCCGCTTTCAGCACTTCCACGTCCATCACGATTGTCTCGCCAACGTTAGCGCTTCCGAGGAAACTGAAAATCATGATTATAATACTTGATTGAATGGGCGACCCACCTGACGTGCAGATCTACAGAGACACCGTCGTCACGTCCGAGCGTCCGTAGAGCAGTGTTTGTTGCTATAATTTAATTGAATTTCCATGCATTTATTACCGATGTCGACTAACGTGGCCGTACAACCACCATGGAGGGTGCCAAAAGCGTTCGTCATTTCGTCGCTGACGTCAAATTCGATCTTCACCTTGCCTTGGTCGGCGGAGATGACGCGCATCTAGACAGGCTTTAGGCCTTTTTGGCCGACTCACCGCGCCAGCCGTTTTCATAAAGCTCTTCGTTTGGCCATAGCCCTTGTAGAGGTTGGAGAGCATCTCGACGCACTTCTTGCCGGCCATCTGGTATCTCTGCACGCCGTTTCGGGTTAATATCGTAAACAAAATAAGGCAATCGGGACTAGCGAGATAAATGTGTCATGCGGTACTTCAGAATAATTTATGCTAAATCTGAGCGAGGCAAATATGAAGGCAGCTCGTTAGTTCCTGGGCAAAGCTTTCGTGTGCAGGCCAGTGGCGATTTGCTTGTCAGTGTCTTTGATGAAGAGCGAGGCCTTGGTGAACGCGGTGGTGCGGCCTGGAAAGAGAGCGCTAGAGTCATATGATGAAACAGTTCCCGTAGAGAAGACAGCAGACTTTTTGAGGAGATCGCTAATGCAAATGATGACTGACCGGCTTTGATAATCTCCGCATCCAAGACCACTGTTTCGCCGAGCTTCGCCGCACCGAGATAACTGAATTTCAAATTGATCTCTTGAACTGTGCGAACCTGACGTGCAAGTCGACGGAGACGCCAGGCGCAGCCCTCTCGGTGGCCAAGAGGGCGGTTGTCGTGGCTAAACGTTTGGTTTGCCGGACAGTTTTTCAGGTCATGTATATGCCAGGCCTAACCACGTACCAATATCGATGAGTGTCGCTGTATACCCGCCGTGCAGGGTCCCGAACGGGTTCGTCATGTTCTTCTCGACGTCAAACTCCAGACGCACCTTGCCCTCGCTCACTGAAGTGACACGGCACTAAAGCTGGTTTAATTTTCAAGACATCAATACCGCTCCGGCCACTCGCTGGAAGGATTCGGCGCCTTGATAGCTTTTGTAGAGTTTCGTGAGGAGATCGGTGTACTTCTTGGAGGCCATCTAAGAATGTTGTATTATGATGGTGAGCTGACTTTGAGGATTCGGAGGCAATTACGAGTAGAATTCGAAGATAATTTATATTCATCATCACAAACTTTGACTATTTGTTTGACGCGCATCCAATTTAATTCATAATCTAAAACTTTTGTAACTAGTTTCCCGGCTAATAAGGTCAGTACATCCGCTTGTAAGGGCTCAATGAAACGCGTTGTTATCTTGTCCGCTAATTAAATTATTTTAGAAGGTTTTCGTCAAGGCGTTTAGGCAGAGATCTTATCTTTGTTCCATTTTCCTGATACTTTTTGTAGATCAACTACGCGAGGCGCCTAAAGGCACGGATTAACCCATCGTGTCTCATTCCAACTGTATATTTGTTTTGCGGATGCTTGGCAACATCCTGCTTTGATTTGATTTCTTGTTCTTTGGCTTTTGGAAGTTTTTACCTAGACTATCTAATTGGCAATTTTTAGGATGGTACGACTCTATCGTGGCAGCCGAATCACTGAAATGCTCGAGGCCAAAAAACAAGTTGATGATCAAATGTCGATCGTCGATCGCACGGATTGGTGAGGGTGAACAAGTTTTTATGGATTTGCATTTTAGGTACGTTCCCCGCGAGTCGTTGCTGAGCGAGCGAGCAGCCGAGTTGTTCTATCTGTCATTCTTCGACACTTCCACACAGCGCTTTCTTGATGATTCCTTCACGGCTAGCAATTCGATGTGTTTGCAGGTTTGTTGGATTTTTATCAAGGATACATAGCTTTTTAAATTTAGACGTGGTATGCATTGGCGTCGACTTTGTTGTCGTTGTTCGTAACAAAGACCTCCTCGAATGGGTTGCTGAATCGCGGTGGGATGCACATCTTCTCATCAGAGCAGCTTCGCGAATTCTTGGGGCTGCCCGTCGAGTGGAATAGGCGCGGCAAGGCGGTTGGTGTTTATGCTAGCTCTAGATCATTGCCGAGATAAAGATTTTTATTCCTATTTGGATGGTTGAATCTGCTCATTTCAGGTGCTCGATCTCGGCGCGGGCGATGGTGGTGTGACAGCACGAACGGCCGAATTCTACGAACACGTCTACGCGACCGAAATGTCAACGGTATGCTTGGGTTTTCCGGTTAAATCTCTTTTTAGGTGATGCAGTATCGATTACGCCAACGAGGTTACACGGTTCTTGATGTCAGCGAGTGGCAGAAGACCGGAAGATCGTTTGACCTCATTACGGTGCTCAACTTGTTGGACCGGTATGTGTTATTTTCTAAATAAAGGGAAAAAGGCTTGAAAACTGAGAGGATGATTGGATTTCAGACACTACGACCCATTGTTACTGCTTTCCGAGCTGCACGAAGTAGCACTACGAAACGGCTGCCCGGTTTTGATGGCCATCGTGTTGCCAATACGACAATATGTCGAATTTCATCCTAACAACTCGACGACAAGACCAGGTACGTGCGTAACCGCCATAGGATTTTTAAATTTCCTTGTTTTTAGATAACTGGATACCCGTGAAAGGTCGCACGTTCGAGGAACATGTCGGTTCGCTGATCGAGAAGGTCTTTGAACCTGCTGGGTTCGAGGTTAGTTTCTAGCCACTTGTAAGGTTTTATCGACGGAGCCGCTAATTTCATGTACCTAGGTGACACGATGGACGAAAATGCCGTATCTCTGCGAGGGTGATCATCAACGGGTAAAATAAATGTATTAGCTAAAATTGGTAATTTCCAGCCCTACTACGTATTGTTTGATGCGCTGTTCCTGCTCAAAGCCGTCCCGAAAACCGACACCGGCCACAACCAGAACCACCGAGTTACGGAAGTCGCGGAACCACATATCGAATTGTAAGGCATAAAAACTTTACCTTTACGGGTCACAATTGGTTGTGATAGTGTTTTTATTTCTGCTCATGCAAAGACGTCCTAATAAAGTTATCACAGCATTCGATGAATAGAGCAAGGCAACACGAAGGATTTTACCCAGTTTCTGATAACAAAGAAAACCGTAGACATGTAAAAAAAGCTAGAGAACAACACCCGAGATATAACAAAAGCCTAATCATGCAAAAATAAATAAATTTGTTAAAATAGTTCAGCCTGGATGGTATATTCTTGGTCCAGTCCAAGATAACAGTCGGAGATCAGGAAGAACGTGATGTTGATGCGGCCCCTGAAAATGCTATTTATACGCCGGAAACTTGGGCATACTTCTGATCCGGTGTTTTCAGCTCCATTCTGGTGACTCGTCGAGGCGTGGGTGAAGCCGTGAAATGCGAGGCAAGCGAACGGCCAGTGTCCTTGTCGCCGAATAGACACACCCATCCCGCCGACTTCTCCTTTGGCCAGACGGGCAAACAGGCATCAGCGTTGAACTGAAACAAGGGTGGAATAATCAAAATCCATGAGGTTACCCTATTCGGTCCCAGCGCTTCAATTTCGAGCCTCACACGACATGCGGTGCTCCTCGGAAGGCGGACAACTTTGCTTAGGTCCTGAGAAAAGTTAAGAAACCGATGATAATCTACTTTGAATGAAAGGCTCGTCTCCTGGCCGCCGTGGATGAAGGTGAGGCCATTGACGCGGACGACGGGGAGACGACATGCCGATGTGATAATCTAGAAAAGAAATCGGCTTGAAGTTCGAAACTGCGATCCTTACATCATTGACACGGCCCTCTGGAACGGTGGTCTTGTCGATGACCTCCCGTCTGACACGTCGACAAACATCATCTGTGCCCTTCGCCTTCTCAATGCCCCACCAGTCGTGCAATTCCGGTATCGTGCAACCGTTTGGTCTAAAAATTTTTGTGTAATGTTGATGTGATAAGCTGCCCTGTCAGAATCTCGAATTTTCAAAATCTCAAAAATCATTACCCAAGCGCCTCGGCGTCATCGGGGCTAAGGTGCGGGAGTACGAGAAGCGGATGATCGTCCCACCATCGACCGGTATGGCACATCTGCGCCAACACGGACACCCCGAGTGCCGGGTGCAACCAGCCCCGCAACAGGCAAACGTCGCGCATCGCCTAAAACAATCTCGGTCCGCTAAAAAGGGAATACCTGCAAAATACGGATGCTAGAATCGATGACAGTCCTTTGATCCGTCCGGTAATCGGTTTGAAGGTCCATTCGAGAGAAGTAGGCCTAAAATTCGGGATTTTACCTATCTTCAAATATATCTTAGCTCCGATAAGCAAGCGCCTAGCTAACCTGAAACAAGATATGCGCCTTTATGTGAGGGGAGTCCATAGCATCTGGAGGAAGCTTCAGGCGAACGCGCCGAGCCAGTTGAGCGTTGATCTGATCCTCATTGTGTCGCACCGGGATCTCGGCATATTCGGGAGCATCCTGAAATCGGAAATGCTACTCGAGGGCAAGGAAACCAACCGTTAGAACTTTTAGGAGCGCTTCGATGGAGCTGTCCGGGCGGATGGCCTTCAGGAAGAAGCGGATCGTCATATGCTCCAAGTAATAAATGGAAGAGAGGCGGCCGAAGCTTGTCGGTGACAGCGTATCGTCTTCCTAAGCAGAGGCCTTTTTTTACTTTCCGGGGCAGAAACTATAGTTTTCAACCCTTGACCAAAACAAATTCGAAATACCCAACCTCGTTAATCGTGATACAGCTGCTCTCCAGCAACTCGGCGATGATCTCATCGACAATTTGAGATAAAAACCGACAAATGGCGGCCTCGTTCATCTCCTCGATGCCGTAGTAGCTGCGAAGTATTGTAACTCCCCCAGAAAAACATACTTAGGATTCGCGAAGAGTCGGCGATAAAAATAAGTGCCAGCCAGGTACTCCATGATGCTCTGCTTCGATGTGATGGTGCCCGCGTTGATCTCAGCATTTACGTGATTCGCCAATGCCGGGTAGAGGCTAAACCAAGCATTTAGATATATCGATCGTCAAATTTACCTGCTCTCCACGGGGAACGGTTCGTAGAGGAAGCGCTTGTAGAAATGTTTCTTGACGTCTTGCACGTAGATGACGGCAACGGCAGTGTCGTCAAATTGCGGTCGTCCGGCACGGCCCATCATTTGCAGCACGTCTGAAAGCTACATAACGAAAAACTATAAAGGGCTGACCAGTGACCGGGAAGTCGACATATTTGCCCTTCTTGCCATCAAAGAATTCGGTGCCCTTGACGATGACGAGGTGGGCAGGCATGTTGATGCCCCAAGCGAGGGTGGCTGTTGCCACGAGTACTTGGATCTTCTTGTCGACGAATAGCTGTAAAATCCATAAGTCGTTTCTTTGTGTTTATCAAAGGTTGTTATCTTTTCTAGCCGTAGAGGCTTAGAAACTTTCATTAAAAAATTCATCCAAATCGAAAAAATTTTTACTAAAAAGACTAACAAAATACGCGCTAGGTCGTTATTATGCAGATATACAGGGTGTCCCAAACCCCCCCCTAGCGGTCCGTGGGAAGCTCAGATCAGGATGATTTTTATACCATTCGAACGCCCGCGAAAAGGCGAGAAAACAAGCGGGCTTCATTTTCTAAGATTTATTCTGATTCGTCCGATATTCAGCGTTTTTCTAAAAAACAGGTATCTTTTCAATAGGAATTTCGCAATTAGCATGCGGATCTCGCGTAAATCTGCCGTTTTCATGGATTTTGGAGGTAAAATTCGCCAATAAAAATACATAATAAAGAAAATGAACCCTCCATGTTTGCTCGCCTTTTCGAGAGCTTTCGATAGATACCTAAACGGCGAGAATCGGACACGCCTGCGCGCCGCTAGAGGGGGGTTTGGGACACCCTATAGATTTCTAGCAAAAAATTCCTATGCCCTTCCCACGGCAACATCAAAGGATCAATTTCCGCAAAACCAAGCTTTACCTGCTCGACAAGTGCCCTCTCATGCGGCTGCAAGCCGGCGTGGTGCATTCCGATGCCGAATGGGAGTGTCAATTTCAGGTTCTCATCGCGCACAGTCTGCATCAACGCCTCCAGTTCGTCCATCGACATCTTCAGCCACTGGCGCGGGTCCGAGCTCACAACGAGCATTGAGATGAAGGCCAACGCGGTCAAGCGCGTTTGACGACGTGAGGCGACGAACACGATCACCGGCTTCAGGGGGGAGTAGCTGAGGATGGCTGGAAAGAAAATAACAGTTAAGAGTATTATACGCAAATTTTAGAAATCAAAAGTTTATCAGAAAATTAGTATTTGGTAAAAAATGCATGAAAAATGGGCAACTTTCCATTTCTGAAAACGTTTTTATAACTTTTAGCAGGCGGAAATTCCCAATAACGCTAGATCGCTGCTGTTTGTTTTACCCTGCAAACGAACTAATTGTACGTACCTTTGAAGGCCGGTTTATTCATTAGAGCCATGCGCGGGCAGTAGTGTTGGCCGGGGAATCCAGAAATATGGACGTTGATCGGTACTGGGCGGACCGAAGGCCGGAAATTGAAGAGCCCCCACTAAAGAATATGTTTAAAAAGATGACTATAGAACCTCAGGAATTCCCATCCATTCACCGACATCACCCGCATTGGCCAACGCCGTTGACAGCCCGAGAAGTCGAGCCGGCGATTCGCGCATCATCGACTTTCTCGTCAGGTATTTCATCCTTGAACCGGAATGTAAAATGGGAGGCTAGGCAGATACCTGGTGACGATCGCCTCCAGCACATGGCCACGGTCCACGCCAAGTAAATGAATCTCGTCGATGACAATGAGTCCCACTTGCCGAACGTATTCCCTCGTTGCCCAGGACCTGCAAGCACGCTGCTTCAAAGGTATTCTCAAAGCAACCTCGTCACGCCGTCCCATTTTTCCGGCGTCGTAATCAAAATCGGGGCCGCATTGAGCGTAGCCACATCAGGCGTGTAGTCACCCGACAGTTCCAAGACTCTAGAAGTACTTTTTCCGGCGCCGAACAGAAAATCAAACTTGTAGCCGCGGCTCTCAAATTTCTTTTTCCAATCCGAGACCCGCTCGCGAACAAGGGCTTTCAGCGGGGCGACGTAGACGCACTAGAAAAGAAAGGTTTTGCACAAGCTTCAGCATATTGCGGACCTTCTTCCCAGGATATTTTTGCAACAACCGGAACAGGGCCAACTCGGCGCAGACGGTTTTTCCGGATCCAGTCGGAGCGCCCACCAGACACGATTCGTCCGTCATGTAGAGCGGGTAGAAGATCTGTAAAGAGGAAAAGTAGCGAGCATAGCAAAAACGTACTTGTGTTTGGATCGGGTTGAAGTAGTCGAAGGGATAGATCGACTCGAAATCCGGATTTCGAAGGGCTGTTATTGGCAGCGGGTCGAGTGGTAGCAAGTCTGAAAACGGGCAGTTCGCTTTAATCCATAGTTTACCCGTGGTTTTAATTTTAAAACAGACCTGTATGACCCGTATAACTCGTGGGCAACACGCAATTGTGCATGCTCAGCGCCAGTGTTGTGTCCTCGGTCACGAAATAATCGCTGGCGATGCGCAGTTGGTAGTTGTTGGAGAGTTCACGGTCCCGGATGGGCACGGTGAAGACGAGCTCCTGCGGGGTCGCCGATCGGACCTGGGAAAGCGGAACTTGTGAAACAAATGGGAATCTTTCATCATTTGGAAAATCAGCATCTGGAAAGCTCATTGGATTCGATCTCGAAGGTTCCATAGGGCGTAGGGGGGTTTCAGCATAAAAAGCTCCAATTCTGGATGCAGTTTGACGTATTGTAAATTTCGAGATAAGACACTTTCAGGAATTTCAAGATGAATCGACCAGCCCTCACCTTCTTGCTGTTGAAGCTGATGCGCTCGTGGTGAAGGATCATATTCTCGTCGATATTCTCCAGGGTCACCCAAAATGATTGCGCCGAATTCTTGCCGTGTACGCGGTCGTTCCATTCGAAAGCCGGGGTGACGGTGGCGCGAAGTTGCACGATTGTGCTAAAAAAATTTTTGGAAAATGAACCGCAAAAGCATACTTTGTAATCGGCTGAATGACAGCTGAGCAGTCGAGTCGCGGCAAATTGTGAATTGCGTCGTATAGCTGAAAATAATATGATCTACGGCGCTCAGATTCGCACATACCTTCTGCCCATCCACTGAGAACATATAGCCGAGTTCCTTGACGGACAAGTCGAAAAGCTGCTGCTCGGACAATCTCCGTCGTTCCACCTTTTCAACCGTTTGGATTCCCAGGATGCCGAGTTCGATCAGTTGGCTACAATGGCTTAAAAATTAGCGTTGGAATCGATACCGTAGTCCCGACTGGTTGGGTGGCATCCGTTTTTCTAAGCATTTGCTCATGTGCAGGAAAGAGTTGGTGGCCTGAAATAGTAAAACGCAAAATAGTAAAAATCGCAAAATGCGCTTTGCCGAGGGTAACTTTCAAATGTAGAAAATTCGAAATACATAATGCCAACATTTCAAAATGTCGCAATCTAGATCAACAAATTTCCCGGGATAAAAACCCAAACTCCGCGCCAAGGGGACGTAAAATTTAGAATTTAGACATTCTGAAATTTCGACATTATGATAGAAGATCTCTGGTCCAACAGTAATAAAACCACCAACGTTAGCCCATCCGCGGCGCAACGAGATCTCGAAAAACGCCCGAGCCAACCGAGTTGCATTCTGCTGCACGTAGAGCGCCTCCGATGCTAGGGAGAAAGACTTGATGAAGCAGCGGGAGATGAAGCACTGAAAAATCGATCAAAAAGCCTATGAAAAAATCCACCTGTAGCAAACAGTTGACCTTTCCGGGGATGCTCGCCAGTCCGCCGCCGCGAATTGGCAGGAAACATCCGGAGGCCGTCATTTCCTCCAGGTCGATCATCTCTTCTTCCCGAACCTAAAATAATTGGTTACAGGTGGTAGCGGAAAGGCTAACCTTCAATTGAGCAAACTCGGTCGCCTGCGCAACAAGCCCGACGACCATATCATCAGGCATGAATTTCTGGAAGGTGACCGGCTGGCCACTTCCATTCAGCATCTCAATCGTCTCGTACTTGATGTAGAACTGTGAGGCAATTCTTCCCAAATCACAAGCCGACAAGAACCCATTCCTTAAAAAAAGATAGATCATCATGCTTTGAAAAATCAGCTTACAGCGAGTCGAAACGGATCATCTGCTGTGTGTCCAATTGGGAAGCAATATCCTGCACCTTCTGTGTCATTGTATCGCGGAGATTGGGATCCTGGCAAAATTATGATTGGGTGCCGCGAATGGGCAAACCTTTGTCATGACATTGTGCGGCAGTCCGTAAGCGATCGGGTTTATCCGCGCCCGAATATGGTAGTAGGTATAGGAAAGCCATTCAACAGCCTCGTCCACGGTTGAAACAGTGCCTAGAATTGATGCGTACGCACATGGCATACTGATGTTACCTAGCGCAATTTCAGCGTTCAGATTGTCGTGGATGCGCTTGAAAAACTGGCTCTCTATGGGCGCTTGACGAATCAACATTCCCAGGTATTTGTCGAGCGTTTTCTGCTGGGTGATGATGATGCCGTGTCCTAAAAAGTGGATCAAATTCGATAAATATCGCCACCTTCGTTCTCGAATTGAGGCCGTCCGGCACGCCCGAAAATTTGCTGCACGTCAAGCACGCCCAAATCGGTGAAGGCTCCTTTCTCCGAATCGAAGACGTCAGTTCCCTACAATAATTCAAATTACGCTAAATGCCAAAAACGCACGCGAATCACAACAGCGTGTGCTGGCAAGTTGACTCCCCAGGCCAGCGTCGAGGTACAGAACAAGACCTGAATTTTGTTGCGATAATTGAATACCCTAATTCTTACTTGAATATACCCCTGCGCAAACATTTTCTCCATCAACAATCGATCGCTACGCTGGAGACCAGCGTGATGGATACCCATTCCTATAGAGGGAAAATGTTTTTTTTAACGCAACATCCAACGAACCGTATTGGAAATTAGAGAAAAGTAGCCCATTCCTTGAGGCTTGAACAGTCTTCTTCGCGGCAATGTAGCCCTTTGTGGCGACGGAAGGGGGAAGAAAACGTTCCAAATCACCCTAGGTTAAACGAATTAACAGAAGCAAATCGTGAATACTACCACATTGACAGCAGCCAGCTCGCGGAAGCGCTGAGCCAGGGTGGCAGTCGCGTTTCGGGCATGGACGAAGACGAGCACTTGGTGTCCGCGTCGTACAAAGTCGAGTACCTGAAATCAGGATAATTATGATATGATATGATTAAAACAAACCTCCTTGTAGCAAATCTCGTCCATTTGGTCGCGTTGCTCTCGCATACCGCCAATCTGTTTTTTCACACCGATGAATCTAAAAGGGCCGATTCAATTTTTGATGCTAACGACTATGAGGCTCTTTCTTAAATCGGGATAGCCCGTCAAATTCGTCAAGTACAAACTTTTGTGATAGTGGCACCGGCCGAAAACGCCCGTCAAAGAAGAAGAGGCCCTTGTAGGGGTTGACGCGCAAGAAAGAGGCCACATCAATGTAATTCGGCAGCGTGGCAGATAGGCCGACGATACGGATTCCGGATTGCGTCATTTCCACCTGGAACTAGCAATTATCGAGCACACATGACCTAAAACTTGCTTGGCGCAATGTCCTCGCAACAATGGTCTCGATAACCGGTCCACGATCGTCGTGTAGAAGATGAACCTAGAGACAAGAATTAATAAGTTCGTCAACAAAAAACCTCGTCAATGATCAGCAGCTTAACAAATGACGTCAGTGTATCATCGCCGGCTTTGCGCGTCACGACATCCCATTTTTCTGGGGTTAGCACCAGCATCTATGAAAAGTGCGGTCGATGTTACTCGAATGCTTTCTTGGTTCTTGTGTATTCCCGGGGGGAATTTGGTCATTTTTGGGCCGAAAAAATCGATTTTTCGACCTAAAATTAAATTTTTTAATTAAATTTTGTAAAGTTTTTATGTTTAGGAATAGCTATAAACAATTTAGAAACACTTCCACTATTTATATAAAAAATCTAGGCTTGGGCCAAAAAAAGTTAAGTCCCCCCCCCCGGGAATACACAAGAACCGCTTTCTTAAATACCTGCGTCTCCGCTTGTTCCTTCTTTGTCAGCTGCGTATCTCCAGTCAATTCGCGCACCTAGGAAATTATGTAGAAAGAGGAATTCTTCATACCTTTAGACCCAAAGGAGCCAATCGTTTCCCGAAGCTCTCCGTCATTTCCGTGGCCAGCGCTTTCATAGGAGCAATATAGATCATTTTAAAGTCATCCTTCATGATCGTCCCGTCGGGCTTCCGATGCTGATGGATTGTATTGAGAATGGCGAGCATCGCAATGTTCGTCTTGCCGGCACCGGTCGGCGCGCAGATCAGCAAGTTTTCTCGGGTCTTGTACGCCTGCTCGAAGACGATCGACTGGATCACGTTCAGCTTCTCGAAGCCTTTGAACCCGAGCTGGCCGAGCTAAAAAGAGAACAAAATTAGGCAAGGGGTGCTGAATAACCTCGTCCATATCTTTGACATAGATATGATGCACATCTTGTATCATATCCCGCTGCATCGCCGGCACGAGCACCTCCTCGTGATTTTTGTGGGAACGGCGTTCGGAGCCTTCGGGAAGCGCATACTATAAAAAAATAAAGTTACAAAGCCGAAAAATGCCTTCAATCCGTTAATCATAACGAGAGCGGACTGTGAGTCCCTTTGAGAGTCGAAGACGAATGGATACACTTCCTTCGGCTGCTGCCCAGCCACGATTGTCGGGCCCCATTTCAGCAATGCCAATTCTCGTTGCCTACAATTTTTTAATTCCTGCAAAAGAAAATAAAACCTTTCTCGCAACTGTTCTTTTTGCGCCAATTCCAGTTCCAACAGCTCATCTTCACCGAACGCATTTTGGATCCGAGACATTTCACGTTTATTTCGCTTTTGCTCTCGTCGAATCTCCTAAAAAATGAAATGGAAGAGGCTAAAGAGAAAATTTTAGGTAATCTTCTAACACTTACCTTCTTTAGTTCAGCCTGGCTTGATGACTGGACGACGATTGATTGGCCGACATTTGGATTTTCCGGAGCCTTCTAAAAATCAGCAATTGTGCGCAATCATTTGAGACAAACCGACTCGGCCATTCTGCTGCTTTTATAGATTTCGAGTTTCGCCCGCTTTGCTTGCTGCCGCAGCTCGTCGCGGAACTCGAGGATTTGCCCGACGAGTTCAAATTGTTCGAAGCCCAGCAGTTCGATGAGCTGGAATACAAAAAGAGGTTGAACTCTATTTTCGAGGTACCTCCTCTTGCAACTGATCCACGGTTTTCGGACCTTCAATGAGTTCAAGCAGTGCCTTGGCCATCGTCGCGCCCTCATCAAAGAGATCGCGGACAGATTGGAGTATTTCGCCCAGTCGAATCCCCGAATTCGACCCAGAGGTGCCCGGCTCCGCGTCAGCGAAAACTTCTTCGGGTGCTTGCACTTCCAGCTTTTGGACTCCATTTTCGTGCGAGTTGAAATGCGTCAAACTTTTGCGTCCCTCTATTAAGATAGCTTTGGTGTCGAGCCTGCAAATAATTCTTAGCTATCACGCGCTAAAAACCCACTCTTTTGGGGTCGTCGCCAAATCGGAAAAAGACATATCTTCGACCTTCAATCTCTGTGCGGTTTCCCGGATCTTCTCCTCAGTTTGGCTGAGTCCAGGGAGCGCCTAAAACGTCAAGTCTACCCATTTTCGAAGAATGTCATACCTTAGAAGGTTCATTCGTGGCATCAGCAGGGCCAGAAGCGTGCGCAAGGTTCCAGCAGATTGACGTCGCCTCATGCCAAGCCTTGATTCCAACCAGCGAACGGATGTGGGAACATGCTAAACTGAGGGTCATCTTCAGCTACAATTAATACCTACTTTGCGCTAACAATCGCACGATCTCCGGGTCCTTGCTGAGTCCGGCGTTGGCCTATAACGCTTTTACTTGGCACAATAATATGTCGTTTCCTAGACTTGCAAAACGCGCCCCTAATCACGAAATTTGTTCATAACAACTGAGAAAAGCCTACATTCAACTCTTCTGTCTCGTTTGGCGTGCCGGTTGTATTCTTGAAGATATGGACAGCGACGAGGACATAGTAGTCCGGGTCGCCTAATCCTAAAACAGCACGAACTCAAAGTCTGGAAAAATGGCAAACCTAACGCCTGGACGAAATTCTCCAGCAAATCCAGGCTTTCCCAGAGGACTCTACGGCGCTGCGGTTCATTCGGCCGAACAGACAGTAGAAGATCTCTGCGGAAACGAGAATACGGGTCTAGAGTCTCGTTTCCGGTCTAAAAAGTGGAAAGGCGCATTCTAAAGAAAGCTAACACCTACATCGTCGTCCTTTCCCTTCTCCGGCACGACAAAGCTTTGTAACCGGCTTAAGTGGACGTCATGTGCTTTTTTACCTAAAGTTATCATATGCGCAGAAAATTCGAGGGACTTACTGCTTTCACTCAACGGAAACTTTTCGGCTTCTTCACCCGAGCCTTCTCGTCTAGAAGCCATAGGGTGATTCTGAAAAAAAAACATTAAATGCTGAAACCAGGACAGGCCAGACAAGGTAAGTGAATTGAGGATGTCTTTGCATATGACGTATTTTGCAGAGTGCTTTCCACAGAGCGTGTGTTTTGCAGAGGGCGTATTTTACGGGCAGCCGGCGAAAGAAGAAAAATCTTTCGATGAGAGCCCAGTCCAACCCAATTTATTTTTTTACGTTCTCCAACATTGCACAAGAAGGTAAAGAAACTCGGGCCACAAACTACAATCGCCGCCCGCGCTTTTGAACACGGTTAGCCAACAAAATTTGGCAAATAGCAAACCACGGCAACGCCATACCATAATATGGGCGGCAGTCACACGGGAGACTTTTGCCGCGACAAAAGTGCGCGGCCCGTGCTATAGCGGCGAAACCGGCACGCCCGTGAGGGAGCCGTGGACTAGCCGTGCCCGGGCCGTGCACCAGCCGCGGTAGGCGCGCGCCCGTGCACTAGCCGCGGAGTTGACGCTTAGTTGCCGTGCACGGGCCGCGAGAATACTGCGCGGCCCATGCGCGGCTAGTGCACCGCCCGCGCTGTACATGTCGCGGCGAAATTCTCCCGTGCAAGAACCGAGAATGTTTCGTCTAAAAAGGGCTACGCTGCTGCTCCAAACTGAATTCTTGCTAACACAGCAAACTTCGTAAGAGTAGTTGTATAGGTAAGAGTAAGAGTATAGGTTTGTTAAGAAAGCACGAATACCGTATTTTAGGTACCCGGCTGGAATTTATCAAAGCAAAAAAGAAGTATTTAATTCCCAATCGAAAATACAATAAGAAACTATTTTTTCTAAGTTTTAAACCACTTTTCAAAAATTGGACATACGTTTGGTAAGAAAGCACGAGTACCGTATTTTAGGTACCACGTCTCTCTTGCGTGTCCTCCCTAATAGTCGGCACCCCGTGGAAGAAGCAAAAGCAGAGATAAATTTTATAAATATAAGCGAGAAAATTTATAAATACGTAAATTGGTGTCCAGGAGAAATCAGAGTAAAAAAGGAAAAAGACAGCAATTATTTAAAAATTAGGAGAAACCAGGGTTGAAAAGCCGCTTCGCGACTTTTCAACCCTGGCCCCGTTCTGGCCCAATGAAAGTTTACACTTTGCATAATTCCACCCGACTCGCGCTGAAAAAAGTGCCACTTCCGGTGTATGCTCTTGCTTCCTAACAAAGATGGTCTCGGTTTGCAACAAAAATTAAAATTTAACCAGGGTTGAAAAGCCGCTACGCGGCTTTTCACCCCTGGCCTTTGCGGGGTATCTTTAAAAGCTGCTCACTTTGCATAATTCTGGCGAATTAGCGCCAACCTCTCAACTAAATAAAACAAAAGCGACCGAATGCGAGCGTGACAAAATCCGAAATGAGCCCCTTAACGGTTCGTATGCAAATGAGGACATTTCCATATGTTTTAAAAAGACTAAAATAAGATATAAATCGTCATTTTCTTAAAAATCTGATAAGCGCGCAGTAATCTACGCCTTCGAATACCCCTAAATACGTTTCAGTTGGTCCCTAAAACGCTTTTCCCTTCCTGATATCTCAATAACCCGGTTTTTTCGAGCCTTTGATGCAAAGTGTCTACACACACACAAACACTATTTTTTTATATATAGTAGGATGTCGAAAATAGGCTGTTTGGGTAAATATGATATGCGTGCAGTCATCTCCAGATCGTTACGCACCTATTGACGTATCAAACATGCCAAGAAAGGGCAAAAATGCGTGGGATAATGTGTGTTGTAGGTATAATAAATCCCTTTATTGCCGCTCAAACGTTGCACGCTTCAAGTAATTTAGTGGCACCCGCGTACGACTTCTCGTTGCGCAAATCCTAAAATGATTAGCCACCAAAGAGTATAAACTTACCGTTATGATTCTCGACACCCGCTTTCTCAGTTCGACGCTTTTACGACATCTTTGCAGCAGGCCACGGCACAAAAGGAATAACTGCAAACATCAAAATATTGCAACGTTCTTCTTTTTATATATCTTTTTAAAAACGCACCTGTTCATCAGCCACATAGTCGGTCCGTGCGACAAGATGCTCGAGCAACATGGCAGCGATCAGAGGGGTCGGCTCCCGCATCAACATTGGGATTAGGCGGTCGAGAGTGTGCGATGCGAGATCGCCGATGCTTTCCCTAAATAGGTCATAGTCAGAAATTCTTTAAAAGGTATCACCTAAACTCGTCACTCGCGCCATATAACTCATCGTTTGACTGGACACTGGGAAATCTGAAATACGCAAATAGTCATAGCGCAGAATCGAGAACCTCGTCGGATATTCGGCTTGACCGGCGGCCCAGAGAAAATCCAAGCAATGGACGAGGCTGGCACCATGTTCCACTGGTGTCGACTCCCAATTTCGCCTCAATTGTTCGTCGAATTCGTCATATTATCGCCTACCGGTCGATCACTGCCAACATTGCGCTGAAGAGATACAACGGCGGTTTATCCGGGTTGTCCGGAACGTGCACCAGGAACGCCAATAAATGCGTTAGCCTGAAATGGGTCGCGTGTAGGTGCGTTTTTCTACGTTTCTGAACCCACTTTGCCACAAAATGTGCCGCATCGGCTTCGGAATCCATCAGCGATTCGATGCAGATGCGGAGCAGGGCGTCGGTCTGCAAAATTTGCGTGGTTATGTAGGTATGCAATGTTTTCAGGCAAACCTGAGGCAGCGAATTAGCATAAAGCGCTAGGTGAGCTGCTCGAAGAGCTTGCTCAAACTGTTCGTCTGCCATCGGGAGGGACGGGATTGTGATTTGAAGGTTGGCAACGCAAGCACTAAAATATTTATTAAGTAAGTTTACTTTACTCACCGCATCAAGTTGGCTTTTGCCTGCCCGCTTTTCATATGAGCCAATACCTGGAGGCCGAGTGTTTGGAATAGTTGGACGATGTGCTGAAAAAAACGTGGTTCTTGTCTACAGACTCTGCATATACCTGTATAGCACCATCCATTTCAGCCAGTGAAGCACGGCATGATACCAGCCATTGCAGGCCTCTTTCTGGGTCTTCAGAGAACGAAAAACTAAAATTTGCGGGGTCAAGGGGCTAGCAATAAAATTTACCGGTCAAGGACCTGGCAGACGAGCGCCGTTCTCCGCTCTTTTTCTTCCTCGTCGTCGTACAAAAACGTTGCGAGTCGGGCGGTTATTTCGCAGATCTGTCAACGCATGCCGTATTTAATCAGTTAATAGCGTCGAATACCTTGCTAGCCAACTTTAGATCCTTGCACGATCCAATAGCATGGTTCGCCACAAAAGCTTCAAGAATCGCTGTCGCGGCCGCAGAAGAATGGGGGTCGTCCCTGGAATAGACCTTTAAACGTTACTGTTTGATCTCCACCTCAATATATCCATAATCTTGGTGAACGAATCGAGGCTTAGCAGCTTCATCGCGTCGCTTTTCCGGTGGCCAGCCATGCAACGTACGATCACCAGCAGCTGATCGGCGTGTTCGTCGGGGTGCTAAAAGCGAAATAAGAAAAGAAAGCAGCCTCACCCGCTCCGTTTTCAGTCTTTTCAATAAAAAGGAGCAAACCGCGTCTAGCTCGTCCAGCGAGAAATAGCGCGCCGTGAGCGCTGCCCAGACAGCCGAGCATTGGGCTAATTCAGATGTGGATTGAAGCCTGTAATTGGTTGCAGAAAAAGCGCCTTCTCTAACCTGACGATTGCCTTCCACATATTCTTGAGCAGAACCGGACGAGCTTCTTCGGGTACCTCGGTTTCGGCGAGTCGCTCCCCAAATGCAGAAATTTCTTTAGCACTCGCGCCCTCGTTTAGAATCTAAATAATCTTTCGAAAGAAACGCGCAAAACCCACAATTCTCAGCGCCTCTATTGCATGGTTGCCCAGGTATTTTGGCTGAACAGCCTTCAAGAAACAGGGCAGGATGAAGAAACGCTTGTCCGTTTGTCTAAAATAATATTTCTAAAAAACGATGAAAATCATACACGCAATATTCCCAGAGAGGCGCTAAATCACCATACGCATGGGCGTCGTAGGAGACGCATTGGATGATCCATTCGGCAGCTGGCCACATTAACTCCGACTGAAAAGAACTGCGGTTTACGCATTGAAAGCTGGGAAACCCACTGGCTGTTGCCCGAATGTCTGCATCCAATCGTTAAGTACACGCCAATGGGGGGCACGATCAGCTGGGTCTGGAATTGAGGGTTATCTGTGGTTGTGGCTCTAACTTACCGCATAACATGGAAATCTTCGAAACATACGCTCGAGCATAGGCGGCCGGCAGCGGTTGCAATATTCGCCCAGCGCCGGCGGCCAACCGATGCAAATTCTCGCGAATTCCTGTCGGGTCGAAGAAGCGCTTTGTGCGCACCAGACTTGCCTCCACTGAAATAATGCATTCAAGGTGGCTTTTAAAACCGGCCAAGAACACTTGACCAATCTCCATACCGTAAAGTCGAGGAACAACCTCGCGGATGTCTTCAAGCTTCGAGAACCAATGTTTCGCCTTTTCGCGCGTCTTCTCGGGCACGTCATCAGCGGAAAAATTGGCAGCAAGCGGCAATTTTCCCGCAGCTTCTCGCTCCTACGTTTGTGTATTAATTAATTTTCTATCACAGACTTGATCGGCTTTTTCTTTCAATCGATCATAGACGAGGGTGCCGAATAGATCGAGAACATCCGTCGCCAGCACCCAATGCGATGGGAACAACGAAGGTGGATTTGGGGCGCTCAGGGCTCGCGAAAGTTCCGTTACTAGCTAAAAACAACAAGTTTATCAGACTTGAAGTTGATGTTAAATGTTATCGAACCGACCCTCAATGCCTCGACACGTTTGCTATTCGTCCAGGCGAGCACCAGCATTTCCTTCAACTCGTTGAGGTTCTGTACGAATTCATGTGCGGACAAGTCGACCAATTTTTTTAGCCCAGACATGTCCTCAAGGATTTCGAGCCTGAAATAGTATCAGTATCATAAGCGTACTAAATCCTACGAACCGATGCGCCGTTCGATCGTGGACGCGAACCTGAGCACGCTGCGGGATGGATTCGTCATTTTTCAGCGAGTGCGGGCTTTGAATTGATGATTTTTCACTAGTGCCAAATTTTTCCAGGATTAGGCTTCTCTTTTTCTTAAAGGAAGAATTATGTGGTCGAATTGATCGCCTACCCGCCACGGCTCCATGTTAGGCAAATCGACGTCGTGGTAGAGAATGTCAGATTTCTTCATTTCTAATGTGTTTACCAGTTCCACCTAAATAATTTAAATGGGACGGTGTATAGACTGGTATGAGGTGTTTGGAGACTGACCTCTCGTTTGCCTCGGCTCAGAATCGGCACTGCCGGAATCGGTTTTGCCTCCGGCACAAGCAGCTCTTCCTCGTCATAGGTTACTCCTAAAGTGACAACCTCCTAGGTGTCTTATTCCAAACCCAGTGGATCGAAAAAATCCGATTGTGAGCGACTTTTTATGGGTCCTGCTTCAGGTTCCGTCAAGTTTGGAGGTTTTATCACCTTTTTCGGGGAATTCGGGGCCAATGGATGATTTAGGACCTGAAATTGAGCAACAGTGGTCATTCATGGGAACTATTTGTATGACATAAACTTTTAAGGATTTCATGTTTTCTGATTTCCTCTTCATGCGGGGCAAATATTTACCGATATAGCGTCAGGGAAAACAGAAGTCGACTCAATACTGTAGCGGGGTATCCATGGCGGTACATCAGAATCCGCGGCGGGCATCTACCAAAATTTACTTGATTAAAAGGTGAATAATAAACAATTGTTTTCCATAGTGTCGCTCTTCAAAAGAGCCATTCCGTAAAACTACTATCGCCAGTGCAATGAATTACGCCATGAATATCAACTTGTCGCTTCCGAAGGGATCTCGTTTCGAAGATTTATCTTCAAAAATCAACAGACAAGCTTAAAACAAAACTAACAATGGGATAACATGCCTATGCAACAGTAACAACAAATATTGGGGAGGGGGGGGAACAACGTCGGAAATAACAACAACAAAAGTGAACCTAAAGGATTAGGTGGTGAATGCTTGGTTTAGCTCGGCGCCAAATTTCATCTGTAGCAGCCGCACGATCTTGTCACATTGATCAGCCACATTCTTGTTCTCATCTGAAAATGGCGTTGCGGAGTGACACAACTATTAGCCCACCTTCAAGCAACTCCGAAATAAACGGCATAACCATCGGCAAGTGCGGGGCAATGGAATCGCCAATTTTGTCGAAGAGCCGTTCGACCATCAGCAGTGTACGGTAGCGAATCTGGAAAATGATGCTATAGGCAATCGGACGAGGACGACAAAATGTAGCAAGGCAACAACCTTTGGCTTGCGGCTCCTCGTTTTCTGAAAGATCTCGTTGAGCATGTTGGCAAACTTGTTCGGGTGCGCATCAGAGACCTGAAGATTCGGGGTATATTCTGGGTAGCAAGGGGGCGGGGGGATTTTAAGCAGGGAAAAGCTATTTTTGCTCACGAATCCTATACGAATTCTACGCATTTTTTAGATAAAAAAACTCCTAAAAGCCTATACAAAATTTTATTTTGAGTTACGTTCTAGCAATCAAAAACTACTAGAAACACTATGAACATGACTATATATTATCAAAAGGTAGATAAAGGTGAAAAGACAAAACCTATTCACCCTGCTAACAGTCCAGTACTTTCTGGTTAGGCATATCTATAAATCCCGGAAAATGTAAATAATACCTGGTAAATAGCGTCAGCCAAATGAGGCACACAGCGGGCCTCGTGCCCAGCGCATTTAGAATTTTCCAACTCGGCGACGAGCGGCTGGATGACAAGATCGGCGCGCTCCCTGTAATAATAACCGGGCGTTTGAAATTTATACGTACTCGGTGAAGAATTCGCGGTGTTTGGCGCAGCTTCTGATCAGATCAATGGACTGGATGAGGGCGAGGTCGCATTCCAAGCCCTCGATTGATTCCTTGCCACCGTGGAGGAAAAGTTGCGCAGAGTCTGCAAAAAATGATGAAGCCGTGGAAAATTCATAGTGCAAGATGATGCATTAGAACCTCACCCGTTGTCGCAGTGTTGCAGGTGCGCAAGACACGAGCAGATAATTCGATCAACCGCCCAAAGTACGGGATCGCGAGCGTGTTGAACGACTCATAGAAACTAGATACAGGCATGATCACGCCGAATTCAAAGACTTACTGATTGGCCAAGTGCAGCAAAGTAATCATGCGAATGCGCAAACTGATGTCAGCTTCCGGCTTCAGCGCATCTTCAGCCCAGGAAATCTAGACAGGAGTTAGGCTGATGGAATTGCTGGCTCACCAGCTCTGTCCAGACGGGTTTCAGCTGTTTTTCTGTCATCAGCTCGGCAAACTTGACGAAAACGGCGAAGAGGCACCGCTCGACCCGGGTGGTCGTTTCAAAGGCCTGAAAAATAAATTTACAATCGACTAAGCTTCTATATTTAAGGAAAAGGGATGCCAACAACGAACCTCGGGCGACCGGATGCTAGCACGGTATTCGAAAGCAGGGAGGAAGACCTGTTCGACGAATTGTTGTTTGGCCGGCAATATCCAGTTAGAGTTGGCCGGCACAAAGTAGTCGCCGATCAGCGAGAAGAGAGCGCACAATGGTTTCTGGAAACGAACCGTTATTGCTAGAGCATTTTCCCACCTCCCGTCCTTGGAGCAACCCTACTGCCACGATCAGAGGCTCGATGATGATGCGCGGTTCGATGCGCAACAACGACAACCGGATGGTGTTCAGTCTACAGATGAAAAAATAAATTTGGCACGACTAGGATACCGACCTATATTGTGTGGAATTCTTGATGGCGGCAATTTGGCGAGGTGTCTTTCCTTGGAAGGAGATCTTGGGCCAGCTTCCCAACTCCTAAATAGGGATAAGTATGGGAAGACTAGGGCTTACAAGGAGACGTTTTTAGGTGGGCACGGAGTTTCGTAACGAGACCTAGCTCATTCGAAAGAGCTTGAAAAACTGAGCAAGATCCCGTTTTCCATTTCTGCGAAACGATAGTGATTGATTTTTAATAATTAAATTAAAGAATTAACAGAAATTGGCATGATTTCGCTCGCGCGGTGTTGCCACCTGCTACCTGCCCCCGGCTTCCCGATATATAAGTGCTCTGCACCTCGAGACAAGGCTTCTCTTCGTCCGTTTCACCCCCCCCCGTGCCTTCCGCATTTTCCTTCCCCTTTCACCAGTCTATAATTAGTCCTCATGACCTTATAACCTTTGTGATATATATAGATAAACTATTAGGAATGAATAACTGTAATGCAGCATGGTATATTCAATACAATAATATGACACTGAACTATATTAGAAGTAATAATATTAATATTAGTCTGTGCCCTAACCGACGGGGCCACAGAATGGTGCGTCGGCCGGGAATCGAACCCGGGTCGCCCGCGTGGCAGGCGAGCATTCTACCACTGAGCATTAGTTCCTCAGCCGGCCGCTCCCCAACCTCCAGCCATGGTTCGCCGGGGTACGTGCAAATCACAGCCCAGGAATATGAGGCCATTAGTTCGCAAATTCGACTCAACCAACTTCACCGCGAAGAAGAAGAGCGCCGGCTACGTGAGCAGATACTCTACATTCGACGACACGGGCATCCCAGGATCACCCTGAACACCCCTGAGGAACACGGTTTTGCTATTAGTGCCCGAGAAGAAGAGGCGATGAGAAGCGAGAGCGGGAACTGCCTTGGCTGCTCTGGACGCCATGGTATCCGCGACTGCCCAGTCTACGCCAGCGCCTCTGAAAGGCCGACTGCTCATCGCGCTGGATTGCTGCCCGAACTGTCTAAGCCACCGCCTTTCCAGCCGTTGCCGCAGCGGGGACAAATTGTGCGTGGCCTGCGCAAAGGAGTATGATGATATCGACCTGGTCCGTCACAATACGATTTTGTGCCCAAAATTTTACACCGCCACCCGGGCCGTCCATGAGAAGATGAAGCGATGGCGTACCTCCGACCCCGACTCCCGCTCGTTCACCCAGCAACGCCGTCGTCATCCCCCCTTCTAATGGTGACAATTCGTGTTGTCTTCCTGCCACGTAGCCTTCCTACCTTTCCCTTTTTTCCTTCTACCCATTTCTTTTTTGTTTGATGTGGTATGTTGCCACCTGCTACCTGCCCCGGCTTCCCGATATATAAGTGCTCTGCACCTCGAGACAAGGCTTCTCTTCGTCCGTTTCACCCCCCCGTGCCTTCCGCATTTTCCTTCCCCTTTCACCAGTCTATAATTAGTCCTCATGACCTTATAACCTTTGTGATATATATAGATAAACTATTAGGAATGAATAACTGTAATGCAGCATGGTATATTCAATACAATAATATGACACTGAACTATATTAGAAGTAATAATATTAATATTAGTCTGTGCCCTAACCGACGGGGCCACAGAATGGTGCGTCGGCCGGGAATCGAACCCGGGTCGCCCGCGTGGCAGGCGAGCATTCTACCACTGAGCATTAGTTCCTCAGCCGGCCGCTCCCCAACCTCCAGCCATGGTTGCGCCGGGGTACGTGCAAATCACAGCCCAGGAATATGAGGCCATTAGTTCGCAAATTCGACTCAACCAACTTCACCGCGAAGAAGAAGAGCGCCGGCTACGTGAGCAGATACTCTACATTCGACGACACGGGCATCCCAGGATCACCCTGAACACCCCTGAGGAACACGGTTTTGCTATTAGTGCCCGAGAAGAAGAGGCGATGAGAAGCGAGAGCGGGAACTGCCTTGGCTGCTCTGGACGCCATGGTATCCGCGACTGCCCAGTCTACGCCAGCGCCTCTGAAAGGCGCCGACTGCTCATCGCGCTGGATTGCTGCCCGAACTGTCTAAGCCACCGCCTTTCCAGCCGTTGCCGCAGCGGGGACAAATTGTGCGTGGCCTGCGCAAAGGAGTATGATGATATCGACCTGGTCCGTCACAATACGATTTTGTGCCCAAAATTTTACACCGCCACCCGGGCCGTCCATGAGAAGATGAAGCGATGGCGTACCTCCGACCCCGACTCCCGCTCGTTCACCCAGCAACGCCGTCGTCATCCCCCCTTCTAATGGTGACAATTCGTGTTGTCTTCCTGCCACGTAGCCTTCCTACCTTTCCCTTTTTTCCCTTCTACCCATTTCTTTTTGTTTGATGTGGTATGTTGCCACCTGCTACCTGCCCCCGGCTTCCCGATATATAAGTGCTCTGCACCTCGAGACAAGGCTTCTCTTCGTCCGTTTCACCCCCCCGTGCCTTCCGCATTTTCCTTCCCCTTTCACCAGTCTATAATTAGTCCTCATGACCTTATAACCTTTGTGATATATATAGATAAACTATTAGGAATGAATAACTGTAATGCAGCATGGTATATTCAATACAATAATATGACACTGAACTATATTAGAAGTAATAATATTAATATTAGTCTGTGCCCTAACCGACGGGGCCACAGAATGGTGCGTCGGCCGGGAATCGAACCCGGGTCGCCCGCGTGGCAGGCGAGCATTCTACCACTGAGCATTAGTTCCTCAGCCGGCCGCTCCCCAACCTCCAGCCATGGTTGCGCCGGGGTACGTGCAAATCACAGCCCAGGAATATGAGGCCATTAGTTCGCAAATTCGACTCAACCAACTTCACCGCGAAGAAGAAGAGCGCCGGCTACGTGAGCAGATACTCTACATTCGACGACACGGGCATCCCAGGATCACCCTGAACACCCCTGAGGAACACGGTTTTGCTATTAGTGCCCGAGAAGAAGAGGCGATGAGAAGCGAGAGCGGGAACTGCCTTGGCTGCTCTGGACGCCATGGTATCCGCGACTGCCCAGTCTACGCCAGCGCCTCTGAAAGGCGCCGACTGCTCATCGCGCTGGATTGCTGCCCGAACTGTCTAAGCCACCGCCTTTCCAGCCGTTGCCGCAGCGGGGACAAATTGTGCGTGGCCTGCGCAAAGGAGTATGATGATATCGACCTGGTCCGTCACAATACGATTTTGTGCCCAAAATTTTACACCGCCACCCGGGCCGTCCATGAGAAGATGAAGCGATGGCGTACCTCCGACCCCGACTCCCGCTCGTTCACCCAGCAACGCCGTCGTCATCCCCCCTTCTAATGGTGACAATTCGTGTTGTCTTCCCTGCCACGTAGCCTTCCTACCTTTCCCTTTTTTCCCTTCTACCCATTTCTTTTTGTTTGATGTGGTATGTTGCCACCTGCTACCTGCCCCCGGCTTCCCGATATATAAGTGCTCTGCACCTCGAGACAAGGCTTCTCTTCGTCCGTTTCACCCCCCCGTGCCTTCCGCATTTTCCTTCCCCTTTCACCAGTCTATAATTAGTCCTCATGACCTTATAACCTTTGTGATATATATAGATAAACTATTAGGAATGAATAACTGTAATGCAGCATGGTATATTCAATACAATAATATGACACTGAACTATATTAGAAGTAATAATATTAATATTAGTCTGTGCCCTAACCGACGGGGCCACACGCGGAGCGATTTCCTTCCAAAGACCCCCCTCTGTCAGAAATCCAGACCCCGTCTCCGCTTCCCCATAGCGATTTGGCGCAGTCGGTACGGCGTTTGCCTATCACGAAATTTTTTTGGACTTTTTGTCAGTTCGACCCCTTGCCCAGAATTCGTTTTGCTTTTTATTTTAGGAGGCTGAATTTATTATTTATTTTAATTTAATTATCGCAATGCGTTACATAAATGTTCTGAACAGCATCGGTGTAGGCGCAAGCGGGCCAGTTGATTTCAATCCCTGAGAGGTGAGTGCAACGCTACCGGTTTGGGTCATACCACAAACAAAATTAATTTTGGACTAGATTCCACGTTTAGAAAGTGTTCAGGAATTAAAAAGCAAAACGAATTCTGGGCAAGGGGTCGAACTGACAAAAAGTCCAAAAAAATTTCGTGATAGGCAAACGCCGTACCGACTGCGCCAAATCGCTATGGGGAAGCGGAGACGGGGCCTGGATTTCTGACAGAGGGGGTCTTTGGAAGGAAATCGCTCCGCGCGAGCGGAATCATGCCAATTTCTGTTAATTCTTTAATTTAATTATTAAAAATCAATCACTATCGTTTCGCAGAAATGGAAAACGGGATCTTGCTCAGTTTTTCAAGCTCTTTCGAATGAGCTAGGTCTTGTTACAAAACTCCGTGCCCACCTAAAAACGTCTCCTTGTTAGTCATACGTATGACACCGATCGAAATCCATACCTGAGGGTTGATCTTGGCGGCAGCGAGCTGCGCAAAATACTTGTAGATGTCGGCCAAGTAGGGGGCGACGAACGAGGCAAACTTGTCGACAATCCTTTGGACACATATCAGGGCGCAAATCTAAAAAAAATAGCTAGGCAATAGAGCTGAAGAACCATGTAGGTGTATTGGTTGGAAAGAATCCCAGTGATTTCATCTGCCTGGTCCAGTAATCCTAGATTACCAAAGCGTCAAAAAGCCGAACAAAGCCAATTAGGTCAGTGTCGAAAAATTCATACGCTAAATGTTGAAAAAGGAAAGTAATCAGAAAAGCTAGAAGTTACCTGAAGCGCATCGTTGCCTCTCGGACGGCCGCTCAATGACGCCAAGCGTTTTCTGCCACCGGGTGGCCCAGGCGCTCGCTCTTCTTCCTTCTAGATGACTATTACAAAGCTTTTGCAACGCGCTTACTGGTTGAACGACCTTGTTGTGGCTGAGGATGCTGAGGCAGCCCTTGATGATAGGCTCGACGGCCAGTACAGTCGTGCCCATATTATGTGAGCGAACGAGTTCACCTGCGAGCAGCAGCAAGTTGCCCACGAGCAGATCGTCCAGCGAAGTCCACGCTTCAATCTGCAAAAATGCAACGGTCAAAGTATGGAGATTTTGCCCAGAAAGATACCCGAGACATTCCGATAGTGAAAAAAACCGGAGAAAATCTCACCCCGGCGACACATTTCTGCATCGTCTCGGATAGTGATGGATACTGCTTGTCCGGCCTCAGCCGTTTCGCGATTAGCTTCAGGCTGAATGACGCGTTCTGGCACAACAGGACCTAAAACCATGGATTAAGGGCAAATATCATGCTATATAACACCGAAAGCTATGATGGAACCAACTTTTTCTTGCGATTTTTCAGGTCCAATGAAGCCGTTGAGGATGTCGATTAGCGGGATGAGTAGCTTCCCATCAGAATCCTTTTGTTCCGAATAGTAAACCTCATATTGAAGCTTGGCATTACAAAGCGCCAAAGCCTAAAATTATACAATTTTCTGGGGTTCGACGGCGAGAATTTTAACGGCAGTAAAAACGGACCTTTTCTTTTTCAGTCAGCGTCGATGCCGGATTGGTCAAAAGGTCCGTAATCAGTCGCGTGGAAATGTTTGCCGGGAGCAAGTGGCGCAACTAAAAATGGATATGATAAATGGCCAAGGACAAACTTTTTGCGAAACGTAGTCCGTCTTGCCAATCAACGCCATCCAATAGCGTTTGGTAGCCTCCACTTCTTCAGGAGCCATATACTAAAGTAACGCGAAAGGTAAGCGTTAAGCATGCGAACCCACCTTTGCTTTTCCATTTCCGTCCATGATTTCGTTCATATTTTTTTGCACAAAGTCGTCCAAATCTATGCTGCCCATCAATAGTCGTCGGCCAATTGGCAGCAAGGCTTTGATGAGGTCCTCATCAGTCTCTCTGCTCAACTAAATATAGATGAAATCGGAGGCTTAGGCTTGAAGTTAGTTTTGGAGCAAGGCTAGGGTAATTCAGCTCCTTGCATTTTAGGAGGCATCTTTTCTCTCATGATCTAATTTTTCTAATATACACAGTGAAAATGGCTCTAAACGGTTTCGTTAATATTACTCTAAACGTGTAAATTTTACAAATTAAAAAAATATTGAATTTCGATTGAAAATGGCCGATTTTTCACCAACATTTCGACTCTTTAAAATTACCAAAGAATTACTTCCTAATGAGTTACTAAACAATCATAGGCCTGTACCAGAAAATTCGGTCCCCCTGCCCCGATAATGGGAAAGAACCGGTAATGCTTACGCGCTTGTACAAATCACGACTCGACAACATCTTTCCAAGGGTCGAGATGAGCACGAAGCGGTAATGACGGACTTTGGGCAGTGTGAGTTTCGATCTAAAAACGAATGAATTAGGTCGAAAGAGGCGTGCCTGTCGAAAACAGCCTGGTAGAGTCTGGCTTCAGGGGTTCGCGGCACCGCCGGCCGTTCTTCGTCACTACCGACGCTGATCACAAATTTGAGGAGGTCCACGATGCAGGCCAACTGGAAATAACGGATCAATGGATCCAAAAAGGTGGATACCTGCTCAACTGGTGGATAGCCAGAAATCATTTCGCATGCCATCACATCATAGCACTCCAAGGCGGACATTACTTTTGTTCGATCGAGAACCCCGAATTTCGGCTTGTTCCACGCCACGCAGAACCTAGCGGAAAAGAAGCTGACAATTAGATACACAAAATTACTGTGAATAAAGAGAAGCTGGGTAGACCCATCCCATCGATGCTGGGATGGCCTTTGCAATCGCTATTGAGAGGCGGACACGGCGATGACCAGGTAAATCCGGAACAACGCACGCCCACATCTTGCAGACCTCGACTAGCTTCTGGGATGTCGCCTAAAAACAATGAGGCATTCACGTGAAGCCGTTACCTCAGCTGATCCAGGAATGGTCATAACAGCTTCAAAAATAGTTTGGATCGAGTCCTCGAGGATTCCCATGATCAGTTCGTTATCCTTCAGCTTGCGGCCATCGCCCATGAACGCAAAGTTTTGCAGAATGTACTTCGTCACCATCACCTAAAAATAATGCCATAAATATCAATTGAAGGCAGGATACCGGAGCAATCTTCGTGGCAACTGTCAAAAGCCTCAGCCCTTCGCGTAGTACATGCTGATTACGGGTCTTTTGGATCGCATCCGTGATAGTGGCAATGTCCAAATCGCACTCAGCAAATTTGATGCTTCCTATAAAACAAAGCAAACATTAAACTCAGCTAACGGGGATTGAATCTACCAGGTGTCAACAGCATATTTCGAAGCACCGCGAGCCCCAACTGCAAAATTGGCTGCGTATCCAGATCTGGCTCGGAAAAGACAATCCTAAAACACAGTGAACAGAAAAAAAACAAGCTAGCTCACCGTCTGACAATGCTGAAAAGAAGCGGCAACGCTTCCTGGCACTGCGGCAGTTTTGTGCAGATGGCCAGGAATTCGATGGCGAAGCGAAGACGACGAATGTATTCTTCTTCTGATTCATTCTAAACTTTTATTAATGGCAGACAAAAGCAACTTGCCGCAAAGCAGTTCCGGTTTGAGAGCCTTGTAGTTTTCGCCTTCTTTTCAGCGCTGCCCGTTTCTTCTTGGCGAGTCAACATCCAGAGAATGAACTTGGGGGTGATCGGGGCCTAAATACGTCCAAATAGTTTTATTTTACAAAACCGTAACAGCAAGGTGTTTGTTAAAATAATGCTAAAAATGTGCCATGTTTTCAGACTCGTCCATTGTGGTCACGGCGTGCCTTATCGACATGGTTTTGTTGTTTTGCCGTCCACGGTTAACATCAAGGACAAGAAGTCCGAGTGCAGAAATGCCGATCGCGGGGGCAGATGGCAACGGCGGGGATCGAACCCAGACCGCCAGAATGGTGGTCGAGCACGTTAGCCATTTGACCATGTAGTCAACGAGTCGAGACCACATGGGCGCCACCTTTCTATCGGTGCAATCTGTCGGAGTCGCATTAAAGGGCTGCCGACGGCATGTGTCGATCCCCCCCCATCAACAAATTGGCAAGTAGCCAACAGGGGAGAGAGGGCGCCAAGGGGAGAGGCGCAGAGACATTTTCTTTTCCGCGCGTAATCGATTGTCTATGCCGTCGGCATCCCTTTAATGCATGGAGATTCGGGTGCTATACCGAACATAACCCACCTCAGACAAAGCGGCACGAAAACCGGAGACTGGTATTTTATTGGACGGCTCCTGCATGTATTTCCTCGTCATCTAAAGGAGAATGAGGGAAATGCGATGATCGCCACCTCGAAAATCAATTCTTCCACATCATCGGACATCTGCCTGCTTACGTACGTTTTGCGCTTGATCATCTCGTTGCAAGCAGTCTCAACCTGAAAAAGACGGTGTAGTAAAAAAAGTAAAAGGTAAGGAAAAAGCCGGCTACAACGATCAGTGATAAAACTCACGTTTTCCCACTCAGACGCTTTTGCCCAGTCGAGCGCCTTACGGAGTGGATCGCCAACGAACGGCTTCTCGCGAGCGAAGTCGCTATCGTTTTGCAAGGTGTCCAGAACAGCCGCCGGGTCGACGGGCTTTTTGATAATAACTGCATCTTTGGGCTCGGAAACGCTTGAACGGCTGTGGGAGCGGGATCGCGAACGACGTCGGCGTCTCCTTTTTGCATCTTCTAAAAGGAGGTTCAAAACTTAGGGTAAAGCGTGCCTTTGACAATTTGCATCAACAGGGGTTCCAATCCCGAGGCCTCGGTTAACGTCAGGAACGCCACAGAATTTCGAGCTTCCCATTCCTTGCGCACAAGATCTAGGTCCACCGGATACCTAAAAATTTTGTACTTCGATTGTACGTCGTCATCGAAACCTGGCGCAAAGCGAGTATAGAGACTTCGCCAACTTCCTCGGCACCTCGTAACCGTCGGAGATACGTTCAATGATAATATCGAGAAGAGCGGACATCTATTATCATTTCACTAGCAGTTGTAAGGGACTTACTTGAGCTCCGTTAACAATCAGGTCCACAGAAGAAAGGATCGCCGCATCAGCCAGGGCCACATCTTCTTCAACACCTAAATCGCACACGAATTCAATTTGAAGCGTCAAACTACCGGAATCAACAATGGTGAATAGCGTTTTCCAGAACGGAATCAGAAATCTCAGGAAATCGGTGTGCACCAAAATTTGCTGCAGAGCGGTGAAGAACCCAAGTTCGGACTCCCGTCGCAACAACTTCAGAAGGGCTCTAAAAGACTTTCACCGCCGCAACTCTATAGATACTTGGCGCTGAAATTGCTGACACCTTGTTGCTGGCAGAGCACAACTACTGTGGAAAGCGATGGGACCGTCGAGCCGGGTCGTACTTTCTAAACGAAGGTTAAAAGATCCGGGCAAAAATGTTACAAAGAGGATTAGCTTGAGCAGGTTCGAAGTAGTGCTGGCGGTCATCTTCACGGACACGGCCAGTTTGCAGATGACCATCAAAGAAGAGTAGCGAAGGCTCGAGAGAGGGCTTCTGAGGGAAAACGCAAATGATGATTGAGGTGGGTAATAACATACTTCACTCCTGCAGCCGCAATTGGGATAACCTTCGACAATAGGTTGTCGGTGATCGCGCCCTCATCGTCAAGTACCGAGAGCAATATCTAAGATTGAATGTGAGAAGAGCTGGAGAACGAAAACCTTGGCATGAAAGGCGAACAGGGCAGTCGCATGCGCTTCCAGCCATTCGTTCCCAACCGTCTTTGCGCTTTCGAGGATATGGCTGTTTACGCGGCTCAAAATCGAATTTGTGCCGCTGAATGCGTGCTTCGCCAACTAAAATTGAGGTTTAATCTACAGAGCTAAAGCTAACCATGTTGAATGGAACGGGCATTCTTTTCCTTGCGAACGTTTCTAAGAACTGCAAATCCTTCTGCGACGTGTAATCGAGTTCAAGGATCGACAGAATCCGGCCGAAGAAATTGGTCTCGTGGTAGGGCAAGAAGGATAGGAGGAACGTCTCCGCATCGAACGCGTAGATCTGCAATTGGGAGTTCAGTCAGAGCAGAAGTAGTCGGACCTTGTAGCGATAAACAAGCAATTCGAGTGCTTGCTTGCATGCGTATCCTTCCATGTATGGTGAAAGGAGCAACAGTGCCTGCTTGATTTTGTTGGTGAGCTCCTCGTTTTGCGCCGGCGCTGTAATACAAACTCAGTTTGGAACGAAGAAAATTCACTCACCGATCATCGTCCGCTGAAAGTTTATGTTGGCTTCATCGAAAAGTTCGTCCAGTTCTGCCAAGCGCGGGTCGAGTTGCTTCAACTCGTCGAGTCCTTTGTTACCTAACACAAACATCGGTTCTTTAGGATTCCCGGGGGGGGAAAGTATTCCCGGGGGGGGAAACCAATTTTTTTCCTGGTGGTCCCGGTTGACCTAGTAATCAAATATAAAGTGTTTTCGAATTGTTTTTAGTAAGTTTTAACTATATTTAAAGCAGAATAACTTTCAGAAAAATTTAGAAAATGTTTGAAAAAGTCGAAAATTTGGTCATTTTGGGTCTATTTTTCGACCTAATTTTTAATTTTTTACATTTTTTTTGGTTAAAATATGTGTAGTTTTTATGCACAGGAATAGTTAAAAACAATTTAGAAACGCATCCGCAATTTATACAAAAATCTAGGCTTTCGCCGAAAAAAATTTGGTTTCCCCCCCCGGGAATACTTTCCCCCCCCGGGAATCCTAAAGAACCCAAACATCGATCGTCAGTTAGTAGGCCAGATCTCCAAAGCGTCCAAAACGACCAAAAAAATGTTTCAAGGAGCTCACCAATCTTATGCATTGTTTCTCTATCAAGAGTCTTCGCTTCCTTTTGTTCGTAGAGAAGAGAGACATGGCGCTTCTCAACGGTCAATTGCTTGGCCGTGGGCCCGCGTAGGGCCTCAAGCTGGCGGGCCAACGATGTCATGCCCGGCTGAAAATAGAAGGTTGTCAGATCGCAAAATATAGAAAGTGATAGAACGCAAAGACAAGACAACTAAAAAGATCTGTGTGTAGGAATTGACGTGATCTTAGATAAAAAATGCCGACTTCTTTAGCAAAATGTATTCACCACTTGGTACCACGTCTGAGTATCTTTTTTAATTTTTAGTTTACATTTTTCATTCCTAAAAATAAATAATAAGCCTTCTGATTTTCCTGTGATAATGGAACTTCTTCGTCGATTTAGCATAAGAGTGATGTGTAGATTGGCAGCTTGTGTAGCTCTGAATGAAATCGCGCGGCGCTCGGGCTTTCAAAAGATTTTTCTTCTTTCTTTCTTCCTAACTTACTTTCTACTTGATTTGTCTTCTTCTTGAAGAAACTAGATCATTTATCAGAATGGGCTACGTCTTGATGGTCAAGCTGAATGAAGATTTGCCAGAGGCCGAAGTTGAAGGGATTCTGGCTGAGATCGTAAGTTATTCTGTGCAATATTTTCATTGTTTAAAAACAAAGATTGTTAGGTATCTTCAACAAAGTTGCACTTCCTTCTAGGCCTCTATCAATGGCGTGGAGCGCATAACACCAGAATGGCGCGGTAATCGACGTCGAAGCAACGAGCAACTTGCCCGCATTCTCACACCGTCACCGATAAAAACTCCTAAAAAGACAGTAGGTTGACAATATAGAAATTCCGGCTTTTTTTATACCTTAAGACATTCGTTTTTAGAAAGCCCAGTCGGAGCCACGTGGTCAAAAACGCAAAAAGCTTAGGAGGGACGAGGTATGAATTACGGCGAAATAAATTAGGCCTTCAGGATGAATTCGATGCCAAACTCCAGACGGTCCTCATGCCACGCACGCCGAGAAAATATCTCTCACCGATGAAGGTAAGAAGGCCTAGACGCATCGATCAATTATAATTGAGTTCAACGCCGATCGTGTGCCGTCGCCAGACGCTGAGGACAAAGTGAGCTCAATCCGATATGCTGAATGGGATTACTGATATTTTAGGAAAACTTAACGCCTGAATTGGCAAAAGAGGAAGGTCAAAAGGCCGGGAAGTCGGAGACGAACGTCGCCCCGTTGACCTGCAAGGTTGGGTTTGAATGAGATAGGCTGGACGCTGATGATTTCAGGAATGCGGAAAAGTTAACAAGCGCTGGTTCCGGTGGCATGCGCTGAGACATTATCAACGGAAGCTCTACAAGTAGGGGGATGAGGCGAAAAGCATTCAGGGTCCGGAATCATGACAAAGAACTGTTTTCAGATGCAAGCTTTGCCCCCACGAGTGCAATCTGATCTACGACATCCGGCGGCACGTTTCTTTCCAACATGTACTCAACGCAGAGGAAGACGAAAATTATGAATTTGTAATGTGGGTTGCAGCTAAACCTTTTGGAAAGAAACTTTCTTTTTGTGCTAAAGGAGGTGCCTTGTCACGTTAAAAATTATACAAATTTTCAGGGACGAAAAGTTCAAAAATGACTGGACGAAAAAAGCGGCTTATTGTTTTCCGACGATCGCCGACACGCTTTCCCGGGAAATCGATGCGGAGCTGCAACGGGATAGTTGATTTTTTTGCCCGGTTGAGAGGTTTTTTGTACTTCTGCTACCTTGTCGGGTCATTTTTGATAGCTCCTTTTTATTCTTTTTTTTTTGCGCTGTTGCTGAATCAACATGGTTTTGTTCGATGTTATGGATAAATTTTCGATTGGCCGGTCCAATTTCCGCGTAATCTTTGGCAGGTGTGAATCGGGAGATAGTGCGGCTCGCTTATCAAAGGTCAACATTCTCCTCGCAACCCTGCTCGCAAACAGTCTCGCAAAATCGATTACAACACCAACAATTGTTTCGTTTTTCAGCAAAGGGCGGCTAGTTTTGGTAGTTTCCGCTTTGAAGAGGCGCAGTCATGGCCGACCAGAAAATTGTCGTTTTTGGGAGCGTAGTGCAGGATCTGATCAGGTATTTGGCAATAATACATCGAGGTTCGGTAGTACTTCCAAGGGGGGCCTTCTATAAATACAGATAGGCGCATAATAACACAATAGCAGGTATTTTAAGAATATAAGAGCTGTTAACAACATAGAATTTTTGCAGTTACACCCCCCGGTTTCCGCGTCCCGGCGAGTCGGTGCGTGGTTCGGGGTTTTTAGCTGGGCCCGGAGGCAAGGGTGCTAATCAGGCGGTGGCGGCTGCCCGACTCGGAGCTAACGTCCAGATGATTGCCCGGGTTAGTAGCTTGTATAATATACTAAATGGGCTTGAGATTTCAGGTGGGCGCTGATATGTTTGGGGATTCGAACCGTGACTCGTTAGCAAAAGCCGGGATCGCTGTAGATAGCGTGGAAAAGATTGAGGGCTCCAGTACGGCCACTGCTACCATTACCGTATCGGCGGAGGGTAAGTGAGATTTTCTCTACGTCAAGTCTTTTCAAATTTCAATCTTCTTGAATCAAAAAATGTCTTTTTTTTGACGGGTTTGAACACTATCCAGGCGAGAATTCGATTGTTGTGGTGCTGGGCGCTAATGAGAAGTTGACTGCTGATGTTGCTGAACATCACCGTGCAGCAATTCAGTCGGCCAAGCTCGTCATGTGTCAGGTGGGCAGGAAAAAGCCTGTGTTTTAAGAGAAAGTTTAGAACGAAATTCCACAAGAAGGCAATCGGGCGGCTTTCAAGATCGCTAAGGAGAGTGGCGGTAGGTCGTCGATGTTTTTTTGTTGTAAAAACCGAAAAATTGCATGGTTGTTGATTTTAGTGACTACGTTCTACAACCCAGCCCCGGGCGACGAGCATATGGATCGAAAAATCTTAGACTTGGTCGACATTGTCTGCACCAACGAGAATGAGGCCGAGTTCCTCACCGACATCAATGCCGAAAATAAGGATGGTAGGGTTCAGGTTTTCTTTTCGATTATTTATTTTTTAGGCGCTTTTCAAGCCGCTGAAAAAATGCTGGGCATGGGCCCGCATACAGCCATTGTGACGTTAGGCCCAAAGGTATGTAAAAAAACGTTTAAAAATTTTTTTCTCGTATAGGGCCAGAAATGCCGGCTACGGTTTACTTTACCCCCAGCCGGAAGTTTTTGGCTATAACTTTTTTATTTTACATTATTGTAGGCTCAAATTAAAACTCTTAGTATATTTTTCGACGCTCTATCGAATGGCGTTGCAAAAATCCCGACAAAATAAGCGAAAATACCGACAACTTTGAGACCCTTCGGCTGTGGGGGGTAAGTAAACTCTTACCGAAATGCCATTGTGACGTTAGGCCCAAAGGTATGTAAAAAAACGTTTAAAAATTTTTTTCTCGTATAGGGCCAGAAATGCCTAATACCGTAATAGTAAGTATTAAAATGGCGTTTTTAGCAAAAATATTTTTTAGTGCAACACTATCTAAAAGCTTAGAATATTTTGAAAATTCCGTCATAATATAAAAAATTGAGAATTCGAGAGATTGAAATGGCATTACTATTGGAGAAAATGTATTTAGGGTGTTGTGCTGGCACAGAAAGGTCAGGAAACCGTCTTGATACAAACGACGAAGGTTGATGCAGTTGATACTACGGTAAATGGCGCGATTTTTACCACCGGCATTTACTCTTGAATTTAGGGAGCCGGCGATTGTTTCTGCGGCTCATTTGTCTACTTTTTTACGAAACACCCGGATCTGAAGTCTGGGGAAGCCGTGCGGCGGTACGTTCTAAGGTGCAAAACGTACATTTTTTTCAGTGCGGCCTACATCGCCTCACAATGTGTGACGAGGAAGGGGACACAGGTGGAAAATTATAATTGCAAACTACTAGCGGAATGAGATGCTTTTGCATTATCGGGGGAGGGGATTTTTTACGAGTCAACAAATGACCCCACCCCCGATAATGCGAAAGGACCCAGAATTGATTGGATTATAATTCAATCAATTGCAGGCAAGCTACTTCACTCGAGACGAGCTTTCGAAGCTGGATGAGAAACTTTTTGAGGAATGATATATTGCATCATAGATATGTACAGCTCACTCGAATAAATCACTTCAACCTAAACAACGGTTCTCACTATCGCTCTCTTAAGATTTCCGCGGCATTTCGCGAGTTTTTTGTTATTCGAAACGGATAGTGATCCCGGAAATTCGAGGCCCATTCTTGCAAAACCCAGACAGTCTCACCCCCCTAATCCGACAGCCAGCCAAAAAAAGGTGGCTACGGGAATTATTGGTGGGGAAGGAAAGGAAAGAAAAAGAGAGGCCCCGGGGACGGATTAGCCTCCAACGTGGAAAAAGTAAAACGAAAAAAAAGCGCTCAGAAGAAATGCGCGTAGAGTCTGCGTCAGGCAAAACTGAAGCGTTCAGAACACGAACACGAAGTAGGCTTAGGCTTAGGCTTAGGGTTAGGACATCGGCTTGGGCTTAGGGGAAGAGTCAGGGAGGAGGTTTGGATGCGCGTTTTGGTCGATGATCTCTCTTTGTTTGAGCTATTTTTATTACTATTATTTTGAGTTTTTCACCATGTGCACAATCCCGAAGAAACAGCAAAAATGTCGAAAAAATTGTATGACACCCCCGCTCCCCGCCAACGAAGCGAAACCGCTGCACAGGGAAGGTTGCGATAGAATAGCCGTTTCTTTGACCACAAGTGCCGTCTGTCTGTGCCCCTTTAGGATTGGGAACGGCTTGGTGCGTGTGCTTGCGTGTGTGTAATTCGAGCCGGAGGATCAGAGCGATCGCCGCGGTGGGGAGGGGGGTGCTTATGATGAATGTGTCGGGAGCGGTCCTTGCTCTCTCTCTCTCTCTCTCTCTCTCCCTCTCTCTCTCTCTCTCCACTCTCTCGAATTGGCCGTTGCTTCTCCCCTCCCCTCTCGTCCCATTCTCTCATCTCCCGGTCAGCCCCCCCCGGACCACCCGCCATCGATTCCCCAGAAAGAACACAACCACCACTCCTCTAACCCCTTTATTCCTTATTTTTCGTGCTTTCAAAGTTTTTTGGATTATTGTAAATTGCCCGATTTACGGGGTTGACCTTAAAAGTTGGTACTATGAAATGTTTCTGGATACACACTTATTCTTTTTTAAAATTTCCAATTTTGAATTCTTCATCATTGATTTAGATTCGTTTTTACAGTGTAGTTAGTTTGAGGAATTAGTTTCGATAGCCTAGGGGCAATAAATTTCCGGGCGCCACTTCAGAAAAACGGCTCCAAAAAGCGTCAGTTTATTGCAAAAAGAATGTGGCTTTAGCCTCACTCTCTCTCTCTCTCTCTCTCACTCTCTCTCTTTCTCCGATCTATTATCCATAACACGGCTCGACGTTGCACCCATGCTTTATATTCAGCGAATAAATTGTGACCAGGTTTTTTTCAGAGGGCTCGATGGACTAGAGCGGGGCATCGCGGCCACCCCGTTCAGCCATTTCCTGCTCTCTCTTCGTGTTGGGGCCCACTGAAGGATGCGGTAAGCACTTTAAGGTTATGAGAAGGCAGTCATCCTACTATTTTTAAATAATAGTCTTACTAAAGAAGTTTCAGACCGGTGAACTATTTCTACGTGGTTTCCGGCGAGGATGCGGAATTCTTGTTGGCCCGCTACGGGCTGGCGGGCGAATTCCTGGCTCGACCCTCGTACAGTCAATCCGGAAATTATGCCCTTTCCGTCAGGTTCGTTGTGAAGTTATGCGGGAGATGGCATTTTAGTCGAGGCCCTGGGCTCGGCATCACCCACGTCCCAATACAAACCATCGGCGACTCGTTCACGCTTGTTGGCCATGAATTTGCGGCACTCACCGAGTTGATACAGGTAATTTGAGCAAAAGAGAACGTCTAGGTTTCCCTGTACGCTGAAAACCTATAGATAACCTTGCGACTAATCAGTGACCCGAGTTTTTTAGTATTTCATCGAACATCCGAAAGAGTTGCGCGAGCAGGACGGGAAAACGATCAAATTGTTGTGGGTATTTTGACTTACCGGCATTAATATTGAATTTTTAAGCACTTCATTGATGACATTTTCAGGAGGGCGGTCAGCATCCCGTGGGAAGAGCCATTGGCGAAAATGGCACGAGGGCCAATTGCGGAAAGATGGTTTCATGCCAATCTCACTGGAGCACAGGCCAAGGAGATTTTGCTGAAAGAAAAGTGGGATTTCAATACGGGCTGGCGTTCATGCAAGTAATGTTTAGGCAATGGGCTTACCTAGTCCGCGAGTCAGCTCGTCAACCCGGCAACTACGTCATCTCGCTAAAAACCGGTGAAAGTGTAGTGAAGCACATTATGATCACCAGGGAGAGCGAGGTAGGGTATTTGTAGTTACTCAAGTACCCTCCCGATGGACAGTTTAAGTTTGCATGAAAATGTGGAAAATTCGGTAAAAATACCGAAACGTAAAAATCAGACGCTCCATGTACAATACATTGATGCTTTACAATCCGGGTATATGTCGGCTACGCGGGGGGGCAATTTACGCGGGGGGACGGGACAGGCAGGCCTTTTTTGATGTTTTCGTTATTTTCTCGGAATTTTTGCACCGGCATTCGATAGAGCATCGAAAAATATACTAAGAGTCTTTGTTTTAGCTCAAATTAGTGTAATATAAAAAAGTTATGGCAAATACAAAAATAAGCTTTGAAAATCGGGTTGAGCGGCTGTTTTTCGACATTCGCGCTATTTTTTCGACATTTTAAAGATGCCATTCGATAGAGCATCAAAATATACTAAGAGTTTTAATTTTAGCTCAAAATAATGTAAAATGAAATAGTTATAACAAAAACAAGTATTAGACGTTGTTTCCATGGAGAGCATAGAAGGAAATCAAGTTTTCGATATTTTCGACATTTTTACAAAATTTCTTTAGTGCCATTCGACAGAGCGTCGGAAAATGTACTAAGAGTTTTGTTTTTAGCCAAAAGAAACACAAAAAAATAGTTAGCTCGGCCCCAACAGTCCGTCCCCCGCGTAAAATCCCCCCCCCCCCCGCGTAGCCGACATATACCACAATCCGTTTTCAGAACGAGATGTTCCACGTAAATGGCGGCGACAGTTTTCGGACTATCAACGACCTGCTCGCCCACTACAACAACAACCCGATGGTGGAGATGGACACGCAGAACGTTGTACACCTCAGAACGGTACGCGGCTGCCCACGTTTCGCTTCAAATACCTACAGGCGATACCCTCATCCTGTTTTCCGGCCGACGCCATCGAGATTCGGCTCGCCGCTTTACGATCTGAAACCCATGCACCCGGTGGCGATGGTATAGACGAGGAATTTAAGGTTAATCAGTCATTTTTATCAGTTTTTTTGGGAAAGATTTCAATTTGTTCTTTTTGCCCGGTATCAACATTGCGATTTTCAGAAAATTCAAAGCGCAGACGATCAGCTGTACTCGCGAAAAGAAGGGAAGAAGCCGGCCAATGTCAAGAAGAATCGGTGAGTCATTTTCTGGGTTCTCTCACCTCAGACAAATTTAGATACAAAAACATCGTCCCTTACGACCACACACGGGTGGTGTTGAAAGATGTCCCGGAGGGCGAGAGCGACTACATCAATGCAAATTATATCAAAGTAGGGGTTGTGTTCGTTTGGTCTTTTATGCTTAGGCTTAGGCTGAGGCTTACAAGGGAACCACCCGAGGTCGAGGTGGCGTTTCGTTATGGGACCCGGCCCATTTTGTGCAGAATTTTTCGCTGATTCCGAATCCGCTGCTCATTTTTGCCAAATAGCTCGTTTTAAAAAGTTATAGCGCTTCAAAGTTCCTTTTTTCCCAAATTTGTCAACTTCAAAGCCATTTATTTTGCGTTTCTCTGCTGATTCATCAAAAACGAATATCGCCATCCTATTCAGAAAATTTTTCTCTATCGAATGAGCTATTTAACTCAAAATTGTTGGAAATCGAAAAAATCGACGATACTTGGTATGGACTTCGTTTTTTGTATGGGACATGGTGAAAAACAGGCTATTTCACACTCCCATAAGTGATCATCGATAGGCAGTAGCGCAGTAATTAAATATACCATTAGAATCAGAAAAAAATTCTCTACAAGATAGGCTATTTAAAATGGATTAGCATATCAAAACAAAAAAGTTGGGCATCGTGACAGATGACCGCCCGCGGGCTCAAATATGGTCTTAAAATTGCCGTAACTTTTTAAATCGGGCTATTTGGCAAAAATTGAAAGCGGGTTCGGAATCAGCAAAAAATTCTGCACAAAATGGGCTGGGTCTCATAACGAAACGCCACCTCGACCTTAGGTGGTTCCCTTGTTAGGATTAGCTTAGGTTTACTTAGCTTTGCTGGAAAGATAGTTCATTGGAACGTTTCTAGATCAACGAAGACAACCCGTTGCTCTGTTCCCAGCGCGAATACATTTCAACGCAGGGATGTTTGGAGAATACGGTGTGTAGTTTAGTAGTTTCTGATCGGCAAGGAGAACAACATTTCACAAAACACTTCAGAGATAACTTCTGAATTCAGGTATGCGATTTGCTGTTGATGATGTGGGAATGTGATTCTCGCGTGATCGTGATGACAACGAAAGAAGTTGAACGAGGACGGGTTCGTAAATTCAAAACCTATGCAAAAAGAACCTCGTTTTGGGTGTTAAAAAAGTGCTTTTTCCCGACTCAAGAAAATCGGATAATAAGAAATATAAACTAAAAATTGTATAAAATTTTCAGGCGAAGTGCCATCGCTATTGGCCAGAACACCAGCAACAATACACCTGGGGCGATTTTACCGTGATATGCTTGGAGGTAGGATTCTCTTGAGGCTAGTGACTAGAAAGCAGAGACGTAACAGCATCCCGAAAAACCTCACGTTACTCTGTATTACTGGTTCATTTCAACCGGGCAATAAAATTAAATGGGTGCTTTCAGGTTATCGGGGGCGGTTATTTTAGCGGGGGGCGGTTGCGAACTTTCCTTTTCTATAATATCGCGCGGGCTTACTAATTAAAAGCTTACTGTTTTATAGACTTGTGCGCCGTTTAAAATGGTTCTGGGCTGTTAGCGGTGGAGGAGAAATTAAGAAAAACGTCATAAAACATCTTGAAAATTTTTGCCTTTTCGGTCTAACGTGTATGAAAATGATTAAAAACGCGCTATGACTCTAGATTTCGTGACTTTACGATTATGTTTTTATAATTTTTGATTACCGGAAACTACCAAAAACATTATTAAAATAAACTACAATTTATCACGAAGCATGTATAGGCTAAACAAAAAAAAAGTTGCCAACCGCCCCCCGCTAAAATAACCGCCCCCCGTGAACCTGGAAGCACCATTAAATGCAGTAAAAGTGATAACAGGCTTCCAAAATGCTAAAAATTCAGGAAGTCAGCCAAAAAGACGCTTACGGCGAAGAATGCTTCATCATCCGAAAACTGCAGCTGATCAGGAACGGTAGGGGAAAGAGAAAAGGCTTTAAGCTCAAAAACTAGGTCTTGATGAGAAGCGGCAGATTGCACATCTTCAGTTTGTTGGCTGGCCGGACCATGGTTGTCCCGAACATCCGGAACCCGTGCTCAAGTAAGAGAAGTAAAAGGAGGATGAGCCTACGTTTTCTTATAGCTTTCTGGACGCGGTGGAAACGGCGGTGAAAACTCACGGCGGCGGCCCGCCGATCGTCCATTGCTCGGCGGGCATCGGGAGGACGGGAACATTTATTGTTATCGATGTCCTCATCAATCATATTAAACGATGTGGTATGTAACTATAACTATACTCTAAAACAACACTCGATATTCTTCACAGCTGGAAACCCAGGCAGAAAATAAAAATAAGCCCCCCCGCTAATTCCTCCCCCACCGCTAAATGAAAAGCGCCAAAAATTTTGCTATTTTTGGCTCAAAACTCGATAAAAATAAGCGACTTCAGGCCGTAGCTGCGCGATTGACATCCCGAGGACAGTATTGCTAATCCGAGAACAGCGTTCTGGCATGGTGCAGACGGTAGATCAGTATCGATTCGTCTACAAGGCCATCTCCACGTATATTGATCGGACAACGCCACATGTGAGTAGATGATCAATGGAAAGGAGCATCACATTTTTAGCGACGGAGCGTCAACTCTCCGAAACAACCCCTCGCACCCCCTCCGCTTCTTCCTAGGAAACAGAAGCTGCCCGATCAGGTTTGTAAAAATAGATTAATAAAGTGGTTCTTTCGTGGCAGTGCGGGGACTAACTTTTTCTTTCAGTATCCCATTTTCTGAGATAAATCGAGGAAGTGTTTTCAAGTGTTGTTTTTTTACTATTGCTAAATCTAAAACGCTGCAATTTTTTATTACAAAATAGAAAAAATATCGTTTTTTCGACCAAAATCTAGAATTTTCCAAATTTTTAAGAACCGTTAGGGATTTTTAGATTTTTGTAGTCCTAAGTTTAGCTAGGCAGTAGATTTTTGTACCTGTTTGTACGATTTTATAAATGTGCTTCCAGGCTCGCTCTTACGTGAACGCTTCGAAAATCGGAAACGGCGCCTGATCGGGTCGTCCGAAAAACCCATAGTATTTCCTTGGCACAACAAACGAACGCCCTGTGTTTGCTCAAAATAGTCACCTATTCGAATTTTTCAAATTTCTAGCTAGGATTTTGGTCTTGCTATCATCCCCCGCTGTTACTTACTATGTTTTTTTTTTGCGGTCCACGCCTCGGCATTCCGGGTTTTCTATGATGGATTCTTCAGCATGATTAGCAGGAAGTATATCAATTTTCTATGTATTTTTTGAAGTTTTACGTCCAAATTATAGCAAAAATCCAAATATATTGAATTTCTTTCGCCCCTCCCCCATCTTTCGAGATCAATCGTTTTTCGAGGTTTGCATATTTTACTAGAATTTCAACAGCTACATTATGATATCTTTTTTGTTCGCATACGGATAATTGCACCGCTCCTCCGTGTAGACCCCCCTTTTCCAGTCTTACTCAGTTTTTTTTGGCATTGACGGACAGGGAAAGTTGAAGTCTGAAAAGTCGGCCGACGCCTAACTTTTGAATCTCATCTCCCCGATATGCTACCGGGTTGTAAAGTATACTAAAATATGCGCATTGGCTTTGTGAGACTTTTTATACTTTACAGCACTATAGGCCAAAGCGGAGCCGAGATTCCAAAGTTAGGAGCCGACCTGGTGGCTATCTGGAGTTTAGCCGGTTTAAAAGATGAAATTCCAATTTCCTGCTCCGTCAGATTCTGGTCGATATTGCCGACACCCCCATTGTGATCAATAGAAACGAAAATTATGAGAGATAAAGAATTTTTTGGAGAGTGACAGCGAAGTCGATTTCCGGGCAAGGTACGTTGGATCAAAAAATTTATTCAACACGAGACTACGGCCAGATTTGCTTAGACTACAACGGATGGGGGGTATGGGGCCAGAAATGCAAAACGATTGCGGCGTGTGGGAGGAAGGTCAGTGGTCTATTTTCTTGGTGGCGTTGTAGAAGACGCCAGTTGGCTAGACGACCGGCCTTTCCGATTCCTTCTTCGAACGAGTGGAAGTCTCGGGTGCTTCTTCCTCATCACCTTGCTGTGTGGCCTGGCCTGCAATGGTAGATCATTATTAGTCTGGTAAGAGTTCACTTTGCCCCCCCCACAGTCGAAGGGTCTCAAAGTTGTCGGTATTTTCGCTTATTTTGTCGGGATTTTTGCAACGCCATTCGATAGAGCGTCGAAAAATATACTAAGAGTTTTAATTTGAGCCTACAATAATGTAAAATAAAAAAGTTATAGCCAAAAACTTCCGGCTGGGGGGGGGGCGGGGGTAAAGTAAACCGTAGCCATTAGTCTAAGCCAAAATGTCCAAAATCGGGTACAGACTAGAGATGTTACGCATACCGACGCGACGTCGGGATAACATGCAAATTAGGATGCAAAGCGCAAAAATCGTTTTAAAGGGGCTCAGAAGCCAAAATTCGTGCGTGCGGGGATTGAACCTACTGGTCAAAAAACGCAAGGGTCACGGCCGAGAAGTGCCAGAAAAGTGATTGCATTGCGAAAAAACGTAAAATGTTTGAGAAAATCCGAATTCTTTTTGGCGCGAAAACGACATTTTGAGTGCGCGGCGATTACCTGTCGTAATGCCTTGTAAGGCACCCAATCTCTCGATCTCGGCGATTCTCTGATCAATTTTCATAATTTAAAAGTCTAGAATGATCAAAATTTGGTGAAGATTCCAAAAATAGGATCAGAATTTTAAATTCAAGCGTTTTCGCGTCCAAACAGGGGCAAAAGATCATGCGGCGCGGTCTCGTTGCGGGCCCATCTGGCTATTTGCCAGGAATCACAGCAGGGGGCCGTGGACCAGATTTCGGAGCCCCTTTAACGAGCTTATTTTGTACTTTGCATCTTAATTTGCATCATCCCGACGTCGCGTTGGTATGCGTAACGCCTCTAGTACAGACCACAGAACAGCACGCAGCATCCAATGCATGCGCAGAACAGGATCATCAAGAGAATAGGGCCCAGTAGCCACAAAATCACGTAGGTCATGCTAAAATGCAAATTCTCAGGCGAAAAATGAACTGAAATTACGTGGCATAGTAGATGGTCGGGCCACAGCGTTTGTCCTCGGAGACAGCCGGTTCTTGCTTGATCTCTGCCGGTTGCTGGTTCAACAGGTCCATCTGTTGCTATAATGCAGCATTGTTTAAGCGCAAGTAGCAACTCTCTACGAAAGGCCTTTGTCTTTTACCTTAGCACTTTGGTATGGCGGATTGGTGGTGGACGGGGCAGATGCAGATGGAGACCAGTCTGGATCGCGGTCGGCACGAGCAATCAGGTAGAACACGAGCATCAAAATCAACCTAGAAAAAGCTTCGTTTGAAAAAGCTGTCTAACATTCCAAGAATCACAGTTCGTAGGACGATTTGCACAATGAGGACCACCAATGGTGGCTTCTTCTGTGCGCGGGTGTACTAAAAATAGATTTCTTTTAAATGCATCGCTTTTTTCGACAGAAATATAATGGATTTTCATTAATTCGACGAAGACGAACATTTTTTGTATACTTTACAGCCCGATAGCTCAAAGGGGAACGGAGATACAAGAGTTGGGAACAAGGTCAAATAAAGGCTTGCCCGGCTTTTTTGCTCGTAGTCTTACCATAAGCATCGTCACAAGGTCGACGCCCTGCTTGGCCAAGACGAAAAGCGCGGTGATGAGGAGGATACGCGGCAGATGACGCTGCACCGGACAGTCGTTCCATTCAGCGATGCCAAGATAGATTGCAACACAGGCCAACAACGTCTGGGCAGCCACCAGCACCGCTGCGATGACTAAATCAAAAGAATGTAGCAAAGAAACTAATGTTATAAGCGAATGACTTCAAAGAAAAAGAAAGAAAAACATAAAAGTGATTCTTACTCAGATCATCGCTAGGAGCTTTCCGGGCCACATTCACCGTCTCACGCAGCGTCTCGCGGGTAGAACGCGAGGCGCGAGACTGCATGACGGCTGAAAATTGTCGAAATAGATTACGGCAGAAATACGTTTTTATAAGAAGTTCAAAACCAACATTTAATGCCATCGCGTGTCGACGTCGTCGGCCTTGCCTGAATCGAAAAACGGTAAGAGTTTACTTTACCCCCCACAGCCGAAGGGTCTCAAAGTTGTCGGTATTTTCGCTTATTTTGTCGGGATTCTCGCAATGCCATTCGATAAAGGGTCGAAAAATATACTAAGAGTTTTAATTTGAGCCTACAATAATGTAAAATAAAAAAGTTATAGCCAAAAACTTCCAGAATTCTAACAACAAGCCTACCGATGCATCACTTGGTTTCGCGCGGCTGCTAAGACTGCTTTTCACCTGAATACTTGGATGAACTCGATAAAGTCAAATTCCCACCTGACTCTTCGTGCTTTTAACGATGGATTTGCTCTTCGACTTCTTGGCCATCTTGCAGGTTCGACTGCCCGACTGGCTTTCGAGTATCGGGGAAGGATGGAATGCGTTCGCTCTCAAAACTTTTCCGATTAAACGCCTAAAAGGAAATTTTGATATGTAAAACTGGTGCGTCATGTGTGAATGCTTTGAACATTAATCGACCCTACCCGGCACTTGAACATCAATGCACTAGCTTTTCACTTCCGGTATTCTTTTTTGAGTCCCGCCCCGTTCTGGAGGATCCCTTTGTTTTGCTTTTAACTTTGATGTTTATTAATAAATATATCTGTAAGTTGCCATTGCCAAAGCTCATCCGAAAGAGAAAGGCCGATCGCTTTGTGCATAATCTTAATATCAACTGTTTATCTGGAACAAATCGAGGTAAAAATGGTACACAAATCAATCAGCCCTCAACGGCGACTTCCGGCGTTTTCGCTTTTCTTTTGCATGTTGCGGCGAGCCATGAGCATTTCGCGTGTGTTGCTCCAGCATCTAGAAATATGCGTTTGCCCAATCCGCTCTGCGCTTACCTTCTCCGAGCGAAAGCCAATAGTGCATTTTTCGAAGGGGCATTGTATCCGTTCGGAACTGTGGATAGATCGGCAATGGCGGCGGACCCCTGAAATAAGATTTCTACATAGCTGCGTTAGAAGAGGTAAATAGGGGTGATGCGTAGGTGGCTGACCGGCTTTCCGGGTAAATCTTGCCCCGCACTCGGCACATACGAACGGCTTTCCGGCCAAATCCGCTGCTGACACCGGCTCGCTCTTTCCAACCATGGTGATTGGCACATCGCCAAACCTAGAGTATGACGTTCGGGTGTCGAAGGTAACCAAAATTTGACAGCTGATTTTTTATGTGCAATTTAGCTAATCCGCGGTTGAAAATCGTAAAAGCCTATTCGAATCAAAGATACCTGTGCGTCGCGGATGGTCTATCATCATAATAATTTGCGGGATCGTCCGAGTCGGGCTTCTGCCCATCCTCTTGCTCATCGTCGTCCTGGCGTCCCAGGTTTCGTACTCGGATCAGAAAGTCGATTTTCTTTTCCAGGTTTACTTTTTTGTGCAGCTAAAAAGAAAATTTTTGCCGTTTTTAGGCTTTAGGGGTGTATCATAGCGAAAATCAGAAACTTGTCTCTTTCGGGGCGGGGGGGGGGGTGCAACCACCTTTAATTTTTCTTCTATAACGAGGTACGGTTATTACAAGTTTGGTTTTGAAACGCCTACACATTTTATTAGAATATACAAAAAAGTATAATTCTCGGCCAAAAATAGACGATTTTGGACCAAAATGCCGTAATTTAAGATTTTTTCAGAGCTATTAGATGGTCGTACCATTTGGAATATTGTTAAAATTTGGCAAAAACTCTTAAAATGCCATTATATTGCTAGGGAAGTCGGGGCTTTTATACTTTTATAATAAAAATGTTGTTGTGGTGTCAGCTTTGCTGGACCACAATAGATCCTCTTTCCCCCGGCTGTCTCTCCTATCCAGTGGGTAAGCCACCGGCGCGCGCCCCTTTGCGGTCGCGTCGCGTGCGCCACTTCCCGCCTAAGACTAGATTGTATTATCTCGTTGCGGGTCCACTCATCGGCACAGACTAGCTCTGTTGCCGATCCTCCTGCCACCATTTATGTAGATAAACAGTTGTTCGATAACTGTACGTCCAAGCGCATTCTACATCGTTCGACTACTCTTTTCGAGGATCACAACAACTGGCGAGCAGGATCAAGAACTCACGCAAGATCAAGGGATGCCCCAGCCAAGAAGCCACTCGAGCCCGAAAACGTGATCAAGGATGAAGAAAGAAGGTGGAGAAGCGCGAGAAGTCAAGTCAAGCCGACGAGACAAGGACCAAGAAAGCGACAAGGTCAAGGAGAGCGACAAGGTCGAGGTCAGGGACGTCTACATGGTTGGCAAGCGACAAGAAAGAAGGCATGGCGAGAAGATCAAGGAGCAGAGCGTGCTGATGCCGGCGGGCCCATCGATGGATGATGTGCCGGTGCCGCTCGTGCAGGATCAATGGAAAGGGAGGTGTTTTTTCCCCTTTTGCCCCACATTTCCGGGTGGAGGGCACGCTGCCGTTGTCGAAGAAGGAGGAGGGTGCAAGTGCCTGAAGTGCCCGGCGACCGGCCGCCGTTTTGCCCCAAGGACCGCCACAAGCCGCGAAGGTAGCAGAAGATGAGGAAGTTGGTTAGTCCTCATCCACGAAAGGACCGAAGGAGGTGCGCGTGTCAAGCCCAAGGCCGCGTCTACAAGTGAAGCCGAAGAAGGAAAGAAGGAAAAGAAGGTCGACAAGAAGGAGGACGTGATGTGAAGGCGATGAAGGTGAAGGATGGACGTTGTCGGTGATCGCCTCGCTGCGCGTCATCAAGGAGTGAAGGAATAAGCAGATAATTTTTTCTTGAACTTTATTGTGCTTTTCACTCGATTCCTATCCCGGTCCCTCCAATCTACACTTGTTTTTTGTGTAAGGGGAGGTGTTGTGGGGCCAGCTCGCTGGACCACATTAGACTCCGCCTATCTCCTGTTCCACCTGTCCCAATTTCTCCTAGAAATTCGTACTTTGTTTTGTACAAGGGGAGGTGTTGTGGTGTCAGCTTTGCTGGACCACAATAGATCCTCTTTCCCCCGGCTGTCTCTCCTATCCAGTGGGTAAGCCACCGGCGCGCGCCCCTTTGCGGTCGCGTCGCGTGCGCCACTTCCCGCCTAAGACTAGATTGTATTATCTCGTTGCGGGTCCACTCATCGGCACAGACTAGCTCTGTTGCCGATCCTCCTGCCACCATTTATGTAGATAAACAGTTGTTCGATAACTGTACGTCCAAGCGCATTCTACATCGTTCGACTACTCTTTTCGAGGATCACAACAAATGTAATCTTTAATCTTTATAAAAATGCGGCGTTTCCCTACCCCCCCCCCCCGATAATCCGAAAGCACACCTAAAAACACTATTAAATACTTTCTATTTGTTTGCTAAGAATAGGAAAAAAAGGTTTTGTTTCCGCTCCTCGCGGGGGTTCCGAGGAGATGCCAAGGCCGTTTCGGGGGTTGCCGACTAGAAGAAAGGATGGATAATAGGGACCTTGCGTTGTGTGAGATTCTCGGTTGGCTCAGGGCTATTGTCGAGGGAAGAGCCGATGGCAGACATGGCCACTGCTATCTCCTTCCGCTGCTCGTCCGCATCCACCTGTTAAGTATTAGTAATACCGTGTTTCTCGACACACCCACATTAAAGGAACCCACCATACTGTTCATCTCCAGCATTTTGTGGATGGAAACGAGAAACGACGAGGCGACCGGGTCCATTGCCAGTTCTAAACGGAGTCTCACTTGATTTTTACTTAGGAATCTCGGTCACAATCCGGAAGGGCTAAAACCCCGACAGCCCTCTTCGAAATCCCGACAGCCAAAATCTCGAAATTCAAAAATCTTCGGACGCAAACCCCCGACGACGCCAACTAGCTACTAAGCTGTTAACTGCGAATTAACTTACCGCTCCCCAGCTACCAACCAGCCTGGAGTCACCCTACAACAACGATCAAGTATTTAGCTGAAAACACCCGTTTCGGCTAAATACTTGTTCAGTGCAGCTTGGGATTAGTGGTAGACCGGGATGTGAGATGTCGGGAGGTGAGTGTGTGCTGGGTATATATGGGCCCGAAGACTCCTGTAGCAGGGCCCCCTCCCCCTTGCCCCCAGGGGTCGCCCATTTCCATAGCTACACCCGGTCCAGGGGCCCTCCCTTCCCTTTCACCCGGGGACAAACCGACAGAAAGACAGAGAGACCGACCGACAGACGGACATACAGACGGGCGCATGGCCATTCGCCGGGCCCCTCTTCTTGTCTGTTCTATCGCTGGTGGCCTCTGCCGAACCACCCGCGGGGGCACACCAACATAACAACAGGGTAGACAAGATTTAAAGGGATGGGCAAGAGGGCGAAGCTTAAGCCTAGCCGAAGCCGAAACCCAAGCCTAAGCGAAGTCGAAGCATAAGCCTAAGCCCAAGCCTAACCGCATAAATCTAAGCGAAGCCAAAGCATAAGCCTATGCCCATGCCTAAGCCGGTTAAGCCTAAGCGAAGCCGAAGCCTAAGCCTATGCCCATGCCTAACCCGGTTAAGCCTAAGCGAAACCGAAGCCTAAGCCTATGCCCATGCTTAACCCGGTTAAGCCTAAGCGAAACCGAAGCCTAAGCCTATGCCCATGCCTAACCCGGTTAAGCCTAAGCGAAACCGAAGCCTAAGCCTATGCCCATGCCTAACCCGGTTAAGCCTAAGCGAAACCGAAGCCTAAGCCTATGCCCATGCCTAAACCACCTAGGCCTAAGCTTAAGCCTAAGCGAAGACGAATCAATTGATATAACTTTTAGCCACGGCTACCGTAATTCCGCAAAATTACAGCCCTTCACAGTTTTTCGCATTCCATTCCCTGGTAAGTGCAGACCAAAGTCTAGCCGACGATCTTCAAGGGCTCTTCAAGCGTCCGGGGTCACTGTAGATTTTATCGGCTCTGAACGACCCATCAGTCTTTTTCCGTCCGCGTAACGTGATGATTCCATAAGTTTTTAATCGCTACCAAGGCAGCGACCTTCAAAGCGGCTCGACATCTGCGGCGTCTTCCCAGCCCCTTTAAAACCCTCAAACGCCGCCCCCCCCCGCCGCAAATCCCGAGTTATCGACCGCCAAAAACCCCCTCATCAGCCCGCCACTTTCCGGGTTTTGTGAATGAAAGGGGATGCGGCTGGAGTGTGTGGGGGAGGGGGATGCGCGGGTAAAGATGGGTAATTTGCGAGAGATGGTCCCGAAGGGATGGATGGACACATACACAAACAGACAGACAGACAGACAAGAAGACAGACAGAAAACACCCCTAATTGGAGCTGATCCCCATGGATACGTGAAGAGTATGGAAGGGGAAGGGGGGAGGATGGAAGACAAGGAGGCAGCACCATCATTCGAAGGCTCATCACGACGACGCGGCTAGGTGTACGCTCGCGTGGGCCACGGTTTAGCGGTTGAGATGGAGCGCGCAGGACGTCACTCGATTCGCCAGAATGTAAGTTTCGGCCAAGCGGCAGAGGTTTTCGTCGAAAAATCAACTTTTCGGGTTGAACATCGATATTTTTTGTATTTTCTAATAAAAATGAGCTAGATTTTTACGGCTAAATATATTAAAAAACAGTTTAAAAACACTTTCCGGAAAGTATTGCTCTGTTTTAAGTCTGGGCCGACCCCCTTGGACTCCCCCGGTTCTTCAACCGTCCGTTCCCGAGCTTCTTCATGCTCTTCAAAAGCCCGCCCCTCGACATCTGGCAATCAGCCAAAGGTGCGATGACCATAGCTATTCTGCTGTTTGTAGTCGAGCACCAATAAATTCCGAATTTCCAGCTGATCACCGTAGAAGCGATGCGCGAACCACCGACCTTTCAAGCCATGGCTCGCCGTCGTCTCTCCCAGCCTCACTCTCAATCCCTCGATTCGGCCCTCGTGTGAGTTGACTGGACCCGCGCTCAGTAGATCATGCTCAATGCAGTACCCGCTCCGAGGCTTACCGGATCCTCGAATTTCTGCACTGCGGCAACGTGGATATGGGCTCCGATTTGAAGTATCTGTGCCAGCATCGTATACGCTATTTGCTGGTCGGGATTTAAGGGATTGAAACGGGTTAAAAAGAGAGGAAGAACTAAGTGGCTTGGTGAGAAGCGACAACGTTAGGGAAAGCGCCAAAATCAGCCCGTGATTGTTGCTGTCGACACTTTGGCTTGGCGCGATTTTTCTGTAGCGTGTAAGCTATCGGAGCTGTGACCTGTTGGGATTGTGGACTGTCAGGATTTCGGTTTTCGGGATTTTGGTCTGTTTGTGCGTGTCGGGGTATTGCTGGCATTGGTAGAATTGGTATGGTCTTATTACAAGCAGCGAAGTAACCGAAATAACCCTAATTTCAGAATTTGACGGGAGAGGAGAGGATGCAAATCCGCGTACAAACGACTTGCCCCTGTGAGAGCAAAGCCTTCCACTCACCGACCGAATTTACGGTTAATTTGGATGAGGAAAAGGTGGCGGAGGTGAGATTTGAAGACGGGAAGGGGAAACTACGGGATACTACAAAAGACGCTCGTGTGTTTTAGGTTCTACAAGGAAGATAGAAATGACTGTTTAGCGTATATTTACGCGGCAACTGGCTGTCGAGACATTCCTTTAATTTCCAGATAATTTGCTCGCACTTCCCGGCAATCAACCGATTTGTAGCCGAAGCGAGGGCAAAAGGCGCCCACGTAAGTACAGTAGCGGTACAGGTACAGGTTGCTTAACGGGGGGGGGAGGGCAACAAACCTGCTGTTTTAGATACTGGCCTCGTTTTCTGAAAATTCTAGTTTTTCTGAAAGCGTCAAAATTATAGTTAGAAATTCTATAAGAGCTAGAAAATTTAATTTAAAACGGTTTGTAATTACCAAAACTTTTCGATTCAGAAAATTTGATAGCTGAAATTAGGGTATTTCCGCTAAAATGAGCTCCTAGACATCTTTTCGTTGCTTTGAAATGGACATACCGCAATGGAAGTGCATATAAGGCAAAAATACGTCGACAGCCCGTTTAGTATCGCCCCCCCCCCGCCAAGCTACCTTTACCCTCCGAACTTACTGTAAAGTGTTTTACTCAAGTTGGAGTTTCGACTCGGGACCAGGTGCATCTTGTGCAGAATTTTTCGCTGATTCCGAATCCGCTTTCCAAATTTGCTGCGGACTTTTATTTTGAAAGTTATACAGCAGTTATGGTAGTGTTTTTCACCAAAATCAAGGAACCGTTATCGTTTTCGATTTTCCTGATCGATTTCAACTTCAAAATTGGCTAGAGATTGGCTAGACAAGCATCTTAAAAGTCAAAACAAGCTTTTTTATAAAAAGCAAATTTTTTTATGCAAAAAGCAAAAGAAAGGTGCAGGGCGGGGATCCGAGCCGCCGCCCTGCGCTTGGCAAGCGAGTACTTTGCCAATGCAGCATGGTGCGAACCCAGGGGGTAGCTGTGACAGAGTACTTCAGGGCCCCTGGGCTAGGCAGAACCATGGAGGGAATAGTGGACCAGGATCCGAATTTTTGGCTTTTTCAAGTTTAATTTGCACCAAAAATGACTTTTTAAATAAAAGTCCGCGGCAAATTTGGAAAACGGATTCGGCATCAGCAAAAAATTCTGCATAAGATGCACTTGGTCCCGAATCGAAACTCCAACTTGAGTAAAAACACTTTACAGTTAGCGCCTAATAAGTCATAAAAAGCTGCTTACAAGGAGATGGTCTCAGCTGGGAATCGAATTCGGATTTCAAAATTTGCACACTTGTAGAGCTCGACGAGACAAATCGATTGGTGTAACTTTCAGCTGCTGATACAATAACCACGCCGAGATATAAGCATTTTAATTTTTTGCATACATTTTGCAATATATTCGCCATAGCTTCATAGGCCTTCCCCGCCTCCCCCATCACCGTGGTCTGGTGGCCTAGTGGTGTAGTAGGCGGCCTCCGGGGAATCTAACGAGGGTTCGAACCCGCTCACGATTTTTATTTTTTGCTTTTTTGTCCGAAGGTTCCTCTTTGCTTTCTAAAGGCCTTGAATAGCCTTTGTACGCATTATTTTAACTCATCTGGTGAGAAATGGTTAAAAACATCTCTTCCAAAAAAAATTATATTTTTTACCCGAAATGACTATGCAGGTCCCAAAATAAATTGAAAATTCAAAGCATATGAAAAATCGAGGAGTAAACGTAATTTATGGTAAATGGTGTGTTATCCGAACAACTTTCATAAGCGAAAATTTTTTTGGAAAGTATAGTCAGAGGTTGTTGGACAAGGGCTCGATGCCCCGTAAGAAAATTTTTTTTACGGTGAAGTTCTATGTTGTCAGCGCATCAGATGAGTTAAAATAATGCGTACAAAGCTATTCAAGGCCTTTAGAAAGCAAAGAGGAACCTTCGGACAAAAAAGCAAAAAATAAAAATCGTGAGCGGGTTCGAACCCTCGTTAGATTCCCCGGAGGCCGCCTACTACACCACTAGGCCACCAGACCACGGTGATGGGGGAGGCGGGGAAGGCCTATGAAGCTATGGCGAATATATTGCAAAATGTATGCAAAAAAATTAAAATGCCTATATCTCGGCGTGGTTATTGTATCAGCAGCTGAAAGTTACACCAATCGATTTGTCTCGTCGAGCTCTACAAGTGTGCAAATTTTGAAATCCGAATTCGATTCCCAGCTGAGACCATCTCCTTGTTAGGTGCTAATGTTTTCGCGAGACGGACGGAATGCCTGCCAAGCAATGGCTCTACAATATATAATGTACTATCACAAAATGTCCCTCGAATGTGCAATGCGATATTTCAATACAGTGTACGTTATACCCCGCAGGAAGCTTATAGAGATGGTGACAGTATCAGGATGTAATCATATTCAACCTCGATTCTGGGCAACGAACTACAATTTTCAGTTACCCAGAAGGCGTCCAAATCGAGGAGAACTTCATGGGCGCCCTGAAGTTGTGGGAGAAGAAGCTCGAAAATAACGTTTGTTCCAGCTAACGTAGCCAAGAAAGGCGTTGCGACGACTTCAAGCAGTTTACGCGTCCAGCTTCACCGTCTTATTCAATAAAACACACTTTTAGCCAGTCGACAAGCGAGATATTCGATCGGCGGAAGTGCGCCGCCACGATTGGGCCAACGTCGCCGGGGCCAATCGACCGATGAGCCTCGACACGTTACGGTAGAAAGCCACCGTTTAACAAATTGACGACAGAGAAACCGAATAAACATCCAATTTGATAAAAGGCGTTGTGATGTCAAGCTTTTGACTCCCGAAGACGATGAATTCGATTTGAAAAAAGGATTCCGCGCGTTAAAACGTGCGATAACGTCCCGAGGTATCTCGAGAACAGCTCAAAAATAGTACAGAAAAATTATTCTCAATTTCGAGCAATAAATCTAGAAAATACCAAAATAAATAAATAAATACCAAATACCAAATAAATTCAGTGCTTTGCTTCAAAGGATAGCGCTTCCAGATGAGCCATCCCCGGCCAATCATTTCGAAAATGCCGTTTTGTCTAGGCGTTTCTTGTTGTGTAGCGTATTCGACCGGCCGCTGGCCACTCTCATGACCCGTCTCCCTATCTTCCACTCGGGGGGCTAGAGCGATCTAATGGGGTGTCGAGACGAGGATTTACGACCTGAAAAAAGTGGGTGGGGGGCAGATTTCGAAGGGAAAAGCCTTCCCAATAGATGTCCCACCAAAAACCCATTGACCCATCCCATCAATTGGTCCGCAAAAACGCGACGACACCAATTACCCCCCTGACCAGCAGGGTTTTTCTGCTGACGGTAGTAACATCTGGGTTCCGTTCCTTTCGGCTCGCACGGCTAGCACGTTTTTCATGGCAAACGACAAGCCCGAGCGCACATTCCGCCGCAAAAACTGGCGTGCTGCGCTCAAAAATGCATAGGTGGCCCCGTTTTTTGTTGGTCCCTCTAGCATGCGGTAGGGTAGGTAGGTGGTAGATTCTTTTTACAAGAAAACATCGAAATTCGCTCGGTCGAAATTTTGATAGTGCCGAAATTTTAAAAAAATCGACATTTTTTGGCAAAGATTGATTTTCGACATTCGGCCTTCCTAAGAATGTCGGCATTGTCATTATCAGATTTCGACCAATACCAACTGTCGGCATTATGCAATTTCAACATCCTAGAATTTAGGTGATAGGAATTTCGACTTTACGAAGATGAGCAAGAAAAACATAATAAAAAAGAATTATATATCTATCAAACAAAAATGGATGGGTAAAAAATCCACAAAATAATGCCGGATTTTTTCCTCGATTTTTCCGCCCTCAAAATAACCTCAGAAGCATTCCGGAATCTTCGATTACCGATGACGGAATTTCCAAGAAAATACAGCCCCCCAGCCCCTCAGCCGATGGGCAATGAAAATGCCTTTTGACGGCAGTGGGAAAATGCAAATGCACGTAGGGACGGACTATCCCCCGAGGCTTCCGACCGGCACATTGCCCCCTAGCTTGGCAGCCAGCGAACTTGGGAGTCGTTGTAGGTAAGCAAAGCTAAGCCGAAGCGAAGCCTAAAACCGAAACCTTTCCTCTAATAAGCTCATCCCTGGGCCTGAGTAAAAGCCTAACTAGGGAAGTGCAAATAAAAGCCTAAATTTTAAGTTTTGCACCACTTCTCCGCCCTCCCTTATGAGCCCCTTCCCAGAGAGGGGTGTCCGTCTGTCGAGTGGTGTAGTGGCTAACTAGCCTGCGTCTCGGGCGGAGGGTCTCTGGTTCGGCGCCCGGGACATGCAAAATTTTTTGCTTTTGGTCAAAGTCAAGAACTTTAAGCTTTTTCAAAGTTTCAAAGTCGAGAAGGGCCGTTCTCTTAATTTTTAAATTCATGAAACCGATTACAAAGTGGTGGCGGGAGTGCAAGCACTTTTGTGGGTAGGACACTAAAAAAATTCACCTGTTTTTTCGTAAGGTAAGCCTACACGCAGTCAATAATAAGGAAAATGTTCAAAAATCTGAATTTCGGACTTCGAAACTTTGAAAAAGTTGTTGACTTTGGCCAAAAAGCAAAAAGAAGATGTCCAAGGAGTCGAACCAGAGACCCTCCGCCCCAGAGGCAGGCCAGTTAGCCAATACACCACTCGACAGGCGGACACCGCTCTCTGGGAGGGGCTCATAAAGGAGAGTGGAGAAAGTGCTGCCAAACTTAAAATGCTAATAACTTTTTTGTATTAGGCGTTTTGCAAATACTGATTGCAGTTTCGGAATCCCCGTCGCCGACTCTATCAGACCCATATTTTTGCAAAGCGGTTTGCTGGGTTTTTTATTTGCACTTCCCTAGTAAGTCGAGGCTCAAATTTTGCAATTTCAAATTCGCAAGAACTGAACCTAACCTCGTGAGCCAAAAAAACCCTGACAATTGCGAGGCCATAATTTAATCACGGTCATGATGTGCTTGGGATTTTTAATTTAATTTCAATAATTTTAGGTTTTCTCGACGTGTTGCTTTATTTAGTGTCTGTGCTTTCTTTACCGTCAGCTTGGCTTCTTCGGCTTAAGCTTCAAGACACCGAAAATTGTTTCGGAAGCAAATATCGAAACAACCGCGCACCGGGACCAGGGTACCAGTTTTGCTGGTGGTGCGACGGGATCAAAACGGAATTCTCGACGGGACTGTCACCATCGAGGCCATCACAAACACATATCCCATCCCCCCCCCCCTCTACCCCCTCCGAGACACCTCCGAATTATGCCATACCACGGGCGGGGGAGGGGCGGAGCCTCGGGTACTCCGTGGCTGACTAGACTTGCCTCCCCCTCGCACCCTAGTCCCTTCTTTCACCCTTTAGTCTCGGGAAACCCCCCGGAATTCTTATTCTAAAATTCTTTTGGGTTTCAAATAGTAGAGCTTGGAGAGATTCAAATCAAAACCACCCTCAATTCTAAAGACTTGCGTTGGCTTTCGCTAAGTCTGTCTTTTTCCCCCATGCAAATCAATTCCGAAGCTGTTCTTTTTGCAGCACAGAAGCATAAACAAACAACTTTTAAGCATTTGCTACCCATCATCATGTTTAGATACCTTATTCTTTCCGATCCTGAAGTACCCCTTGCCCTCCACTCATACCTAAACAGTGCCCCCCTCCGGGGAGTAGAGATCAAATATTAGCAGTCAGAGATCCACGAAACGTACCCCGGATACGCTGGCCACCTTAACGGGACACAGAAGGCAAGGATTTACCAGATTTTTTTGCCATTTTTCGTCATTAAAAGGGGTTGTGCCCCGGTCGTTTTCTCTGCATCTCGCATCGCGAAACATTTCAAAACTATAATCCCTTCAATTGCGAGCTCCTTACGTGTCACGCCGCGTATAAAACCGTGTAGCTTTGCGTATCGCGTTGCGTCGGAGATTGCGTATTGCGTGCAGAAAAATCTATAAAAATACATAACCATGCCTTCCGAATCCCTTTAAGAACCTATATTTCCAGGGGCCGAAGAATTGCTTTGTTTTTTCTAAAGTATGTAGACGTGCATTTCCCTGTCTGCATTCTATTGAGTGCCGAGTGATAATTGTAGCTAGGTGTGGTGCGGACTGGAATGGGTGGAAATGCCTTCGCCACCTGGACCTCTATTGTCCCGATTCACCAGAAGGCAGAAGCCCGCGGGGCCACCTCAATTGGCCCCAACCCCCCCCACCCCCGCGGGCACAAATTTGGATATATTTTTTTTATGCTTTCGCAGTTGAGAGTGGGACATTTGGGAGAAAGAGGCAAACCTGCCATTAACCTGACATTAACAAGTAGATTTCATTGCCTTCTCAGTTCCTTTAATACACTTCCGGCTTCCTTTTGCTTTCGGCCACATTTTCTATACCACATTCCATTTCCCAGATTTACGAGAAGCCACCGCCAGAATCGCACCAACGATGCTGGGGTGGCTGGGACTGTGCGGGCTTCTTTTATATGCACAAGCCCTCGTCGATGTTCATCTACAGGAGCTGCGGCTGGGAGAGTAGGTTTTATTTATGTTAATTCAACTAAATGAAGCCTGCTCTCTCTCTCTCTCTCTCTCTCTCTCTCTCTCTCGTTGAAAAGTTCCTCCAGCTCTGTCATACCGATGTAGTGCTATGGAATTTAGATTGGCAGGGTTGGGGGTTAGGGCCAGGTGGACCGCCTCCCCCCAGCTCACCTTATAATTACCGAGTCCGCTTTTGTCACTTGACACCCAGGAAAGGGTGGGCCGACAAAAGGAGTGTCCCGGAATGACAGCGGGGTCAACCAATTCGGCGAGATTTTGGAGGTGATGAGGTCCTGTCGGGCAAAAAAACAGTCGCGTTTCTTTCGTGTTATCGAAAGCGATTTTGAGAGAGCTTTAGAGAGCAAGACACTCAGCGAGATAGATAGCTACAGTTTTGCAACCCCCTCCAAAATGACCCAAACTTTCCGTTTCCGGGAATGATTCTCCCGTTTTCGAGTGGCTCCTATTCTCCTCTCTATTGCTCATCTTCTTCCGGCTTGAGGGTATGGGTTCTAAAACGTGCCCCGTGGCTACAAGAGCCATCCCGACTCGGACGGGGGGCGTCGGCCGGTGGTTTTCTATAGAATGGCCTGCCCTCACAAAGCACCAATCACTCATCTCTCCTCCCGCTATGGCGGTGGCTCGGGTTGTACCCCCTTTAACCAAGAAAAGAGGAATGGGGCTCGAATTATGGCCTTTAGCTAGAGAATAAGGGCAGAAACAATTGTATACTTTACTTTGATCGACAGTCGGCCTTTTTGCCTGAAAATTATTTTTTTGCATTTTTTTTTTTAAATCTGGCTGATACGTCGATTTTTCGGTAATTACCAATATGAAGCTCGAAGCTTCCCACTTTCGAGCGCCCGAAAAATCTTCGTATGGAAAAGGAAAAATAACTTAACCAAAAGAAATAGAGCACTTTCTGCGCCATTGAGCTTCAAAAGGAAAGAGCAAAGATTTCCAGAGTGTGATTTCCCAAAACATCACTGCTAGCTGCCACCCAGCGTAGCTTCTGTGACTTTCCGTGATTCCGCTCGATTTCCGCTCAACAACCCATCCCCACCCTCAAAAATGCCAACTCGAATTTTCCGGGTCGCTACTTTTTACGGGCGGCTGGGAGAATTTTTGGAACATTGAAAACCCTCGGGAAACTTGAAATTTATGAATTAATGGTCACGAAATTTTTTTCTGCCAATGATCGCTGCTAGATTGCCTTTAACAACCCGAAAAATTCAAAAATAAAGAGTAGAATGGCAAATAAAGATCTACCAATAATCGCTGCCGGTTCGCAATTAACAGATCTGAAAATTCAATCCCGAAAAACTAGGAGAACAAAATTAATTTCCGGAAATCAAGTTGCGTGAACAAATGTTCGATTGCCTTTCCCGACCTTAAAAACGACACTGAAAAAAGAAAATAGCATTAACCTCCTTGAAATTCCATTTCCCCAAAGATCCCTGCTCGATTGCCCTTAAAATTCAAACTGACAAGATTAGCATATCTTTGGGTGGGGTTGTGTGTTTCTATACGAACGCGTCGCGGGGTGGGGGTGATTTGTCCCTGAAGGATCGGGACAAAGGATTGGGAGGTGGAAGATAATAGATGGCCCGGTCATCACTCACATTGCCCCCCAGTCTCCTCTAGCCAACTACCATCACTGCAAGAACGTAGAATATACAATAGCACGGGCTACGTTGCGACATGCTAATTTTTAGTGTTTCGAATGGATCGATTAGTTATTGTTGATCGGGGTAGACTCGCGAAAAATCAATTTAAAAGTTTTTGATTCGAAAAGTGGAACCTAAGCACCCGTCTCGCCCACTACCTGGCCCACTAATAAAACAAATAGCTGGAAAAAACAGGGTCGAAGTCAAAGTCTAACCCTATTCCCAAGCAGAACCTTAGGCCTGCGTAGACTTCGAACTACAGTTAGACTTTCAACTAAAAAACCTCTTCATCTTCCTCTTTTGATATATTTTTTTATTCCTCAGAACCACCCTAAAAAATTGGCTCCCCACTCCCAGAACTTGTCCCTCAAATTTGCATACGAATAGCCGGTGGTGTACGCGGCTGTACTAGCTACAATCTTCCCGGTCATTGGTTATCTCTCTGTCTCTCACTCTTTCGCTCCCTCCCTCTCTCTCTCTCTCTCTCTCTCTCTCTCTCTCTATCTCGCCCTCTCACTCAAATTGTATAAAGCCGGTTGATGTGCCCTGCAGTCACATAAGATGCGGTCCATCAGCTCGGCTTCATCCCCCCCCCCCGTAGAGGAGGAAGAGCCGTGAAGGGGCGGAGGAAGAGAATATTTGAATAGCGGTCCCCTCGGTTATGATCACATCTTATATTCTGTTTCATGGATCGTCCCTTCCCGTTTATGGCCTCAGGGTATATGAGTCAGGCTGCGAAGGAGGAAAGGAAGGGGGGGGGGTGGACAAGACAGATCATCTGTACGGTTATTGCCCCTAGGACTACGCAACGCTCCGCTGGTGAACGGTGGCAAAAGGGGGGTTAGAACGGGGTGCTAAAACTAGAGCGTACTGATACGTACTTGGGGGCCCTATGCAGATCAGTTTCGGGGTGGGATTCAGTTTGTATGCGTAAGCTTCGCACACGTCAAGTGCCTTTAATTATTTTTCTTCCTCTCGCTCTCACTATCCGTCTCGTTCTCTGTCTGTCTCTCTGACGACCTCGAGCTTTGATTCTGCTTTTTCTCACGCTCTCACTCTTTCTTTATATCTCGGTCTCTCTCTCTCTCTCACGTGCTCGCTATCTCCCTCATTGTCTGTATGACATTCTAGAGCTTCTTTCTTGCTCTTTCTCACTCCCTCAAAGTCTTTCTCTCTGTCTCTCTGTCTCTCTCACTCACTCGCTCTCCCTCTCTCACTCTCTTTCTTTCTCTCTCTCTCTCTCTCTCTCTCTCTCTCTCTCTTCCTCGCCCTTTTCCTAAAACGTATAGGCATAAATCCACACCAAGATTTTATCCTGAATCCAATTATCCGCCCATTCCCCATGCTACTGACAGCTTAGCAGCTTGACTTTTGAGGGAAACGATTAATAGTGGTGTCGGAGAGAGAGAGAGAGAGACGCAGAGAAATCAAGACACTTCCACCCTCCCCTCCCAATTAGGTCCTTCTACGAGGGGGGTTGAACGGAGGCCAATATCTATTGGCGGGGGAAATTGAAAGCAAACAAAGTATGGGAACGGAACGGAGGGACGGGGGGATGGATACCAACGGATTATCCCACTCGACACACTCGACGGATCACCTTCCGAATACATACACAACAATCCCCCCTGAGGACCACCCCCGGTCACTTGTTGCCACATGGAATTGAGCAAGAAAGAGGAATGGATTCGGGGCAAAGACTGAAACGAATTAATGCTTAGCTTTAGGTTTTAACCCAGATTCCTCAAATAAACCTGCTAGTTGTCCTGGTACTGTTTTTTAGCAGTTTTTGACTACTAGAAAGTCCTAAAAACATTAGAATATTCTGTGGTTGTAGCCATTTTTCATACATTTTTTCGAATGCATATCTATTTTTTACTTTTTATATCTAAAAACTTTGTAAAGTAAATGGTTTTGATTTCGTCATGGAGCTGTACGTCCTGGGAAGAATGAGTCCTCCGCAAACCCCCCCGCTAACAGTTCAGTACGTAGAAAGCTTCCCGAAAAATGACCGTCAGCTTCCCATTGCCAAGCCAGATAAGCCAAGCACGGACGCAAAACTCAAAAGATAGGCTTCCCGGCCTGGTCCCTTTAAGAGCGATGTGTTGAGTCGGCTGAAGCGATGATTGGAGGCGATAAACGGCCTCGACCAGTGTGGGCTAATCCTCCCAAATGGGTTGCGCAACATTCGGGGCCCCCTGGCTATGGACATTGACAAAAAAGTGATGGATCTGACCGGAGAGGGGGAGTGCAGCAGGTGGTTCTCACACATTTCTCATACCCCAAACATCATACCAATAGGCTGGGTGGGACCGGTTGAAGGGATTGGAAAGGCTTTGTACTACAGGAGGTAGCAAACGAGCCGAGAACTCGCCGGTTTCCTATCTTAAGATTTTAAAAATGGTAAATGTCCTACAAAATGTTAAATTTCCGAGTGTCGAAATTACATAGGCTAAGCGCCAAGAAAACCTTATTTTCCTTTCGTTAAGCGCTGAACACGAAACGTTATAGTTTTCAGAAATTTCCGAACGCATCCCCCCGGAACTCCCCGGAGCGTATTGTTGCGTAGTTGCGACTCACTAGGGAATACCTCTTCTGACTCTTCTTCTGACCACTCTTTCTCGCCCTTCGCATATATATTGGGTCACTTTGTGGGGATTGAAGGGATTTATGGCATTGTGAGGGCAAGGGTGTCTTTTCGAGGGTCATCCTCCCTATTTTTCTTCTCCTCCTTCCACAACGCACCCATCAATTCCGGTGGTAAGGCCCTCGCGCCATGGCTGGAAAGTGGGATTATGAAGTCGAAAGAGTTGGTTTGGGTCGAAAAGGGGAGGAGGGTTCGTATTTTTTAAAGGGATAGTGACAAAAATAAATCCCGAAATGCCATGCTTCACAGAGGCCGAAATCCAAGTCAGAATAGCGACAGGAATAGGTTCGGCAAGCTTACACCGTAGAGAAAAATCTCGACAGGCCAGAATACCGACAGGTCTCAAATACCGACACATCGATTTTAGAACGTCCTAGCCCCCTTTAAACCGGGATTTCCAGTTGGTGTGGTTCAAATTCCATAATTAGTCGGGCCCCTTCCGGCTGCTGTATCGTCTACAGCCCATCTATTATTTGTTTGCGTAGCGATTCTTCCCTCTTTCTGCCATTCCGTTAAACACCACTTCACACCACCGCGGCTTATCACACCCCGCGATTCACACCCACAGCATTTGATGGGTGTGCGAGTGTTTGCCCGAAAATCGGGGGGTATGCCTTCCGCTTGGAAAACTGTACGGTACAGGAGGGTTGGAAAATGGGGGCCAAATTGGGGAAAGGGTTAAAGGGGCTCCGAAATTTGGTCCACGGCCCCTGCTGTGATTCCTGGCAAATAGCCAGATGCGGCCGCAACGCGACCACGTCGCCTGACCATTTCCCCCTATTTTAACGCGAAAACGCTTGAATTTAAAAATTCTGATACTATTTTTGGGATCCTCAACGAAATTTGATCATTCCAGACTTTGAAATTATGAAAATTGACGAGAGAATCGCCGAGATCGAGAGATTGGGTGCCTTACAAGGCATTACGACATGGAATCGCCGCGCAATCAATATGTCGTTTTTGCCCCAAAAAGAATTCGGTTTTTCTCAAACATTTTACGTTTTTCGCAATCAAATCACTTTTTTGGCACTTCTCGGCAGTGACCCTTTCGTTTTTTGACCCAGAGGTTCAATCCCCGCACGCACGAATTTTGACTTCTGAGCCCCTTTAAGCGGAAGCCGTAGCGCCTAGAGCCACAATCCCAAAATTCCGACCTCGAAAATCCCGACCGGACAAAAGACCGACAGGCAAAAGCCCTACTAGTAATAATAGAAAAACACTGAAAACCAATTTTTTTTCAGTGAACACGTCTGCCCGCACGAAGAATTAGAAGTCGTCACCATCAAAGAACCATGCGTGCAGGTACCGTAATCCCAAAATCTAATTTTCATGGATTTCCAGGCTTACACCAAATACGTGCGATCCCGGAAGCCGGGCTGTGAGGGCCCGTTTCGCTCTTGTTCCGTCCGGCAGCCAAAGTATCAATGTATTCAGGTTTTTATTCCGTTTTTAGGGTAATCTACTACCACACCTATAAACGGGTGAATCGGACACGCCGGCATACGGTACCCGAGTGTTGTCCCGGATGGGAACGGACTGACAGTGGCTGTAAAAGAGGTATGGAAAGTCGGAGTTCGAAGTTTGAGGCAATTGGAAGTTAAGCTAGTATAAGCATAGCTAAGTCTGAGCGAAGCCAATAATAAGCTACGTTACGTTAGGCGCTGATAAAACGGCCAGCTATTTCTACCCTCCCATAACTGAAATAGTACCCAGTTTCTTGAAGTAATCATAACCTTGTTGCCGATCCGAAAAAGCCATACGGTACCCCTCAATTTTGCGCGGTACCCCCGAAAAGGGTGCTGACCTATATTTCGTGATTGCCTCCTCAATCACCACCCTCAATCACTCACCTACCCCTCCCCACCCCCGTCCGGCCCTTGTTTTCACAATACATTACGACGCATTAGCGCCCCCGGCTGTTCATAGTCACGTCGCGTAGTGATTGTGACAGCCGGCCTTCTGGGGACCTTTTTAAAGGGACCGGTAGGTGCGCAGCGGCACTTGATCGTGAATAGCGTCAGCCGGCCGGGGTGCTAATCGACTTTTGCCTTTTTGTAGGGCCCCTCATCGGTTCAACCCGCGAGGCCAAGGTCCGTTTGGGGCCCCAACAATGGCCCTCCGTCATTAGGCCCAATTTGCATAAGAATGGCGGGGGGAGGGTGGAAAGGGCTGGGAAATGGACATGGTCACCGGAAGTCGGAAATATTTGACGGAAGGGCGAGTTAAAGGGACCTGGGAGGCTTACTGCCAAAATAGTGAAAACCCTTAAAATTATGTGGAAAAATTCGGAGTATTTCACGATGCCCAGAGCGAATTTAGGCCTGACATTCCTTGGAAATGCAAGACATTCGCCGAAGCCTAAGCCTGAACCATTGAAAAAGTAAGATGAAATCAGGAAAATCGCAGCTGTCATGCTCCCGTTAATTGCTCCATTCTGTCTGGTCGACCTTATAAATTCAATAGAACAGCTGGCTTGTCGGCGGTATCGGCAAAAGACTGTCCATTGCATAAAGGCATTTACTCTCCGCAAAGCCAAGGCCAAGGTCCCGCAACGAAAGACGGAGGAGAGCAACGGGAAGGGATCAGCCGAACCGGGTCCGAGGTCATTTTGTAACGGGGCACTTGAAATATATTATAAAAAGGTATACTAAATAATTTTCGGTTTCGCGGAGGTTCATCTCGCTCAAAAATTCATTTTATCGAATTTTCCGTACGTCGCGTCCTGCTTAGGATAGTTGATGGTTCTAGATTTCAAAAAAGATCGTGTGGGCCGGAAAGCTCCCAAATTGCATAGAGCCATCATCCCCGGCTTATCCTTGACGCTAGTTTAAATTCCACCTCATTTTAAAGCGCACGTTCAGGGAGGGGCCGTGTACTCGTCCCAACGTGTACACCCTATGGACGTAGGGACCGCGCGCACTGCCTGCCCGTGCTGTGACAGGCCATTGCCCTCCTTTGCGGCGTGGGGCGCCCCTCACCCCCTCGCCAGGTTGTAGCTGTGGCTGACTGGCATCCATCCGCGCCTCCCGAGCGGGGGGCCCGGGTTCGACCCCCGGCCGCGGCGAAAACCTTTGCTTTTTCCAAAAAAAAACGTCCCTGAACGTGCCCTTTAAACATGCTATTTCAACAACTTTAAGCCGCCGAGAGTCGCGATAATTCGGGGAAATGAATGAGGAGCAAAGCAAAATCCCCTTCCATAATTTCGATTTCAGTCGACTGCTCACCGGATCTTTGCCATAATGGCGGCACTTGTCTACCAATCCGGAACGGAACCGACCAACTCTGCGAATGCTCATCCGGCTTCACCGGAGCCCGCTGTCAATACGGTAGCTTGAAACGTTTGAAAAGGGAATTTTGACCCACCGCCCCCACAGCCAGATTAAAAAATTCTGACTAAATTCTCATGTATTCTTTCTCTAAAAAACAAGACCAACATCTTGCTATAGTTTAAGGCACGGTAGCACCAAGAAAATTCACCTTAAATGAACGCGGAGTCGCCAGATAGGGGAGGTATTAAAATAGAGTCTTGTTCAGATGTAAATGAATGCCTGATCGAGAACGGAGGCTGTGGTCACGATTGCGTAAACACGATCGGCACTTTCTACTGTAGATGCTGGCCCGGATTCAATTTGGGCCCCGACGGGAAGGCTTGCCAGGGTACTTGTGCTTGGGAAAGCCTAAAAAAAGATTTCCTAGACATTGACGAATGTCAGGCGTCAAATGGTGGATGCGCCCATCGTTGTATCAACACCCCGGGAGGTCATCGGTGGGTTACGGTAACCGGAAACTTAGGTCTCCTTTTCAGATGCGAGTGTCCGCCGGGTAAGATGCTGCATTCGAACGGTCGAAAGTGCGTCGGTACGTGAAAAATCCAAATTTTTACATCAATTTTAAGAGCTGAATACATGCGAGGCAGACAATGGAGGATGTGAGCATATTTGTGAAGAGAGGGAGGGAAAGGTATCCGCGTTTTAAAGTATAGGCCGTATCTTATAGATGTACCGATGCCGTTGCAAGAAAGGATACCATCTTGGTGATGACGGGAGGAGGTGCTTGCGTGAGTTTTTACGAGTTTATATTAGAATTCTTATTAGATTATTAGATTTCTATTTAATTCTTTTGAAACATTTCGTTTCGCCCATGTAAATTTAAGCTTTGAGTATACGGTTTTCCTAAACGCCGATACTTTAGCCGTGGACCCATGCTTGGTGGACAAGGGGGGATGCCAACACCATTGTGTCAATGACAACGGCCGCGCGAGATGCCAATGCTTTGGGGGATATCGTCTCACCGGCGATCGAAGAACCTGCACCGGTATCATTAACATGAATACTGTAGTTTGTTCTCGATTTAGACGTTGACGAGTGTGAGCTGGGACTCGGAGGGTGTCAGCATGATTGCGTTAATTCCTATGGCTCCTATAGGTTTGTGGATCTGAAGCAGGGTTTAGGGACAAAGGTTGCCCTGGAATGAAATTTTGTTGGTTTTGAGGGTGTTTTCCAAAGCTGTATAATATATCAGGTTGGAAGGTAAGTCCTGTCGCCGAGATTTTGGAAGGCTGGCTAAAATCGTAGTTCGCGCCATTCTGCACATGTGATATGTCATTTTGTAGCTCTCTGCCTGAACCGTTTCGGGAGGAGGGTCCTAGCCCGCCAAAATCCACGAGGACCGAGATACGGGCCCACAAGGTTTTTGGAAAAAATGAGGGAAAGTGTTTTTGCAAGTTATCTCTGCATAAAGTGATTTGCATACGATACCTTTAACGCCAATCGATAGCCCTCGAGGAGTAGATATCGGTAGATGTTGAGATCATCAACATTGGACACTGAACGGCCGAGATATGGGCCTTTGAAATTGGGACCATTGCTTAGAACTTTTCTCGAAATCCCATACATTTCGCTGGATTTGACCGGCAGGTGCCGAAAAATGCCGCTTTATTTTTGGACCCGCCGAGCGGATTTTGACAAAATGTATGGGATTTCGGAAAAAGGTCTCTTTCGGCCATCCGATGTCCGATTTTGATGATCTCAACATCAATCGATATCTACTCCTCCAGAGCTAGCGATTGGTGTTAAAGGTATCGCATGCAAATGGCTCTATGCAGAGAAAACTTGCAAAAACGCTTTTGCGTGATTTTGAGAAAAACTTTTCGGGCCTGTATCTCGGCCCTCCTTGATTTTGAAAGTGCAGGACCCTCCTCCCAAAACGGTTCAGAGCGAGAGCTACAAAATGACATATTGCATGTCCAGAATGGAGCTATCTACGATTTTAGCCAGCCTGCAGAATCTCGGCGACAGGACTTATCTTCCAACCTGATACTTCCAAAGCTAGAGATCATTTTTCATTGTGAAAGGGCCACGTATCGATTTTTGACAGCAAATCCATCCTATTAGATGCCAATGCCGAGATGGGTACATTTTGGCGGAAGATGGACGAAGCTGCGAAGAATCTCTAGGAGGTTGTTTGGTCGGTGGACTTTTTAAAAGATTAAAATATAATCGATCCTAATAATCGTACGATTTTAGGTAGGAAATGGTGGCTGCCAACATGATTGCTACGATCAACCGGGTGGACATCATATGTGCCGATGTCGGGATGGATTTCAATTGTTGCAAGATGGAAAAGGTTGCCGTGGTAGGTGGAAATTTTTAGGAGCCAATCGTGTAGTTCTTGTTAAGAGAGAGAGAGAGAGAGAGAGAACTAAACTGCCTACCTATAGTCTGCCCCAGAATCCTCCCCCAACGCTTCATCGCTCCCTCACCTAACCTCGCGAGCCGGTCCATTCCTCTCCGATTCGTATGAACTGTCGTCATGTCTCGAGGACCAGGGCCATTGTCATCGCCTTTGTCTCGACTATCGTAGCGGGGAGATTCGTTGTCTGTGTCGACACGGATTCTCTTTATCTCCGATCGATCGGCATACTTGCCTTGGTACTGTAGATAGGCGTGCAATTATTTTTTCCGAGAGCACTTGTTCCCAAAATCGTTTTTTCGAATGTCATATGCTCGCCATCGGTAGATGGACGCTAATTTTTCAAACTTCTGATTTTGTAAACATGATTTTCAAAAAAATGAAAAAGTGACTTTCGCGAGATTCCTACTTTATTTATAGAAAATTAGACCATATAGAAATCGTGTAGTCAGCCACGCGTTTTGGAAACCACCCCTCACGTGTAGTCACTAGGTTCGATAGCATTCCAATAACTTTTTTTTTGTACACCGATTTGACGACTTGAAATCGTTGGGCAAACTAGGTTTGGAACACTGGAGAAGCCTCCATTCTAGATGAAATCCCTCACCCATTCTTAATTTTATAGCGCTTTATTTTATACCACCCACCAAACACCAGGCATAAGCGAAGCCTCAACCAAATCACCGCCACCTTTCAGACATCAACGAGTGCGAGCGGAAGAACGGAGGCTGCGATCAATTATGCGTAAACACGCCCGGGTCGTATAATTGTGAGTGCAAGCCCGGCTTCATTTTGACGTACGATGGGAAGACTTGTGAAGGTAGTTTATTGGTCATCAATGTGTCAATACCCTGACTAGACATTAATGAATGCGTGGCGAACAATGCGGGGTGCCAGCACGATTGCAGGAATCGGGATGGAGACTATGAATGTGTTTGTCAGAAGGGATTCGTGCTGGCTGAGGATCGGCATTCTTGTCATGGTACGTCACATTTGGCCAAATTTTCCTTTGGTCCGATTGTAGCCGAGTCGGATTTATGCGTGGTAATTTGCTTTCTGTCACGAAATTTGGCGAAGTGAAAATTCGGCGAGAGAAGTAGGGCGAAATGGGATTCCTTGAAATGAAAATTCTCCGAAAGAAATGTTTTTCTTGCCCGAAGGAGAGCCAACAAGAGCGCGACGATTGCGTTAATTTTCCCCAAATCAATCCATCAACATTTAGACAAAAACGAGTGCCTACTAAATAATGGCGGTTGCTCACAGCTGTGTCGAAATGTGGAAGGTGGCCATCGGTGTGAATGCTTCAGCGGATATACGCTTGGGAATGACGGCAAGATGTGCATTTGTGGGTTTTTTTTATCAAATTCGACGATCTTGTCAAGGATGATTGCTAACTTCCTGGCTTTAAAAAAATCATTCATTTTTTAGCGACCCTCGATGGACCCCAGTCGCTCAATCGTAAGTTTTCGCTTAATCTACATATTAGTTTCGACGTCAGCTTTGTGTGCTACAATCTGCTCTGATACTGTCGTTTGGTTGCGCTATAGACATAGGACATTCGCAGTACTAGCCACTAGGCTAACTCCCTGATTTGCGTGTAGATGGCCGATTAGTGTGTTGACAGCTTTAGATGTTCGCACCCAAATGGACGCCATTGCTGAGGATGACCTTGACAATCTCGTTGACAGCCTCGAAATGGACCAGTCTCTATATAGCGTAGAGCAGGAGGGATTTCAGCGGATGACACGACGTCGACGAGGTCATCCGGGCTAACATTTCCGACCCTTAAAATTTTGCTTCTTGTTGCTTTATCTGTGCTTGCCGTTTTCAGTGGTTTTGGTTCTAAAGAGTGCCGAAATACTTTAATATCATTTCTACAAGCATACAGGGTGTCCCAAACCCCCCGGCACCCAGACGGTCCGATTCCGCCGTTTAGGTATCTATCGAAAGCCCGAAAAGGCGAGAAAACATGGAGGGTTCATTTTCTTTATTATGTATTTTTATTGGCGAATTTTACCTCCAAAATCCATGAAAACGGCAAATTTACGCGAGATCCGCATGCTAAGTGCGAAATTCCTATTGAAAAGCTACCTGTTTTTTAGAAAAACGCTGAATATCGGACAAATCGGAATAAATCTTAGAAAATGAAGCCCGCTTGTTTTCTCGCCTTTTCGCGGGCGTTCGAATGGTATAAAAATCATCCTGATCTGAGCTTCCCACGGACCGTTAGAGGGGGGGTTTTTTGTTGGGACACCCTGTATTTTTACCCAATTTATCCACCAGTAGCCAAAAAATGTCCCTTGGCCAACCTAAATTTCAGAATGCGAGAATGGGCACTTTGGCCCGAGCTGCCAGTATTCCTGTTTGGACTGCCGGAATGGAGGTGTGTTGCGGGATTTTTGAATCTGAAAAAAGTAACTGTTCAGCCAGTTGTCACGACAGTCACCCGGCTTGTGAGTGTGCTCCCGGATATATGGGGACGACGTGCGAGGACTTATGCCAAGAAGGGACATGGGGTATGTTAGAGAAAGGAATCGACAAGCGGAAAATAGTATACAACAAATGACAAACGCAGAAAAAGTATATTTAAAGGGGCTACGAAATGCCAAAAATTGAATGACGGCCCGAAAATCGGAGCCCTGTACGTCGGAGGCCTCTGTACACCCAGGGGCCCGGGAAGCTCGCAAATTTGAAATTGCCTGTTGTCACCTCGAAATCACGTTCTCGGCTGTTTCTGGGCCAAATTTGATGATTAAAACACCAAAACTATTTAAAATTGAGTGAGGATTTCAAAAATGGGCTCAGAATGCGCGAATTATAGTGTTTTCCCAGAGAAACCGGGCAAAAACAACTTTGCGCAAAAATGGAAAGAGTGAGGGCTCTCGTCCCGCGGCGCCCGCTGGCAATTTGCCAGAAATCAAAGAGGCCTCCCAAAAGGGCTTTGATTTGGCAGTTCGGAGCCCCTTTAAAGGACGGGTAATGCGTAGCTGGAGATTTATGGCTGAATGGATGGCGATGGGTTTCCCATTAATTTGGCCGTGTTCGCGACACTTCGACCATCTTTAAACTACGAAATTCGTTACGAGATATTCTTCGTTTGATAGCCAAATTCATAGAAAAGCAATTTCAAAACTTGCCCTTCGCTCCAAAACTGACCCAACGCTATGACCCAAATTCCAGGTCTCGGCTGCAACAATATTTGCGGCTGTGAGGGTTCGGCCTGTGATCCGGTGACGGGCGCCTGCACTTGTACTTCTGGAGACTGTGTCAAAAGCCCATGCAAGCGCGGTACGTTTTATCCTTATCCCAACCTTAAGCCAAGGCTAAAGGTTTACATTTAACCTCCTTAGGCCTCTACGGTCCGCATTGTAACCTGCCATGCCGAGCTGAGTGTCCAACCGGTGGCTGTGATCCCGTTTTTGGTGACTGTCCGTGCGCCCCTGGCAGGTCCGCTGTAAACCAAAAATAACTTGAAAAATAATGAATATATGTCTCAACAGATTAATTAAAATCGTATTTATTTAGCTACGGCCCGAATTGTGATCGGCCGTGCCCGGGCTTTGCATTCGGCACAAATTGCCGTCACTCGTGTCGCTGTGTACGCGAGAATACGCAGTCGTGCGACGCAAAGGTACGTGAGTTCGGCATTTAAGGAGGGGGGAAACGAGTTGAGCTCTCCCGCGCCAGAAAGCGAGAGAGTGTAGAGAAAGCGAGTGGAACATCTTGCCCGATTTTGCTCGCTCCTCGGCCCATTCCAGCAAATTCGACGCCGATTTTGTTCTGAAATTGCCCAGGGAGAGCGCTTCTCATTATGACTTCCGGATTGGATATTTTGTTCGACATCTGGTGTTTGACGCTGAAAATGCGCCGGAAAACCAAATCTTTCAGACAGGAAAATGCAAATGCAAGCCCGGTTTTTACGGACCATTCTGCAAACGCCCGTGCCCATTTGGATTCTATGGACCTTTGGTATGGAGAATTTTTAAGCCTTCACCCTCCCTGTAATACCTTTTCTATCATGAGCTGCATATTTCAGTGTTCGAAGAAGTGCTCTTGCCCCTCCGGCACTCGCTGCGACCCTTCAACCGGTGACTGCTCCCCGGAATGCCCGGCTGGGTACACCGGAACCGACTGTCAGCAGCGTACGTTGTCGCATCGCGTAGTTGAATGAATTTTGGATGCGTTGGCAGGGTCTTTTTCCACCGAGGAAAGGATATCGGCCATTCGTTCATTGTTGTAATCTTATTACGTTTTATCACACCCATCCATCAGCTATTTTTGGCCACCGTTGCTCGTTTTCTTTTCACCCTCTTCCCGATACCTTCTAAAGGAAACGCAGGCAGCCAAAAAATGGAGAGTTACTCAAAAAGGGATTAAGAGCGTAGCGATAACTACACGTTCTAAGTTCAAAAAAGCACAAAGTGTTAGTAATTATTATTTGGCTGCAGCCTGCCCGCCGGGTCGCTTCGGCCCGCGTTGCGAGGGGAAATGTGGATGCCCCGAAGATCAACCGAAAGTCTGTCACCACATCACCGGCAGCTGCACATGTCCGGCAGGGTTGACCGGAGAGCACTGTGATACTAGTGAGTATAGCTATAGATCGATGGGATATGTGCAATGTTAATTGGAGTGCGGTAGTATGTGATGGAGTATTAGGTCATATAATGTTAACCTTACATGTCAAACACGTTGAAACAAAATTTCAACATTTTTAGATTGCCCACCAGGACTGTACGGGCCGAACTGCGCCTCGGAATGCCAGTGCAGACATGGCGCGGTAAATTGCTCGATTTAGCTTAAAATTAAGAGTTCTAGGCGTGCGACGCAAAAGACGGCACTTGCCAATGTCCACCCGGATACTATGGAGCGACTTGCTCGGAAGGTGCACTTCGAAAAGTAGCTATAACTTCAAGTTGTTCCTTTTAGTTTGTCCGGCCGGGCGTTACGGGACGGAATGCATGCATCTTTGCGACTGTCACAATGGGGCCGCGTGTAGTGTCATTGATGGAAGGTCGGTGGGAAGGGGTTAAAGCTTTTAGTCACCTTAGCTTAGCTTATTTCAAAATTTTACCATGAACAAATCTCACGGAAAGCCTCCCAAAGACTTTGCCAAAAATTTTTGAGGTGATGAAATTCCGGCATTACGAGAGTTTTTAATTATCAATACTTGGACATTATGAAATTCGACATTTTGACAGCAAATCGATACAAATCCCTTTCAGCTGCACATGCCAACTCGGCTACACGGGAAAACGCTGTGAAGTCGGCTGCCCGCGTGGAACCTATGGAGACAATTGTGCAAAGGTTGGCGCTAGATTGGAGCTGCATATCAAGCCCTTGAACTTGAAGAATACAGCAAAATATTTATTTTGCAGCAATGCGAATGCGCGGGACATATGACTTGCGATCCGGTGGATGGGGAGTGCATTTGTCCGCCAGGAAAGAGGGGCCAGGACTGTGCGGGTATACACTTTAACCGAATTAAAATTTTTTATGATTTTTGGATTACCCTATCTGTCCAAAAAATTAACAAATAATTCCAGGGAGTTTGTTTTAAAAAGTGAAAGTTCTAGAATCCTGCGCGGTCGGCACGTTTGGAGCGGGCTGTAAGGGCAACTGCTCGTGCCAAAATGACGGGAAATGCGATCCGATCACTGGTAGGTATTTAAAATGGAGTAACACAAAGCCAACCTAAACCTGCACTTGCAAGACACACACTTAAACGACAAGTAAGAAAGGCACTGACAAACAAGGTTACACACTGTAAACGCGGGCTTAGGAGGCTGCAAGTGCAAACCAGGATGGCGGGGCAAGAAGTGTGAAAGACCGTGCTCCGACGGCCACTTTGGGGCTGATTGCCGTCAAATATGCGATTGTTCAACTAGCAGTAAGTTGGCATTACAGAGATGTAATCTATCAATAACATTTTTGGCCATTAATCCATCAAGAGTATCGCATAGTTGCGCTTCCTGACTAGGAAACGTTTCGAAGCCGTTCACCGTATCCTGAAGGCACTATAATCCAAGGCTCAAAATGTTGCAGATGACACCGAGCTGTACAACCCGTTCTCGGCCCGCTGCGACCCTGTGACCGGGGAATGCCGTTGTGCCGGTGGATGGGCCGGGCCTGACTGTTCAACACCATGCCCGTCAGGGAGATGGGGACAAGGCTGCAAGGTAGGGATTAGTAGCATCGTATCATCAACTGCCGTACGATTTTGTTTGCCCATAATCCTTAAATGTTTTGTCGTGTCGCGTCACGTAACGCACATCCGGTTTTCCAGTCCATAAGCCTAACAAGGGAAGTGCACGACCGGCCCACGAGAAATCGACACGAGACATAGTCGATCTGATAGAATCGGATACGGGGATTCCGAATCTGTAATCAGAATTTGCTAAATAAAACGGAGAAAAAAAGGTATGAAGCTTCGAAGTTGGCCAAATCGCCAAAAACCGTACCTTTAAGGGCCCGTAAAAACCGGTGGAACGGAATTGAGGAGAAAAGAATTCGTGCAGCTTGTTCAGCAGAAAAAGCGCTCGAATGAGCTGTAATACGTAGCATTGCAAACAATTCACTGAAAAAAGTTTTTGGATTCACGGGCAGGGTATGGCCTGTCAAGTTCATAGAAGAGATTTTCGCGAAATCATCGTAAACTTGAAGTAAGATAGCTCATTCGAAAGCGCTTTTTCTGCTGAACAAGATGCACTAATGGGTTGTGGCAAATTTCCATTCCCTGGGCCTATAAAGGCCCATAAAAGTCCGATTTTGGGCGATTTTGCCAACTTTGAAGCTTCATAACTTTTTTCTCCGTTTTATTTAGCAAATTCTGATTACAGATTCGGAACCCCGTGTCCGATTCTATCAGATCATATTTTCGGTCGATTTTGTGGGTTGCACTTCCCTTGTAAGTCTAAGCTTAAGCCTAGTCTGCAGCATTACGAAGCGGATTACATCGCCTGTCGGGACAATCCATAATATTTAAATTCAAAGTCACCTTGCCTTGCCCGCCCCTTTAGAACAACCCCTAAAATTCAGGCTGAGTGCAAATGCTCGAATGGAGCAAGCTGCGATCGAGTGACCGGATACTGCGACTGCCCCACCGGCTACATGGGAAAGAACTGTGAGACGGGTAGGTTGATGGTGTCAATAACTGAAATACAAGCATTCTAGAGTGTCCATCCGGTCTATTCGGCCCGAACTGCATCAACCATTGCCTGTGCATGAACAGCGAGGGTTGTGACTCGAAAACCGGGAAATGTCGATGCCAGGATGGGTTCACCGGGCCCGCCTGCGAGTTCTGTGAGTTTATTTGACGACAAAGATGCCGACGATAAGTTTATGATAATTAGGCTAAAAAATAAGGTTTTTAGGGTACTGGACTCTTAGCGGGGGGGGGGGGGGGGGTACCGTGGCAAGCCAATTGCGAAATGGCATCATGGGAAAAATTTGGCCAATGAAATGGAAGCTGACATGAATCGTTTTCAGTGTGCCCGTTCGGTCAATACGGGCCGGCCTGCTCGAAGAAGTGCGACTGTCTAAATGGGGCAAGCTGCAACCGGACGAGTGGACAGTGTAGCTGTTTGCCAGGTTGGCAGGGCGAGAGGTATCCTGGGTTTTATCGCTAGAAATGTTGGGCCTAGATGCGAGGTGCCCTGCTCTTCCGGTTTGCACGGGTTGAAATGCGAGGAGGTCAGTTTGCACATAAGCAAATCCTGTTTTTTTAAAGGCGTCAAGGAGTTAAGAGCTCAGAAAATTACACGTCGCAATTAGAAAATGCTCGCATATATGTGAAGATGTCTCACGATCCCCTTAAGGTGTGCCAATGCGAAAATGGGGCCTCGTGCGACCCGATCAGTGGACATTGCAGCTGCGCACCCGGCTGGAGAGGCAGAAAATGCCAGCGACGTAAGTTTTCGGCTTAAGAAACAGCGGCTCCCAATTTTATAAAATCGGTGGATACCACGAAAGCATTCATTTTTCTGAAACACACCTCTCTTGAGTGCGTTGAACGTCACGATCCCCAAGACCCTGTGGTTGAGGTTAGAGTTGTTATAATAAACAAAAACAACAATATTCAAACAACAAACAAGTTGTTTTGAGTCGAAAAGTTTTAAACAAAACAGCCTTGTTTATTGGTTCAGGGACAAACAAACAAGATTGATTTTGAATTTTTAACCCTAAACGGTAAGATTTTGGAGTTTGATGGATCGGAGGACAAACACAAAACAATTTTACGGAAAAGTTATAATTGGATGTGAACACGTTAAACCAATAACATTTCAAAAAGGTCAACAGCCAATGCTCAAACAGTTCAAAAATTTTTTGTTTGAGCGATCAACGTCACCAACAAAACATTTGTTTCTCCAACCTATCAACAACATTTTCAAACAAGTTGTTTAGGCTTGTTTTGTTTGAGTTATAACAACTCTAGTTGAGGTTACATCGTGTTTGTGTTCTAGCCAACGTAACGCTACTATAAAATTACTGCTATTTCATAAAATTGGGAGCTGAAGATAAAAAGACTTAAAGACTCAAGCCCTAGAAAAATTATATCGAAATTTCAGCCTGCCTGAAGGGCTACTACGGGCGGATGTGTTCCCAGGCTTGTAAATGCTCGAATGGCCGTCCGTGTGATCATATCACGGGTAGATGCCAATGTCCGAAGGGATTTACAGGGCACAGTTGTACTGAGGTATGTCTTGTAGCGATGTGTGCGCCTATCCAATTCCTCAGCCTCAGGCTAACGTTAAAGCCAAGTGAAACCTATGCATAAGCCTAAGCCCAAACTGAATCCGTTTCTTTTCCGACAATTCGCTAAATACGTTCCTTCATTTGCGATTTTCAGCTATGCCCTGAAGGAACCTACGGCGAGACGTGTCGTCACAACTGCACATGTGGAGACAATGAAGTGTGTGATCCCCTGAGCGGTAGATGCCATTGCCGACCTGGGCATTCTGGCGACGACTGCAAGGAGGGCTGCGTGGCCGGACGGTTTGGTGTAGACTGCGAACAGACTTGCCAATGCCAGAATGGAGGTAAACTTAATTTTTGCGAATTCCCGCAAAACTTTCCTGGTTCGTTAGGCTGGGTACTACATTCGCCTAGGTTCCGTGGACGCATAATAATTAAATCTGAACTTATTCAATGCAGCTTCCGCCTATTTAGACAGCGGAAGTTCAACAACGTTGATTTTTCGTAAAAACTCTATTTTAGATGAGCAGTTTTCAATAATTAAAAATTTTTAACAAATTTGTCGCGATCAAAAAATTCTAAAACTAGAAAAATAAAAAAATGTGGGGTTTTTGCAAGATAATAGGCTAAACAAAGGAAGTTTGTCCACCTGCCCCCCCACCCCGCTAAAGGACCATCTGAGAATTCTAATCCTCGATTTCAGGGGTTTGCGACCCGGTGAGCGGTGGCTGTAAGTGTGCTCCGGGATTTATTGGGACACGGTGTGAGGTGGAATGTCCATCCAATCGATATGGGGATAGGTAATTCCGGTTGATCTGGTGTTGTAGCCACTGGTTTTCAGTTGTGAGAAGGAATGTCGATGTGAGAATGGCGGTACCTGCGATCGGGCGAATGGCCAGTGCAAATGCGCGCCAGGATTTACGGGGATGGCCTGTGAACAGAGTGGGTTTATTAGGGAAGTGGAATTGGGAAGGGAAGTGCCACGCAAAACTGTAAACCTGTGAAATTAGCAGACTTTCGTCTCAAAATACACTGTCTCAGACTGTCAACCCCTATTTTCAGTTTGCCCTCAAGGCCGTTTTGGTGCGGGTTGCAAAGAAAAGTGCAAATGTGCCAATGGGGCCCACTGCGATCCGGCTACGGGCACTTGCAGGTTTGCAAATTATTAAAGTTATAAACCCGGTTGAAACCTGTAGATGCAACCTTGGCTATACGGGCCCGAACTGCGAGCAGACATGTTCGGCCGGGAAGTACGGGATGAACTGCTCGCTGGATTGTGAGTGTCATGGGGATGCGAGGTATGGGGATGGGCAGTACGTGCCGATACAATTAACGCGAATTCAGATGTGATCCGGTACAGGGATGTTGCGACTGTCCGCCCGGCCGCTACGGGACGCGTTGTCAGTTTGGTGAGTTGTTGACGGAACGGCCGTGAAAAAAATCAGCATTGAGAAACCCGACAGACAAATGCCGGCATGACAAAAGTCCCCACATGCGAAAATATTGTATACCCGGCCAAAATCCTGACAATCAAAACCCAAAAAGCAAAAACCCATCTGCCAAAAATACCCGGCAAGCCGAAACATCGACAGCCAAACACTACTTCTACTACCAAATTTTTCGTATATATTTTCGTGTATTATCTGACATTTCCATATTTAATACATCATTTTAGTATGCCCGGCGGGTTTCTTCGGGTGGTATTGCTCACAGGCTTGCCATTGTCACAATGGGGCAACATGTGACCCGGGCGATGGAAGATGTTTGTGTCCACCCGGATATATTGGAGACCACGTGCGTTCAGGGCTAGCTAGTGCAATATTCACATATTTTCAGTGCGAGATGTCGTGCCAGAACAACACGTATGGGCCGGGTTGTCGATTGAATTGTGATTGCGGGGCTTTTGGGTGTCGGCCACATGATGGCACGTGTGATTGTCCACCCGGGAAGATGGGTCCGAAATGTGAACAGAGTGGGTCGAAATCGAAAAATTCGACATTATCAAATACGAGTTCAGGAGATTTTGGCTTTGAAAATAGGCGCTCCTTTTCCTAGATACCTTTCACAATAGCTCACACTTTCCTTGGGGTAGATCTCTCGCGCTCTCTCTCACTTTCTCTCCCTCTCTCTCTGGCTCTCGCTCTCTCTGGCTCTTTCTCCCTTTCTCTCTCTTTCTCCCTCTCTCTCTCTCTCTCTCTCTCTCTCTCTCTCTCTCTCTGGCTCTCGCTCTCTCCCTTTCTCTCTCTCTCTCTCTCCATCCTACCGTACATTATCCACATTACAGACTGTCGAGCCGGACGTTACGGTGAAGATTGTGAGCATAAATGCCAATGCTATAACGGAGCCTCATGCGATCGACGGACGGGCCGATGTCATTGTGCCCCCGGATACCTAGGGCCCACCTGTCAAGTCGAGATTAGAGGTAACAACCTTTAAAGGTGGCGAAAATGTACCAAAACTGCGAACTCACTTACGACCCTTGTCTAACCTAACATCTAGAAGAAGATAAATCAAAAATCGTGAAAAATCAAGATATGAAAAAGCCGCGGTAAGTCCAGAAAACAAATGAGAGCAACGCAAGATTAGAGTCCGAACCACTATCACGGTAGAAATTAAGTTATTTTTCTACACATTATCACTTTTCGGCACATTAGGCCAATGGTTCGCTAAAAATTGCCCCACCCTAAGCTACCGTATTCATTCCAGACGACAACAGCATTCCCGATCGCGGCGACCTACCGGACGACTATGACCCAAGGATCGAGTGGCGCCAAAAAAGGGCACTTTTTAATGTGACTAGTCTCCTCCTTGAGGCGGAAGAATAGGGAAAATTATTTTGAGAGGTACCAGGAAGCATTCACCGTGGTGCTTGCGCTTTTCGAAAAACAGGGAATTTAATTTCAGCCTTCCTGGTACCTTGATTCCATATGTTGTAGTTTGTCTTTTTGAATTTTGCCTAAATTCCTTTTTTCGAATTCTCACTTTCTTATCGCCTCAGCTCAACATACGATGCCTGCCGTACCGTATTCGCTCCCTCCCAAATCTAAGGCGACCAGGGTTGTCCATTTGTGAATGTTTACACCTTTTATATTGCTGATCTCTGTGCCTCTAGATTTTAAGGGGTTGGGCAGGGGAGGTCTATGGTTATGATCTTCTGGATCCCTCGCAAATAGTCATGCCTTGTCCACCCCTTTAAAGCAACCTACGAACCCTAAAAATATCCACCAATCCCCCATCATCTCTGCCGCCTTGCCAAATACCCGATTCAAATTAGTCAACAGGCTCGAATGACTTTCCGTTCGGCCCCTAATCACATTCCTAGCCCCCGAAAATTGTCGCCAACCCATCCCGAGTGTGCTGCCCGTTTTCTCGTTTTTCTCTCCATTTTATGCAGAGTTTTTCATACATATTTATTCGCGTCGAATAAGGTTTTGCATCAAAAATGTATCGTAAAATGCCGGGTTATTAGGGAGATCACTGAAACGTTAAAAATGGTTGAATTCACGCGATAGTGAATTTGGCCATTTTCAAGGGGTTCATTGAAGGGGTTAAAGAATCGGACAGCAGAGCAGAGAGAAGCAAATTAACGAGAAATGGAGAAGGCAAAAACACTAGCCGACAACTTAAAGTTTAACGAGAGAATCTGTGCAAAAGAATAAATTCGAATTAGGATCTCGGGGAAACTGAAGGGACAATATCTACATGCCGACTAACAGCGTTCGCTCTCCTTTTAAAGCTCCTTCTTCGATTCCTCAAAATTCTTCCGGCTCTCCTCCCCGAGGAGTTCGGCAAGTTCGGCCCTCAGCTCGTCATCCCTTCTTCTCCTTTCTTCCGCATCTTCTTGCCGATGATTCGCCGATCCATTCCTTCGCTCCGTTCCATTACTCCTTGAGGGCGAGATTGGCCGCAGATTTGTCAACGCCTCATTCATCGACTCCACCTCGCTATGCAGCTAAAATTTGACTTTCCGATTTTCCTGAACCTTGAAATGTCTCACTAGTGCATCCAACATGACGACAAGGTTCTTTCGATGATGTTCCTTTGTATACAATTGGCGTTGCGCCGCTTCCTTCCGCCGTACAACCCTTGCCGTTTTTGTGCGATCCACCGTCTCGTCGGCCAGAATTTCCAGTTCGCAACTAAAGCGTAGTGTGTACAGCACGAAAAGTGGGTTTGGAAGCCTTTAAAAGCAGAGGAACAGACCTTCCAATCAGCGTATTCAACTGCACAATGTCCTTATTCAACCGATTCATCGCTCGAATCACCCTTTCTTTGGCAGTTCCGGTTGTGTCGACCGGGATCTTCGGAATCGGAGGTTCGTCGAAAGATTCTTCCTAAATAAATTTTTTTAAAGAAAAGATCCTTAATATTCTTAATATTTCTAACTAGCTCTATAAACTTTTTTTAGTAAAACTTTATCGATCGATTTTTTCGATCTTTTGTTTTTGATCGTATAGCTTTTCCCGCCCGCAATTGCCGATTTTCGACGAAAATTCATAAACCTCAACATTTTATTACATTTTTCAATAGTTATTGTGATTGTGACGCCTAGGTCCCCAAAATAAAAGCAGAATCCTGCTACCTCTCGTTTCGACTTCTTCCATGCGCAATAGCAGACGAACGCCGCCGCCCCGATGATCCCCACCGGCACGCCGATGCGCAGAATTTTTTGGGTCAGGTCTAAAAAGAAAAAAATTCAGGGAAAAAAATGAAGTTTCGCCAAGGTATGCCAGATTTCCAAAGGAGAAATTGCATCCAAAACCTAAGGGGCAAAGTTTTTTTAAAGAATCGTCGCATTACGGAATGGAAAACTAGTGTTTACTCCATTTTTGTATACTTTCATTAAGTATTCGCTGGACTTACCGCAATTTTGCCGAGCGCAAAACTGTTCCCACGTTAGCTTCGTCATTCTAAACAAGCATGAAATTCGGGGTTCGACAAAAGGCAATGATTTTGGAAGGGGTGGAGAAAATTTGGAATGTAAATCGATGGTTGTAGGTGTTGTTTGTTGGCTGGGGCCCAAGGTCTGCAGAAAAATGGGCCGCATGGGGCAGCCAGGAGGGAGAGAGAGAGAGCATTTGAATGTGGGAGGAGCAGACGAGTTACGAAAATACGGGGTGCCTCACGTAAACAACATCCCGAAAAAAAGAGGGCCGTACACGCAAAAGCACCGGAAAAGCCGTTGGCTACGGTTTACTTTACCCCCCCAGCCGGCAGTTTTTGGCTATAATTTTTTTATTTTACATTGTTGTAGGCTCAAATTAAAACTCTTAGTATATTTTTCGACGCTCTATCGAATGGCGTTGCAAAAATCCCGACAAAATAAGCGAAAATACCGAAAATTTTGAGACCCTTCGGCTGTGGGGGGCGGGTAAAGTAAACTCTTACCAAGCCGTTCTAAAGGGCGATGGAAGCGTGAAGGTTGTAGATTTTGTCGGGAGCATTAATCCAAAAAAACCGTTACGTCGAAAGAGGAAAGCTGTAGCCGAAATCATTCGAAACATTCGGCTTCGGGTCGGATTTCTGTTGACATTTGGATTCCCCTTATCGCATGGGCGAAGAAAAGTGGTAAGGAAAATCCTCGAGTGCCCTGCAGCCGCTTTAAAGGGGCTGAGCCAACCCCTAATTACATGGCGTGTACGAACCCAACCTCTAGTTCTTCAGTAGTTTTTGCATTCCCTTGAAACACTCACAGCTCTTGCAGGCAGTCCCGCTCCTCGAGATATCGATACACGGCCGTGTATCTGTAGACATCTTCGAGTAGTTCGCCCGAAAGCATCGTTTCGCTAAAGGGTGAAAAATAGCAATGAAATATCGAGTAAACCAATGAAATGTAAATTTTTGAAGATGCTCATCAGAATTCGGACCCTGGTGCTCCTTTCAAGCCGCAAAGCTCCAAGAAAATGGCCAGAAAACGAATATTTTAAGCTGCAATAGCGTTAAAATAAAAAGGTTTCAAAAAAAACCCCCCCCCCCCGCAAAACCCATCAAATTTTTTATTTTTTTTTTTTTTTTAAAATAAAAAAAAAAAAAAAAGAAACAAACCCCCCATTTAAAAAAATTTAAAAAAATTTAAAAAATTAAAAAATTTTTTTTTTTTTAAAAAAAATTTTTTTTTTTTTTTTTTTTTTTTTTTTTAAAAAAAAAAAAAAAAAAAAAAAAAAAAATTTTTTTTTCACTTTTTTTAAAATTTTTTTTAAAAATAAAAAAAAAAAAAAATTTAAAAAAGAAAAAAAGAATAAAAAAAATTTTAAAAAAAAATTTATTAAAAATTTTTTAAAAATAAAAAAAAAAAGAAAAAAAAAAAAAAAAATAATAATTTTATAAAAAATAGTCCTTTTTTCTTTTTTTTTTATTTTTTTTAAATTTAAAAAAAGAAAAATTTAATGGGGGTTGGGGGGGTTGGGGGGCCTGGTATTAAGCTTAGCTGAACCTTAAGCTAGGCATAGCTCTAAAAGCAAGCCTGCTTACGCCGATGCCTGAGCATCACCCTCCAAGCGGTTTTGTCCAAAAAGCCAAAAAAAAGTGTGAATTTCAAGCCCGGTGAGCCTGGGATGGCTCCGATTTCGGGTGTCTCTTGTTGCGTCCCGTTTTGCGGTTTGTTGGTGGCAATTGGGGGTCAAAAAAGCGAATGAGAGGAAAGAAAGAGGCGGAAAGAGGGCCTTTTTGGCAGCTGGCCAAAGGGGGAGGTGGAGGACAGCTGGACGAGAATAGGTCACATGGCAACATGGCACCAGTCGGTCCCCCAATGATACCTCGTCGTTCAGGGGTTATGTTTGACAGGATGAGGCAGCTATTCCCTTCAGAAGAAAAAAAATTAATGCGTTAAAATAAGCCTGGGGTTCAGCCACAGCCTAGGCCCGCCTAAGCCTCACAAAGCTTGATGGTCTTAACCGGAAGTGGAAAAGAGGGTCATAACTAAAAAAAAATCAATTTTAACAAGCTGTACCAGTGCAATCCCATGGACAGGCGCCACCTAATTTGGCGGACCTTTCTAGCGCACACCTGTGTTCCAGCCAGACCTGGAAATCGGTGAAAACCACAAAAAGGCGCGCCGAACCCGTGACAAATGAAAACTGTAGAGATCAGTACAGGACATGCCTCTTTACTATTTGCCGAGTAGATGAAAGGCGAATGCAAACAGATGCCCGCCACATTTACACGATCACTTTGTCGAGCCCGCGGTTCTAGGCGTTTTTTGTCCAGGTTTGGAACATCGTGCGTCAAACGGAAAAACGACAACTGGGGATGGAATGTTAAATTTTGGCAAAAAAAGGCGTATATCCGGTATTTTTCATGTTATCCTTTGACCAGGGTTGAAAAACCGCTTCGCGGCTTTTCAACCCTGGCCCCGTCTGGGATCGATGAAGTTGTTGACTTTGCATAATCCTTGCCGAAAACCGCTCGCCAAAAAAATGAAAAGCGCGCCCTCTCTTCCTTTTTATAAACCATTTCCACTTCCGGTATGCTAATTGCTTCCTAACAAAGAGGTTGGCAGAAAACTTTACAAAAAACTTAATTTTAATATCGAAAATAGCAATTTTTTCAACACTTTTATGTGTGTGCAGTCGATTCCAACCCCTTCTTTACCCTATGACGTTTCTTCCCTACCGAAAAAATGCTTCCCAGAGGCTGTTGGTGCGGAACATCCAAACGGAAGTGCATGCAAATATACACACACACACAGACACTATTTTTTTATATATAGTAGGATTCGGTTTTCGGTAAATCACTAAGGTATCGATCGTCCCCGTAAAGTTCCGGAATGAAGCTCCATTACCCTCTTCTTCTCTCGTGCCCTCTCACTACCTCTCTCACTCTTTCGCACTCTCTCACTCTTTCGCACTCTCTCACTCACTCTCTCTCTCTCGCAGCATTGCCAAGTTTATTCAAGGCACAATACAAATAAGGACATGGCAGATTCGTATGGAGATGTCCCAGGCGAGTATCGCCTCTTCTAGACGGCCGACATGTCGAGATTGCTGATCCCACTGGGATGTTCGTTCAGCCCGGCCTCCTCCTGGAAATTACCAGTCTCTCAACTTCTCTGCGTATCAGCATACCTTTTCCTTGAGAACCTGCTTGAGGACGTCTTCACGATTCAGGCACAACGAATCCTTCACCGTATCCGGGTCATTTTTCTGAAAGTGGGGGGGATACTGTAGTTTGATGGTAAGGCATTACGGTGCTAGCGCTTTCATCTTTGTTCTTTTCGTCTTTGTTGGGTGGCGGGGCCGTCGAGGTATCGGCAGCGGGGGCTTCATTCCAATCCGATCTCACATCATCCATCGTCGGGTAGGCAGCCTGGTCGTGACGGGTGCCGGCTTGGATTTCTTTCTGAAATGGGTTGCTTAGGTTAAGCTGTCTAAAGCTAGAGATATAGACATTGCCGACCTCCTTCTCCGTATTCTTGACAACCTTGTCGACGGCTGGTTCGGGCCGCTTCGCCGGCTGCTTATCACCCGGCTTCTAGAATGTCGGGCAGCTATCCGTTGCCTTCATACTACCGTACCCCTTCCTTCTCCTGCCAATCACTCATCACATCAGACATTGTCGGATAGGCCTCTTCATCGTGCTTCATTCCGTCGATGATCGCTTGCTAGAAAAAGGGTACTGGACTGTTTGCAGGGGGAGGGGGCAGGTAATTTTCCCCAGTCATCCTATACGGCCCCGTAGCAAAATATATAAGCCATTTTTGTAGGATTTTACGGCTACGGTTTACTTTACCCCCCCCCCCAGCCGGAAGTTTTTGACTATAACTTTTTTATTTTACATTATTGTAGGCTTAAATTAAAACTCTTAGTATATTTTTCGACGCTCTATCGAATGGCGTTGCAAAAATCCCGACCAAATAAGCGAAAATACCGACAACTTTGAGACCCTTCGGCTGTGGGGGGGGGGGGTAAAGTAAACTCTTACCGATCTTACGCAGTTTGTGGATACAACGAACAAGCAAAAAACTTGAAACTCAAACTCTACTGTTACTGTTACTTGAAAAACCCGCAAATTTTAAAATATTTTGATAAATCGAAGCAGGTAAACAAGCTAGGAACAAACTAGAAAAACCCTTATCAAAATTCACTATTATTGTAGATAGTAGTTATAAATTAGTTCCCCCCTGCTACCCCCCTGCTAACATATCAGTACCAAAAAAAAGATGCGCTGCTTTCGAAAAGTCGACAAACCATCTTGTTCCTCGGCAAGTTCAGATTCTTGACGTCTGGTGGTTGTTGCTTGGCTGGTTGTTTTGGCTGCGGCTTTGGCTGAGGCTTCTCCTGCTTTTGTATCTCGATCGGCTTGGCCGTCCTCGCCTCGATGATCGACTTCGGAGGCGGGGCCGTCTTTCTGAAGGAATGTAAAGAGTTAGTCTGAAAATGGCAACCGTACTCCTTGATCGAGTCCTGCTTTTTCGGCCCCTTTTTCGGGATCACGACCACTTCGGGTGCCTTCTCGATGACGGATGTCTTCTTCTGTGCCTCGATAGGGATGGCTGTTGGGTGAGTGTTCTTCTGCTGGCTCGTCTCCTTTGAGCCCACCTTCGCCGGCGCCAATTCTACAATATGCAAGCTAAGAGAATTCAAAGGCTCCACAACAGTCGTGCTAGCAAAGACCATTTGTGCGGAATACCGACCGCGAGATCCCCTCGTCGCGTGTTTCTCATCGTTCTTGTTCTGCTGGACTAGGCGCCGATCCGGGCTGACAGCCCGTGGAACGGCTTGACGACCGCTCGTACTCCCCGGCGTCTGTAATAATCGTAGGTTTAATCGTTTACGTCATCAAATTCACCTTGATCGACTGCGAGGATGCGGTCTTTTTGGATGATGATGAAGAGCGGGCACTCTTTGGGATACCTTTCTTCGCACACAACGATCCGCCCAACACCACCCAAGTCTAAAAAATCCTCTTGAAGTCAAAAGGCAGTCCCGGGAGATGATCCTACAATCGAGACGAACACGGGCAGGCATTGGAAGAGGAATGCACTCATAGTTTTTTACTACTTTCCTGAAAAAGAAAAGACAATTGCAACCCGAAAACCCCAACTTTTGAAAGCCACAGAATAAGGCGTGCGGGGGAATAAAAATGATGGGGTTATGGCACTCTGAATTCTTTTTGTAGCTTGGGTCGGATTGAAATTACAACATTTTGAATTCCAGCCTTCATGCAAATCCCTGCATTGGCGTTTTTCGACGTATGTTTTTAGCGTTTTTAATGTTTTGCCCTTTTTGCTCATTTTTCATAGATTTTTAAACATAATCTCCATTTTATCAGAAGATACATTTTTACAGTTTAAGGAGGTTATATTTTTGATGGGGGGTAAAGCGCCAAAAATCCATACAACCAGAATCCGGGCAGCCAAACCAGCGTCAAGAAAATGTCCGCTTGTAGGGGTCGGAATCTTGGCTTTCTGGATTATGGTTGTCGAAATTTTGGCTGTCGGTGTTTTGGCTTCCAAGTTTACGGCTGGAATTCTTCAGTTTCGCGTTTAAGCCTACCAAATCTGTGTATTCACTTCATCCCACTATTTCCCTTGCCGTTCCCTTTAAAACCTGCGCCCCCGAAGTGTGGAGTTTGCCTTCGACGCGCCGACTTGCTGGCAGGAGATTTATAGTCGGGAACGGCGGGTTCTTTGCAGCCATATCCCTTTGCTCCCTTTCTTCTTCGGCTTCTCCTCCTCTTTTCTCCTTCTCATTTTTCGGTCCATTTGGGTGATGTGGGCCCGGGGCCGTCAAACAAACTTCCCCACTTCCACCCCGCCCGCTGATGCTTCATCCCATTTTTTGGTTTTGCACACATACCCACACCCACGAGGCGCCATCCAGAAGATCCGGGTGCAAAATCTGGATGTAGTGCGTTCACGTGTTTGACGTAGTGCTTGGTGCGAATCAAACTTGCCAGGGCCTTTAAAAGCCGACAGGCGCCCCTCGTCGCCCTGCCTTCTACTGCCAACTTGCGAAGTTTTAGGTATCGCCCTCCTTTTTATCTTTTGGAAGATTGAAAGCAGCATGAATGATATACTGTGAGAGAGGGAGAGAGAGCGAAAGAGCGAAAGAGAGCGAGCGAGAGAGAGAAAGAGAGAGAGAGAGAAAGAAAGAGAGAGAAATAGCGAGAGAGAAAGAGAGAAAGAGAGAAAGAGAGAGAGAGAGAGAGAGAGAGAGAGAGAGAGAGAGAATTAACGAAAGAAAGAGAGGGAGTGAGAGAGAGATAAACAAGAAAAGAAAGAAAGAAAGAAAAGAGAGAGAGAGAGAGAGAGAGAGAGAGAGAGAGAGAGAGAGAGAGAAAGAAAGAGAGCGAGAGATAAACAAAAAAACAAAGCCTCCAAGCGATATCTTGGCGCGGGAGAAAAGAAACCAGCTGGCAAATAGAGTCCACCACCGCCCACTTGCTGCCCAATGTTTACAAATGAAGAATGAGAATGGAGGGGGAACAGCGGAGGGGATGGCGGGAGGAGGAAGATATGCCCCGGGATCGTTAAAATAGATATATGCCAGCTCATTTCCGGGCTTTTCCTATCGTCCACTTATCCGTGTCAGCTCTAATCGAATTCTTTGTGACGCATTTTCATTTCCAAACATTTTCTACACTCACTCATCAAACCATAGTAAAGATTCTTGGTTCTTGAAAGGGATCTCCTCTCCCATCTAGCACCTTTTTGGATGATTCCTGAAATGAAAGCCAATTTTAGACTGTAATTTGTTATGATTTTGCGCTGTGCTTTGCGGGTCGGGACGACTAAGCCTAAGCTTAGGCTCAAAACTAAGCATAAACCTCGACGAAGCATTATAAAATATTAGTACTACTGTTAGTACTACTCTATTTTGCCGAGACTTCTGGGACAACAGGTAGCCCTTTGGCTACCAGGGAGCGAGACAGAGTGAGAGAGAGGGAGGGAGAGAGCGAGAGAGAGATGGGGGAGAGCATATCGGAGGATTTTCTGCCCAAACAGACTCGAATGGCCCTCAAGAAGGGCCCTCTACAATGCCCTTGGCCCCCGGAGGAAAGTTGGATCTTTTTAGGTTTTTTACGATCCTCCTAGCCGGTCTGGCATTTCAACATTTTCCATTATTCATTTGGCAAATATTCACTCGAACTTTTTAATATTTATTCAGCGCCGGAACATCTGAAATTTGACGCATAGATTGAGAATTGTTTTGAGTCAAATTCGGATTGCATTTTATAGTTGTACTTTGTATTTGACTGATTTTTTTGCCTGTTCACGATTGAAGATACGGTGTTGCGTATTCGATAGTATTTTTTAGTAACTTGGCAGGAGATTGTTAGAAAAAAAAATGATAAAAACATCTGAATAGATTTTGCAATATCAGTGTATCCTTCTTTTTTATCACTTTTCAAATAACCTTTTGATAAATTTTATGCTCTTGATGGGTATTTTCTATCTGATGGCAATTTATTTTTTTCCCCGCCCCCACCCCAAACAACGAAAAGCATCATACAGGGTGTCCCAAAAAAGCACCCCTCCGGCATTTTGCCATATTACATCCGATCGGTCCCATACTTTGCGGAAGGGTGTATCTGGCCCTAAATATCCACAATCCTGAGTTATAGCCCGATCGCTACAGTAGTTTTCGAGTTATCGCCAATATACTGTTTTTTACTCGATTCCTAACAGTTTTTCGGCTATCTTTTTGGACTTTGCATCGATTTGCATCAACTTCCAACTGTGAATCCTTCATTTCGTTTAATATCGGGGGTGACTTTGGGCAACGAAAATTGTTGAAATCAACGGTTATTTAATGAAATTATTTCAGGCAAAAATTTCTAGTGGTAAAGAAGGCATGCCGTTTCATTTTCACTTAATATTCGAAGGATCGATTCCGAGGAAAACCACACTGTAGCTGGCGCGCTATAACTCAGGATTGTGGTTATTTAGGGTCTAATACATCCCTGGTCCAATTTTGGGACCAATGGGATGTAATATGACAAAATGCCGGAGGGGTGCTTTTTTATGGGACACCCTGTATATTGTTCGAACGTCGAGCGTAGATTTCGTAAGCTCCCGGACTCCAGAAATGATGATCCTCCACGTGATCGGTGGATCGGGGCGCAGAGGGTCATCTTGTGGGGTGTTCGGTCGTCATGCCCGGCCGATCTCTCTCTCGCTCTCTCTCTCTCTCTCTCTCTCTCTCTCTCTCTCTCTCTCTTCTTGGGACATGCGTGCTGTAACACATCAGAGCCCATCAGGGCCGAGCAGGACCCACTCGAGCTTCACCCCGAGAGGGGGAGGAGGACGAGCCCTGAGGCTACGGCTCTGGGGACAACTGTTGCTCTCTCTCACCCATAGCTCTTTCTCTCTCTATGGGTGTCCCTCACTGGGTCTCTGGCCCTTTTCAAGCATAACTTTGGCCAGCCTGAAAGCCATCGATTTCCTCCTCCCCGAGGCTTATTCTCAGATCACCCCCGGGTTTCCGGTCAACACGGCTCAAGTTTTCTGGGGAATTCCGGGGGCTTCGGTCGCTTATTTTTCAGGGCTTCACCACTTCGTATATCTGGGTTTAATATGCGATTTTTAAAGCACCATAGCGAAATTTGAATCAGTAAAGTGTCTTATACCATCATGCCAAAATTCTATTAAGAATCAGCTGATGTCCGCTCTACCTTTCACCCTCGTTTTCTCTCTCTCTCTCTCTCTCTCTCTCTCTCTCTTTCTCTCGTTATTTCGCCGTTTTTTTAAGAACCACCGGCTAAAATACTGATAGATGGGAATGACTGAAGAAGAAGACGACAGCGGCCTTTCCTCTTCTGGCGAAGATGATGCGACTAGGAGTAATACGGTAGGAACTATCTTTTTTTACCTTTCCTTTTCCCTAAATTAGCGCCAAATTAGAATATAAATGCATCATCACTACTGATTTCCAGAATGACGACAGTCCGGACAGCGACGAAGATGACGAGAAAGATCAGCAACCGGTCACTCGGTCCGGATCCGGCATGGATTGGTGCGTCGCACCAGACAGTACCTTATTACCATACTGCAGGGCTGCGCTGCTGAAGCTTGCTGAGGAGGCCGAGGCCGAGCTGGAGGAGACGTATTTGAGCCCCCTGCAACATCACATCAACCAGTTAGAGTGAGTAGCTTGCTTTTTTGGGGTTGTGGATTCATCATGGGTTTTGCCGCGGCCCTTTACTGGTCCCTGACCGTTCAAGGAAACCATCATGTTGATTCCACCCAGGTCCAAAGCCACACACTCAACCGCTTCTGCCCAGTCGACTCGAATCCCCATCACACCGAACACACAGACACATATCTCGCACGTGTCATTGGTGTTGGTTTACTGATGATAGACGGCAGGAAAGAGTGTAGCACGGTTATTTCAGAAAGGGCTCAGAATCAAATTTCGCGCATGATCGCTCGGAAGAGAACTTCATCATCGCTCCCAGTAGGCAGTGCCGGGGATCGAACCCGGGTGTTCTGCTGTATAACGGCGGCAGCCTAGCCCACGCGCTAACGATGCACCAATGAACCGAACCCTCATCCAACAAGGGGGGCAAGCGGTACTGAACCCCTAAAGCCAATTTATGATTATCTTGCAAACGTTAATTAGGATTCACGATTACATTAAAGGTAGCTTACACTTCGGATTAATTACTATTAATAAAACTGCTGCCACTGTACCAATGTACCAATTACTCGGACTGCTCGCCTTCAAGGTTTACTGTTCCCACCGCATCTAAGAAGATAAGGAGAAATGAAAACAATGATTTGAGGGTTTTAGAGAAGGGGGCCCGAATGTTTGAGGAGGATGGGGTCCCCTCTGTGATACCGCCATGGCAAAACACACACAAAATTCTTGACTTATCCCCTCGGTCCATCCCATTTCCTACCTCCACTACACTACCATCCACTGACCCTCAGATTTTATTGGCACTATTAATCGAATCTGATGACACGTCCGGGGACCCCGCTGGCATTTCACAAAAATGAGATCCAGAATCGACAGAGTCTGATTGAAGAGACGCAGCGAACATGCCGGACGAGGGCACAGACTGTCTTGCAGAAGATTGCAACCAATTTACGGTAGATGGGCACACAAATTGGGGGGTTTTCAAGCTGGGCGGGATACGAAAATCTTATCACCTTTTTGCTTACTACGTCCTTGAACGTAGCGAGGAATCGGCACATAAAAAAGAGAACGAAAGAGAGAGAGAGAGCGAGAAAGCGAGAGATAGAGAGAGAGAGAGAAAGAGAGAGAAAGAGCGAGAGAACGAGAGAGCGGCCGGATAATTGGATTACCCCTTTCATGCAGACTGACCGTCCTCCAAGAGGGTGGGAAAGGACTGTAACCGGCCCTCAGAAACTCCACAACTTTTCTAGCATTGGAATAATTTTTAATGAATCAATTTAATCAATTTCAGGCGCGGAAAGGAGGTGCAAAAGCTTGGCTCGCTGCGCGCTTTGCCGGAAATGATTGAAGAGGAAGGAGAAGCTGCCATTGAAGCGCTCCTGCCGGCTGTACAGGTTCGCAAATTACGATGGTTTATGAACTTGGGCACATTAGCTTATCTAACCGGAGCAAAATTCCAATCTCTCGCCGACCACAAATCGGGCGATGCACCGATCACAAATCCGACACGCACCGGTTTCCGGAACAAATTAGCCGCTGCGAATTGACCTGTTTACGGCTTTTCCGGTGCAGGGTCATTTGCACTAGACGCAAATACAATATCAGAATTCAGAAATGCCTTCGTGACGAAGCGGCTAATTTGGATGTGCATTGTGAGGCAGCGGTCGTTTTTAAAAGCATCCTTCAAAACTTGCGGCTCGTCCAAAAGCATCCGTAGGTTTTTCTTTCTTTCTTTCTCGGTTCCATCACGAGGGACTCGCTTTTTTGAGACTTAGGCTTAGCTTGGCTTGGGCTTCAGCTTGGGCTTACAATGCTACGGTTTAGCTTGGGCTTCTGCGTATGGTGAATCTTCGGTTATGGTTTGGTGTTTCGGCTTAGATTTAGGCTTAAGCCCAATTCGGCTTAGCGCAGCCCTAACGCTCCAGCTTCGTCTAGCTTATACAGGCTCGGGTCCGGCTTATGCTTACAAGGAGACGTTTTTGAGTGTCGTCGGGACTTTGGCATGGGACTATACCTTTCTTGTGCAGAATTTTACGCTGATTCCGAATATTGGTAACCGCTTTTGCGGAATAGCCATTGCTCGAAAGATATGGACGATTTAAACCTCAAAACAGCCGAAAATCGGCTACTTTCGATAGTCATAAAAGGCTTCGGAATAGGTTTTAGACAAAACCAGATTGTGCATCCTGGCCAGAAAAAAAAATTGTCTATCAAATAAGCTACCTAACTTAAAAATGTTGGAATTTTGACAATTTTTGTAAAATTATGGGCCTCCCAGTTTCACAAATTTTTCCGACTTTTCAATGATTTTGGTTAAGATGGTACATTTTATAGAGAATCTTTTTCTAAACAAGATGCACAATCTGGTTTTGTCTAAAACCTATTCCGAAGCCTTTTATGACTATCGAAAGTAGCCGATTTTCGGCTGTATTAAGGTTGAAATCGTCCATAACTTTCAAGAAATGGCTATTACGCAAAAACGGTTACCATATTTGGAATCAGCGTAAAATTCTGCACAAGATAGGCTTGGTCCCATGCCAAAGTCCCGACGATACTCAAAAACGTCCCCTTGTTAGTCCTACGCGAATCCAACGCTTCGGCCTTGAGTCCGGATTGGGTTATGAGGCTCATACTTATGCAAACCGCGCTTTCTGCTAATCCGAATTTTCGGCAAACTCGCTAAAAAAATTCTCGTACACAATTTAGACACCATAGATAAGGTGGGTGCATGGCGGAGAGTCAATAGAAGGTCATTTATGCAAATTAGGGTGGTGACGGTGCGGTGGGGGTGGATGGTGCCCGCATAGCGTTAATAGGGTAGCGGCGAAAATACAAAAATCAAGAGGACATTAGTAGCAAATGAATTATGCACCAATTTGCAGGGGTCTCAGCGAGAAGCTCCTCAAAAACATCCTCGAAAACGTGCAGCAACAAAAGGATAATAGTAAGTCAAATTTTTTGGGTGACAACTTTGCGTCCGCATCCTCCAAAACAAATAGCCGCCAGCATGTGGCTCGGCTTACCCTTTCTAACAGCATTTAGCAACAATTTCGCCCATTTCCACTTTATCCACATCTGAAACCGACTTCCACACCTAACTAACCGCCTGTTCAGCCGGAATTTCGTCGGATCGCGTCATCTTCCGGGTAGCTCGACGCACGCAGCCTACTGACGAATGTACGGTACCTTAGAAAATTCGCCCCGCATCCCTTGTATCCTTTACTGTCCCTTTAAACTGGCACGCGAATGCGCTTGGAAATTTGCATCTGTATTAAAGAAATTTGCTATAAGAGTTGAAAACTCGGTAGCTCCCTGTTTCTCGCTATCTCTCGCTATCTCTCGCTATCTCTCTTTAGCGCTGTAGGCCTCTCCCTCTATTTCGCTCTCTCTCTCTTTCTCTCACTCTCTCTCTCGCGCTGTCTCACTATTTATCTCGCGCCCGCGCTCCCCTCCCCTCTTTCTCGCTCCCGCCCCGCTCTTTCTCTCGCTCTCGCTCTCTCTCTCTCGCTTTCTCTGTCTCTCTCCCTCTCTCTATATCCGTCTTCTGGAGCTGGCCTCAAAAACTGCGACCATGGCTCTGAAGCGAGAGAGTGAGCATAGCAAAAAAAAGTCTGTCAGTGCACGTGGCCCCCTATTGGCCCCGAATGGAAGTTGAGAGCTCATTCCCACCACATACTATCCACACACCCACCAACGGGAAATCAACACGAGCTTTGCATATGCAAATTGCAGCTCAGCAGGGAGAGGGTGGGGGGGGGGGCCGATCACTGTCCCTTGCTTACACCTAAAATTGCATTTTTTGGGTGTTTGAAGCAGCCGGGTGAACAGTAATTTATACTACTATCTAGTTTTGTATTTCTCTCGCACTCATTCTCAACCAAAAATCTGACAAAACCCGCGGCTACTCTCACTGTAATTGAATAGCTTCAAACGCCAAAGGTTCAGACGGCTTGTACAAATGACATTTTCCGCTTATTCTGGTGCAATATTCTGATTTTTTTTGCTTTTCAGTGAGCGCAGCTGCTTGGCTCGAAACGCTGGTGGATATTTCGGATCGACTGGACTTGCAAGCTGTCAAGACTTATGTGAGTTTTGAGCCGAGCTTAAAAGAGCTCAAAAAAATTCTTACCTTCAGAAAGACCTTGAAAAAAATTTGTGGTAGCAATCTAGCGCAAATTTTCTAAAGGCTGTTTAGTTTCTGAGCATTTTCTAAGCTTTTTTGAGTTTATTTCAAGTCTCTAAAACACCTGTCGAACTTGTTCAGATCGTGCCCGTTGTGCAGCAACAATCCGAGCCCACACAACGCATCCAGCGTCGAATCATCGCCACCAAACTCCTCCACAAATTGGCAACAATTTTGCCGCAAACCGAGTCAGTTTTCTTTCCCTTTCCCCCGAATTGGAAACATGCCAAGAAGGGGAATATTCTAGTCCTGGGGCAAATATCTTGGAGGCGGGCCGTTTTTTCTATTGTTCGCCCCAAGTATCGTATTTCTTGGGCCCGAGCCGTTCGGTTCGAGGCTCAACAACTCGTATCCACTCCGGCTGGGGATCGATATTTGTCAGCAGTACACCAGCGGAAATTCGTTTTGTATTAACTGGATGGGCACGAAAACGTTTCACTACTATTCGCCGGCACCCGGGGTCACCGTATCTGCTAGAATCAAGTATTTCAGGGATTTTGAGGGATGTACGGTGCTTTCCAGGATACGCAAAGAGCTGGGGACGGCCGTGCAGACGCTGTGCGAAGACGGAAACGCCAATGTGAGGAGCGGAATGGCGCAGAGGATCACGCAAATTGCAAAGAGTCTGAAGTGCGTTGAATTGTGGGAAACGATTAGGGTTGTTTCTCGGAACAGACCGAGATTCGGAACTTTCGGAACAAAGACTGGTCGGAACGTTCCGAGATTTGGCTGTTCCGACTGTTCCGAGATTCGGAACAGTCCGAGATTGAGGTGTTCCGAGATTCAAATTTTTTCGCATGTAAATTTCGATTTCATGTAAATCGTGTAGATTGCATGTTAATGTTTCGATTTGGCCGTCCCACGGCAGTGTGGGCGCAACTGAACACTTAATTCCGTCGATGGTTAGATATCGAAGCTGGAAATTAAGGAAATCAGAACGAATTGGGGATTAAATCGAATCCAAAATTCAGTCGTGTTTGGAAATTTACATGCGAAAAAATTTGAATCTCGGAACAGCCAAATCTCGGAACGTTCCGACTCTCGGAACAGTCGGAACAATGGGAATCTCGGAACAACCGCAACATTTGAATCTCGGAATGTTCCGAATCTCGGAACAGCCGGAACACGCGAATCTCGGAACGTTCCGACATTCGGAACAGTCGGAACGGTTGCTGTTCCGAATGTTCCGAATCTCGGCCTGTTCCGAGAAGCAACCCTAGAAACGATGCCTAAGCGTCAGCCTGTGGCGAAGTTTAATCGGCCGAAAACTGAGGCAAACCTAAGCTTATCGAGTCTAATGCAATTTCAACGGCTTGCATGAAAAAGGGTTTGCCATCAAAAAAATCAGTATTTCAGCATGAAAAGTTATAAAATTGATCCCTTCATGAATTTTCACCCTCCGTTTTTAGTACAGCATCGGAATCGGTGTCCTTGGTGCTGCCCTGCTTGGTATCGCTGGTCGGCGATGAGGAGGCGCCGGTTCGAGAGGCCGCCCTGAATGCAATTGCTTCCTGCATTCCCACCTTCACAAAAGGTATCCTCGTTTCCATGCATCATCCCAGTTTTTAGAAGCCAAAAAGTCTACTGTGCTGCCACTTGTCAGGAAGTGCACCGACCAGGCGGTGACCAAAGCCGACGAGCAGCTCGCCATCGTCGCAAAGAATTTCGGCGAATGGGCTTATGAGCTGAGGGTTGGTGATTTCAAGTGCAAGTGGCATCTAGGGAGCTTAGAAATTCGTTGCCTCAATTAAGTTTTTATTAAGATTTTCCGATTTGTAATAAAACCTTCACTACCTAATTTCAGGAGGTGATGGACGCACTGGACCAGTCGTGGGTGCTGAACACGTATCTCAGGATGGTGTCGTGGGCACAGCCAAAAGACGGGAAGACAGCTCGAGAAAGTCTTCTCGGGACGCTTGTACGCCGGGCTTGTGCTTACAATTTCCCGGTCAGCCATTCATGTTGTGCTTAGGCCTAAGCAGAATTCTAAGCATAAGCCTAAGCCGAGCCTACTTCTAAGCCGGGTCTAAGCCTAAGCCAGGTCTAAGCCCAGCCTAGGCCTACCCTACCGACTAATCCCCTTCCTTTCCAGTGTCTCCTCGTCATGTTCCCAAAAGCCTTCGAGCGGCTTCTCCCACTTCTGGAGGCTTTTTGCGGCGACTCCGATGATGAGGTCCGAGTGTCGATAGGTGTGTTTTGTACATAGTCACGCTAAAATTCTCGCTTCCAGCGGCCTCTTACCACGAGATTGTCGCGCTCTACCCGACGAAACAGCAGCTCATTCCCCCATTTGTCGAGTTGGTCCGGAGTGGTGCTACGGAAGTCGTGTCCAAGGTGGGTTCCGGAGTCTGCTCGTGCTCCCGGTGAAGCCTTAATTGCGACTGTTTTTATTTAATCAAACCATTTAGGTAACTTTCAACCTGGGAAAAATGCTGCCACTCCTCTACAAATGCGCGCGACAAAAAGAAGAAGACGGTCCAAAAGTTTCGACGCAACAATTGGACCGGATATTGATTGGTTGCAATGTTTTGTTGAGGTATGGAAAACTAAATAGATTAGGAAGGCGTGCGCAAAGCTTGCTAGCCTAAATGAAAAACCCGTATTTTCAGAAACAGCGGAGCCTGGCGCTCCCATGAGGCCTACCTACAAGGTCTATCCGTACTGCCCGATGTTCTGACCTACCATCAACTATACGACACTTTTGTACCCATCCTACAGAAGGAAGTGCTTACGGTGGTGAGTTCCAGAACCAACGCCTAGGGTAATCCTAACTGTAAAGTGTTTTTACTCAAGTTGGAGTTTCGATTCGGGACCAAGTGCAACTTGTGCAGAATTTTTTGCTGATACCGAATCCGTTGTCCAAATTTGCTGCGGACTTTTATTTAAAAAGTCATTTTTGGTGCAAATTAAGCTTGAAAAAGCCAAAAATTCGGATCCTGGTCCAGTATTCCCTCCATGGTTCTGCCTGGCCCAGGGGCCGTGAAGTACGCTCTCACAGCTCTCGTGTCGGTTGGCACCATGGTGCATTGGCATAGTACTCGCTTGCCAAGCGCAGGGCGGCGGTTCGGAACCCCGCCCTGCAGCTTTATTTTCCTTTTTGCATAAAAAAATTTAATTTTTTTGGAAAAAAGCTTGTTTTGACTTTTAAGATGCCTGTCTAGCCAATCTCTAGCCAATTTTGAAGTTGAAATTGATCAGGGAAACCGAAAACGATAACGGTTCCTTGATTTTAGTGAAAAAACTACCATAACTGCTGTATAACTTTCAAAATCAAAGTCCGCCGCAAATTTGGAAAACGGATTCGGAATCAGCGAAAAATTCTGCACAAGATGCACCTGGTCCCGAATCGAAACTCCAACTTGAGTAAAAACACTTTGCAGTAAGCCTACGCCTATGTCTATATCGATATCAAAGCCGAAGCATACGGCTGACCGGTTCTTTCGCATTAGCGGGGGAGGGGGAAGTTTACCAGGGGGGGACAGAGGGATCCAACTCATTTCTTAGGATCGAATTTTTCAACTATCAATAGTGGAAGTTTTTAAATGGTTTTTTACTATTCCCAAACGTAAAACTTGATAAATTTTGATTAAAAAATATCCAAGTAGCAATTTTCCGAAAATGGCCGTTTTTGACCAAAATTACGACTTTTTGAAAATTTCCGTTAAACAAAGCCCTAATAATACCCTCCTCCCATCCCTTGAAGATGTAATTGTTTAGCGTGCGAACCCTTGCCGAATTGCCGCCGTCTCTACCCTCCTTACCTTTATGCGTGAACATCCTGAACGAGAAAAGCGGGAAAATGTCATTGACTTCTTAAAGACAGGTGCGCCAACTAGCAGCCATTCCTCCAAACTGAAACTTTTCAGAAATCCTAACCCACGCCTCCTGCTACCGACGTGCCGTTTTTGTGGATGTCGCCGAGTGTGTGCTAGGGATGTTCTCAAGAAGATTTTTCAAGCAGCACTTCCTCACCGAAACGCTGAGTTTGGCCCGCGATGAGGTCGCCAATATTAGGTATTTTTAAGCGGAAAAACACGATTCTTTGGATTTTTGCTAGTTCCTTGAATATTAGAAAATTTGGATTTAGATTACGGGTTGCCGGGCTTTTGCCGAGGATCAAAGCGACAATTGTGTTGCCGGATGACGATGAATTATTGAGACAGGTAAGGCCAATGCCTGAGCTTAAGTTTAAGGCTAAGGTTAAATCTCAACTTGCTCAATTAAGGATATACTTAAGCGCACTTAACCAAATCCTCTACCTATAAAAAATAGCGTTTAAAAAACTATCGTTTGCAAGATAATCATAAATTGGCTTTTCGAGTTCAGTGCCGCCTGGTAGGGGGAGGGGGCTGGGGATGAGGGTCCTGCTAGCTCTGCCATTGGTGCATCGTTAGCGCAGTGGGCTAGGATGCAGCCGTTGCACAACCGATCACGCGGGTTCGATCCCCGGCAGTGCCTAATGGGAGCGATGATAGAGTTGAAGCGATATGCGAAACACTAATGCGCGGAATGGAATTTGGTTCTGAGCCCCTTTTTAGATTTTTCTACGGCTTCACAAATTTAAAAAGAGACTCTCCTACTTTATGTTTCCGATAGCCTTTTTACCTTACAAAATCTGGGCCCGAAATTTGTTGCGGATATTGTTTTTGATGTGCCGCGTCCTCGGTAAACATTTCAATGTCGCTGTTTGTAAAATAGCCAGCCGTGGCACAAAGGCAAAAACCTCTCCTACTTTATTTTCGCAATAACTTTTTTTGTTTTACAATATATCAGCCTCAAATTTTTTGTATATATTGTTTTTGGTCTAATTGGCTTTTGGGAAAAAATTTCAGGATCAGGATCAGGTTGCAAAATAGGTAATAGAGTCAGTTCTGGATTCGGTGGTCGGGCATCGGCTGGGGAGGGCATAGGGGCCGTAGAGGAAAAGGACCGCGACGCACTGTTTTTCCACTAGTTTCTGTTAACTAAAAATCTAAGACCGTCTTCGCATTTCCAGATGGAAAAAACGGTGCGCGACATGCTGACCACAGATGGCTCGACGCAGACGAGAAGCTTCATTCAAGGGGTTAGTCTTGAGGTGTCAAGTCAACTTTCCAGCTTCAGCCCCGTCTTTCGAAGCTTTCCAAAAGGGAATCAACTTGCAGTCCCGTATTTTCAGGCAGCCTGCAGCCTATCCCGTGCCGAATCGGGTGCAAAAACGGACAAAGAAGACGAGAAACGGATGGCCGAGGAAGATCGTTTGTGGAACGACGAGTCGCGCATCGTGGAGAAGAATCCGCTGGGCAACAAGCCTCCGTCCGGGTACGGTTAAAGGGGCGTTGGAATGGCATTTTCTGTAGATATGCGCCGCACCGAAGGCTCCCTCTCCGTAAAAATACGTCCAATTGCAGTATCCGCCCACCAACAACGATCAAACCGCGTGATCGTGACGACGAGACACCATCTACGGCTTCGGCCACCTCACCGACTCCCCTCCAAACATCCCCATCCGGTTCGAGGCTGCCCTCGTCGTGGCGAACACAGCGAAGGGCCGTGGCTGTCGTACGCCCACAACCAATTGTCGTTATGAGGTACGGCAGAGAGGTCAAAAGATAGAGCCGCTTGATTTTCAGATCACCATCGCCCGTTCCTTCCGCTGCAGATATGGCTCGGAAATCTCGGTTGCCCCTCAGCACGGCATATTCCAGCTCGTCATCGTTGGATCGAGGTAATTGAATTGTGTGATTCTGGATAGCTAGGGGTTTCGTTTTTAATATTAGACCAAAGTTTCAGTATCAAAAAGTCATAACTGGAAATAGTTCGATAAAAAGTTAAAAAACCGACTATATCCTTTGATGTAATGTGAATTATGCTCAGGCCCGTAGGAGGGGGGGGGGGGCCCAGGGGGCCCTGGCCCCCCCACCCCCGAAATGGGTCGAGGTCCGAAAAATTCATAAGGGGGGACCCTTATGATTTTTAGTTACAAAAATTCTGCCTGGGCGCTGTTATTACTGTTTTTCAAACAGTTTTTACTTATATGATGCCTATTTTTTCAAAATTTTTTGCCTGCGGCGCTGGTTTTTCCTTGGTTAATCAATTGTTCATAAAAATTTTTCGCCCGCGGCGCGTTTTCTGCCGCGTTTTCAGACGAATTTGAGTGTAGCGAACGCTTGTTTGCGATTTTTTTTGCCTGCGGCGCTATTCTTGACGCGATTTTCGGAAGTTTTAAAAGTGGCGACCGGGGAGGTCGCCAAAATTTTTGGGCCCCCCCGAAATTTCGGTTCCGCTACGGGCCTGATTATGCTCATTGAATTTAACATAGCGTCATAAAGTTTTTGGGTAATTTTTGATAGATAGTTTTTTTGATACAACGTTGATACATAAATCTTAAAAGACTGAGAAACTGTAAGCGCAATAAATTCAAAACCATAAAATTACTTCCAAGTTCAGCGTCGCGGTCGTCCCTTTCGAAGCTCCCCACCTGCGGTTCTTCCTCTTCCCTCTCATCATCCCGATCCTCATCCGTCGATAGAAGAGGCTCAATCTCATCCACCTCATCCTCAGCCTCATCCTCCCCCTCACTCTCTTCCCTCCCCAGTTGTAAGTCGGAAGCAGGTTCGTGTTTTGTCCAGTCCAATTGTCGCGCCGTGTCAATAGTTGTCTCTCGTCCACGTCCATTTTCAGGGCTTCTCTATCGTCCGGCCTCATACTACAGCTACAATTTGTGGTCGACACCGCGTACATCACGTTTTTTAAATGATTCGTCATGTTCGTAATGAAATTTTCGTTGCTTACATAGTTTTTACCTAGCTTTTTGTCGTTTTAAGCTTTCTGTGGAGAATATATGGTTCTTTTCTAAATGTCCATTTTCAGCCAGCTACCGCTCTGGACTGCAAAGATCATCAACCAGCAGTGCGCTCGGCCCCGGATCGTATGCATCGATGTCATCTGTTCAGCACTACCCGTTGATGTCATCGAGGTGGGTTTTGGAGAATTTTCCGGTTCCTAGGCTTAAACTTAAGCCTAACTCTAAGCTGAACCTAAGCTTAAGTCAAGGCTAAGCCTGCGCCTAAGCCTGAACTTAAGCCTAAAGCTTAGCCTAACTTAAGTCTTAGCCTATATCCATACCTAGGAATAAACAACGCCCAAAATCGGCCTCTGCGTTTAGATCGATGTCCCAAATCCGCCGACCGCTCTACGGCCTCACCAAGGTCTCATCCTCATCTTCCATCGAGCGGAAACCCCCTCAAATGCGAATGTCCATCAGGACATCTTCATGACTCTCCCCAGTCCCATACCATACGTTGAGCAAAAACTATTGTTGATTCGTGCAACCTTGGACATTTGCTGTTGATATTGTCACGTGTAGCCCCTTGCCCCGAATTCTGGGCCAATTCAGCGCCCGTTAAGCCTTGGCCTATGCCTACACCTAACTAGGGAATGTTTTCGGGCGGACATCGGACCCAGAAATGTGAATATGTGCATCATGTAGAGCTCGACGAGACGAATCGATTGATGTAACTTTTAGCTGCGGATACCCTTTTTTAATAAAGTTACAGCGGTTTAAAGTTTTTCGAGATACCTTCATAACCCCTCCCCAAACCCCAACCGCCGTGCTCTGGTAGTCTAGTGGGTTGGTGGTCGGCGTCTGGGGATGGTAACGAGGTTATGGATCCGCTCACGATTTTCATTTTTTGCTTTTTGGTTGAAAGCTTCCATTTTGCATCCCGAAGGACCACCTTAACTTTTTTTTCATTTTTCGAATCAAATCCCGATTAAATAAACATAAGCGGAACACAGAGGATTTTTCGAGCTATAGGCATCAACCTTGGTGCGGGTGAAACTTGCAAAAAAACCAATGAATACTGTCACCAACTTCTTTCTTTGGTGTGGGTGCTGGAGATAAAAATGAAAAAAAAGTTAAGGTGGTCCTTCGGGATGCAAAATGGAAGCTTTCGACCAAAAAGCAAAAAAAGGAAAATCGGGAGCGGATCCATACCCTCGTTACCATCCCCAGACGCCGACCACTAACCCACTAGACTACCAGAGCACGGCGGTTGGGGTGTGGGGAGGGGTTATGAAGGTATCGCGAGAAACTTTAAACCGCTGTAACTTTATTAAAAAAGGGTATCCGCAGCTAAAAGTTACATCAATCGATTCGTCTCGTCGAGCTCTACAAGATGCCCATATTCACATATCTGGGTCCGATGTCCGCCCGAAAACATTCCCTAGTAAGCCTAAACCTAAGCCAAGGCTAAGCCTATGCCTAAGCTTTTACGCTTAGAAAAAAGCTTAAAAGCCAAAACTAAGCCTAGGCCTGGGCCTAAGCCAAAGCCTCAAAGATGCGATTCCCTCTATTCTAGTCCCATTTTTTGCTTGTTTGTTGCTTGACGTGCCTCCTTCCCATTAATGCTTGCTCCATACTCGAAAAGCGTGTACACAGGTGAAAAGTTCTTGCTTCAATTATTGTCATTTTTTCATATTATAATTTTTTTTTCGAGAATAAATCAGTGATTACGGTAAAAAGAGTGTTGCACAGTAAAAAATTTTTACAGTTGCTCAAAATACAAAGAAATTACACTGAAAATAAGCACACAAAAAACGCGGGCACATCGCCGGGTTACCTAGTATCGTGAGGTGTATTCTTCCGGAACTTTTCCCAGACTACCAAAACGAAAAATTTGCCTTTCAGATGAAGATATTCGCCCAAACATCGACGACCAAACTTCCGTTTTTCTCGATTTTTTTCGCTATACACAATGCACATAATCTTTTATGCAGTCCCGTCCGGGGTTGTATAAAGACAATGAAAGACCAGAGTGAGACGCAAAAATGTCGATTTTGTGGATTTGTCTGCTATTGCTGCCTGCCCTCGCCAACGGTCTTTCCGTCGAGCCGGTTCGGGTTTTTGCTGCTTTTAATCATTTATTTGCTAGTCTTCGTTAGATTTTGATTACTTAAAAATCTGAAAAAATCATGGAATGGACGAGACTTTTTTCTACGGTTAAAAACGGTTTGATTTATGTAGGGATTTTGTGAGGGCCACGTACAGAATTGGGTGCTTCCTGGTTATCGGGGGTCGGCTATTTTAGCGGGGGTCGGTTGCGAACTTTTTTCTATAATATCGTGCGGCTCGGCTAATTAAAAACTGGCCGTTTTTATAGACTTGCGCGCCGTTTGAAATGGTTCTGGACTGTTAGCGGGGGAGGAAACATTAAGAAAAACGTCAAAAAACATGTTGAAAAAAAATTTCTTTTTCGGTCTAACGTATATGAAAATGGCTAAAACCGCGCTATAACCCTAGATTTCGTGACTATAGGATAAATATTTTTATAATTTTTGATTATCGGAAGCTACTAAAAACAGTATTAAAATAAACTACAATTTATCACTAGGCAGGTATAGGCTAAACGAAAAGAAGATGCCAACCGACCCCCGCTAAACTAACCGACCCCCGATAACCAGGAAGCACCCAGAATTGTTTTTTTAGCTTTTTGCGCAAAACAAGGGGTAAGCTTTCAGGTGTATGGCCCATGTGGAGATGACAAGTTCCTGTGTGGTGGTGTCTGCCTGCCGGCGAATACAATCTGCGAGCCGGATGCGAGATTCATGGAATTTGCCCCGTGCCCGTGGCCGTTGGTCCGCTGCCACGATCGATGCATTGATCCGATCTTCGGAACTTGCCTATAATAATCGGCACCCGGAATAAATTACTTATAACGCGTGGCTTTGGTATCTCTAATCGTAGACGTAGTGCCTAGGTTTAGGCAGGGCTTACCATAAAGTGTTTTTTATGGGCTGCAAATTCCATTCCGGGTCTAGCCCAGATTGTGCAGAATTTTCCGGTTCCGAACCTGTTTTCTAAAGTTGCGGACGAATCCGATCCCAAACGTTTGGACTTTGAAGCGATCTTTTCATTTTGGACTTTAGAACTGGTGTTTCCGATTTGGAATATGCATATGCCTAAATATCTGTGTGTGTGTGCCACTTTGCATCCACTTCCGTCTGTCTGTCCGGAGGATATCTTGATAGAGGATGGATTTTAAAGTACGTATGATACGTCATTAGGTGCGCAATGGTCTTGGAATGACTGCACACCTAACAGATTTTACAAAATTATCGATTTTCGACATTAAATTTTAGTTTTTGTGAAAGCTTCTTTGTTAAAAACGATTAGCATAGACCGGAAATGGGGACGCAACTATATAAAGCGGCAGAAGAAGTGGTTTTTCATTTTTTGCCATCTCAATTCAGGACAAGTATGCAAGGTGAAGCATAAAATGGTGTCAGACGGGGGCCAGCGTTGAGAAGCCGCGAAGCGGCATTTTAACCCTGGTACATATGAATAACTTTGCAGACTACATTTATGACGCAGCTTCTTATACGAAGCTTTAATTTCCTTAATATCTCTGCACAATTCCAAATCTTTATTAACCGCGCAACCAGTTGAGTCGGTACAGAAAAAGAGGCAGTCTCCAGAAATCTTGTTTTTCCAAGCAAGCACATAAAAATAAGGGCACAACATGGGCAATAAGGCAATCAAGCACACTTCACAGGACACCGACTTTGGCACGATTCGGCTGGGGGGAGGGAGGGGGGTAACTTGCTTTAAAAATAATGAGCAATTGCAATGGTCGGATAGGCCAATAAGGGGGACCAGTAGAGAAACATGGAATTGGTTCTTGATTTCGACGGCCTATAAAGCGAAGGTGGCATTTTAAAAGATAAGAATATTCTTACTAAATTAAGCTAGAAACGCTGAGATTATTAGGTGGGGCGGGGGGGGGGGTGGAAGAATCGAGGGCTAGTATTTTCCAAAAATGCGGATAAATAGAGGAATCAGGGTTTCCAGTATCTTATGGGATTCAAAGGGCTTTGCAAAGAGTTTTCTCTGGATTTCATCGTCAACGCGACAGGCAACGCACGGCGATTTTCGAAATGTCGAAATTAATGTGAAAAAAACCACTACAAGAGGAAAATCCACCACACGAAATTTCGAGGATGGGCGCGTTGCGTGTCGCGAAAATGGCAAATCCCAGATGAATGCTGGTCCCTCCCATACAGAAAATCGAAAGATTATTCATAAAAAAGTATATTAAAAATATTGACCATGAGTTAACAGCGCCTAATACGGGTTTCGCCGATGATTCGCCCGATGTTCGCCGCCAAGCGTGTAGAAAGCAGATGGGTCATTAGGATATGACACATATGGTTGGGTGGATGGCGGTCTGGCCGGTGGGGCACCCACTGGCGGTGTCATCAACGCCTCTTCGTGTGTCTGTGAAGCCGGCTTTGAGGCTACCTGAAACCAGCTTCATAATTAGGCTTAGGAGTGAGTCAAAGTGAGCCAAGCGCCAAGTTTAATCGTCGGATGAATTTTATTTCCAAAGCTAAGCCCAGGCCTGAACTCACGCCCAAGCCAGAGCCTACCCTGTCAAGTAAGCGCCATACCTTGTTGTACCACTCATGGTATGTCGTCTCGCCCATTCCATCTGGCATTGATTCATTTCCATTGCCGGAAGGAGCCGGGCTGCTGCTACCATTCTTGTTGGATGCCGTGGTGGCCTAAAGTTGGCCAGATAAAAATATTCCCTCTTCATAAAAATACCTGGCTGAAATGGCGTTGATGGGTTCCGTTGGGGCCTTGGAAGGCCTTGTTTTCGAAGCCGGCCATTGGTGGCTTCGTCCCCTTGGGTTGCACTGAAATCCAGCGGGTAATTGGGAGGTGACGTAGTTTTTGGATAATCTACAGTTACCTACGCTTCATCCCAAACCTAAACTGAAGCATACGCTTGCGAATATTCCAACAAGAAGCTGATTATTCAAGCAAATAGTTTATTCTGTATTTCTTAAAAACGCACATGTTCCATAGGGTCCGTAGAAGGCGGGGTTCGGCAGCGGGTATGAGTCCTAAATTTCAATTTTTAATACTGGTGCTTTAAGCTTTTTTCCCGAAAGTTCAAAGTTTTAATGAATTTTTGAAACATGCAAGGTTAGCCGTAATCAGAACGAGATATTTAACTTTTCCATAGTTAATGAAATCGGATAAGTGCTTGATCAAGAAGCAACGGCTGCGCTTGCAAAGTTTATTAAAGTCATCGGTCTATTTTTCTTTCGTTTTATCTATTTTCTAGCTTTCTATGTTTACTCATGTGCGCGTGTTGCATGTGGCGACCGCGGCGAAACGTAAAGCTAATCCCAATTCAGCAAAATCCATGGGTTTCCTTCCCATCCAGGTCCCTTTAAGACAGAAATACCGCCACCCGATGTAGTGAGTGAAATAGTGCTTTCCCCAAAACTAACCGCTTTGTAGGGGATATCTGTGTACGACTTGGCCTCGAGCGATTCCGACCTCATCGGACTCTGCAAAAACGGGTTAGGGGGGTGCAAAAAGACGACGGCTGTGCTTTTATCGGGGGGTTAGCAGCACAACGGGACTGTATTGGACGCCTATTCATTTTTTTGGAGCTGAGCCCACTTCCGACTACGTGGCTCAACTTACAAATTGATTCCTTGTCCTCCTGATACGACACATGATACAACAGCAGCAGACGAGCGCCAACAATAGCACCAGCGCCGCAATGGAGATGACGATGATGTTGCGCAACAGCTCGTTGTCGATTCTGTACATTTTTTAATGATTTATGACAAAAAATCGACTTTGGGGAGTCTTTTTTTTCAAAACCAAGATCGGTCGAATGTGTGCGGAATTTTTGCGCTAATCACGCAGATGTACTTTGCTTTAAAAAAACTAGGATCTTTATAAGGTTAGGGGTCGTTTTACTTTGAAAAATGTTTCGGTTTTGAAAATAATATACTTGCAAAACGGTAAATACCTGAGCCCGGCGAGCAGATTGTCGATGCTCTCATTCATCGGCTTCTCCTCCTTATGATTCTTTTGGGCGGGTCGGACAGGGACATCTGAGAATCAGCCAATTATTGGATTTCTAAAAGTCGACTCACCAATCTGCTTGACCTTGACGGTGGTGGGCTCGACGTCGAAGCCGGGCAATTCTCCGCGAAGCGCCGCGCCTTCGAGGAAAATGGCCACTTCACGCGCAAGGGGTTCTTGGCCGTTTGTGTCAACCTGAAAATGGGTTGGTTAAAGGTCAGGAAATAAAGTGGAAGAGAGAGGAGAGAGACAGCTGTCGCTAAAGCACTAATATTCTACCTCAAACTCGGCGATGACGCTACCCTTGGCGTAGTCGACAATCTTGGAGACGTGCATACCCTTCCACTTCTTTGCCAATAGCCCGTCGACGGCAGAAGATACCTAGACAATTCATTTAGAAAATATGATTGAAGCGACCTCTATGAAATATGAATTATGTCATGGAAAACTAGCAAAAAGCCGACCTCCTTGGTGAACGAGCGATAGTATTCGGTCTGCGGGTCGAGCAGTGATGGATGCCAATCGCGGTTGAGGATCCGTACTCGCAGTGAGTAGCGCTTCTTCGCATCCGGTAGGTACGACACGACTGGCGGCTTGGTGATGGCCGGCTGTTGGGTCGTCTAGATTCAAGAATAATCCGGATTAATTGTTTTCAGATCAGTTCAAATCCTAGCCTATAACCAAACCACCAAGTTCTTTTAGCTAGAACATGAGACTTTCACAACTTCAAAGCACACCTCGATCCGCTTTCCGGGGATTGTCGATGGGGCACGGGTAGAGCTAGGTGCCGTTCCCTTCGTCGTCGGCAATTCTGAGGACTCGGTGGCCTGATATTCTTCAGAATCCTCGTCCTCATCCTCATCCTCTTCCTCAGTCTTCTTCTCCTCCTTTGTGGTCTCGATCTTAGTGATGACGGGCTTCATCGTCGGCTGCTTGGCGGCTGCGTCAGCAGCAACGGTCGTGTGGCGTTCGCATACATTCAAGCAAATCTGCAACGTTCGGGAGCTACTGTGGTCTACCCGAGTCAATACCTTTGTCTGGCTGCTCGTTGGCGTCTCAGCGTGCTTCATCACTTCACCGCTCGAATCCAGCTGGCCACCCGATGGGGTGAAAAGGAAGTATTGGCACTCGGCCAGGGTCACGTCGTTCTGAAATCATTCCAGATGAAAGGAGACGCCATTCTTCACTTACCATGTCATTTGTAGCCAAACGTCGGCTAAAGTTTGCCATGACGCGGCCAGACTTGTAGCTCGTCTCTGGAAAAAGGAAACATGGATTGGCGAGTTGGTTTTTTGATACCAATATCGTAGACATCTTGCTCTTCATCAATGACCGGTCTACCGTAGTTTGGCATGAATTGATCGACAACGGAGACTTCTCCACGCTCCACAGAGATGACGACAACATCGGAATTGGCCTGGAGAAGTGCTCTTATGGTTTTTGATTTGAGGTTTGCAGAGTGCCAAGGTTCCGACGTTAAAGGTCTGGACAGCCGAAATACCGATATGACGAAATTCCGACCTCTAACAAGGGAACCACCCGAGGTCGAGATGGCGTTTCGTTATGGAATCCGGCCCATTTTGTGCAGAATTTTTCGCTGATTCCGAATACGCTGCTCATTTTTGCCCAATAGCTCGTTTTAAAAAGTTATAGCGCTTCAAAGTTCCATTTTTTCCCAAATTTGTCAACGTCAAAGCCATTTATTTTGCGTTTCCCTGCTGATTCATCAAAAACGAATATTGCCATCGTATTCAGAAAATTTTTCTCTATCGAATGAGCTATTTAACTCAAAATTGTTGGAAATCGAAAAAATCGACGATGGACTTCGTTTTTTGTATGGGAAATGGTGAAAAACAGGCTATTTCACACTCCCATAAGTGATCATCGATAGGCAGTAGCGCAGTAAATAAATATACCATCCGAATCAGAAAAAAATTCTCTACAAGATAGGCTATTTAAAATAGATTGGCATCAAAAAACAAAAAAGTTGGGCATCGTGACAGATGACCGCCCGCGGGCTCAAATATGATCTTTAAATTGCCGTAACTTTTTAAATCGGGCTATTTGGCAAAAATTGAAAGCGGATTCGGAATCAGCAAAAAATTCTGCACAAAATGGGCTGGGTTCCATAACGAAACGCCACCTCGACCCTAGGTGGTTCCCTTGTAAGATCCCGATAGGGGAAAAATTCCGTTAGGCTAAAAAGCCGATAAACGAAGGCAAAATCCCGATAAGAAAATAGCGATAGACGAATGAGCGGATCTACCCGAAAGTATAGGCTCAGGATCAGATCAGACAAAAAACTTACCATGCCTCCATCATTGGAGAAGCCGATGGCCGTCCAGCGTCGATCGGAAAGTGCGGCTTCAAGACGGAAGGAGATCTCCTTTCCGTCGGAATTCCATTCGACATAATACGGGCATATGGCTCGCTCGCAACCTCTGGGGAATGAGAAGCGCCCAGAGCATGATGGGAACCCATCCTAAAAATGCTGGCATTAAAGAGACCCCGAAACAGGCTCCAAACCTAAGAGAAGCTTTAAGCTACCAAATTTCATACCTCCTCCGGCTTCGGCGCATCCGGAATATTTGGCAATGGTCGGGCGGCAGGGCTTTGTGTTGTAGTAGATGGTGACGACACCGTCTTGAGCACTTCTTCAGTGGCCGCATCAAAGAAGTTGATTGTCAACACTCCGCGACGATCCTTCCCGTGATATTTGAAGAGATCTTGGCCAAAGAAGGCAGGATCAGCTCGAATTGGGGCTCCTCCGGTGGTGTGTTGATATCTGGAAAATTAGTTCCTGAATGGTTTCTTTAGGTTCCATGGGAAAGTTCACTATGAGAGATGTTCTTTTCTGCTCACCTCTCCGGATCGGCTCCCTTAGCCCATACTACAGTCATTGGTCCCGGGGCAATGGTATGATCGGCCGGGTGATCGGCTGAAGTTCAAAAATATGTGAAAAATACCGTATGTTCCATTACCTTCCAATTTGCGCCTAAATACAATTGTCGTCACGCCGTCCTCTTGATATGCGGAGGCTCCGCTCAGATCATCCGAACCGCCGAAGAACGAATCCATGCGTGGGGTGGCCTGGAATTTGAAACAGTTGGGGGAAATGGCACGATGTGTAGATTAAGGATTGATATTGCCTACCTTGCTAGGTGAGTACATATCTCTGACACGGCCCTTTCCGTCAAAGACCGATCCGACAACCATGTCAGTGCAAGACATCGCACTTCCTGAATTCGGAAAATTGTATTTGAATTTTCAATACTAGTGGAGGGCTAAAGGGACGGGGGAATCTCAAGCGAATTAATTTTTCCGTTCGCTAGTAATCGACAGCTGTTCCTAACTACAGGGTGTCCCAAAAAAAACCCTACCTAGCGGTCCGCAGTCGATTCCGATTTTTACGATTTAGGTATCTATCGAAAGCTCTCGAAAAGGCGAGAAAAAGAAGGGTTCATTTTCTTAATTAAGCATTTTTATTCGCTAATTTTATGTCCAAAACCCATGAAAACTGCTGATTTATGCGAGATCTGCATGCTAATTGCGAAATTCCTGATGAAAAATTCCCGGTTTTAGGAAAACCTTGAATATCGATGTAATCAGATTAAATCTTCGAAAACGAAACCCGCTTTCGCCTTTTCGATAGCTTTCGATAGGTAGTTAAATCATAAAAATTGGACTTGACTGCGGACCGCTAGGTAGGGGAGGTTTGGACACCCTGTAGTATAAGCGTTCGGATAAATCCTAGTCATCATTCGGCGGAATTCGGTCCCCTCTTAAAGCCACAAACCAGTGGTAGCTGCTTGAGCTGCTTGCTGTTGGAGGGCTTGGCGACGGACGCGCACGCGATGCGGCGGCTTGACAGGTGATCCCTGTCCGTCACAGATGCAAATCTTGTTCTTGGAGACCTTCGGCGCTTGATCATGATAGCCGATGGGGGTGCGGGCATTGGCAAAGTCTTGAGTGTTGCGAGCGAACACACGACCTAAATGGGTGGTTTGCTGTCAGCTTGTCGAAATTTTAATATGTGAATTTTATTTTTTTTTTGTAAAAGTGACAAAAACTCACCTCCTCCAATAGGATACAAGAAGTAGTAGCACTCATCGAGTGGCAGATCGGTCACCTTGTCCTTGGGCACTAATGGGCGACGGAATGAAATGGTCTGCATCTCATCCACCATCTTGCCTTCGACCTACAACAATGAAAACGTTGTCAAAAGGAACCCAACGTACCTCGTAGATATCATTGCGGTCGGCGGGGTCGATGGCCGGAAGCTGGCGGCCATAAGCGTAACGGTCAGTCACGTAGCCCTTACCCTCATAAACCTGTAATCGTAGAAATTGTCCATTGTGTTGATGAGCCGTTTAAAGGCATACCCAAGGTTTTGGAGGCAAATATATAGTTATGGATTACGGGCAGTACAAATGACGCGCGAATTTTGTGCGGCAATGGGGCGCCATTGCCGCACAGAATTCGGCCACCTTCCCTCTTCTGGCGTCCCCATCCCACGCAATGGCTTGCCACTATGGCCTAATGGATAGCATCCAGGCCTACGAACCCGGAGGTCCCGGGTTCGACCCCCGCCCGCGGCATGGTTTTTGCTTTTTGAGCCCCGAAAAGGTTGGGCATCCCTTTAATCTTAACAATAACTTGAAATCCACTAAACATACCCATCCAGTATAAATATCCGAGTTGGCCATGCCACCATCGCGGGAGAATCCGATTCCGGTCCAGCGTCCCGGTTCTTTAGACGAGATCTAGAAAGAAGCAGAATAAATGGTACCCGACTTTTTTGTTACCTCGAATTTCACATCCTTTCTCTTCTCATCGTAGCTCCACTTAGCAATATATTCACAAGCCGTATCGACGCACGATGGTGGGTATCGGTACTCCGTCTCACACATTTCATCCTTCTTCCCTTCAGTTCGGTTCGTGATTTGGTACGATTTTTTTTACTAACCTGTGGTTGGCTTCTCGTCCTCTTCGGCAAGGCAGCTGGCAACGCAAACGAGGTTCGGGCTGACGATCGGGGTTGAAGCGTGGATCGTGATGTTTCCGTTCTACAAAGTGCTCAATTTCATGGCGTTTTGAATTTGTAATACGAGTTGTTGCGACTAGGCTTGGGCTCAAGCCGACTGTAAAGTGTTTTTACTCAGGCTGGCGTTTTGGAATGGGACCAAGACTATCTTGTTCAGAATTTTTTGCTGATTCCGAATCCGTTTTCCAAATTTGCTGCGGACTTCGCGTTGAAAAGTCATTTCATGTCGAAATTAAGCCAAAAAACGGCATAAATTCGGATGCTGGCCCACTATTCCCTGTAGGGACCCAGGTATTGCTGTGCCCCTTATCTACCCCTCCGAAGCCCCCACCCCAGTTGGCACCATGGTGGATTGGCAAGGGGTTCGCTTGCGAAGCACAGGGCCGCGGTTCAAACCCCGCCCTGCACAATTTATTTTGCTTTTTGCACATAAACAGATAATTTTTTGCCTAAATATCTGTGTGTGTGTGCCACTTTGCATCCACTTCCGTCTGTCTGTCCGGAGGATATCTTGATAGAGGATGGATTTTAAAGTACGTATGATACGTCATTAGGTGCGCAATGGTCTTGGAATGACTGCACACCTAACAGATTTTACAAAATTATCGATTTTCGACATTAAATTTTAGTTTTTGTGAAAGCTTCTTTGTTAAAAACGATTAGCATAGACCGGAAATGGGGACGCAACTATATAAAGCGGCAGAAGAAGTGGTTTTTCATTTTTTGCCATCTCAATTCAGGACAAGTATGCAAGGTGAAGCATAAAATGGTGTCAGACGGGGGCCAGCGTTGAGAAGCCGCGAAGCGGCATTTTAACCCTGGTACATATGAATAACTTTGCAGACTACATTTATGACGCAGCTTCTTATACGAAGCTTTAATTTCCTTAATATCTCTGCACAATTCCAAATCTTTATTAACCGCGCAACCAGTTGAGTCGGTACAGAAAAAGAGGCAGTCTCCAGAAATCTTGTTTTTCCAAGCAAGCACATAAAAATAAGGGCACAACATGGGCAATAAGGCAATCAAGCACACTTCACAGGACACCGACTTTGGCACGATTCGGCTGGGGGGGGGGGAGGGGGGTAACTTGCTTTAAAAATAATGAGCAATTGCAATGGTCGGATAGGCCAATAAGGGGGACCAGTAGAGAAACATGGAATTGGTTCTTGATTTCGACGGCCTATAAAGCGAAGGTGGCATTTTAAAAGATAAGAATATTCTTACTAAATTAAGCTAGAAACGCTGAGATTATTAGGTGGGGCGGGGTGGGGGTGGAAGAATCGAGGGCTAGTATTTTCCAAAAATGCGGATAAATAGAGGAATCAGGGTTTCCAGTATCTTATGGGATTCAAAGGGCTTTGCAAAGAGTTTTCTCTGGATTTCATCGTCAACGCGACAGGCAACGCACGGCGATTTTCGAAATGTCGAAATTAATGTGAAAAAAACCACTACAAGAGGAAAATCCACCACACGAAATTTCGAGGATGGGCGCGTTGCGTGTCGCGAAAATGGCAAATCCCAGATGAATGCTGGTCCCTCCCATACAGAAAATCGAAAGATTATTCATAAAAAAGTATATTAAAAATATTGACCATGAGTTAACAGCGCCTAATACGGGTTTCGCCGATGATTCGCCCGATGTTCGCCGCCAAGCGTGTAGAAAGCAGATGGGTCATTAGGATATGACACATATGGTTGGGTGGATGGCGGTCTGGCCGGTGGGGCACCCACTGGCGGTGTCATCAACGCCTCTTCGTGTGTCTGTGAAGCCGGCTTTGAGGCTACCTGAAACCAGCTTCATAATTAGGCTTAGGAGTGAGTCAAAGTGAGCCAAGCGCCAAGTTTAATCGTCGGATGAATTTTATTTCCAAAGCTAAGCCCAGGCCTGAACTCACGCCCAAGCCAGAGCCTACCCTGTCAAGTAAGCGCCATACCTTGTTGTACCACTCATGGTATGTCGTCTCGCCCATTCCATCTGGCATTGATTCATTTCCATTGCCGGAAGGAGCCGGGCTGCTGCTACCATTCTTGTTGGATGCCGTGGTGGCCTAAAGTTGGCCAGATAAAAATATTCCCTCTTCATAAAAATACCTGGCTGAAATGGCGTTGATGGGTTCCGTTGGGGCCTTGGAAGGCCTTGTTTTCGAAGCCGGCCATTGGTGGCTTCGTCCCCTTGGGTTGCACTGAAATCCAGCGGGTAATTGGGAGGTGACGTAGTTTTTGGATAATCTACAGTTACCTACGCTTCATCCCAAACCTAAACTGAAGCATACGCTTGCGAATATTCCAACAAGAAGCTGATTATTCAAGCAAATAGTTTATTCTGTATTTCTTAAAAACGCACATGTTCCATAGGGTCCGTAGAAGGCGGGGTTCGGCAGCGGGTATGAGTCCTAAATTTCAATTTTTAATACTGGTGCTTTAAGCTTTTTTCCCGAAAGTTCAAAGTTTTAATGAATTTTTGAAACATGCAAGGTTAGCCGTAATCAGAACGAGATATTTAACTTTTCCATAGTTAATGAAATCGGATAAGTGCTTGATCAAGAAGCAACGGCTGCGCTTGCAAAGTTTATTAAAGTCATCGGTCTATTTTTCTTTCGTTTTATCTATTTTCTAGCTTTCTATGTTTACTCATGTGCGCGTGTTGCATGTGGCGACCGCGGCGAAACGTAAAGCTAATCCCAATTCAGCAAAATCCATGGGTTTCCTTCCCATCCAGGTCCCTTTAAGACAGAAATACCGCCACCCGATGTAGTGAGTGAAATAGTGCTTTCCCCAAAACTAACCGCTTTGTAGGGGATATCTGTGTACGACTTGGCCTCGAGCGATTCCGACCTCATCGGACTCTGCAAAAACGGGTTAGGGGGTGCAAAAAGACGACGGCTGTGCTTTTATCGGGGGGTTAGCAGCACAACGGGACTGTATTGGACGCCTATTCATTTTTTGGAGCTGAGCCCACTTCCGACTACGTGGCTCAACTTACAAATTGATTCCTTGTCCTCCTGATACGACACATGATACAACAGCAGCAGACGAGCGCCAACAATAGCACCAGCGCCGCAATGGAGATGACGATGATGTTGCGCAACAGCTCGTTGTCGATTCTGTACATTTTTTAATGATTTATGACAAAAAATCGACTTTGGGGAGTCTTTTTTTCAAAACCAAGATCGGTCGAATGTGTGCGGAATTTTTGCGCTAATCACGCAGATGTACTTTGCTTTAAAAAAACTAGGATCTTTATAAGGTTAGGGGTCGTTTTACTTTGAAAAATGTTTCGGTTTTGAAAATAATATACTTGCAAAACGGTAAATACCTGAGCCCGGCGAGCAGATTGTCGATGCTCTCATTCATCGGCTTCTCCTCCTTATGATTCTTTTGGGCGGGTCGGACAGGGACATCTGAGAATCAGCCAATTATTGGATTTCTAAAAGTCGACTCACCAATCTGCTTGACCTTGACGGTGGTGGGCTCGACGTCGAAGCCGGGCAATTCTCCGCGAAGCGCCGCGCCTTCGAGGAAAATGGCCACTTCACGCGCAAGGGGTTCTTGGCCGTTTGTGTCAACCTGAAAATGGGTTGGTTAAAGGTCAGGAAATAAAGTGGAAGAGAGAGGAGAGAGACAGCTGTCGCTAAAGCACTAATATTCTACCTCAAACTCGGCGATGACGCTACCCTTGGCGTAGTCGACAATCTTGGAGACGTGCATACCCTTCCACTTCTTTGCCAATAGCCCGTCGACGGCAGAAGATACCTAGACAATTCATTTAGAAAATATGATTGAAGCGACCTCTATGAAATATGAATTATGTCATGGAAAACTAGCAAAAGCCGACCTCCTTGGTGAACGAGCGATAGTATTCGGTCTGCGGGTCGAGCAGTGATGGATGCCAATCGCGGTTGAGGATCCGTACTCGCAGTGAGTAGCGCTTCTTCGCATCCGGTAGGTACGACACGACTGGCGGCTTGGTGATGGCCGGCTGTTGGGTCGTCTAGATTCAAGAATAATCCGGATTAATTGTTTTCAGATCAGTTCAAATCCTAGCCTATAACCAAACCACCAAGTTCTTTTAGCTAGAACATGAGACTTTCACAACTTCAAAGCACACCTCGATCCGCTTTCCGGGGATTGTCGATGGGGCACGGGTAGAGCTAGGTGCCGTTCCCTTCGTCGTCGGCAATTCTGAGGACTCGGTGGCCTGATATTCTTCAGAATCCTCGTCCTCATCCTCATCCTCTTCCTCAGTCTTCTTCTCCTCCTTTGTGGTCTCGATCTTAGTGATGACGGGCTTCATCGTCGGCTGCTTGGCGGCTGCGTCAGCAGCAACGGTCGTGTGGCGTTCGCATACATTCAAGCAAATCTGCAACGTTCGGGAGCTACTGTGGTCTACCCGAGTCAATACCTTTGTCTGGCTGCTCGTTGGCGTCTCAGCGTGCTTCATCACTTCACCGCTCGAATCCAGCTGGCCACCCGATGGGGTGAAAAGGAAGTATTGGCACTCGGCCAGGGTCACGTCGTTCTGAAATCATTCCAGATGAAAGGAGACGCCATTCTTCACTTACCATGTCATTTGTAGCCAAACGTCGGCTAAAGTTTGCCATGACGCGGCCAGACTTGTAGCTCGTCTCTGGAAAAAGGAAACATGGATTGGCGAGTTGGTTTTTTGATACCAATATCGTAGACATCTTGCTCTTCATCAATGACCGGTCTACCGTAGTTTGGCATGAATTGATCGACAACGGAGACTTCTCCACGCTCCACAGAGATGACGACAACATCGGAATTGGCCTGGAGAAGTGCTCTTATGGTTTTTGATTTGAGGTTTGCAGAGTGCCAAGGTTCCGACGTTAAAGGTCTGGACAGCCGAAATACCGATATGACGAAATTCCGACCTCTAACAAGGGAACCACCCGAGGTCGAGATGGCGTTTCGTTATGGAATCCGGCCCATTTTGTGCAGAATTTTTCGCTGATTCCGAATACGCTGCTCATTTTTGCCCAATAGCTCGTTTTAAAAAGTTATAGCGCTTCAAAGTTCCATTTTTTCCCAAATTTGTCAACGTCAAAGCCATTTATTTTGCGTTTCCCTGCTGATTCATCAAAACGAATATTGCCATCGTATTCAGAAAATTTTTCTCTATCGAATGAGCTATTTAACTCAAAATTGTTGGAAATCGAAAAAAATCGACGATGGACTTCGTTTTTTGTATGGGAAATGGTGAAAAACAGGCTATTTCACACTCCCATAAGTGATCATCGATAGGCAGTAGCGCAGTAAATAAATATACCATCCGAATCAGAAAAAAATTCTCTACAAGATAGGCTATTTAAAATAGATTGGCATCAAAAAACAAAAAAGTTGGGCATCGTGACAGATGACCGCCCGCGGGCTCAAATATGATCTTTAAATTGCCGTAACTTTTTTAAATCGGGCTATTTGGCAAAAATTGAAAGCGGATTCGGAATCAGCAAAAAATTCTGCACAAAATGGGCTGGGTTCCATAACGAAACGCCACCTCGACCCTAGGTGGTTCCCTTGTAAGATCCCGATAGGGGAAAATTCCGTTAGGCTAAAAAAGCCGATAAACGAAGGCAAAATCCCGATAAGAAAATAGCGATAGACGAATGAGCGGATCTACCCGAAAGTATAGGCTCAGGATCAGATCAGACAAAAAAACTTACCATGCCTCCATCATTGGAGAAGCCGATGGCCGTCCAGCGTCGATCGGAAAGTGCGGCTTCAAGACGGAAGGAGATCTCCTTTCCGTCGGAATTCCATTCGACATAATACGGGCATATGGCTCGCTCGCAACCTCTGGGGAATGAGAAGCGCCCAGAGCATGATGGGAACCCATCCTAAAAATGCTGGCATTAAAGAGACCCCGAAACAGGCTCCAAACCTAAGAGAAGCTTTAAGCTACCAAATTTCATACCTCCTCCGGCTTCGGCGCATCCGGAATATTTGGCAATGGTCGGGCGGCAGGGCTTTGTGTTGTAGTAGATGGTGACGACACCGTCTTGAGCACTTCTTCAGTGGCCGCATCAAAGAAGTTGATTGTCAACACTCCGCGACGATCCTTCCCGTGATATTTGAAGAGATCTTGGCCAAAGAAGGCAGGATCAGCTCGAATTGGGGCTCCTCCGGTGGTGTGTTGATATCTGGAAAATTAGTTCCTGAATGGTTTCTTTAGGTTCCATGGGAAAGTTCACTATGAGAGATGTTCTTTTCTGCTCACCTCTCCGGATCGGCTCCCTTAGCCCATACTACAGTCATTGGTCCCGGGGCAATGGTATGATCGGCCGGGTGATCGGCTGAAGTTCAAAAATATGTGAAAAATACCGTATGTTCCATTACCTTCCAATTTGCGCCTAAATACAATTGTCGTCACGCCGTCCTCTTGATATGCGGAGGCTCCGCTCAGATCATCCGAACCGCCGAAGAACGAATCCATGCGTGGGGTGGCCTGGAATTTGAAACAGTTGGGGGAAATGGCACGATGTGTAGATTAAGGATTGATATTGCCTACCTTGCTAGGTGAGTACATATCTCTGACACGGCCCTTTCCGTCAAAGACCGATCCGACAACCATGTCAGTGCAAGACATCGCACTTCCTGAATTCGGAAAATTGTATTTGAATTTTCAATACTAGTGGAGGGCTAAAGGGACGGGGGAATCTCAAGCGAATTAATTTTTCCGTTCGCTAGTAATCGACAGCTGTTCCTAACTACAGGGTGTCCCAAAAAAAAACCCTACCTAGCGGTCCGCAGTCGATTCCGATTTTTACGATTTAGGTATCTATCGAAAGCTCTCGAAAAGGCGAGAAAAAAGAAGGGTTCATTTTCTTAATTAAGCATTTTTATTCGCTAATTTTATGTCCAAAACCCATGAAAACTGCTGATTTATGCGAGATCTGCATGCTAATTGCGAAATTCCTGATGAAAAATTCCCGGTTTTAGGAAAACCTTGAATATCGATGTAATCAGATTAAATCTTCGAAAACGAAACCCGCTTTCGCCTTTTCGATAGCTTTCGATAGGTAGTTAAATCATAAAAATTGGACTTGACTGCGGACCGCTAGGTAGGGGAGGTTTGGACACCCTGTAGTATAAGCGTTCGGATAAATCCTAGTCATCATTCGGCGGAATTCGGTCCCCTCTTAAAGCCACAAACCAGTGGTAGCTGCTTGAGCTGCTTGCTGTTGGAGGGCTTGGCGACGGACGCGCACGCGATGCGGCGGCTTGACAGGTGATCCCTGTCCGTCACAGATGCAAATCTTGTTCTTGGAGACCTTCGGCGCTTGATCATGATAGCCGATGGGGGTGCGGGCATTGGCAAAGTCTTGAGTGTTGCGAGCGAACACACGACCTAAATGGGTGGTTTGCTGTCAGCTTGTCGAAATTTTAATATGTGAATTTTATTTTTTTTTTTGTAAAAGTGACAAAAACTCACCTCCTCCAATAGGATACAAGAAGTAGTAGCACTCATCGAGTGGCAGATCGGTCACCTTGTCCTTGGGCACTAATGGGCGACGGAATGAAATGGTCTGCATCTCATCCACCATCTTGCCTTCGACCTACAACAATGAAAACGTTGTCAAAAGGAACCCAACGTACCTCGTAGATATCATTGCGGTCGGCGGGGTCGATGGCCGGAAGCTGGCGGCCATAAGCGTAACGGTCAGTCACGTAGCCCTTACCCTCATAAACCTGTAATCGTAGAAATTGTCCATTGTGTTGATGAGCCGTTTAAAGGCATACCCAAGGTTTTGGAGGCAAATATATAGTTATGGATTACGGGCAGTACAAATGACGCGCGAATTTTGTGCGGCAATGGGGCGCCATTGCCGCACAGAATTCGGCCACCTTTCCCTCTTCTGGCGTCCCCATCCCACGCAATGGCTTGCCACTATGGCCTAATGGATAGCATCCAGGCCTACGAACCCGGAGGTCCCGGGTTCGACCCCCGCCCGCGGCATGGTTTTTGCTTTTTGAGCCCCGAAAAGGTTGGGCATCCCTTTAATCTTAACAATAACTTGAAATCCACTAAACATACCCATCCAGTATAAATATCCGAGTTGGCCATGCCACCATCGCGGGAGAATCCGATTCCGGTCCAGCGTCCCGGTTCTTTAGACGAGATCTAGAAAGAAGCAGAATAAATGGTATCCGACTTTTTTGTTACCTCGAATTTCACATCCTTTCTCTTCTCATCGTAGCTCCACTTAGCAATATATTCACAAGCCGTATCGACGCACGATGGTGGGTATCGGTACTCCGTCTCACACATTTCATCCTTCTTCCCTTCAGTTCGGTTCGTGATTTGGTACGATTTTTTTTACTAACCTGTGGTTGGCTTCTCGTCCTCTTCGGCAAGGCAGCTGGCAACGCAAACGAGGTTCGGGCTGACGATCGGGGTTGAAGCGTGGATCGTGATGTTTCCGTTCTACAAAGTGCTCAATTTCATGGCGTTTTGAATTTGTAATACGAGTTGTTGCGACTAGGCTTGGGCTCAAGCCGACTGTAAAGTGTTTTTACTCAGGCTGGCGTTTTGGAATGGGACCAAGACTATCTTGTTCAGAATTTTTTGCTGATTCCGAATCCGTTTTCCAAATTTGCTGCGGACTTCGCGTTGAAAAGTCATTTCATGTCGAAATTAAGCCAAAAAACGGCATAAATTCGGATGCTGGCCCACTATTCCCTGTAGGGACCCAGGTATTGCTGTGCCCCTTATCTACCCCTCCGAAGCCCCCACCCCAGTTGGCACCATGGTGGATTGGCAAGGGGTTCGCTTGCGAAGCACAGGGCCGCGGTTCAAACCCCGCCCTGCACAATTTATTTTGCTTTTTGCACATAAACAGATAATTTTTTGCATAAAATCGTAATTTGATCTCTAAAACCGTTACCGACCCAGTTTTAACGATGAAGATGAAGACAACTTAAAAATAACGCAAAAATATCCGGATTTTGACACTTTTTATCGTATAAATGTCAAATAACTTTTTAATTAAAAGTCGGCAGCAGATTTGGAAATCAGATTCGAAATCAGCGCAAAATTCTGCACAAGATATTCTTGGTCCCATCCCAAAACGCCAGCCTGAGTAAAAACACTTTACAGTTAGGGTCAGGCTTAGGCTCAGGCTTACAGACGGCCAGGCAGGGTTTTGCTTCGGCTCAGATAACGTGTTTGCGCAAACATGCACTTAGGTTCAGGTTAAGCTCGGGCTAAGCTTTTGGTGAACCAGCAAGAATCCATACAAACCTCATCAAGCCGTCCACCCTCAACGGGGAACAGGAAATGCTGGCAGACGGTATTCGAAAACGCCAAGTCTTTGGCGTCGCCGGTGCTGCGCTTGCGCGTGAATTGGGCGCGGAGAACGCCATTGGCATGGGTGCCGATGACGGTGGAAGTGGAATAGACATCTTGCGAGGCATCAAGGCTGGGCACGCCGTAGGAGGAGGATGACATGTCGAGGAGGCTCAACTTGCCGTTTGCAGACTTGACGATAATCATATCAGCGTCGGCCTAAAGGGGGAGCATGACAACGGTTGGGGGAATTTTGATGTTACCATGCTTCCACTAGGGCTGAAGCCGACTCCGGTCCACCAGTTTTGCGGGGCCTTCGTCTCCAGGGAGAATTCAATCTCGTCCGACTCATCCACATAGTTCCACGAGATCTGAAAGGTTCACCAGTACTATTATACATCACTATGATGTAGAGGCTTTTGCGGTAGCCTTTGTTTTTCCGATTTTTAGGTACTATTCTGTTAGCGGGGGAACGACCCTATAATGAGCTACAAATTATTTCTATAAATGCGGATTTTAGACAGTTTTAGACAAAAAAAACCATTAAAAAAATTGGTTTTGTTGCTAAAAATGTATCAAAAATGGCCAGATAGGCCATAAATTTTTAACATATTCCTAATAGCTTATGAGCAATTAAAAACTACTAAAAATAGTTTGAAGCCACTATTTGTTTTATCCGGAAGATCTCGAGGGAAAAACAAAAATTAAATTCCGCCCCCCCCCCCCCCCCCCCCGATTTATCGATTTTTACCCGACCGACGGTCATTCTACCGCATCTATTTATGCACGCTAAAATTACTAAGGTGCAAAAACTCTATTTTCGATTCCGATACCTTATAATCGCAGTCCTTGCACCCCTCCGGATATCGCCAATCGCCATAGCACTTTTCGTTGTCGGTAGACAGCTCGGAATCGTCGTGTTCGGTGGAGGCGCGGGCGGCGGTTGTCGGGGCCCGCGTGGTTTGTAGGCTGATCGAATTGGCCTCTGAGGCAGAAATAAGGTCCAATTCTATAGCTTCAACGTACTGTTATTGCGTGGTTGTTTCGGGCATTCACCCCAATACACACATCCTCCGTTCGACCGGGCGAACCCTTGGATACACGCGCAGTCCGGATCCTCGCATTTATCGCAGGCCGCTCTGAGAATTTTTTGTTTGATGCCGTCAACAAAAATTAAAGGGGCTCCGAACTGCCAAATCAAAGCCCTTTTGGGAGGCCTCTTTGATTTCTGGCAAATTGCCAGCGGGCGCTGCGGGACAAGAGCCCTCACTCTTTCGATTTTTGCGCGAAGTTATTTTTGCCCGGTTTCTTTGGGAAAACACTATAATTTGCGCATTCTGAGCCCATTTTTGAAATCCTCACGCAATTTTAAATAGTTTTGTTGCTTTAATCATCAAATTTGGCCCAGAAACAGCCGAGAACGTGATTTCGAGGTGACAACAGGGAATTTCAAATTTGCGAGCTTCCCGCGCCTCTAGGTGTACAGAGGCCTCCCATGTACAGGGCTCCCATTTTCGGGCCGTCACTCAATTTTTGGCATTTCGTAGCCTCTTTAAGGAAATACAGGGTGTCCCAAAAAAACGAGCCATCTGGCATTTCGCCGTGTCACATCCAATCGGTCCCAAAATTGGACGCGAGGTGTATCAGACCCTAAATAACAACAATCCTGACTTTTAGCCCCGTAGCTACAGTTGTTTTAAATTAATAACGAAAATACTATTTTTCCCGCCATTATAAACAGTTTTTTGGACTCTGCAGCGATTTGCATCGACATCCCAAATTTCGCTTACGATCTGGGGTAATTTTGCGTTGTAAAAATAGCTGAAATCTAAGCTTATTTTCCAATTTTGCTACGGAAAAATTTCTTAAGGTAAAGTAGGCCTACCGATTCATTTTCACTTAATGTTTAGAGGGTCTAATTTCACGGAAACCCTATGAAAAAATGGAAAACAAAGCGTATTTTTGTTATAACTCTAGAACTACTACAGCAACGAGGCTATAGCTCAGGATTGTTGTTATTTAGGGTTTGATACAGCTCTGGTCCAAATTTGGGACCGATTGGATGTAACACGGCCAAATGCCAGATGGGTCGTTTTTTTGGGACACCCTGTAGATTCCGGAACGGTATCTAGAACCAAACTTCTTTCTCTACAGGGTGTCCCAAAAAAAATCCCCCCTCCCCCCCTAGCCGGCCGTAGACGGGTCCGATTTTACGATTTAGGTATCTATCGAAAGCTCTCGGAAAGGCGAGTCCAGCACGTCTCTTCGATTCTCATAATTTGGAATTTTTTCCATCAGTTACTTATGTTTTTGCAAAATGGGCGGTTTTTCTGATGTTGTTCTGACCAGGGGATTTTTTACAAAAATCGCAATTTAAGAATTTCTACGCGTCTCCTGGCAACCCAACGACAGCTTTTTGAAAGCCGTTTGCCAAAACACAGCTTGGACAGCGCTTAAACCGGTTAAATTGCGTTTTGAACAAAAAAGTCTGTCCTTTTGGCTTGAAAAATGCCGAAAATCGAGCAAAAAATTCCGACATTTCGCAAATCCGCAAGACGGGCTGGACTCGCCTTTCCGAGAGCTTTCGATAGATACCTAAATCGTAAAAATCGGACCCGTCTGCGGCCGGCTAGGGGGGGGGGAATTTTTTGAGACACCCTGTATATGTAAAGTTTATCCACCTGGTGGCAATAGTAGCACAATCGGCCTCACATGCCCTTCCGCACTCGGTCATTGTCTCGTTGACCGGGCATACAGTTTGCGCGGGTTTCAGTTGCTAAAAAATGGGGAAAGAAAATTTTAAACAGTGCCAACTCTCGTACCTTTTTGGTGGTGCCGGGTGTGGTGGTGGTCTTGATCACGACTTCAGCAGAAGACACCTCCGCCGACTCGACCATTTTCACCGTGTCGTCGGCGAACTGCTGGGCAACGTCTGAAAATATGGAGTTGGGCCCTGTTTTACACCTGAGAAAACCGTTAGTTTGGCCCTCTAAGAAGACGGGCATGACTAGGGAATAGTAATTTGAGAAGTAGACACGCAACGCTACACTCAACGCGATCCGCGCTGCGCTCCGTGTGCGTCCCTTGAAAATGCAAGAGAAAACATACTCGGACAGTCTTCCCACATAATGCATACGCCGTTGAAGCGTACGTGGTTATCCGCGCAAGTGCAGTCGGGTTTCTGAACGCATACTAGTTCATTGAAAATTACATATCAATCTTATCTTGCAAGAGGGCATTGTCTATCGCGATTCCTAAAAAACCTCACCTCACAAGTAGCCGGGCATGGCGACGTGTCGTACATATTTTCGCAGCTCGGTTCGCAGGCCGTACCGCATTTAGCGTATGTCGCGTTCGCCGGACAGTGGGGGTCTTCCTAAAGGAAAAGATTGGATGTATTTTAGAGGTGCTGTACGTGGGAGTCGTTATAGGTGATGCGTTTTAGGCCGTTTTGGCGCATTTTTGGACACCGCCTAGAAAATTTTGAAATGGAACCTTTTTTCAATAACTGTCCTCATTCAAAAATTTTTGAACGTTGGGACCAGGGGCGTAGCCAGAAAAAAATTTCGGGGGGCCCCACAAATTTTTCCAAAAAAAACTCATTACACTAACGACAAAACAGCGCCTGGCAGGCCGCAGGCAAAAATTTTGGAAAAAAGGTTACATAGCTCTACAAATAGGCGGAAAAACGTGAAAAAAATAGCGCCGCAGGCACCAAAATTTTTAAGAAAATCAAAAGCATAAGGAATTATGAAATTTTCGGGCCCCGGCCGATTTCGGGGGGGGGGGGCGGGCCCAGGAGGCCCACCTTACGCTACGTCCCTGGTTGGGACACGTACAGAATTTGAAGCTCTACTAAATGAGCCACGTGATGTTGTTTCGCCACCCGGTTTATGGTATATATACCGACCTCGGCGGCACAGTACTCGAACGGCACACATTGGCTGTTGTCGTTGGCCTGTCGAACGAGCCCCTCTTTGCACACACATCTCGGCTCGCCGCACTGTCGCGGGCAATTCGGGATCGTTTCAGGGAATCTGAAGCGTTGAACACGTAAAAATAAACAAGTTGTGCTTGACTATGAATCCCTGGTTCTTTAGGATTCCCGGGGGAAGTATTCCCGGGGGAAAACAAATTTTTTTTCGGCGAAAGCCTAGATTTTTGTATAAATTGCGGATGCGTTTCTAAATTGTTTTTAACTATCCCTGTGCATAAAAACTACACACATTTTAACCAAAAAAAATGTAAAAAATTAAAAATTAGGTCGAAAAATAGACCCAAAATGACCAAATTTTCGACTTTTTCAAACATTTTTCTAAATTTTTCTGAAAGTTATTCTGCTTTAAATATAGTTAAAACTTACTAAAAACAATTCGAAAACTCTTTATATTTGATTACTAGGTCAACCGGGACCACCAGGAAAAAATTGGTTTCCCCCCGGGAATACTTTCCCCCGGGAATCCTAAAGAACCGAATCCCTTCTAGCTTTTGCCTACCGTGTCCAATCACAGCTGGCCTCACACTCGCGTGACATCTCCGGGCATTTCGAGAACACCTCATTCGGCCCGCACGTGACGGCTGTAGATGGGAACATTACGGAAAAACATCGGCGTCGAGCTTTAGTTTTGATTTTTCCCAGAACTGGTGAAGTGCTACATGCAATACTCGGCTTAAAATTAGAAATTTTAGCTGCTTATTTAGATTCCAAATTAAATAAAGAATAATTCCTATGTGCAAAACATATCTGAGGGGCTAGCATGCCATTGTTTTACGGTTTCATACCCTGCTCCTCGATCTGCTCGGCCAGTTCGGCCGACGACAATGTGATGGCGGGTGGTTTAGTTGTTGTGCTGGTAGCAACACTGGCTGGTGAGGTCTTGGTCGTGCCTGCCGGTGTCGTGGATGCCGTTGTAGTTGTCCCTTTAGAAGCAGTCGTGGTAGACAAGGGCTTGGCCGTTGATGTTGCGGACGTCTTCTCGGCACTCATCAAATCGGGGGTGACGTGGAAGGGCAGATCGGTTGTGTCTTCGTCTCCATACTCGGTCGATTGTCCACCAACCGAGAAGTCCTTCTCATCCGATTCGCCGCCGGATGAGATACGGTGGTGCGTGTGCTCTGAACCGAGGACGAGTGCAATGACGAATTCGTGGTTTTTAATCGTTCTACTGAAGGATTTTTCACTTGAGTTTTTTCATGGCTGAAGGATTTGCAACTCTAAATTTCGGTAAACTCGTAGTTGGGGGAATGCGAAAGTTGGCGATCGAAGAAAAGGACAAAAAACCAAGTGGTGCTTTAACGACAATTGCAAATTTGTGAATTCTCTAACCTTTCTCTGCCGGAGCGGCTGCGACGCTGGCGACCGACTAAATTGGACTAGATGAAGCGCTTGGAATTGGGTGACTACCTCAAGTTTTTGCACCACTTCCACCTTCTTGACTGTTTCCACCTTCTCAGCGCTCGTCTTTTTCGGATAGGTTACCTGAAGGGATTCACTAATCACCGAGAGGAAGTCAGCTTCTACTAATCCTACGCTTAGGCATCGGCCTAACATAAGCATCAGCTTATTTATTTTGAGAAATAGTGTCGGCTCACGATTTCCAAAAAATGCTCACTGGTTGCTGCCTGTAGAGCTCGGGCTGTGGCATAGCCTGAGGGCACACATGATCCTGCGGCTTCCATCCGATTCCAGCCCACGACTGCCCGGGGAATTTGAGCACAAACTCGATCTCATCGCCGTCAATTCGCCAGTAGATCTTGTTGTCGTCGGCCTCGCGCACGCGGTACCGCGACGCGTCAAAGTCGGATGGCGCGTTCGCGGCACGGGATACTAAAACAGAGGAGTTGCATTCATTGTCGAAAGGAGCAACCCCGTTCGCAAGTCGTTCCGTAGTACCCCTTTTGACAGTAGCACTGATTCCTGGGTTCATCCACCGTGGTACGGCACGTGCCGTGCGCGCCGCAGTCGGTCGGCTGAATATGGGGCGTTTTTAAGTCGTGATCGGAATTTCGTGGCGTCAACGAATCCGCTTAATCCCGCACGCTCAACTGATGCTCATGCTCACCTTAGCGCACTCATTCTCAATCTGACAGTACTCGCCGGTGTACGCGCCCTCACAGCGGCAGACGCCACTAGTGCGCGTGCCGTGGCCAAGACAAGAGTCCCCATCGGGGATGGCTATAAAGAGTTATATTACACGAGACACCTCCCTACACTCACCGCTCACAATGTTGACATCGGCGCAGCTGTAGATCTGGTACTCAGTACCGTACTCGGTGGCCTGGTGCGTCAAACGGATTGCGCAGTTCTCGCATTCAAATTCTTTGGGGAGACTGATCGTCTTGCGAGGATTTCTGCAAAGCATACGGTGTAACGCCATTTTTATTTCGCAACGGTTCCCTTTGCCAAAATTAATTTAGCCGCATTTCATTCCGGGCAACCTTTTTCTCGCTGAATACTATTTTTCGAATGCTAAGTAAGCTAGAAGCTCAAGAAAGGTTAAAAATATCCCAGCTAAAATAATGTATCGCCCTTTGCTTCTCAATTTTTTTTAGACGAAATTTAAAATTTGATATATATAATTAATAAAATAATTTAAAAATTTTAAATTCTCTAAACTCACGAAACGTTGTAGGCGTCGATGAAATTCGTAAATATGGCAATCGGCTGGTCGAGCGCGTTCAGAACTTCAATTCTGATGCCGCCCTGAAATTCGATGATTTTTTACTGTTCTTTCATATACTTTGTGCTTCTTATTTCTGGGCAGGCGCGTTTTATTGCAGCTGCTTTGGCCTGGTGGACCGTTGCTGACTATATGGTGGGCAATTTGGCCTAGACATATCGGGCGCGGGATTGCTAATGAAAGTGCGGGGGAGGGACGGGGTGATGACTGATACAATCTTCGCCTTCCCTTTAGAGTAGGCCATGACCTCCGATCGGTCATCTCCACCCTTTCCTGTAGCCTTCGCGGCATTATTACTGGTATCGTGCGCAGGCCCGTACGGGAGCCGAGATTTCGGGGGGGCACCCACCCCGAAAAATTTTGGCGACCCCCCCCCTCGTACGGGTCTGATCATGCGTAAAGGATTAGAGAAAAAAATTGGCGATTTTCGTGTTTCTTTGGAACCGCTACACAATGGTTAGAAAAACCAGAAGAAGAGCGATAAATAGCCTAAGTTAGTCAGAGCGCGGCGGGTGAGAAAGAGCAGGAGAGAGAGAGAGAGAGAGAGAGAGAGAGAGAGAGAGAGAGAGAGAAAGAAAGTTCGAGAGCTAGAGAGATATTGTAAGAGAGGGTGACAGGATCTACGGGTGAGGGTACGGGAGACATAGCGACAGAGAGAGAGCGATAGAGTGAGCGAAGAGAAAGAGAGAGAAAAGAGAGAGAGAGAGGGAGAGAGCAGAAAAAAGCTTAAGTCAAAGATTAAAGCCTACCATATGTGGAATAGAGGTCAGCCATTCGACGTCGATCTCGGACCCAGATTTCAAGAAGGTGTGCACGCCTGAAATTGGTGTAACGATTTTTCTGACGTGCCCGTGACACTCGAGTACATCTTTTTCTCTCTACCTCTCTTTCTTTCTTTCTCACGCCAAAAGCCGGCTTTGGCCTTCCCTTTAAAAAGACAATTCATGCCATCAACACCCCCAGCCCTCCATTTGTTTTCCGACGATAAATCCCCTTGCAGATCCCTTGTTGAGAGCCGTCACTTGGAATGGGCCGTAGCCGACAGAAATGCGGTCACGGCCTTTCCTGGCTATCACTTCGCACTTTTTAACATCTGCTGCTGACCCCGTGGGAAGCGCGAAAAGGCGCTCCCAAAAATTCCGCTCTCGCAAAGCCCGCCCGGGCACACATACTGACAGCGGAAAGAAAAAACGGGGGAAGGGGAGCCTGATGCGCGATGACCCAGATTTTCGGAGAGGGAGACCGGTGGCTTTACGCCCTCAAGGTCGAGCAGGGCAACAAAAATGGCAAATGAGCGGGGGTTTCATAATTATGTTTTTGTTCAAGGGTTGAACAATAAAAGGGATCATTTAGTACCTTATCGAAAACCGTTTATAAATGAACACGCGCAAAATTACTCAGTACTTTAATTTTCTTCTTATTTAACAGCCTGAATAGGGGAGTCCACAGCAAAAGTCCGGAAATTTGTTGGAATTTATAGCTCTGTCTTGCCCGTCCCTTTAAAACAATGCATAAATACAATCTACCTTAAAATCGCAAATCGACTTACAAAATAGGTATTAAACCCCCTCATTACCGCGAAGCCACCGGAACGCGTCCAGGCGACCAAAACCCCACAAAAACCCCTTAAAGGGGCTCCAAAATATGGTCCACGGCCCCCTGCTGTGATTCCTGGTAAATAGCCAGATGCGGCCGCAACGCGACCGCGTCGCCTGACCATTTATCCCTAATTTGACGCGAAAACGCTTGAATTTAGAATTCTGATACTATTTTTGGGATCCTCAACGAATTTTGATCATTCCAGACTTTTAAATTATGAAAATTGGTCAGAGAATGACCGAGGTCGAGAGATTGGGTTCCTTACAAGGCATTACGACATGGAATTGCCGCGCACTCAATATGTCGTTTTCGCCCCAAAAAGAATTCGGTTTTTCTCAAACATTTTACGTTTTTTCGTAATCAAATCACTTTTTTAGCACTTCTCGGCAGTGACCCTTTCGTTTTTTGACCCAGAGGTTCAATCCCCGCACGCCACGAATTTTGACTTCTGAGCCCCTTGAAAGCCCCCGGTTTTCCACTCAGGTAATCCAGGGCTCAATTTTATTCTCCTTCTTCAGCGGGCCATTAACATTGGCCGAACATCTTCACCCTCCAACCCCCCGAACGAATGTATTAAGATGATGTTTATGGGACGGGTTGTGCCCCCTGGCGATTCCCAGCAGCAAAAAAGGCGAAAAGATCCGGATCTGGCGGATCGTATTTAGTCATGGCTCGGACTCGAAGGGATGGGATGGAGATTCGAATCGGGTTTTCGACGGGTAGGAAATGCCGACGGGAACGCCGCGTTTTTAAGGTGCCGGTCAACGGCACTGAAGACAACGGGGGGATGGCAAAGCCTTAAATTAGGCCGGAACCTTGCAAATTGCCCCGTTTTAGATGCTAAAAGTTGACAAAAGGAAGGTAGGAGAAAGGGTGAAAGAGCGAAAGAGCGTGAGAGAGGAAGAAGGACCCAAAAAGACGAAGAAAAAGACTCTTAAAGTTCGTAAATTGTTAAGCATGAGGCCAAAAATCGGAAAAACGCCTCTTTGAAAGCGTATCGACTCTCTAAAGGCAAAAGCAATCTTTGTTAGTGGTCTTTCCGGCTCTTGCCCAAAAAATTAAATAAATAATTACAATAAATATGACACAGCTAAAAAATCGCAAAAAAAACAGGCGGCTCACCTTGGCCAGGCGGAGGTTTGGAGACGCCGCAAGGAGGTCGCGAATTGGCCGTCGTGTAGAAATCGAGGGCCGGCTGTCGAGCCGGCGGGAAAACGAGTCGAATATGGCCCGACACGGCCAACAAGAGCCCAAATAGGGCCCACAGCCCTCGAGGTACCATACCCACGCTAAATCACAGCATTAATTCACAGAAATATTGGAGCATAGGGGCCTCGAATGCCCAGCAAATTTCGAGGAGTTAGACGCTTGGCGGACAAGTTTTGTTTCGACCTCCGGGAAAAGCCGGAAAAGGGAAAGCGACGGGGTCGCTGATAGCGGCTAATAAGAAGGCGGGTAGTGGTGGAAAGAGTGTATGGTACGGGACACTACTATCCACAGTGGATGCCCCCGTTAGGGACGGGAAGGAAGGGGAGACGCATCTCAAGGACACCTATCTTGGAGGGCAGATATCATGATCGAACACTATCCTTATTTGTGGTGGTCGACGGCCCATTGAACGACGATAATCCCCGAAATCTGGGGACGCTAGAAGCGGGCGGGTGCGTTACGGAGGAGGCAGCAGTCAAATCAACACCGGGAATGCAAGGCCTGCCGCTTTAAAAACTCCGGGAACTAGACCCTTAAATGTAACAAAAAAAAGCGTGTGCAAGGATGTTATCGGAAAGTGCTTTGGATGTGTGGCGAGGTACCAACCGCGAGATGGGCGAGAGGGCTGACTGTACCCTAGGGCAATTTTCTTTTTCCACCCCTGTGGCACGTAGTCAGGGGCACGAGTTCCATGCCAGAGGGGGGCTGGAAAGCGTGCCTCTTCCATTTATGCTAAAGGGGTCGATACCTAGAGAATTCCGATACGTGCAGGCATATTTATTTGCTGGATGGTGAGATTGAGAACAAGGGATACACCGCTTCTTGAAGATTAGACTTACAATTAGGCCTCGGCTTAGGCGTAGGCTTCCCCCTAAATCACGCGCATATTAGCGGTATTACCACTTCCCCTCCGTTTTGAGCGTGGGCCAGGTGGGTGTCGAGTGGGGGGGGGGGGGGGGTTTGCGGTCGGTTATTGCTGGTTTCTTTCTCTTCCTACGTTCCGAATTTTTCTTAAAAATCCCCGCGGGTCAAGTCATGGCATGGGGGATTGATTGGGATCGAGGATGAAGCTAGTGTACGCGGCTGAATAGCCGTTATCCATCCCCTTTGGCGCTTCACCCAGGGGTATAATCGTTCGTTTTTTCAGCCGGGCGGACCCGTCGAGACGGCGAAGAAGACGACAGACCATTGTCAGGGCGAAGGGGGGCAATCACACAGCCAGTATCTGTTCGTCTAATGGAATGCCACGTAGGTCTACAGGACGACCAATTGAAGCCTTCGTGAATGGATTACTTTATCATCTTCACCCACATACAATTACTGCCAATCGGCGGAATGTAATGGGGACGTTTATTGGGGGCATGGGCCGGAGCAAGTCGAGGTAAATGAATGTGGGGGAGGACGGAGGAGCCAAACATTTAAAATTCACTACTTGGTACCGAACAGTTGGACAAAAATTTTTAAAAAATTGTATTTATTGAACCGGGTTTTGTTTCAGTAGCGGGGGGTCTAGCAGGTAACTTTATTTTTCCTATATTCTCGTACATGCCGAATACGGGAAGCTATCATAATCTCAAAAATCAGAATCTCGAGGAACCTAATCTCGACAATTAGAATCTCGAAAATATATACTTTTTCCCATCAAAAAGGCAGGAAACCGCCGGCCAACTACCATACACTTGACTGCCTAAAAAAGTGTATTTTGGTCTTGGTTTTCGAGATTCTAATTTTCGAGATTCTGAACTTTCGAGATACTGATTTTCGAGATTCCGATTTTCGAGATTCTGATAGCAAATCGCTGAATACCGCCTTAAACCAATTTTTATGACAGATTACGCCTTTTAAGGTAGAAAGATTTCAAATAACGATTAAAAGTTTTGAATGCAAAGACACGTTATTGCATGAAAAATGCTGAAAACACGATTAAGGTAGTCTATTTAACACTGCAAAAAATGCTTCCGCTAACGAGAAAATTCTTCTTCTTCGATAAATTCTTCCATAAAAAAAAACTCAAAAGCAAGCAAACGGACCCCAACGATTAACGCGTTATCATCAGGGGTAATGTGAATGGATTGGCTGTAGGGAGGATATCCCATCGGAATTCAGCGTCTCTCTCTCTCTTCGATTTCTTCAAAGACATGGTGACCTATTTCGCACCCCCGGATCGCCGAGGCAAAATGAAGAAAGACCCCCCGCTGGCAGCTGTAAGCGGCTAATTTGACCTCGAATCTTTGAGTGAATGTGGGAGGGTGGAATGGGTGATTTGCCACCTAGCCCTCCACGGCGATGAATAGCTGTTGTCCTTTACAGGGGGGTCGGTGAGCCCTTCGAACCGGTGCTGCTATTTTAAAGCGGCAGTCGCGTGTCAAAATGAGGAGAAAATTTAGGTTTAAAATAACGCATTTGGAAAAATGGAAAATGTTCTTATAGCCTAGATATTCCGAGAATGTTATAATTCCAAATTTCGAAAATTCGATATTTTGAGCATGAAATATCGAAAATCCTATTCTACAAGTTCAATAATTTTATTTTGAGATTCTGCTGGGTCATCGGGGGGTGATAAGTGTGATCGTTTCGTTCTGCAAAAGGGATTGCGATGAATATTAAGCTTTCTAGAGCCTTAGGAGCTTCAAGTTCCCAGAATTAGAAAGGTTGCATGTGGCCATGCGATCCATTGCCTGAATCGGCTGCTGGTCTGAATTTTTCCCGGTGGGCTACACGAAAAAGGTGGGTTGAAATTCCCGGGGGAGGGCCGGCTCGAAATCTCGGGCCGATCCGCTGCCCTGGGGGTGGAAAAAACAAGACGCCGACCGGCAGCCATTGCGAGGAGACAAAAAGAGAATAATGAGGGCGGGGGCGACGTTCTCGGGAGCCTTCTAATATTGGATCCGGCTGAACGAGGAAGCAGGCTAGCAGGGGTTATGAAGGAAATGGGATGGGCGGTTAGTTCTGAGAGCTCACAGAACGCCATTGGAAAGTATCGGCATGGTTCCAAAGCCTAACAAGGGAACCACCCGAGGTTGGGGTGGCGTTTCGCTATAAGACCCAGCCCATTTTGTGCAGAATTTTTCGCTGATTCCGAATCCGCTGCTCATTTTTGCCAAATAGCTCGTTTTAAAAAGTGATAGCTCTTCAAAGTTCCATCTTTTCCCAATTTTGTCAACTTCAAAGCCATTTATTTTGCGTTTCCCGGCTGATTCATCAAAAACGAATATCGCCATCATATTCAGAAAATTTTTTTCTATCGAATGAGCTATTTAACTAAAAATTTTTGGAAATCACTCCGTTTTTTGTATGGCACATGGTGAAAAACAGGCTATTTCTCAACCCTATAAGTGATCGTCGATAGGCAGTAGCGCACTAGCCAAATATACCATTGGAATCAGAAAAAAATTCTCTACAAGATTGGCTATTTAACATGGATTGGCATATTAAAATAAAAAAGGTAGGCATCGTGACAGATGACCGCCCGCGAGCTCAAAAATGATCTTAAAATCGCCGTAACTTTTCAAATCGGGCTATTTGGCAAAAATTGAAAACGGAACCGGAATCAGCAAAAAATTCTGCACAAAATGGGCTGGGTCCCATAACGAAACGCCACCTCGACCTTAGGTGGTTCCCTTGTAAGCCTAACCAGACGCAAAATGAAAACTTGGTGAAACGAAGTTCGTCTGTCAGCTAGCGGTGATTCCTAGGGAAAGGTTATAGTTGAGGAAGAGTGAAGGCAAGGGGGAGGTTATGGGTAAAAGGCTGGTCTCGCTTTGTCAGATGTGGGTCATCCAGCCGGGTTCCCGTCTGTCAAAAAGTGCGTGTCGGGTTCTCGGACTTTCGCCGCTTGCTGCAATCCATTTCACGACCTGTCCTCTTTCTCCAATTTGCAACCCGGCCGGACAGTACGAGACTTTACTCATGACCATAACCCGCGTAATAGAGCTGTGATGCTAGAGTCGAGTCGGTTCTGGTGAATTAGCTGGGGGGAAGGGGGTGGGGGTAGAAGAGAAAACTAAATTTTCAATATATTCCTATTAGAATCGCGTAGGGAAATATCAACTGTTTTGCGAGCGTTTTACCGGTTTTTCTTATATACAAAAAGTGCCGTTACTTTTTGAAAAGTTTTGAGATTTGGGCAGAAAGCGTCTAAATTTTTTTACAATGCTTAGATGGAAATGCTCTCACAGTTCGTTGACGCGTACGTCACGTATCGCGGGCGTAACAAAATTCTTAAGGGATTCACGAGAGCAACAATATCCGATTGTCATGCCTCTAATGGTTGAAAATCTCCAAACCAGAAAAAATACGCCTCCGAAAACCTTTTGAAAAAAAGATCGCGCTTATCCCGTTTCCGCTGCTGTTCGCCGGCGCATTATTTGTGCGGTGTTCCAAGAGGGGGAAATAGAAGAGCATCTAGGTCAGAGGGCAACGCATAGGAAGTGAGGGAAAAGTGGCAGAGAGAGAGAGAGAGAGAGTGAATGACACGCGTGCCTCTTCTTTCACTTCACAATCCCTTCAGAAGAGCCAATGTCCTGCTTTGTAAGAAGGAAAGTGAATTGGTCCTCGCCCCGCTTTCCCCCTACCTAACCCGAGACTCACTTTGTTAGGGTAGGAGCGATTTACCGTCATAATTCCCTGGTTATAAAGCGGAAATTGCGGAATTGCGAATATTGCGAATGACGAATGGGATAATGTATATATTTCATACCGTCGAAATCCTACAATGCGGACACTTTAGAATTCCGATTCCATGCGATAGGAAAATTCGGTATTTAGAAATTTCCTTATAATCAGAATTCGGCGTTAAGAAAAACTTAGAAAAATAGCAGTGAGCCGGCCGCGGGTTACGGTAGGTTGCGCAGTGTGGTCTAATCCGTGGCCGAGGTGGGCTATCAAGATGGCCTCTTCAAGGGCGGGCCACACCCGTTGCGCCATCCACCCCATCAACGTCCATAGGCCAAGGCCGTACTACCGGACGGGAACACACTGGTCGGCTTGGATAGCGTCAAAATAATTGCGAATTTTGTCATCTGCTGGAGGTCGCGGAATCGTGGAAGTCGGATTTAAACGGAAGGGGCTGTCCGGAAACCGCCTAACGGCTTAAATTTTTTACTTAAGCACCTTCGAAAATTTCTGGCAATTACGTTAATTTTTTTCTGAAAATTTTCTGGCAATTTTTGGAACAAATTTCCTCTGAAAGAGCCGGATTTGCCCGTTTTCGGGCTGCGCTTCAAAATTTAAACTTGCAGTAACTTTTCCTCGATAAACGTCATGGTTCAGCAATTGCAATCGTTCGGAATTTTGAGTATGATCTAATCAGTTTTGGGCCGCAAAACGCTTCGCCACACCTAAAAATGGCTACTGGTAAGAAGCGTAGACGTTGCGTTATCCGGGAAAACTCGGTAGCAACCGCCTAGGTATCATAAAAGTGACCTCAGTCCGTGGATGGGACTGTTTCTCCATACACCCACCCACCTTGTATCCATTAGACGACGCTTTGTCCAGTCATGGTTGCCCACGCGTGAATGCCACCCGGAAATTATTCGAGTCGCGTGCGTCGAGTCTTTTGGTGGATTTCTTATTTTATTTCGATTACTTGCCTGTTACCGTAAAACCTCATAAATAGTACCTTCCAGCCACTTATGCAAAGTGCTTTTTTTCGGGATTTCTGAGGAGGTACCGTTTTTTTTGCTTGTGTTTCATGCCTAGTAGTTTAATAGCGCGTATTCTAGTTGTGTTTGACTTTTTAACTACAAGTTACATCCTATTTCACCATAATTTACGCGAAAAAATCCGTCTCAAAAGTCTAGAAAAATTTTACATCTGATATTTTTGTCAAAAAAAATCTCTGAAAACCAGATTAGGAAAAAGTTAGTTCGCCATGGACGTTTACGACCCATATCTCGACAAATGACAACGTTTTCAACGGCTGACAATGCGACAATACAACCTAAAAAGCCTACTCGCGATTTTTGAGTGATTCTGAAAGGCAGCTGGCACGAGCACCAGTAGATGTTCCCTAGCAACGCGCCCTCACTAGCCCTTATTCTTCTTTTCGGGGCCTCAAACGTCCCTCGAAACATCTACCTCTATCATATTAACAAGCTCCTACATTTATAATGTACAAAAATCAAAATCCGGCCTCTAAGCTATCCAGCACTGCCTTGGTAATGAAATATTTGAGGCATCAGTCGCTTCTGATCTTTCAGAACTATTTATCGTCGCTAAAAGCCAATTCCGCGGCGCTCCGAAGTGATGAACAACCGACGGAGGCAAAGTATGTGAATCACAACAAGTTAGACAAATTGAAGCAGAGAGGAGCAGCACCTTTGGAAATTGGAGCTGTAGAGTGATTCCGATTCCCGAAAACCATAATCTGGAGCAAATTTGATAGGCCGGACCAATTTAGGGCTCTCGGAATTGCACTTCTAGGCAATGATCCCAGCCTAGAAAGTTCGAGATTCTGAAAATTTGCCATTCTGACAGGTTGAGGTATTTTCAGGCTGCATCAACCACCAGTCCGTCGAAGATCAATCGTGGCCCTCTCATCGGTGGATAGTCTCGGTAATTGAGATCAGGGTTTTATTTCCGGGTTCCTCAGATGAAAATGTTCTTCTGGACGTCTCTGATCTGAGCCGATCATCGCTTGAAACCGTCAAGGCGGAACCAACAACGACTAGCAAGGTGTTGAATTTTGCAAAGAAAATTTGCGGTGCGGGACTGTCAGCGGGGTTTAGCGCGGATCGAAAAGCTATCTAGCCGATAGCTCTTCATAAACACTTTAAGAGTAAAAAGTCTAAAAAAATTTTGGAAACTAGATTAGTAGAATAGAATAGGTTTTGGAAACTTGTAACTAACTTCTAGAAGTTGTACGTTTTACTCTCTTTTATGAATTTCAATAGTCAGAAACGTTATACAAATTATGTATATTTCATAAGGTGCGATAGGCTTAAGCCTAGGCTTGGCTTACGCTTACATCTAAAATCGAATTAGCGGTATTATCCCCCTCCCCTCCAATTCGATAGTGGGCCAGGTGGCTGTCGAGTAGGGGGGTTCCTGGGATCGAATGTTGTTTGGTTTAAAAATGAAGCCGAGAGGTGTAATTGGCTTTTAGGGCTCCGAAACGCTGCCCCAAGCCTCGATGACCCCGGCTTTGGGGACGATGAAAGCTTTGCGAAAGCTCAGGTACGTTCATGAAATCCATTGCTTGCAATTTATGATAATTTTTCTGATCTGAAAAACCAAAAGAAACGGTTGGCTCCGATCTCATCGCCAAGTCGGCCGCTTGAAATGGCCCCTCGGTCGCTATAAGGTTTCCCTTTGTGCCCTTTCCATGTAAAAACTAGTCGCACAGTTTCCATAGGGACCGCCAGATTCAAGGTTTCCACCGCATTGCAAAGACTAAAGTGCTTCAACCAGTACGATTTGCCTCTAAAAACACTGGACATAGCCTTGTTCCTGCCCTCCGCCAACTTTTCCAGTCTCGAAGAGTTTTTAGAAACTCTTTTGTATGTCAACGAAATTAGTAATAGTAAAAACGGTGTAGGAACACTTCCTTTATTGATATTGGAATAATGTGCAACTAGAGACAGCAAAAAAAAAACTTTTTAAGTGTTCTAAAATTTTAGAAACTCAATCGACGCTACCCTGTTTCAACCAAAAGACAAGGACATACCTTGGAGTCGAAGCCGGCCACGCTTGGGCTCGATTTCCCGGTATTCTTAACTTAACCTATAACCACTGTTTTCTAGCGCCGGCACGAAAGACGAAGAAACACGCAGAAGCCAACCGGATAAGGTTAATAGCATTGCTTCCTGAAAATCATAGACTAAGCCCGCGGCAACACTGAAAATGGCGACTCGCAGCCCGTTCCATGGCTTCATCGCTAGCGGCTCCTCCTCCGCAGAATCAATAGATTTTGACGATGCCGTCAATGAAGCCATTATTCGGGTAAGTTATAGACGGCCATACTAAAATTTACCTCGATTTTAGTCTGCCACACCAAAGCCCAAAAGCCGCTCCTCTAAAAGTTCCAAAACTTCGGCGACTTCTTCAACGTCTCCATCCTCAGCCAGTAGTTCTAGCTCGGCGTCAAGCTCAAGGCGAGAGTTTCGCAAATCCATAGCAGCCCTTTTCCGTTTTCGGTGCTGATGCATTTGGGGGGGAGGCTGAGTTGGCGGTAAGTAACTACGAGAAGCTCCGCTTAATCTACTTGATTTCGATTCAAATTAATCTACTTAAGTTAGACCAAACTTAAGCCTAGACGTCCGAGGTGAGCTTTGACTAAGCTTAGAAGCCAAGGCTTCCGTTGAATCCCAAGCCTACCTTATCTTACAATTAGCCTTAAAATTTTTCAATTAGAATCAAGCTCTCAGGTTGAGCGCTAGCTCAGTCCCGGAGTTCACTTTGTTTTTAGTTCCACAACTTCCTCCTCCAAGAGCACGACAAGAAGATCATCGACACCGTCTTCAACATCATCTTCTTCTGCTTCCGCATCATCCTCTGCAAAATCTTCCTCCACCAGCCCCCAAAAGGTCGTCCTCAATTCGCTCAGTCTCATCAACCATAAGACGGTCGAGCCTCAGGAACAAATTCGAATTCGCCGACTTCGAGAAACAGTTTCAAGAGCCCGACACCGCAAACAAATTAGAAGAAATCGAAATAAAGAGCCAGGATGGGCCTGCGCCATTGTCCCCACTTTCTTCTATGCGATCAGATTCGTCCGTATTCATGGAAGCACCGGTAAAAGTCTTCGTTCGAATTCAAATTTTTGTGTACTTAGGTAATAGATGCTCAGCAAAATGGGGGGACCATCAAATCCGGAAAGAAACGAAACGCAAAATGCTAACCCAACGGATCTGACCAGGTTAAGCCCGGCTATAGCGCCAGCGGTCGTACTCAATGGAAGGAACTATCTAAAAAACGACACATCTGGTAGAAGGAAAAGCCCGGAACATCAGTCATCATACAAGAATCTACGCCGAATAGCGCCGAGCAGGCGGAGCCGCTCAAATGACAAGCCACATCCGGAAGAAAAGCCGGAAAAGGAGCTGGCTGCTTTTTCCGGCTACGATACTAGTCGCGATTCGAGGCCAAGGCGAGGTAGGTTTCAGAAACGTAAAAAACCCCGGTAGTTTTTCCTCAAGAAAACCGTCGACGATCTCAACCTCCCGCACAAAAACACTGCCAATGTTGCCGACATCGGGATGACTACGGTAACGCATTTATCTTTAGCAGCTCCATAAGAAGGCCAAAAGTATCGATAGAAGCGGCAAGCAACCACTGCCTTCTAAATTTTCATACATCACCTTTCATGCCTAATTCCAGAAATTAGCAATGAACATGCTACGTCAGTTGTCTCGGATGTCGTACGCCTACACATCTCACTGATCCGGCAGCTGGCCCGAGATGAATGGAATGCAGTGCAGCGATGGCAGCATACCATACAAGAGGTTTGTCTTCTTTCTGACGACTGTAACTTCCACACCGAACGCAAACCAAAATTTTGTAGGTAGCCCGGCATCGTGACTCTGTGACGTCCAAACGTCTCCACGAAATCATCGAAGAGCGAACCAGAAACTTCCGTGCCCAAACTGTGTTTTCACAAATTTGAAACCATTTATTCTCTATACAAGCCTATCACTCTTGACGCGTTTTTCACAAAAATTGTCGGATGGGCTGAACAGCGAATGGGTATGGGTACAGAAGAAACAAGTAGCATGCCTAATGTGTTCTCTTACAAAAGGTATTGAGTACTGTACGGGGTCACATCGCCTCGCATTTCCTCGTTATCATGCGGCAAGGTAGAATAAAATGTATGAAAACTGAGGCGAAAAAATGTAACCGGACCGGGGAAAAGAGGCACCTAATTCATTGAATTCATTGGAAGGAAAACGCGTAGGAGCTAATGGGTGAGTTCACCCTGGCCCATCGGCTTCAAATCCGGGGACACCTTGAAGTCACAGCCCGTGTTCTTGATGATGTCCTCGACGGTCAGGCCCTCACGCACTTCAAGCAGTAGCAAACCGTCCGGTGTCACGTCGAAAACGGCCTGTAATTGACCAATTTTCAAAATGCTGTTTCAAAAAAGCAGATACTACTGTGTTGAAAAGTGTACCATTTCCGTGATTATTCGGCTGACAACACCCTTGCCGGTGAGCGGTAATCCGCACTGCTTCAAGATCTTTGGCTGTCCCTTCGAGGTGTGCTCCATGGTGACGATGACGCGTGCTCCAGGTGCCGAGACCAAATCCATCGCTCCACCCATGCCTTTCACCAGCTTGCCCTGAAAAAAAATGAAAAATCCAGAATAAGTGTTTAAATCTAGTTCATTTTTCCTCGCAGTCCCCCTCGGAAAAATCGACCTCACCCCTCTCGCTAACACGCAAACACCTACTAAACCAAAAGATAAATTTTCCACAGCTAATAAAAACTAAACCTCTAAACAAAACACCGGGGTGCAAAAAGTTCAAAAATTCGGCAGAATTATATTTGGTAATTGTTGGACAAAAGAAACCAAAATTAGGGTCGGCTCAGAAGGTGTTCTCATCAAATATGCTTGTTCAGGCGCAAATTACCAATGACCATCACCGCCGGCGGGGCTCGAACCTGGGTAGAGGGGGCTGGGGGCCCAGCCTCTACCCGACTGAGCCAAAGGGGCAACGGGGAGAGGGGCACTCACAGGGATCATCCAATTGGCCAGGTCGCCAGTTTCCGAGACCTGCAGCGCGCCGAGCAGCGTGATATCGATGTGTGAGCTAAATTTGCGTCAATTAGCTTTGCTTTTGCGCAGTTTCGCTGCTATCGTATTTCCTCTAATAAAACCGGGGCGCATTTTTTTAATCATCGGGCAGCGGATTTATTGTAGGAATCGTTTACCTCATTAATCTTTGATTTTGAGTAAATTAAATCCATTTTTAGCAATTCAAACTTGTCAAAAACGCTCAAGGTTACCGTAGAAAGCTTAAAAAATCACTTTGCGCTTTTTTTTAATTTGCGATTCAGCTACGACTAGAAGTCGTGATTTTTGCGGTGTCTTACAGGAAATACGGTACTTGATGGCCGCAAGCCGGGCGAATTAACCTATACACATTTCAAAGAAGAAAAACGAGAAACTCCGTCTTTTCTAGGCGTCGAATTTTGCTTTGGAGCGCCGCGACTATGTTTACTGAAGGCCCCCAGCAAATGCTCACCCACGAATCATGGCGAAGCTCTCCTCAGAGCCAAAAATGGCCGCGCCGGGCAGCAGGGTGATCGGCTCTTTTCCAGCGTTGATCAAGTCGGGGTCCTCCTCGCCGCGACGTGGATATGGGCCCTAAAAACAAGGAAAATGCAAGCCGATATAGTGCCTACCACTCCAATGATCCCATTTTCACTCTGCAGATGAACTGTGACGCCCTTCGGGATGTAGTTGGGCGTCAGTGTGGGGATTCCGATTCCAAGATTGACTAAATTAATGTGTTGAAAAATAAATTTCAGATATTCCTAAAAGATATTGACCCAGCGAGCGTTCCCCAGAATTCTTTGAAAGGTAGACAAGGAAAACCAACCATATTGCCCATCCTGGAATTCGAGAGCGGCTCGCCGGGCAATCGTATCCCGCACCTTGGCAGCCGGTGTCATTGGCGCTTTGGCCGGGCCCTCCTAAATCAAATGTATCCATCAAGACCATGCTATCCAGATTTTCTTTTCTATCAATCATAACCGATCAACCCCAACTGACCTCTCTGAACATTGGCCTTTCGATCGGCTTCTTGTAGTCTTTTCCAAGTATGAGACGCTGGCAGTAGATCGATGGGATATGAATCTAAGGCCAATTCTTCAAAAAGCCGAACTCGCGCCTACGTCATTCGGCTTGATCACGCCGACATCGACGATCTCTTCGACTTCAACAATTGTAATTTTGGCCGCCTTACACATCGGGTTGTTGAAGTTACCGGCGGAATGCCTATAAAACTAATCGCAAAGTCTTGATGGCAATACCGGAACTGCAGGTTGCCTAGTTTGTCAGCTCTCCATGCTTTGATCAACGCGTAGTCCCCGGTGATAGCCTCCTCCAGCACGTAGTTGACGCCATTGAAGTTGCGTGTCTAAAACACAAAGCTATATCTAGCTAACTAAAAGCGATTTTTTGACAAGAGCTTTCTTTCACACATTACGCATACCTCCTTCTGTGAGCTAGCGATTTCGATCTTCATCTTCTCGGTCGCCGAGTATTTGATCGGCGATCCACCTTCCTAAAAACGATTGGGTAGAAAGACTCAAAACTACCTGTATCAATGTCCCATATCCAGTTGGTGTGTAGAACGCTGGGACACCGGCGCCACCAGCACGAATGCGCTCGGCGAGCGTTCCCTAGAAAAGCGACCGGGGTATTATATAAACTTTCTCGTAATTATTTGTAAAAAACGAACCTGCGGCGTGAACTCCAGCTCCAACTCGCCGGCCAAGTATTGACGCGCAAATTCTGCATTCTCCCCAACGTAGGACGAGATCATTTTCTTGATCTAAATTCGCCAGATGAATTGTTTTTCTTTAAATTATAACCTGTCTAGTCTTCAATAGAAGGCCAAGTCCCCAGTTATCGACGCCGGCGTTGTTGCTCACACATGTTAACCCCTTCTGGCCAGTCTTCGTCAAGGCATTGATCAAGTTTTCTGGGATTCCGCAAATCCCGAAGCCTGAATTGGAGTAAATATTAATTCAGAAATAAATTCACCCACCTCCGACCAATAGCTTCGAACCATCCGGAATGTCTTTGACTGCGTCCTCGGCGTTCTCGTAGATTTTGGCATCAAGTCGGGAAGAGAGCGACAGATTTCGTACACCAGCCTCGCGGAGCTAAAAGAACGAAATTAAATAGACAAGAGTCCAGAGCAATTTTTTTTGTTTAGAGGAGTTGCAAATCGTTCAACGATCCGGGTTCATTTTAACAGCACCGCCTAAAGGCCAGGAAGATGAGGTGATGCTGATCGGCAGCATTGAACATTTCGTTCAGGGATCGGGGACGCGAAGAGAGGGACAGGCCACCACGTGCGGACAAAGTGTTCAATGCTGGGCGAGCTCAACGATTGCCCACACATCGCTGATCAGTTTCTGGATTCAAACTCGAGGTCTCAAATTTGGTAGCAAGAAATTCCGCCGAATTCACGAACGCTGTATTAACCCCCCAAAAAAGATAGCAAGTTACCTAGCCAATCTCGCGGTGTGTAAATGACCATAGATCTTTACAATTTTCGTCTACAAAAAGCTTACTCGATTCGTTAGCAGCAACACATAACGTCCACGGGCAAGAGGCGCCATTTTTACCTGAAAATGACGCGTTTTCCTCAATAATTCCTTTGAAAAAGAGAACGATCGGATCAGATAAAATGGCGACACGTTGCGGGCAGTGGATAAAGTTTGGAGGTCGCGGCAGGGCAGTGTATGGCAAAACTCTCCTCCCCATTCCAATCGTGTATGGACCGATTCGACCCAATGTCGCGTGTGGATAGAAAGGCACCGGGAAAATAATCCGTCCGTTTTGTCGAAAAAAATTGAAACGAGAAGGAATGAAAAAGCTGCTCTGTGGTTAAGATTTTCAAACCATTCTCGATGAAATTGCTGCTGATTTCGAACAGGAAAAGAATCGCAACAATATAATTGCCGTGGTTGAAAGGTTCAACTGCACGAAGCGGATCGGCAGTCGCGAGTGGAGGGTTGCACCCCCCCCGTGCTTCTTTCCCAAAGACCAAACAGCCAATCCCTTTTTTTCTCTTTTCCCTCCCGAAGTTCCTTCCATCTATCGCCCCATGGCCCGAAATATACGCACCCGAAAATACAAATGGTCCTAGCTTCACTGAAAAGCTGATAACGCCCGGAAAACGACCACGTGTGGATAAAGCCTATGATGTGTTTATTAGACTTTTGCAGAATAATTTATTCGTGCTGAATTGGCGTAAAAAGTTAAGCTGTTGTGGAAAAGAACATAACCGTTAAATAATACACACGTCAACAGCTATTCATTTATTTGGGTCCGATAAGTTGCAGCCTCATTGTTCGACGGCGGGTTGGTCGCTTATAGACTCTTCTTCCAGCCAGAAAGAGCTTGTTTTGGTGGCTTTCCCTGGAAAAAAAAGTAAAGTAGTACCTAATAACAGCCAAGGACATGGTATCAGAGCATTGAAAGCGGGTATTCACCTGAACGTCGGAGCGGCCCTCCTTGGTGATGACAGTTCCGTCGGGCTTGACGATGATGAATGCTGGGATGCCGCTGACCGAGAATTTCGATGCAAGCTCTCTGGAAAAAAAACGATTTTACAAGGCCGTTAAAAAATCTATTTATAAATACCGTTCCATCAGCGTCGCTTTCAACCGAATGCTAATGCGATCCCAGACAACGCTCACAACCTATCAAGTTCATCGGAAACCTTACCGAATTTTCGCGTCCCCATGTGGAATGTGCAGCCAGTCACCATGCGCCTCTTGCAGATACCTAAACAGACCGCATAATAAAACGAGAGAACTTTACTTTTTCAGGTCGTCCGACGATCGATCGAAGGAGACAAACACAATTTCGAACTCGCCATCCTCGTGCAACTCGTTGTAGAAGTCCTAGAATGCAAAAGCTATCATCACGCCCAATATTTTCTAACACAATCCCCGCTACGCTCGGAAGCAGCGGAGTACAACGTCAAAACTTCAAAGAAACTCGCCTTCAAAACTGGCGTGAATTGGCGGCAAGGTGGGCACCAGTGAGCAGAGAAGTAAAGACCCACGACCTTACCCTGCAAAACAACACTGGAAAAATGGAATATGAATACCTCAAGCTCCTTCGCATCGTGTTTGGACCCGTCAGCCTTGCGGAGATCGGCACCGGCTAAGAGCTTCGACATCCTTCTGAAAAAAATTGATGAAATCTACGCCGCAATTCACGAAATAGAAAAAAGAAATTCGGTGAGTGGAAAACACTTCGGATTCGCGGAAATCAATTGCGGACCCACTATGTGGCAAAATAACCAATCAGCGCCACTGATAAGAAAGTATTGACCTGAAAATGAGCGAGCTGTTGATGAGGCGATTGCGAACCGGAGTCAACATGAAACGGCTAAAAAAAAAATGTGAACGGCAGTTGAGGCATGGAAAAACGGGGGGGGTATGACTCAATATACGGCAAGAGACAGGAGGCGCAAGGTCCGCGGCCGGCCACAAATCAATGACGATCGCTGAGGGGGAGGACGGGGTTGTTGAAATGGGCCAAATATTGGACACGCTTTATACTGCGAGAAAACTGGTGATCGCAATGAATAAGACGTTTTATCATCGTAAATATTGCCTCGGTGAAAGCTGGGGAGGTGGAGGTTATTCATGAGGCAACAAAAATAGGAAATTCCGGGTAAAAGGTATCGTTTCCAGCGAAACATTTCTTGCAATAAAACGCCCAATGGGTCTTAATCGTCTAATCCTAAGCAAAAATGGGCCATGAATTTGCGCAACCCGGTGAGAACCAAATCTTGCAATAAAACGCCCAATGGGTCTTAATCGTCTAATCCTAAGCAAAAATGGGCCATGAATTTGCGCAACCCGGGAATTTGCAATAAAACGCCCAATGGGTCTTAATCGTCTAATCCTAAGCAAAAATGGGCCATGAATTTGCGCAACCCGGTGAGAACCAAACAAAAATTTAAAAATTTAAAAGCGTACAAATATGTATTTCCTTAGCAAATAAATCAGGCATGCAAGAGCTACACGATGAGGATTTAGATTTCGGGCTGGATTTCGGCGATTTCGCAGACTTGGCCTCGGCCGTAGGTTTTTGCTGATCTTTGGTAATACGAAGCATTCTCTGTCAGGCCCCCTGGTAACCTTTAAAATAAGTTAATAGAATCGTCATTTGAAGTGCATGTAAAGCAGCTCCGAACCGAAATGAAAATCAAAATTCGTGATCCGAAAAAACAACGAAGTGTCGGAAACTACAAAAGACAACTAAATACGTATAACCGGAGCTGGCAATCTGCCAAACGGCTTTCATAAAAGTAGTTTTTAATTTTTGCATTTTTGACTACGAAAATACAACGTTTTACGAGTCCGCATTTCACAGATATGGCGTAAATACATAAAAGAGAGCGGGAGAGCATAGTTGTTTGGGGACAGCCGCCGTGGCAGTGATTGTTTGCGGGGCACCCTGACGACTCGCCCAGTCCGCGATGCAGGGGAACGACGCTAGAAACTACAAGGCGCATTCTTGATACGTTAGACACTAGAAAAGCTTTGATGACCAAATCGGTGGAATATTCTGGTTCGCCTGACCGAGACGAAAATGCACGAAAAAAGCGTCGAAAACAGCTACTTCCAAGTCAAGCGCGCATGAGACCATAATAGACACTACGATTCATCTTTTAATAAAAACGCGCACGAGAGGGGGCGAGGGAGCTAGGCTACGGGGCGCTCCAATACCCCTCGCGTAATGCATTGTTAAGCTAAGGGGTGCTATCTTTTCCACTTTCAACTGGCTATAACTTTTTTCTAAGAAGATTTCATAATCTACTTGAGTGTACAGAAAAATAGAGCAGAAGCTGTTCTATTTTTGTTGTTCTATATTCTGTTCTATCTTTTCTATTATCTTTTGGTCAAGGTTTCCTGAGAAACGTACACGGCAATCGGGCGCCCGGTCGGTTTGAAGTTGAAAAAAATGAGGTAGCTAAGACAACGGGTATCATAGGGAAACTAAATGTTTGTCCATAGCGCCTCAATTGCATTTTTTGATGAACTATAGACTAGCATAAAGTGCAAAATCGTATCACCTTGACATCTACATCAGGCTTCAATGGAAATTTTGTTAAAATTTTCAACTGGCTATAATACTTTTTTACTGGCTGTTCTGGAATCTGCTTGAAAGCTAGGAACACAGAACAAACTTCGCTCTATCTGCCGCAACCATTTTTAGAATGTCGTAGCGTTATGATTTTAACAGCGGTCGATTTGGATATATGCATGAGTCCGCTTTTTTTCTTCATCCATTCTTCGCGAAAGAAAGTGATAGGATGCTTCTTGATTCGTCTAGAGGCATGACATTCCACTATGAACATTTTCCACAAAAAAGCAAAACGAAAATGCGGAGGCCTGCGAACCCGGGAACCGAACTCGCGTCCCCTGTCTCGGGGTTGAACCGCCGCCTTAGACCACTACACCACGCCCCGACCACCCCCTCCCGTGCGCGCTCTGAAAGGCCGTGTAGAGATTTTATTGGATGGCCGCCTTGTTGAAATGTAGTCTTGACTTTAGAGCTTGGTAGATATGATCGCTTACCAAAAAGGGTGGCTTCATTACTTTGGTACTTGACTGTTAGGGGGGAAACTAATTTTTCCCAGCATTCCTGTACGGTCATATAACAAAGCATAAACTATTTGATAGAATTTTGCGCAGTTTCCAGATATAAAATATAATTACGAAAAACACTATAGTAAAAATACGTATTTATTAAGAACAGGTAAAAAGACACGGAAAGGCAAAAATTAGTTTCCCCCCTGCGAACAGTTCGGCACCATTTATTTTACATCAAGAAGGCGGTGATATCACTTTGTTTTTGTTTGTTATTTTGTGACTTATAGGGTAGGATATTATTACAGGTACATGTTTGTCCAAAATCCCTCGATCAAACAACCCAGGAAAAAACGCTGCTCTTGTGAAGTGCTGTTCTGGACAAAAGTACGATCCTTCCTTCTACAAATTTATTCATTCACAAAAAGCGGATCATACAGGACGGAATTTTAAAATGATTGTCAAAGGCGTATGTACACTGTTATAGTGGGGGATTGGAGGGCTGGCAGGTGAAAAAATACAAGAGTCACCCGGTCTTCCGTGAAATCAGCGAACATTGACCAATTGGGGGGAAGGTATTGGGGGTCTCGCGGGGCGAGTCTTTTTTTTGTGCATTTTAAATTTTTACAATTTTTAGTCGATTTTTGAAGGGTGTTTATGAAAGCAGCGGGACCACGTATAGAAAAGTATTTGAGGGCGGCGGGGCGAGAAATCCAGTTTGATAGCCAGTATCAGCCTGGAGTTAGGTCGTGATTTCCGGGGGTGTTTATTGATCGGCACCATAGACGCTCTCATCGCTGTAGGCGATGTAGAGGAAGAGATCTTCTTCGTGATGATCCTGGTACAGCTGGCCCATTGTCGTCATTGTTTGCGGGATCACGTTGTTGACGAAGAAGAAGAGCGCGTCCTCAGGCCGCAAATGGATCCTAAACGTTCCATTGGCATCCTTGTTTGTACATAGTTTTTATAGCTACCGTTGTTAATTTTGACTTGCCTCTTTCGGATCAAGAAGTAGAACTGGCCAACAGTCAAGTCCGAGGGCACCAAGTATTTCTTCTTATCCAAATCACGGAGGCGCGACTTCGGGGCCTTCTCGACAATAACCTAAAATACCCTGATCGTTGGAGCTAAGTTTATATATCATATCCTCTAAAATATGTCCGCCATTTCAATCTTGGCGCAAATTGCCTTCGATCACTTACCGGAATGCGGTCGGGGTACTTCCTGCGAATCTTGTCCCCCTCAGCGCGACGCTTTTCGAAGTTGTTCTCCTCCTTGTACTGCCACTTCATGATGCTTGTCGGTTCTAGAAGATATGTATTAGAGTTGCTTCTTTCCTAAAATGAACAAAATCGAACGCGTTTTCACGGTACAGTAGATGCGATAAGAGCAGCACATGTTAGAGGGGGCGGGGTTGCGAAAGACTTCTTGTGCAAGAAATTACCAAAGCACAAGGCCACTCACCAACAAAAACTTTGATATTAATTATAGGCGAACGCGGCGGCAAGAAGCCCCTCAAGTGCTTTCCCATTATCGGGGGGGGGGGGCTTTTTTCTTGGGATCTAATTTTTCAGATCTAAACACTGGAAGTGTTTCTTAATGGTTTTTACTATCCCTAAGCGCGAAAACTTCACCAAACTTTAAAAAAAAACGTAAAAAGGATAGTTTTTAGTTTCTTTTTAACTTTTTATATGGTTTTGGAGTTGAAATATAGTTTTATTTTAGTAAAAACAATTAGAACAGTTGAAGTTACCAGAAATTTCTAGACCTAGACAAAAACAAAGTTCGGTTTTCCCTACCGATACCCCCCTCCCCCGATAATGCGCAAGAACTGCCGATTATATCCGATCGTAATTGGCAAGGGCGCCCAGCCGGGCAACCTTACATTTCATACGCGAAACCGTTTAAACGCCCGCAAACAAGTCTAGGAAATCTGGGAGAGCATCTCAAAAATTCGCCGGCACCGCTTGCCTGCCCCGGCACATTGAGATAGACAAATACACCACGCGTTTCTCGGGCATACACGGCTGGTTGGCGGGAAAAATTCGAGAAGTCGGGGTGGGGAAGACAGAAGGGGGACAGAGCGCATGAAGCAAAAGAGAAGCAAGCTGAGCGCCCAGCTGTCGGGTTGTTGGTGGGGGGCAAACCAGGCGAATGGCATTGAGTGGCGTGGAACGGAGCTTGATAAAATGACTGGGTCGCGATTGTGTCGGCTAAATACCCTGTTTTGGGCGCGCACAATCGGCGCGTGACCCCCGCACCTTCTAATGATTCAAACTGGGGCGCAGACAGCACAAACGTATCGATTTTCGATGTGACCCAGCGTCGTCGGCCGAGCATATATGACCCGGAGGAAAGACATAATTTCCCAACTCCCAAATCGACGACTCGACGGCGCCCTATTTTTCAATGCAACGAAATGGGGGGGATTGTTGCGCAAGATTTTGGTTGCGAAATGGATGCAGATCACTCAGAACTTTTGCAGCTCGGCTCCCTGTTTGCCTAAGGGAGTGTAAAGTATACCAAAATCTTCGTTTTTATATGCGGAGTATTTTGGCATACTTTACAGCCGTTTAGTATGACGGCGAGCCGAGATACAGTCGTATCAGCTTAGCTACAGTTTGACCAAGAGTGAAATCTAATCGGAAAAACCTATGTGGTAACCCAAACCTACATTCACAGAAAAAATAGAATAGTGTGTCGGGCCTCGGTTTTGGCTGCTTATCACCGGAACAAAAATGCTATACTAAGGCACCTTTTGGACGCATGAACTATCGGGTGCAGGTAGAATATGCCTAAACGCAAAACTAAGCTAGCTAAAGAGAAGGCGTAGACCGAAACCTTGCCGCTAACAAACAAAATCAGCCGTCGACAAGCAATGTGTGGGACTGGTAGGCGAGAGGAGTGACCAGCAGTTGCCATGTGACGAGAGACGGGGGAGAGCCTCGAGATCAGCTGATGTGGGTAGAGCATGGTGACTGGCGAGACGCAGACGCTATTGATCCAACAGGGACCGCGCCGGGACCCGACCCAGCATTGCCACCCAACAACAAACCGTCAATAGGCAAAGATCGCCAAGCTGAAATCACATGAAAGAAAAATGTCTGGCCCGGTCACGGGAACACCCCCTTTTAGGGCGCCTAGATGCTTACAAGCAGGCGTTTTTAGTGTCGCGTGGGGTTGAAGTTGGGGCCAGCCTACATTGTGCATTTGCATTGAAAAAAGGCATCCGCAAACTATAAAAAAATTCTAGGCGTGCGCCGAAAAAAATTGGTCGGCTCAAGTACCTCGAAACCAGAGTAAAACCCCGGGCAAGATAGGCCTCATCCCAACTGGAAACCCCGCCGACACTAAAAAACCCCTCGTCCTCATCTTTATCATCAAAAAGGGGTGGAAAATTGTTTTTGCCCATGAAAACAATCTTTATTTTCCTCTTTGTGGACCGTAAAGGTGGGTACGGGCCGTGTAGTTTACGATCTCCCGAATCTTGTACAGTTAATATAAATCAACTTTATCTAACAATTAAAAGCGTAACTGAAATCGAAGTGGGCGCATAACTAGTATCAACGAGGGCGTCGGCCGAGATCTTCTAAACACAACATTAAAAAAACAAAAATTCTAACCATGATGTGTGGATTCCGTAGGGCGCATGTCGACGTAGAGGTAGTCGTCAGCCGAGTCCCTAAAAAATAAACGGCATATCCCCCAAAAAAGGAGTCGACCATCGAATCGAACGAAAAACTCACAAATCACGACGTCCCCTTTTCGAGCGGCGTGGGCCGGCGTCCTGGTCCTCCATCAGAGCTCTAGGCCATCCATCTTCGGCGACACCATTAGCACTAGGCGGTGGGGCCGCTAAAAATCGGAGATAAGGTCTCCACAAAAATGATACCTTGACGATGGTATGCTGCCGGTGACTGGGACCCTTGGGAGCGACTGTTGGAGGGATGCGACGCTGACGAGACTAGAAAAATCAAGTTGCATGTGATCTATCGCCGGTTGGTACTGGACTGTTAGCGGGGGGAGTAACTTTTCACAGCGATGAAACTCAAATTAGCCCGGTAATCCCGGACGACCACATAGCAAAATATGAACCCTTTTATGACATTTATCAGTCAATTATATAAAAATAGTTTTTGTAGTAGTTTTTGAATGGAATTACAGTGTCGAAAACTGCCAAAAATACATTATACATTATCAACAGGTAATACAATAGGTATAGCTGGAAAAACAAAAAAACCCCGCTAATAGTCCAGAAACAGCCCGTCACATCTGAGCCTTAAACGTACCCGTTTCCGTTCCTCCCCGGGGTGCATGTTGCTGAGTCGATGTCGAAGGGCGGGGTGCTAAAGACACATAAAGTTGCTCACAATCGGCTCACAGGCGGCTTGAGAACATTGAGAAGCTCGTGATGAAACATCATCCAAGATGGAACGAATAGCAGCCTCGGACGAACGAAGCGCAGAAATAAATCTAATAAAAAAAGTGAACGCAAAAGCCAGAATTCCTTGCCGTTCACGGAATTCTTCGGTGGAGCCCAATTCGTTATACGCTCTTAGAATGGCGTTGTACTCGTTTGCAGTGATCTTCAGACAATCCCCGTCCAAGAGAGACTCAGTGAACCGTTTCTTTTCGTAATCCCTTCGCTGTCGCTCATCTCCCAAGGGATAACGGCTTTCTTCTTCACGAGAGGCATCATTCTGCAAATAAATGACGTTATAAAATCAAGCAAGTGCTTTGAGGGCAAAACGCCATTAGATCGGCCGTATACTGGTAGCGGGTTCTTGGGGAAAAAAATCGGGGATTTCGCCTCAAATCAAGGATTTTTAAAAATAGGAAAATCTGCTGAATTATGGAGTCGTCGCAATCGGGGATTTTAAAATTGGCCGTTGGGACTGGCTAAAATCCCCGTTTTATACAAGCCAAAATACCGTATATCCGGGGTTTTCGAGGCTTTTTAATATAGGGAATTATAACCCATCCGACCGCCCATATTCAAGTGCTGGTTTCCACGACCGCATAATTCCGCGTTTTACAATCCCCGTCTCCGTGGAACTCCGGCTAAAATACTCAATTTCGTCCCCGCTACCAGTATTGAGCCTTAGATGCAAACGAAGAAAGTACGTACCGCCGACAACGAGCTACTCGACGGATTCCTCAAGCCATCAAAGTCGTTTCTCCACGTAACCCCATGGCTGGGGCCCGGTTCGTCGGCCTCATCTTCTATGGTAAGAACTTCGGGAGACCGGTGTTCATAGCGTCCCACATGGGTGGTTCGATTCGACTGCAGCTGCTGAAAAAAAATAAGAGCTCAACGAAAGCACACCTGCAAAAAGTCTTCGAGACTGTTGAACACCGGCTTTGGCGGCCGCGAAACATTATACTGGCGCGGGTTCTAAACGTGTACATGTCCAACAAGCGGTACTGGGCTGTTAGCAGGGGGAACTAAGCATTAAGGACTAAGAAGCCTTTCGAGGTTCTTGCGTATTCTCGGGGGAGGGGGGGACTTTTTTGCCCAAATCTCAAATTTTCCTTTTTCCATTTTGCGAAAACGCGTGTCAATTCCGTATATTTACCCCATAAAGTGTTTTCACTTTGTTTTTCGCAAAATTTAAGCCTATTTGAATCGGATAAACTTTTTTAAAAGTTAGAAAAACGCTTGCAAAAGTCGAAAATTTGGTCATTTTTGGTCGAAAAGATTGCATTTTCGACCTAAAATTGATTTTTTTATTAAATGTTGTAAAGTTTTATGCTTAGCAATAGCTATAAACAGTTTAGAAACAATTCAACTATTTACATAAAAAATCTAGGCTTGGGCCGAAAAAAGTTCGCCCCCCGCGAACTCATACATTTTTATAATTCTTTGCAGTTTTTTATATCCACAAAAACTAGAAAATACTATAAAAACATTGATTTGTTATCGGGCCGTACGCAGATGAAAAATTTTGGTTTACCCCCCGCCAGCAGTCCAGTGCCAAACCACAATCATTTTTTGCTCAGTAACAGGAATTTGAAAATAATCGCCGACCAAGTAAGGTTCAATCAGATGAGCCGGTACGCCACCATCGAACGTCGCATCCGATGAGTCACTTCGACGGTAACCCTGAGAAATAATTCCCGTCGCAACAAAAAGTGCTAATTCCTTTCATACTCGGAAAAATGCCACAAACTGGGGAACAACAAAAAGTTGCTGGCTATTGAAGTCTTAATAAATTTGGTACTATCCTATTTATGTAAATTTTTACGGCCAAGGGTAGATAGTAGATTTAGTCTACAGATCAATTTCAAGAAAGTGGAAATACATCAGAAAATATTTGTAGGCTGAAATGGCTAAAAACTACGGCTGTGCCTCTTAATAAGGTTCTAGCAGCTTTCGGTTGATCCCACATTTTATAGTATTTTTCAGAGATTGAAAGGAATTTAGCATTCTTCTCTTGGTACAAGAACTCATCTCTTTTGGCGAAAACCAAAAGCCCTTTCTAAAAAAAAAAGACTCTTTTTAGCCTTAGAGAGAATTTAGCCCTTTTTGCCTCAAACTTGTTGTTAAGATCATAAAATAAGTCATCGGATATTGATTCAGATGAATCCTTATACGCAATACTTCAAAAAATTTGCCACGAATATTAAGAAGCTGCTCGAATCGTACCTTTCGCGAGCGCCGCTTACGCGGTCGATCGCTGCGGTTGGGCGGGGTACGCGCAGGGGCTACATTGATAATTTCAATATCGGCATCTGGCTCTCTGGCAGCATGTAGCTCCACATCGCTAAGGTCTAAAAAGAACGGTTCTAAAGCTACTTAAAAACCCAACCATCCAAGTCAATTACTTCAAATGCGCGTTCTCGCTGTTCTTGTGCCAATGGTTGCACGGTAGTATCTTCACGATGGCTAAAATATAATATATGCGTGGCTAATGCCTCGAGGATGGTTACCGATAGACGCCGTTCTCAAACCACAGCTGTGCGGAGAGGTGAGACGATGCGAATTCAAAGAACTCATGACAAAATGGCGGTATCGCGTCTTGAGGGATCTCCACCCGCTTGCAAGCTTGCTGAAAAAATGTAATCGTGTAAAAACCAATCCCAATAAAAAACACCCCTATAACCCGATGCAGAAGTGTGGACTGGAATGATAGCGCACCATTGGAAAGCCCTTGAAACGGCGAGTTTGCAACAAACTTCAAAACCCTGTTTTTATTCAACCCCGCTATTTTACAAGGTGTTCTATCGCTTTGCGGTTCGGGGTTGCATACGAGCAAATGTGCCTCAGTTTATCCAATCAAAATGAGCAAATGCTGCCGCTAATTAGATACAGAGGCTGTTCCTCGATGGTTTCAATGCGTTGTAAAACGGCGCGTTTAAATAAAGAGTTTTGAGAATCGTTGCAAAATAACTGAAGCATTGCAAACTCGTCGCTTCAAGGGTTTCCGAATGATGTAACTATCGCACGGATCAGACCTTTCCCCGTCGTGCTAGAGTTTTTTTTAGTTGAAATAATAACCTCAAAGCTAGGAGCGTTGATATGTCCACGGCCGACAGCCATTAGTAGAGCCTCGATTTTAGCATCGATATCCCTGATCGATCCGTCGAGCTGATTGAGAGCCACTGGTAATTCATGCCGCAACCATTCTAGCAGTCGCTGAGGCTCGCCATTCCTTTTAAAGACCTATAACACAAAAACATTTAAAAATAGAGCCACTCTCTACCTCCGGATTGTAGTTTCTCCGCAGCCGGTTAGGAGCCAATTCGTGCCGCTCAAGCCGAAGATCGTAAACCATTGAACGAAAATAAGGATCGGCGCTCAGGTCCGCTCTAAAAATAAATTCTTGCCAAAAACAACTTGATACCGCGTCATGGTGCCGTCCTGACATGCTTGTTGCAACAAACTGACTTTGGAAATCGCGTCAATCAACTAAAAACCAGGATTGGTGCCAATTTACGTAGAGACCAACCCGTTTTCGCATGGCATTGAGGGCTCTGTCCGAAAAACGTGACATTTGATTTTTGGCGACCCTAAAAGCAAAAGAATTTAACCAAGTGACGAAAAATACCGTTCATCGTGACTTTCGAGGCGCCCGAGGAGATTATTGTAGTATTTTCGCAAAGCAAATTTTTCACTGTCGAGCGGGACATTCTGAAAACGAAAGTTCAATCACGGCATTTTAATTACCTTCGATTCTAGCGCCATCTGTTCGGAGAAAAATTGTGCCTGGAGTGATTCAATCGTTTCGCTGAAAAATAAGTGATCTCCCACAGAGTATGAACGCTGGGATAAATATAATTCTTAGAAGAAACATACATCACTCCACCCGAATCTAGCTGATGCTTGATGAAAGTGGACTTGATGCCGCACACAGGGCAGGTCGGGTTGGTCTTGAACCATCTAAAAAAAAATCAGAGCCCAGGAAGTACACAAACCTGCGAAGGCAACTGTAGCAACAGCGGTGCCCAAGAGCGTTACCACACCCGCCGGGAACCGATGGATCGTTAGGGACGCTAAACAATTAGTTTTCGTCCGCAGCAACAGAACAAACCCGAGACAAATCGGACACTTCGCTTCTAAGTCCAGATGCCGATCCGGAGAATTCTGGCCGTCGGTCTCCATCTTTATAAGAGGTTTCATATCAGTGTCGCCGAGAGGCGGCGATTCTTTAGCGCTCGCTGAGCTTGGTTCGCTCGGCAGCGACACCGCTTTTTCTTCAGCCATGCTATCCTAGAAAAAAAGGATTGGGATTGAACATTATTTACTGAGGAAGGGGGAAATTGGGGGAAACTAGAGTGAACCAGAAACCCGGTCAAGTGCAGCCATCAGAAATTTGCTAACTATGAAGAAAAGAAAAACCCATAAACGATATGGGGGAACCGAAAGAAGCACGAAAAAAACACTAAACTAAAAAGGATTTCAAAGCGGCTGACGAAAATTTCAGGGCGGACAAGCGACAACAAATTACACCTCTGAGAAAACATATCGTAATCGATTTCTGAAAATTTGATAATTTCTTTCTCTTTAGCAACCCGATTTCGCAAATCATCAGCAAAAAATCTCCTTGGTTGGTAAAGCACCCGCGGGCGCTCCCTTTTTGCCCTTGCGGCCGAATGGGAAAGGCTCTTATAACTTTTTTATCATCAACTGTAATAATTTTGTGCCTGAAGCCGAATTTAACTCGAAGGGGGAAGGAGCTAGGGCCGAGGTCTCAACTTTTGAAAACCAATGGTCCCTGCTGAGTCGAAAATAATCAAAATCAGAACCCAAAAAGCTAATTTTCCTTTTTAAAAATCGATTTAAAAAAACGGTCAGTGCATGATGTGCTGGTGTAGGCTATGAAAGGTTGCACGAAGGCCAGCTGATTGCAGTCGCGAAGTGGCTGTAATCAACTGGTCTTTCCATATATTGATTTAGACTTTCGATTATCTACACTTAGAACAAAGATTGTACTTGAAACCAACCAACTTGAGCACGCCGATTTTCTACGCTATTTTTATGTAATCAGATCCTTTTTTCTCGTTTCTTTCCTTTTCAACACTTTTTTTAGCGGCTTCAATGCCGGACGGACAGCCTGGAGCCCGGCCTCGAGCTCGTGAAGCCCTGCCATCCGCACGTGCTGCCCATCTAAAACGGAATGCGTTCGAGGGCGAGCATTTCCCGGATGGTTCCATCAAGACAATTGAACTCTGCAATTTTCTGTAAATTTGCTTCTTTGGATGATTTTTCTTTTTTTTATGCAGGACCTTCGAGCACACTTATATTGGCTCGGGACCCAACCTGAACCTGATCATTGGCCCGAATGGTTCGGGTAAAAGCTCGATTATCTGTGGGATTTGTCTAGCCGTCGGAGGTTCCCCAAAGGTTGGTCTTTGATGTCGACGTATTACCTTGATTTAGCTACTCGGACGATCTGAAGTGCTCACCGACTACATCAAGATCGGATGCCAACACGGTTATGCCGAAATCACAGTGTAGCCCTCCTGTTTGATATTTGATAGAAATATATTTAGGGCGGATTCAAAGCACGATAGGGGCGAAGCACGTTTCCGGATCTACCTTCAGAGATCAGAAAAGGCCCCTCTATATTTCCTCAACGATTTGAAGGTATCGAAGCAAGCCGTCATTATGAAAGCCCATAATCTGAATATCCAGGTTTGCACAGTTTCGCTGATCACAAATTCTTCAGATCGAAAACCCATGCACTTTCTTACCGCAAGATAAGGTCAAAGGATTCGCTGCCCAAAATCCTCAAGAATTGCTGAAGAACACGGAGAAGGTTACTTTTCATAAATGACTGGGCACGCATTAATTTAGGCTGGTGATGTGAAACTCTTCGAGCAGCACGAGGAAATTCTGACAAAAAAGAAGGAGGAAAAAGAGTTCCAGAAATCAGTGCAAGATTGCGAGAGCAAATTAGAGGTATCGAGTTTTGAGACAGTGTTTTTACCTTTTTTTTAGCAATGCAAGAACCAGATGATCTTATTGGAGCCGAAGGTTGAGCACTACAAGAAGCGAAAGATGATGGAGGTGCAGCGCCAGAAGCTAGAGCAAAAGCGCGTTATATTGGTGGGTTTTTCTTGACGCCGCCTACAACTCGCTCCTTTAGGCCTTCGAGGATGCGCAAGCAAAGTATGAAGCGGCTTCGGAAGACACAAATGAGATCAAGAAGCAGATGGCTGATAGGGAAAAGGGACAAGAGAAAGCTAACAGATTATTGAAGAAAAGCACTGAACAATTGGAAGCCGTGGAGGAGGCTGAGAAACTTCTGGTGAGCGGTTTGATAACGTTTACGAAGGCTCAGAAAAATGCAACTTTTGTTCATTTTTAGGGCAAAGCTATCGCAGAAAGTGTGCGGAAGGTTAACGATAACGTGGATGCTAATTGGTATATCAATAAGGTAATCCCAGTTACTCTTTTTAAGGATTTTTTTTGTTCAGATGGAGGACGTCAAGGACAGACTGGCTACGGCGCGGGAGGAACGGCAGGGTTGGTGCAAAAGGTATGTATGCGTTTAAGTTTAGGCGTTGCTATAAAAACCTGTACAGCTGTTTTCATATTCAAGAAACGTCGGCTCTCGAATTGGCCGATGGATTGTGTTTAGGGTCGAAAAGTTGGAGGCCGAGTGTAGGGAGATTGAGGAGCGACTAGAGCAAGAGCGTGATAAGCGTGGTCATTATGAGGTATCAAATAAGATGTTACTACTACAGGTTTTATTTTGTAGAAAGTCCTGCGGGATTTGTCCGAGCAGCTACGCGAATTGACCGCCGGATTGGATGAATCTGCCGACAAAGTGACGCGCCTGGAAGCAGACAATCGGGAGTTGGAGGCTCAATTGAAAGGTGTGCTGGAATTTGATAGGAAATCTTGAATCGGTGATGGTCTCTCTAATCTTGCAAATCTTCGGGGTCATCTGGCCTTCTCCAACGTTGTTTTTTTACAGATGCCGAATCGGTCCAGGCGCGCAACTTCGCAAACTTGGAGCGCCGCATGCAGACATTACCTCAATACGCCTTGACTGCATATCGGTATTAAAGGTGGCGATAAATCATGCTGTTTTAGGGAATACCTACAAAATAAAGGCCGCTACAAATGCCCCATCTACGTGCCATCGGTTGATGTAAAATAATTGTTTTCGGTTATAAATCTATCCACTTCAGATCACGATCCGGCCAGGCACTGCGAACTCGCTGAAGGTCGAAAACTCCTTGAACTTCCGCGACCGCACCACGTTTATCTTCGGGTGTAAGGATGATGAGATGCAGATGGCCAAGCATCACCCAAAAATCGCGACGACCGTTGTCGAACCACCAATGGTCAATTTTGGTTTGATTTTCTCGATCGCATGGGTTCATTGCAAAAATATTTATTGTTTTTAGATTGAACAAACGTTGCGGCATCTCGCGGATAATGCGCTTCCCGACGTCGCAGTCCAAAGCGGAATCGTGGGCACGATGCTGGACCTCGTCGACTGCCCGGACGCCGTCCGCGTCTTTCTAACCCGCGGTTGCCTGGTGTGCCTATCTTTCACGCGTAGTAATTATTTTTTAGTGGGACAAAATCTACATCGGAAATGCCCGTGTTGATGAGAGGTTTTATGATGTGGCCAACGTGATGAAGCACCAATGGCCGTTTGGCCGCATCTTCACCGACCATCATCAGGTAATGCCTTGCGATTTTGATTGTTTAGCGGTCTTGGAATGGACTAAATATGTTCTACCGCCGATATTTCCGTTGGGAACAGCATGATGACATTTAAGCTATTGTAATAGCATTTTTGTCGCCAATACTGTTTTAATTACAAAACTGTAATCCTAAAAAAAATATTTGTTTTGTAGAAAGTATTTTATAATTTTTTGGTAGTCAAAAACAACCAAATGACAAGTACTGCTTTGTGGAATTTGACCGTAACTTCTTTTAGGTCAGCTGGTCCGTCTCCATGTATTCGCATGAAGTGCTTGTCGACCAAACTCGTCTGACGTCCGCCCATCAAGAATTCTTTAAACCGCTCACGACTCGTTATGAACAAGTCGACGAACAAAAAATTCGACGGTATTCCTTGTATTTTATACTCATATCTCGCTGTAATTTAGTTTGAGGCTCCAAGCAAAGAAACTGGGTGACGAGAAGGAGGGTCTATTGGAAGAGCGAAGAACTGTTAACGGCGAGCGAACAAAAATCAGAGCCAAATTGGTATGTTGTTTATATTTTCTATCAAGTAAGATAGCTTTTAGCAAGATACGCTGCGCTTGCAGAAGGATGGATCCAAGCTGAAAAGCGTTCTCGAAGACAAGCAAAGCGAGTATGCTTTTAAGGATAACTTTATGTCAAACAGGAAGGGGTATTTCAGGACGTCATTTGAACTTTTCAGGCTTGCCATGGTGCAACGTATCCAGCCAAACGTTGAAGCCTTAGAAAGGGAGTTCAAGAACATCGCTTCGGAAAGCGTCAAGCAAGCCATCCTTCGTGCCTCGCGTACCACCAAGCAATGCGTAACCTATTCGCTCGCTTCTCAGAAACTCATTTTGCAGAAGGAACTTGGCAAGCTTTTGCTGCGCAGGAACGTAGCAATTCATCGGTTGGCCCACGTTCGTGAACGTGTTGAGGAGGCGCAAAGCGAAGCGGACCAGGCGCGCCAATGGATTCGAGCAAAAATTGTGAGCCTTCAATCTTCGGTTACCCTCGGAAACCGATGTTTTAGAACGAGCTGAAGGAGAAGGAGAGGCGCATCGCGACCGAAAAGGCGGCATTTGACGAAGCGAAGTATGCTTTCATAACAACTGTTGATTTTTTAGAGAGACGCTCAAAAAACTGCTCGGCTTTGCGACCCTCGACCGGAACGAGATCCCCGAAGCCAGTCGTGAGGCGTTTGATGATAAGCTCGCGGTATGCTTTCAACCGGGTCCATTTTCTGTCCATTGCCAATAATTGGACGTACCTTCTGCGTAAACTTAAAATTAGATGAAGAGACAATGCCCCCATTTTTGTTGATGTTTTATGCTCTTTGCTCTTTTGTTGATGTTTTATGCCCTCTGTTGCAGGTACTCAATGCTCTTCCCGGAACGCTTGGCGAAATTGACGATCAAATTGCCGACGAGGAGGCGCGCCTCAATCTGATTCGCGGGGCCGGGGCAGGAACGATCAAGGTACGTTGCTTTGTTTTTTACCGACTATATTTCTAGGACGTGGAACGGTTGGAGGAGCTGAAGGGAGAGCAGCGCGAAATGGAGGCAGACCGGGATTCGGCTATCCAACGCAGGGCCCTATTCGACGGCGAGCTCGAGCGGCTTGTGCTGGCGTGAGTGTTTCGCTAGATCTGGACTTGCCCTCAAGACATCTGTTTATCATTTATGCCACATCAATACCAATTGCAAGGGTTAAACTTTATTAGCCGGGCGTAGCATTTGGCGGATTTTCTGCTCAAAGGCGTCGAGCGCGCTGACCACGGTGGGATCGGCTTGCGAGTTGCGCAGGGTTTTCATCTGGAAGTTTACTTGAATTTTCGAAGGCTCTGCAAACCTGCTCCATCTTCTCTTTATGCGTAAGGGCATTATTTGACATGATCGCCTTCATTTCCGTCGCCATTTGGCCTGCAGCTGGATTTTCTTGAGATAGGGCGGCCATGGCCTAAGAATAGCTTTGACCTTTGGACAGTCTAGTTAGTCTATTCCTGCGATCCTCAAGTTATTTTAATAATTCTAGTTATTTTAATTGAGTTAGCAAATTTGGCCTTACAATGACCTTGTAGATGAATTTGGCACCATAGAGGGCGCAATTTTTTTTACCTCGTCAATTGAGGCCTTTTGTTCCGGTGTGAGCTCCGGCATCTTGTGATCCATAGCTGCTGCCTGTCGCCTTCTTCTCTGTGGCTTCACGGCGTTCTAATACACCCAATGCTTAAGACCAACTTTTTCCACATACCATGGCCATAGTTTTCGCTTCTTTGACCTTTTCCCCAACGTTGGCGTCCGACTCCAGCGCGGCACTGACGTCTTGGTCGAATTTCTCCACTTCAGCTTTCAGGGTGGGGTTCGTTTCCAATTCACTACGAATTGTACCGAGCTGAACGGTATCGGGGTTTTGTGGCAACTGTATTGCGCTTACCGCGTTCTCAATCTGATCTGGGCTTGGAGGGACTGATCCACTTTGATTTTGCACAGTCATAATTGCCGTCTTCACCTTATTCACAAAGTCTTTGGCCTCGGGACTGAGGGCGGCTTCTTCCTAAAATATGCTTAGTAGCGTATGATATCTTAATCCACTAACCTCCTCGATCTTTTTCTTTGTATCTTCCGTAATGTCAGGCTCACCAGGCGCCTCTTGTCCAATGACCAAAACGAAAATCGCAGAAAATAGAATAATTTCAAGTCTCATCCTGGGAATATTAGCCTGAATACGGTAGCTGGGAATGCGCACTGACCTTGTTCTAGCCGATCCGCTCGACTTTTAATAAGGCCCTGGATTGGATAATGGTGGGTGACGGGAGTGGAACCAGTATGATGGGCGCCCAACTATTAGGTGACGCATCACCCGCGATCGGCAAACCCTTACAAACACCCATTTCAAAGCATAGCCCTCGGAACTAGAGGAAGGTTGACAAAGCAGAAGCCGCCGTAACTGGCCACGGCCTCGACATTAAGCACTCGATTTGGCATCGATGGAGTTTTTGTCATAGGGTTTTTATTCTCTACTCCTCCTCACGGCGCTCTCCGTGACCACTAGCCCGGGCTCCCGTAGGATTCCGGCGGTAAATTGGGCGCGCATCGGGACCCTCAATTTTGCTCGAATTGCTCACCCATCGCCCGCATTCGCCGGTTCGTTGGCCACGGCACAAACAGGGGTGAGAGGTTCGCCCATTGATGCCTCGTAAAAATATCCGACTATGCATGGATTTTCGAGATTCCACTGGAGCCATACGGCTACTGGGGGCAGGGGACCGAATCGTTCCAGTGACCACGTACGGTCCTGTAATGAAATAGACAGCATTTTATAACATTTTACACCGTTTTTATAGATATAAAAACTCGTATAAATTATAAAAAATTTTGCCTTTTGGGTGGTCAAAAATGTTTAAAAAATGGCCCAAAAGGCGCTTAATTTTCGGAATTTTAAAATCTTGAAAATATTTTTTTTGCAACTTTCGAGCATTGCAAAACTAGGAAAAACCTGATAAAAATGCAGTACTTTTTATTAACAGGTTGATGAGAAAACAAAAAGTGTTCCCCCGCTGTCAGCCCGGTACCACCATAGTCCTTGACTACCGCTTTTTGGCTGAGTGATTGAAGACAGGATCAAAAAGTGTGGCCAAAAATTGTAGTGTCACTTGACGATTCCAGCATGATCAACACCTATGTATTTTTTATTTCCTCGGGATCCAACGAACGCTCGTGGAGTTGTGCACAACTTTTATTAAGCAGCATCAGTTGCCTTCTGGTACGAGTCCGATAATCTTCATCTGCGCATCTTCGAGAGCCACCAGGGCAGCCGGGTCTCGAACGCTCTGCACGGCTTGTTTGATCTATGAAATCGTTCCCTTTATTAGGCGAAAACTCAACGAGTTTGTGCCGGTCTTGCGCCGACTCCTGGCTGTTAATCGCGTCTTTGATTGCCAAGCATGCACTTTGGGCCGCTGTCGGGAGGGCAGCGCAAATCTAAAGCTTCAGCTGTGCTAGAATTTCAATATAGCGATGGTTAGCCAGATCAACATACCGTTTCGATCTTTGCTAGCGTGGCTGCGTCAATCCGCGTGCTGACGGCGGTGACCGCATCTCTTTTATAGACCTGCAAAAGTTACGGCACGCAAAGAAAAAGAACCCAATGTTCGATGGAAAATGCAGCACCGCACCCAATCAATACGGCGATGATCAGCGGGTTCATCTGGTTGTAGGTGGTGGCCATGTAAGTGACCGGCCAGGGCTCGCCTAACAGGCCATCACCGCCCACCCGACGATTCTCGTTTCGGGGGATCAGCCGATTCCCGCGCAGGGGATTTGCTCAGAGTTATTACTCTTCGACCCGGGCTTCAATGCATTGGCTGGGGGAGTTGCGAGCGCTGTAATCTGTGTTTTTTTTAATTCGGTGCATCGTATCACGATTCTGAAGAATTCCAAAATAATAGAGAGTTGGGTCAGCGAAAAAAATATTTCGTTACAGATGGCGAAGCCGAGTCGATGAGCTCATCGAGAAGATCACGGACAACTTCACGACGTTCTTCAAGAAGATGGGTTGGCGTGGCGAGGTGGAGCTTATCAAGCCGGAGGATACCAACCGCGTAGGGACTTTAGGTTACTCAAATATATGTTCGTCATCCCACAAGGATGCGTTGTTTAGTGTCCTCGGGAGTTCTAACATTGGAGTCGAAGCCTGACTTGTGCGGAATTTATGCTGATTCCATATATGCGTCCCAAATTGCGGAACCGAGATTTTCCGAACGCTAAGAACGAGAAAGGCCCAAAATAAGCCACTTTCAATGGTTTTCCTGGCTTAAATAGCTCATAGAATCAGAAAATCGCGATTTCGCAAATTTAACGTTATTCGGAACCATGGCTAACAAGGAAACCTCCCCAGCTCGAAGTTGGACTTCGATTAGCCATATAGCCTATCTGATGCAGTTTTTCACGCTGATAACGATACCGATATTTATTTTTGCCGAGCGCCACAGGAACATTGTTAAAAATCGATTTAAAGTTTTGTCATGTTTGGCAGCCCCGCCTCAAAGCCCCTCCCGACGGGGGAGGATCCATCGGCGGCGTGGTGTAGTCGGCAAGTACTTGGCCTACCAATCTAGAGGTCGCTAGTTCGAGTCGTGCCGCTGACGACTTTTTTGCTTTTTGCTTCAAAAGTGATGTGAAGGTCCTACAAGTCATCAAGAAAAATATTTTTAAGTTTTTTTTGCACATTTGGTCGCTAATTCAGGTAGTTATGGCTACAACGAACCACAGGTCTCGATAATCCTCATGAATTTTATGACCTCAAAACGCTTAATTAACTTGGTGCAGAAATGAAGCTTGACATAAGATGTAAAAAAAACTTAAAGACAGAACCTAGTATTTCCTTCTCCTTTTTTCAAAAAGTTTTTAAAAGAGTGGCTGGTGCATTAAATAGTTGGGGATCCACCGTAAATTCCAAATGTCTTCGGCTGAAAAACAGTCTTTCCGAGAAATCGAATCGAGCAACCTGAATTGGTGACCAAAAGTTCAAAAAAACTTAAAACCATATTTCTTGATGACTTGTAGGACCTTCACAGCACTTTTGAAGCAAAAAGCAAAAAAGTCGTCAGCGGCAAGACTCGAACTAGCGACCTCTAGATTGGTAGGCCAAGTACTTGCCGACTACACCACGCCGCCGATGGATCCTTCCCCCGTCGGGAGGGGCTTTGAGGCGGGGCTGCCAAACATGACAAAACTTTAAATCGATTTTTAACAATGTTCCTGTGGCGCTCGGCAAAAATAAATATCGGTATCGTTATCAGCGTGAAAAACTGCATCAGATAGGCTATATGGCTAATCAAAGTCCAACTTCGAGCTGGGGAGGTTTCCTGGTAAGTTCTGCACAAGACAGGATTGGTCCCAACTTGGAACCCAACGCCACTGAAAAACGTCTCCTTTTCAGCTGGATGTCGAAAAGTATGGAATTGGCATCAACGTCTCCTTCCGCGAACACGAACGAATGCGCCGCTTGGACGATAAGGTTGTCATCTTTTGCTTAACATTATCATTCCGTTTTGAGACACAATCCGGTGGAGAGCGTTCGGTGTCGACGATCCTCTACTTGTTTGCCCTCCAAGAGCTTTGCCCGGTGCCTTTTCGATGCGTCGACGAGATCAATCAAGGTATGTGATTCAACCCACTACCCACAATCTCGATTTTCCAGGAATGGACCCGAAAAACGAGCGCGCCGTCTTCAATATGATGGTTGATTTGTTGTGCAACACGGGCACGTTGAAGAACACACAATATTTCCTGTAAGCAATTGGCCACATTTTTTGCAACTTTGTCTTTTCAGGCTCACCCCTAAACTGCTTCGTGGACTCGATTTCGGTGATAAAGTCACGCCACATATCGTCCACAATAGTCCAATGCTGCCTGAAGATGTTCTTGTAAGTTTTCAGGTTTTGCTTATTTTTGAGGCCAGGGTTGTTCTAATGGTAGTTTTGGTAGCCGTGTGGTCAATATAGAATAATGTCCTTTTTTATAGAAATGGGACCACCACGACTTCATCGGAAGACTGTAAGCGTCGTCGATCATGCTTCGGCGCGAATTCTCCAGATTATCTTTCTTTAATTGTTGATTTTTGTCGCACTGTTGTTCATCTTGTCTCAATACTACTCGGGTATCTTATGAATCCGGTTATGCTATTATTGCTCTTGCGATGTTTATCAAGCATTTATTATAAAGAATCACCCGTAATCAAAATTGCACATGCTCGTGTCACATTCTATTTTTTTGGGTTGCCGTGCCGGGGCGACTTACGTGTCGTGCCGAAGCGCCATTGTGCCGTTTGTTAGCAACTAACTACGTTTTGTAGATTTTAGTTTAGATTAGTTTTTAGTTTTCTTCGGCTATCACTGGGAGGACATGATCGCGTCCGGTGTGTTGACCTTTTTGTAGGCCTGATGCCGCCATTTCCCCCTGACTACTCGGGTCCAATTGGCGACATTTTGGGTGCAGAGGAAGATGAGGAGCAACGTTAAAAGGATCACAATGAACATGAGAGACGTCGTGATCAGAAAGTTGAGGTTAGAGGCGTGGCTTTCGATGGCTTCCGACTCGATTGCGGTAGTCGTGGTCGCGACAATTGGTGGGGTCTAAAGCATCATCCATTTTACAATATTCGGTAGCGCATCAAATTTAGGGAAATTATTACCGTTTCGGCTAGCGGTCGCTGAACATCGACCGACTCTAGGCCGGCATGAAGCAGGAAAGCGAGCAGGTGCTGTCGCGAGCGTACCATCTGCCCGAGAAGCCATCCAGGTGCCGTTTCCTCTGAATATTTTTGTTGATTGTGGGGGAATGCTCGGGCTGGAGGGATGTCGAACCCCCAGGCCATGGTGGCCATCAGAAATTGATGAACTCTGTCGTTTAGGATTGGAGATGGGCACACTGAAATGGGGGAAGGCGCATTCGTAATACCAGGGCGAACCCAAATTTTTCAAGGGAAGCTCTACGGCTCTATAAATGACCATCTAATGTAATCGTAATTCTCATCACGAGCCTGCTAAACTATATAATATTTAGCTTGCCGACGGCATTGGGGAGCAAAACCATGGCAACTCGCTGGTGACACTTGTCAGGCCTCATTTGATGAATAATATGTATTCCGCCGGTCGAGCAGGTGGCTGCTGGCCGTGCCACGCGTATATATCCGTCGGCTGACCATAATTGGTCTCGATTTGCCGTTGGCGAAAAGGGACTGAAGCCTCTAATCGACCGCAGAGTGGACTTGATAAAGTAGTGGTAAGATCTGCGCAGAGGGAAGAGAAAAGAAGATCTCCAAAAAAGCCGAAACTGCAGTTGGTTATATATTCTTTTTTGTCTTTCATTCCCTCACTGCAGGCAGCCGTTCCCACCCGCCACACGCCGAATGAAATATTTGAGGTGAAAGTGATCGGCTCTCGTCCTGTTAGTCGGGGTCGGTCACGCTTATTGAACGCTGCGCTATTGATATGGCGGGCAAAAGCTTGCTTCTCCTAGCACACCCATAAATTTTCTTAGCGTTGCTCGCTATTTTCCTATTCAAAAAATATCTAGAAAACGATAAAAAGGTGCTTAGTTTTATGAAATAGGTTTCGGGGCATAGTTAAAAAGCGTAGAATGAGGCTCTGAAGAATAATGGCTACAATAGGTAGTGCCTTAGCTGGACACTCGTCCCGTTGACCCTAGCGAAAAGAACCGGAACTGACCGGTGCTAAGAAGCGTGGTGTTGCTGAGGCGGCTGCGGAGAAGGAGTCGGATTTGTGTCGTCGCATTGTCCGCATCGCATCCCCAATGGCCGATTATTAGCTGTCGACGGGAAACCGGTAGCTCCAACGGGCACGTCACAAATGATCCGCACTCCTCAAGCGTTATATAGTCACAATGTGAAAGGGGGCGTGTAATCTATTCGGTGTTTGCTTACAATTAGCTGCTATATACATGAAGATCCTGAAAATTACCTCATTCAACCACGCGGCCAGCTTTTCGCTCAGCTGATCCGGTGCCGCCCGTGTGCATTCATCGAGGCGAAGGCTGGAAATGCTGTTTATACAAACCGAGTAACTTCCGGCTTACCTTACCCATTCGACGGCGCTGAATTCACTTCGGAATTTATCCCAGCATTCTTTGCAAGTGCATCTCCACGGGGTCTCCTGCAAAAATGGGCAAAATGAGATGCCTTTGCCAGATACAAATACATCGGTCGCTATTCGAGTACTCGATATTCCGCCCGGGTGACCCGATGATCGTGGCCCCGATTTTGAAGACTGTATCCATCTTGGGGTGCGCCCGTATTTGTTCCGGATGGTGGCCTCTGTTTATACACAAACCATCTTGCCCCCGCTACTATAACCCGACCGCTGCCCTAGACCTTCCTACCAAAGCGAATGGGCGATCGAATACGGTAATCGTGAACTGACTGGCAACAAATAATTAATTTAGAGGTGCAATTCTATTTTATTATTATCGCGAAAATCGACATCACAAACGCCCATTTTCTAGCCATTTCCAATGTATCAAATCGCATTCAGAATGGGGGAATCGCATGCTTAGGGCCTCTAGGGGAATATTCGAGATAATCAGGGTTGTTCATTTTGCGTCCGGTCCGCGTCCGTCCGCGTCCGGGACGGGACGCGTCCCGTCCGTCTCATTAGCATAAAATTTTGCGGACGGACGCGGACGCGTCCCGGACGGACGGGACGGACGCCTGGCGGACGGGGACGGGGAGCGTCCGCGCGTCCGAGATGCAAATTAATTCATGGTAATCTTAAAATGAAAACCAGGAAATTCACAATATTTTTGCAGGTTTTGCGATGAATTTGATTTTATTGGACAGTAGGTTACCATGTACAAGTAGACATGCTAAAAACCAGGCCCTACCGAAGGTTGTACGCCCAAAAATGAAAATCTAGGCGCTTAATTATGATTTGAATCCGGTTTTATCATTTGCATCGCGGACGCGGTTACTTCCGGCGTCCGCCGTCCGTCCCCGTCAGTCCGGGACGCGTCCCCGTCCGTCCGCAAAAATGGATGTAAATGAGCGGACGGGGACGCGTCCGCGTCCCGGACCGTCCGCGTCCGTCCGCGAACAACCCTGGAGATAATGAACTTTCGGGATAGTGACAACTTTTCAAGGGATTCTCGCAAATATATCTCGCATTTTGCCCCCATTCACCCACCAATCTAGGGCTTAAATCTGAAAACTGTAACCCAAAAAAATGCCTCGAAAATCCAAGATGTCAAATTTTTTTGCCGCCGAGAATTTAGCGCTCCGACCCAACGTGGTAAGCGATCGGTCTCCCGGTTCCTCGTGAGGAGGTGCATGTCGGAATGGGCAAGAAAGGAGACGGGAGACCCGTGGTAATCGTCGATCGGATCTGTGCGTAGTGAGGATGAAGAGGGATGAGGAGTCTCAACCCCTCGACAAGGCCATCCCCACTGCCCTTCTTTTCCAAATTCCCCCAAACCAACAACATATAGATGAGCGATGGAATGGGGCAACAGATGGGGGATATCTCTCCCTTTCTTCATTGCCAAAGACCCTCGGCTACGGTAGATTATTCACGGTTTAATGGGAAACAAGGCCCCGGCTACCGTATGCCCTCGATTGGCCTCGGTCCAACCGATTTGCGAGGTTATTTGGTGATTGTTTGGTTAGGGCTTGCTGGCGGAGGAGAGCAGCTGGTTGGGTTGTGCGGATCGGGAGGCGGAGAGCCTCATAAAGTCGTCGTTTATTGGGTTGATTCGCAGCGGGCCGGCGATAGGTATCCCATGGCTCTCAGGAACGCTTGGGGGATGCTGAATGCATACGCGCCAGATGGGCTTATACCCACCTGAGAAGAGTTGTATCTATTTCCGCAATCATGCCTCTGACAAGGTTCGTTCGCATTATCGGGGGGACCCAACTTTTTCCAAGAAGCTAATTTTTGAAATATAAATATCGGAAAAGTTTTTAAATTTTTTCCTGTTCCTAAGCGTAAAAACTATATTTTTTGTATTTTTTAATAAAAATAATAATAAGAAAAATGGCCGTCAAAAATAAATGCGATTATTTTTATCTAGCGAAAAATAAAAATAGGTTCGCCTTATTGATTCGAAAGCCCTCTAGGGCTTTCGAGCTATCGTTCCGAGCTTCCCTTTTACAAATGTCCCAAAACTTTTTTACATTTCCGGGCTAGTAAAAAGCTCAGACTCCCCTCGCTAGCCACCCACATTTGTCGCCGCAAAAACATAAGCGGCTTAGGGCCCGTAAAACAGAGGGCGGGGGCATAACCCGTCCGGTCGGCCAGCCGCATGCTAACGGTTGTCCTCACAATCAGCCGGGGGCGCTTTTTGATTGCCTTCCGCCCAATGGAAGTCCATATGTTTAGTGGGGACCCCTGCGGGACAATGGAAACACCGCCCAACCCAATCGGCTACACTTGTAGAAATGCATTACGCGCATAAAGGGGCGAAAAAGGCGTACCAATTGGATCGAAAAGGAAAGAAAATGTCGCTTGTTGTGCCCTCTTTTCAATACTATACTATATTAATATCCACCGTATCGGAGATGACTAGGAAAAATGTTTCATCTTTCATCGGTCACTTTCCAAAATCAACAAATTCTCCGGTTTGCAAGGTCCAAAAATAAGGGTTTAGGCTTACATTAGGCTTAGGCTTAGGGCCAAGCCTAAACTGCATTAAGGCGGTTATTTTAGCGAAACAGAAAAACACTCCAAATTTCGCAAACCTGATTGCAAAGTTGTGGCCGATTAGAGAGGGATGACGGCGTCGGGGCTGCAGAAGTGCCCAGCGAACAGCTAACGAAAATGGCAAGGAGCAACGCGTACGTCATCCCGATGACATCAATCGTACAAGTAATTGTGGATCGTTAATGTGCGGATAGAGTAGACAGTGGGAATGTTGAGAAAACGACAGCGCTTGTCCTGGCTGGCCGGCAGCCAGCAACCCCTGAGGGGGGCGGAGCCAATATATTCCACTACACTCCCCCTAACCACCAGTCGTCCTCCCGTAAACCGGAAGCCCGTCGGAGGCGCTAGGGGTGTCACTTGTGCGAGTTCGTGATAATTTAGCCGTGGCGCGAAATATTGGACCATCGCTTACACATTTTTGGTAGCCCATTAGTTGTATTTTAAAATTCTGGTAGAATCACCGGTACTGAACTGTTAGCTGGGGCAAAATTTTTCTTCTCCCGTCTATTAAGAATAAATTGCGTATTTTTATGATTTTTTTAGTGGTTTTAGGTTGCTAGAAAAAGCATTGCTACAAAGAATATTTTAAACATTTTTTTTTGAAAATTCGAAAATTTCGGCCTTTTTTTGGTCAGTGCATAAATTTTTGGCCAACAGCCAAAAATGCGTGTTGTCAAAAGTGTTTTATGAGCCTTACCTAATACCTAAAAACTGGGCTTAATCCTGTGAAACGGGTTTAGAGTTCGACATAAGACCGTACAGGATTACTGGAAAAAATTAATTCCCCCCCCCGTAACAGTCCAGTACCGGATCACCTGTGCCATAGTAATATACCTTTTGCTCAATTTATTTGGCTATAAACGTGGCAGATTGGCCGTGCGATACCAGCCGTCAACAACAGCGACTTAGAAAAAGCTGGGCAATGAAAAATTGGGATTGGACAGGTCTCAAAAGCACAGGGTCTTTTGCACCAACCACTAGCGGGGCTGCATTTTTGACGAAGGTTCTCAGATAACCGGAATTAGATCGGGAAAGGGGGGACAGGGAAAGGAAAAAGCACAGTCAGCGACCCGCTCAAGGAACACCAGAGGCGTGTGTATGTGTGTGGGGGAACAAGTAAAAATGAACGAGGTAGAAGAGCGGTGCGACGTAGTGTGGGTTCGGGCAGTCTTTCATGGCATTTGTAAGCCTCTAGTCGAGATAAACGCAACACTGGGTAAAAATTAATCTCCTACACGTAACACCATGAAAGACGGCCCATTAGTTCATCACGTTTGAGGGTCGGTCAAAAAACGACCAGTGGAATATCGGGAGCTACGGGGGCCAAACAATAACAAAACAAGCGTGCGACCCGGTATTTTCGGGGGCGCCTACGGACGACAAAAAAACTAGCAATGGGAGCGCGGTTAAGCCTCGACCGGCGAGGAACCGTCTCATCTACTCTTGGGTGGCCGGGGGGCTGTTGAGCGAGTCGCGCTTCTTCTTCAGTTCTTCCAACAGGGCCCGCGTGTGCTGCGTCTGTAGCATGGATGAACGCGCCTTCACCTTCTCTTGAGCAGCATCAATGGCGAGTTGAAGGCCTTCCTGAAAAACAAGGCAAATAAGGGAAACAAAGACGAGAGCAAGTGTAGGTTACTATATTTTTTGCGAAACCCGCCGGCTTCCTTGAGGATTTTCGAGAAAAGGGTTTTTAAAAACCACTTTCTGGATGCATACGCTTTTTGGTTCTGGTTCGTTAGCCGGGGGGGGGCATCTTTTCTCGAGCTTTTTTTCCTTGCGCTGTATTCTAGATTACGTTATTTTCAACTGTAATGAAAAGACGAGCTGACCCCACAACACTCTTCGTATATACTTCATTCTCTATGGAAGGGTGTTAACAGAATGACGAAAAAAATCCCAATTATCGAAGAGGTTCTGTCTTTGCCATAACTATTTTAAATTGGAGCCTTTTGTGTTGTAATTAAAACAATTAGTATACTTTTGCATGCCCTAATAGGGAAAACATCGAACAATCACGGGACTCCCTCACCCCGCTAATGAACCAGAACCCGCATTTTTGGGAGCTTTATGGTGGCTTTTTGAAAGCGACTTGAGGAAAAAAGCATCTTGGAGAGCGCCTTATCCGCATAAGTTCAGCTTTTGAAAAAATTGTCTAAATTTCGAATATCAAATGCGGAAACTGCGCGAAGATGTGTTGGGTGATAAGTGGCCAAGGACGCACTGGCGTATACCAGTCTTCGCGTTTCAGCAGCTCGCGTCCGGCATAGAAGGTGCCCTCGCGGTCGATATCGATGCCCTTCAATCCCTCCTAAATTCATCAATTTCAGCCCTATAATAAAAAAACTAACATCGTAATCAAATTTCAGATAGTCGGCCAACAGCAAGCACAACTCAGTCGGCAGCTCGCTCAGACTGGTGGCATTGACCAGCAGGATTTCGACGGCGTGGACAATGGTCTAAAAATAATGATATGATCCGGTTATCAAAAAACGGAATTACCTGGCAACTCTCATCATTCGGCGCGGCAAGCAGCTCACGTCCCATCCGATAGAAAAGCTCGGTTAGCCGCGGACCGTATTTCTGAAATTCTGTGTTTAGTCCGAATCGACTGGGGGTTGTGCTAAGAAAGGATGGCTCATTTTCATTTTGCCAATTTTTCAATGCCCTTTCCGCCTGGATTATTTATCTCGAACATCCCGCAAATTAAAATTTCTGCGCATTCCGATTTCGACAAATTGAATCCGACATACCGAATGGAGATCCAAACGGAAATCTAGGGAGCGAATCCGAAGGATGACCAAATACCTTTTCTAGCTGAACAACGTTGCCGTGCCGCGTGAATTTCGAATAGCATCGAAGCAAAACGGCCATGGTGTCCAAAGGCACGCGGACGTCGCGTCGATCACACTCGAGCAAGTAATCGCCGATATGGAAGAGCCCTTTCTAAAAACGAGAGGGGGTTATGTGATAGAGATTCACAAACATCGATGATTTGGAGGCATTTCAGCATCTCCTCATCTGTCAGCCATCGTTCCTCTTTTCCGCCTTCCATCAAATCCAGATATCTGAAAAAATATTTTGAATTTGATTCTGAAAACTTCATTAATTTTTAAGGTTCATTCAGGTTAACAAGGATAGATTTTAGTGTAGTCGGTGTTTCAAATTGTGACCAGGCCTGGCTTGTGCAGAATTTACGCTGATTCCGAATATGGTTGCCGAATTTGGGGGAATCGCTATTTTCCTAAAGTTGCGACCTACCACGAGAAACGCCGAAAATTCTATGGGAAGAACCTTCTATGGTTTTGTTAACTTAAAGGGCTGCCGACGGCATAGTCAATCCCCGTTAACCAGCGGAAAAGAAAATGTCTCGGCGCCTCCCCGGGGAGGCGCAGGAATTTGCTTCTCCCCGCGTGGCCGTTCACTATGCCAGTTTGATCCTTTTAAGGGGGATCTGACGGCCTGGGCGCTCCCTTGGCAGCCCCTTAAAGCCCCGACGACACCAAGAAACGTCTTTTTGAAAGATATTAGTTTTCAAGGCATGAGAAGAACGCACTCTATGCCTCGCTCCAGCACCGTCGTCCATTGATCCAGAGCTTCATTGTCGACGGCGGCCTAAGATTCTTTTAAAGGATAGTGAATGAGCTGTACCAGATCATCGTGCTTATCGAGTTCCGCGTATAGCTGGATAGAGGCAAAAGTGAACGTGAGAAGGAAGGTCTCGTAGTTGCGCTGTGTCCACTCGAAGCCCAGCATTTTTATGATCCACTAAAAAAATTCATCGTTGTCGAAACCCATACAATGACTAGAGTAGACCAACAAAGAGGGACATTCGAAAGTTGACGTAGTTTCGAATTGGTACCAAGCGTATCCTCTCCGGAATTTTTTTTGATGATAAAAACGTACCTTTCAGAATCTGCGAAACGGCTTATTTTAAAAAAATCACGGGGACTCTATTGTGAAAAATGCGCAAAACGGCTAACTTTCCTACCTTAGTCGTTTCTTAGATTCTAAAAACTGGGTTTTACTCAATGAAAAATACTGCACAAAATAGGCGTAATCCGATTTCACAACTCCGTAGTAAATCAAAAATCCCCCGGTAAGCTAAAACTAAACGAATTTTGATGATATGCGTTGCAATAGGGTGCTCGAACCTTACCTTTATTTGTTGGCCCAGCTGATGGATGACATAACGAGGGTGCATGCCGAGATGCTCTGTACGCATCAGCCTTACTAGGAATGTTCTAAAATTCAAATATATAAGTTAAAGTATAACAACTTACGTCGCATTCATGAACCGCGTGGTTTTGTGCTCGGACTGCTCCCATCCAGCGCGCATACACTCGTACTTACTAAAAAAACAATTGCAGAGCAATAGTCCAAACATGAAATAGTCGGTGATCTGTGCCATTTGATCTTCGCTTGGCATGGTCGAGGTGTTGTCCACCACTTCCTGCATCAGGGCGTCGAGTCGGGGCCGCAAAAAATGGGCTGCTGCGCTAAATTATGTTTTTATGAAATAACGTTATCAAAAGAAACGCACTGTGTGACCATCTTGTTCCGGTCCTCGATGTAATCGGTGTGATGGTCGATTGATTGATGCCAGCGAAACCTAAGGAGAGATTGATTATAATGCTTTAAAAACCGAGCCCTACACGTCATATTGGCGTGGATCGATGACCACCGCAACCTCACAAGCCATCTCATCAAGCACCTCTAGTTCCTGAAGAAAAACAAAACGTAGACTTTGATCCCCAGGGGGGCGTTACCAGATTTTCGAATTCACAGCCGAAGAAATCGGTCATCATGTGGCAGAGCATCATGAGAACGTGAATATCCCTAGGAAACCGTTTGAAGCCACAAAAGACACTACGTACTTGGCATCCTTGTGGTTCATCTTCTTTACACCCTCAACCAGATTCGGTGCAAACGTCTCCGCGACTCGACGTACCTGAAGAAATCGTTACTTAGCTGTTAGGTAGATTAATCAAAACAATAAGCACCTAAGTCGCATCGCTTTCCAACCGTTCCAGTAATGCTTTCCAATAATCTTTATTTTCAAGGTGTATTCCACAAACCCACTTCGTCATCATCATAAAAGTCGATCTGTTTAAACGCACTCGCCAACTTCTTCAATTTCAATTCAGGTGGCGCGGTCTGGTTCTTCATGAATCTAAAACGAAAGAAAGTAGGCTGGGTTGCAACGAACATATCCGGGCAGCTAACCTAAAGCGCTGCCGACGGCATGTGTCGACCCCCCCCCCATCGACAAACTGGCAAGTAGCCAACAGGGCAGAGAGCGCGCCCTGGGGAGAGGCGCAGAGAGGTTTTCTTTCCAGCGCGTAACCGATTGACTATGCCGTCGGCATCTCATTAAGAAATATCGAAGAATTCCACTTACCGACAAAGATCATCCACGCTGTGCACCGTGATCGATTCGAACGCCGCGCTCATGACGTGATCTTGATTCTCCGCGATCCCTTCATTACCACCCGAATAGGTGAAGCCGGCATTGTCGAATTCTCTGGAAAGTGGAATTCACCGTAACGACAGGCACAACCTGACCCCCTTTTTGACATCCCTTGCTAATTATTCCGCTAAACTGTGTTCAATTCTAGGATAGGCACCCACCGGCTAGACCCTTCCAGAGCTTATAAAGCAATAATCTTGTGAGAATTGACTGTTTCAGCTGGGCACTTCGGCCGGCCACAAGAATTCCCTCGGTTCCGCTTCTACTTTGCCTTTTCTCCTCACCCAAACATTGAAATCATCTAGTGGACTAGGAACGCTCGATATATCACAGTGAGGAGGTGGCAGCAAGTTGAGACCCGTAACGTGCGTATGTGTGTAGTGGGGGAGCTGGGTTATCGCCTCGACCAGCGGTGGGGGGTCGTTCGACGGATTTCTGTCTCGGAGGCTGGGCGGGGCTTGACTCGCACAAAGCCCACTGCAGCGCCAATTCGAAAAAGGGCATCAACAATGCAACTTTGCGAAATAATTTGCAGGCACCGAGGAATCGTTATTATCGAAAACTATCTCAATTTAAGGTTCTTTCGCATTAGCAGGGGGGGGAGGATGACCGGTTTTTTTTCTAAAATTCTGGCAAAAAACCTAGTAACTTCAGAGGAAGTATTTTATTAGTATTTTTCGTAAAAGATAACTAAATTGCAAGTCGAAAAACTATCCAAACTCTTTAAAATTTTGAAAAAGACGAAATTTTGGTAAAAAATCGGTTATTTTTGGTCGAAAATCGATATTCTTGGTATTTATTAATAAACATTCAAAGTTTCTACGTTCAGGAATAGTAAAAAACAGCTGAGAGTAGACTTGTTATCGACCCGAGTCGAAAGTTTGCCTGGCTGGAAGTTTCGACCCGATGCCGGGTCGAAACGGATGTTAGGGTGGCAGATGGGGTTGGGTGTTGTTAGAAGATTATTTTTGGCACCATTAATGGGCTAATATTTGGAGGAAAAGCCCAAAATAGCCAATAATGATACGGTGATAACTCCATGGAGAAGTAACGGATCGGGATGATCTAACACGGGGTCCCGACTATTCAGGAGGGCGCGCACGAGGGACGGGGCGCCCACGGGACAGGTGGGCCGGCTGCGCGCACAGCGAACCCTGAGACCCGCAAAAGGCCTTAACAAAAGGGGGAAAAAGTGACAAATTTTCGCGCTTTCAAAATGCGATAACTTCTAGAAAAACGGTCGAGGCGGCTTTTCGCATATGATAGAACAGACCCTAAGGCACCTTTTCCAAAAGAGCTCGCAGCAAATCTGAATCAAAATAAGGAGTTCAAAACCTTAGAGCAGAAGACCGAAAATTCACCCCTTTGTGCGCATCGCTTTCTTGAATATAGCCATTTTCTGGGATCCGTTTCGTATATTTGCATCGCCTGAGACTTGCCAAGGATCAATTGCTTGCTTTCGGGGTTGGGGGCTGTAAGGACGAGATGAGGCCCATCCATGGCAATTTGAATTCTGGAGTAGTACTGAACATTGGCTGAATCGACTGTATGACATCTGTCTATATATTCAGCTCTGTATATCTATGTGACAAATGAGTACTCCAGCACCACTATTCGCGATTCGTCGTTTCTGACCAGGAACCAATAGTTGTTATTTTTCGGCATTGGGTACACTATAGAGGGGTTGCTGGCACCTTCAACCACTTTTTGCAAAAAAGAGCAAATCGATCTGACGGTACGGGGGGTTCGAGGTATCGAACCAGCACCCCCCCCCCTGTGGCCTGACCGCCGCCAGACCACTCGGCACGCCCTCCCCACCCCCGTGCGCGCTCTGAGACCCCGTGCTATATAGCGATGGAAAGCCCAGAGTAGGAAGAATTCAGGGCGATGTACAGCAGAAAACCCGTATTGCTAAAGCACTTTATTCCGGTTACTAACGGTAACTTAGCGCGGCAGCGCTTGCCTGTTCACGGCACCCTCGACAACAATAAAGAGTGAGGAGAAATAAACCTACCCCCAAAATCGACCGAGCCCGAAAAGCGCAAAAGACCCTTATGATTTTTTTCGAAAAAAAATTTTCTGCCTGCGGCGCCTTTTTATGGCTCTTGAACGATATTTTTTATAATACAGACACATTTGCAAAAAACTTTACTGCCTGCGGCGCCTTTTTCTCGCTCTTTAACACTATTTTTTATCCTATAGGCACCGTTTTTCAAACTTTTTGCCTGCGACGCTCATTTTTTCAGTCATTGAATCGCAATTTCGGTTCAAAAGTGCATTTTTGCGGCGATTTTGCTCGCTTTTGCTCAATCCCAGAGTTTTTTCTTAACCAATTTTGCAAAAATTTTGCCTGCGGTGCTGTTTTTAGCGTTTTTACACCGTTTCTCCGCCATTTTACAAAAACGTCTAATCAGAATTTTTTCGGCCCTGCCCCCCGAAATTTCGGGCCAGCTACGGCCCTGGTCTTTAGTCTCCATTAAAGTAGACAAATGTAGACTTTAATGGTGTTTTTAGCAGTTTCCGTTGACTAAAGACCACATTAACATTGACGACTGTCATAACATTTGAGCTTTGGCTTAGCTTCAAACGTTTTTCATACGAAACACCACAAAAGTAAAGTTTTTCAGCCTGTTTTATGAAGATTTTGGAACGGATGCCGGGTCGAAACTTCCAGCCAGGCAAACTTTCGACCCGGGTCGATAACAACTTTAGTCCTAATGAAAGAAGTTGGTCCCCCGGTAATGCGAAAAAAAACCCCCATTTAAAAAGAAAATTAAGAAACCTATCGACTTCAACGGTCGCCACCATGTTCGTGTGACACGTCCGTGTTTACGTCTCAACTAAAACAGATATAACCAAAGAACGCTCCGGTTCTGGTTCAGCCTTAGGGCTAGCGACATTGATTTGTGCAACTCGGCAAAACTCTCGACTTCTAGCGTGTGCAATCGGAAAACTTTTTATTATAAGGCGCAGAGTGGTACAACGTCAAAAATTTTAACAACGGTGAGAATAAACCGATTGGCTTAAAAGCAAACTGAGATCGATGGCTGCTTACGGGGAGAAGTCGAGTAAAAGGGATTTGGGGGGCTTCCTTATGGGATTCGTACCCTGCCGATCAGCCTGGACATTTGCGCGGGGATTGTGTATGTCATATATTTACGAAATTTAGGGGGTCAGCTGGGAAAATCCTAAACAAAATGCTAGGTTTTTTCACAATATTGGCGTTTTATGGGCACAATAAAGTCGTGGAAATCAACGTGGGAAACGCTAAACGCATGGGCAGATGATGCGTCAGCTCAAATGTCTAGAAATTTCTTCTTGTTGACCCGGCGACCACTCCTGCTGATGACCTCGTTTTCTACCTAAAGAGAAAATAGTGGATGGAAACAATTAGGCCTACCACCGCTGAGGCATATTCATATGATTTTTCGACAGCCTGACTGCGGCGGGCACGCGGCTTTTTCACCTAAAAATAAATTATTTTTGATGAAGCTTGTACGAATATTTTGATCGCACCGAATTCTCATTTCGCCGAGTTTCGACCGGCCGAATTGTCACCTCAACGAATTTTCAACTCAACTGACAAGGAGACATTTTTGAGTGTCTATGGAGTTTAGAAATGTGACCAAGCCTATTTTGTGTAATTTTTGTTGATTAAGACCTAGTTTTCAGAACCTGCTAAACGGCTGCAATAAGAAAGTCATGAAGCCTCAAAGGCGAACCCCCGCGAAAGAAGGCCATTTTGCCTTTGAAAGTTCAAACGTTTCCGACAAGAAATAAGCGAAAAAAAAGTACCGGCGGGCTGCTTGGTCCTGCCGTTTCCGGATCAGCGTCAACGTCACTGCCTTCGGCACGGGCTTCCTCCGAATCAGCCTCTTGGATCGACTTCTCCACTTTTGGCTTAGGTGCCCTTGCACGGCTTTTCTTGAACGGCTTCTCCTCGGGCGCAGGCTAAAGACAAACCAGTTGATTGCTATGCTCACAAAATTACCACGACGACTTCTTCAACTACGGTCCCCTGAAGTTCCGCTTGACCGCGTCTTCGAGAACGACCAATTGACGGAGTGCTATCGAGCGCCGGCGGCTTCTGAAAAGCGAAGGCACGTTCGATGAAGACAAAGAAGATATGACTTCCAAGAAAACGCTAAAAATTACCTCGGCGGCCCTCCTCTTCGACGGGCTTTTCAAGGGCGTCGTTTGCGGTGTCTCATCGACGACGTTCACGATCTCCTGAGCCCTGTGTTCCGTTTTGGCGGGGCGAATGTTCGAGATTTGCGGTTGTTGCTTCTCTGGGACAAGCGTGGCGTCGGGCTGCTGATTTGAGGCCAAAGGACTTTTGGGAATTTCCAGTTGGCGCTAGAAATTTTGAAATTGTACAAAAATCGAGCAAGTGATAGTAAAAGAACAAAATTTACCTGAGGCATCTGGCCGACCCGCCGAACAGCCGCACGATGCGGCGGCTCCATCGGAGCCAATGACTGATCCTGAAGATGCGGCACGGGCTGACTGTTGCGCGCAATCGCATCCGCTACGGTAATTTCTTCGGTGTCATCCCCATCAACGATCGCCTCGACCTGTTCCACCAGAAATCAGCCTTTGTAAGATTTACTTAAAAAAATCGCACCTCAACCATTCCATCGTCATAGCCATTGATGTCGATCTGTCCCTCATCACCGTATTCACCGCCATACTTGAAGCGAGCTCCGTCGCTGCGACGCGAACCTCCAGGCGAAGTCTTACGGCGTCGCGAACGCAACATGCCCTAATTAAAAGCTTGGAAAAATCCGATCAACCTAACCTTATGGCGTTCCTGAGCAGTATCGTTCCACATTTGATGCAGATCATCAATCATTCCTCGGATGCGAAGGACTTGATCGTCGTTGAGAGCATTAAAGAACTGGTCCTAAAAACCAAATCTTGTGAAAATCCAAAAACATAAGCCGGAAAGCCTAGTAAGAAGTGAGGAGAAATACCTTCAGCTTTTCCAGACAATTTTCCCACTCTTCTTGGACGGTCTCGCGACGGCGTCGGAGCTGGATAGCTTCGCGACGCTTTTCAGCGGCCTCGTGGATCGTCTCCACGTCCTTGAAAGGGTAAATAAAATTCATTGGACATCAAACTCGCCTCATGTTGCCAACTCTCATAGCAGACGCGTTCGAGCTGGGAAAGACCATCAGGAGATGGAGGTCGATTAGGATCGACCATAGCGGCAGGTTCTCCCACTAGATCAGAAGCAATGTAATCTACAAAGAAAACATACAGGCCATCTCCAAAAATTCGTCCTCCCGCTGCTCAATGTAAATTTCGTCTCCATGCGCCGAGACCTGTTGGCCGTAGTTGTCGCCTTGCATCGCACCTCCGCTCGACATCGGTAGATCATCCTAAAGATGCATGTTTGCTCCGGATAAAGCGATCCCAAACGTGGAGTTAGTAGCATAAAACGACGAAAACATACCCGATCGGCGAAAAGCTTATTGCGGCAAACCTGAAGACGAATGGGTTTCAATCCACAGCTGAAATGAACGTAATCAGGAAGATGCAATGGTCAAACCGTGAGAGTACATTTCGAACATCTTTGTCGTTCAAATTGAGAATGCGCTCTTCGAGCGGTGAGCCCTCTTCGGCAAAACTGCTGACCTCGGCTAAAAATGCACAGCTATAGATCGGCATGTACAAAATGTCACCTTTAATAACCTTGATGATGACGGGAACTGGAAGCCGTTTCAGATTGAGTTCCTTGACTCTAAATGCCAAAGTAAAAACAAGCTAAACAACAGTACCGTTCTCTGACGTCATCGGGGATGCGGAGGACAGAGTCACTGTGTAGATGGTAGTCGCAATAACGGACGACAATACGCCTAGAAGCAGAGAAATATTATGATAATAATTTTAATTAATCGTTTCGCTTGCTTTTTATTACCCGGTTGGAATAAACGACACATATCAGTACAGAAAAATCGTATCTTTCAAACACGAACCCCTCGGGAAACTCAATCTTCTTGAAGAAGGCCGTGCACATTCCGTGGATGTACAACTTGCTCGGCTTTTTGCGAGTCATCTTCGGGAATCCAGGCTACAAGGGCTTAAATACAGCAAGTTCATTGATACTCATACTCTGGTCTCCTCTTCTTCATAATCATTATCTTCGACTTCGTCCATCAAATTGTCAACTTGGCTTAGGCCGGGTCGCACCACAGTACCCTCAGGGGTAATGATTTTCTTGCCGGGCTGAGTACGGACATTGCGGTTGCAACGATAATAGCTAAAAACCAATAAAAATCGCACATTTTCAAGATACCGAATATTTGCACCCTCCCGAGATGACTTGTTGCCGCGCGACATCCGGAAATTGCCACCCTTTCCTTCAAGATCACGGAGGAAGACCTATTGATAAAATCCAGTAACGAAAAGCCAGCACACACCTGGAATTCATCCTCACTGGCAAACTGGATTTCCTTGATCTGCAGGGGCACTCGGTGACTGATGTGCAGATGATTACAAAGCTTCTCGATGCTCGGCAGGCGTTGTTGGCACTAGAAAAAGAGCGCTTAAACAAATTTCGCAACTCTTGGGTATAGTAAGAAACGAAACCAACCCCTTTCTCGGTGCAAGGGAAACGACGCGGCGTGTAATGATCGCAAGAGCCCCAACGTTCGATCTGACATCAAAATAAAGGATACAGGCTCGCTAGCAAGGCTCAGACCTTTCGCTTGTGAGTGTCGAAGGCATTTCGAGGCAGGTACTCGCCGCAGGACGGGCAGAAGTGAGTCGTAGCCTCGATGCTTCCGCGACTGACTTTGACGTGCGTCTGGCCGATCAATTCCTTGCGCAACTCGGGCACGACGAACCAGCGATCCTTGCTCAAATTGACGTGCTGGCGCACCTCGCCCATTTCACCGAAGCGAAAGTCGCGATGCAGGCCGGACATGTTCTGAAAGTCAACGTTTAGCCAAATGAGTTTTTTAGGGCCTTCGGGGTTTCAAGTTGGGACGAATCCTATCTTGTGCAGAACCTTGCCATGAATAAGAATCTGTTCACTAAAATTGCGGAATCGCTATTTTAAGTAAGTTGTGAACGCTCAAAATGAGCCACCTTCTATGGATCCCCGAAAAAAATGCTTCCTAGCTTTCGGTCGCTAGTCCGCAAATTTGGTCAACGTATTCGGAATCACGGCACAACTTAGCGCAATATATGCTCGGTTACAAATTGAAACCCGGACGACATTAAAAAAGGTCCCCTTGTAAGGCGACGTTTTTGCTTTTTTAGCATCGATTCGGCAGCGGCCCGGGAAAAAAACTCACATCCATGTGATGGTGGATCTGTGGCGGCATCAGCTCGGCGGGCATTGGCTCTTGAGGCTCAATGGGTGGAGGACCATCCATGTCGTCCTGAAAAAACGCAAAATAATCTCAAAATTAAAAAACCCACGTCGCTCACGCCATCGTTCATATTCTTGCCACCAATGTCGCTTGCATCCAAACTGAACAAAATATTGAAATAGAAAAAACCCTCACATATCATCATCTCCAATGACCTCCTCTTGGATAACGTCATCGTAGTGCGCCGAGGCGAAAGCTTTACCCTCGAATTGCTCGTTCTCATAGACGTATTCTCTAAAATGGTATGATACTGTGGTCATTACAACTGATTTAGGCGCATAAATAATGGAAATAGTTTAGAAACCTACACTCCGCCACGCATCAGAAATTCGTTTTCTTTAGCCTTATCCGAGCTGGGCATTGGCTCGGCGCCGGCTTCGGTGCGAACACGATTCATCGCCTGGTCGCTAAGCAGCTCCAACTTAGAGTTTGATGGGATCGGGATCTGGAAGACGGACAATGGTGCGGGTAGTCGTTCCGGAAAATACCTTAACGTGGGGCGCCAATGTGCTTCGAAAGTATTTACGCGAGCCCATGAGAGGTTTCGGGATTCGTTCGCCGAGACGCTCCAACATCTTGCGGAAAGCTATCTGAAAAAACCAATAACTTATTATCGAAAACCCTGCAAAATGGAACGCGGCGGAAAATGACAAACCTGCCGATCACTAGGCAACGAGTCAAAGAATTCGCAAATTTCCAAATCTCTTCTTTGCTCATCGCGCCAATCGCTAAACGAAAAAGGATGAGCTTGAGCAAAATGTCTCACGTCCGCATTTGGTACGGTTTCTGTACCACATAGCTACCAACGCCAACGCGCTGCAGAGTGGAAACGGGAAGGAGACGTGAGGATGATGGCTGTACTCGAACGCCGTCGTATCCGCGTGAACTTTGGGCGTGCACATCGTCAACAGCCTGAATCGAAGAAATCAAAAGTCCGCAGTCAAATTCATACCCCAACTTCGTCCAAAAAGGCGCGAACACTTTTGCGTGAGTGGAGCGGGTTGCGTGCCATTTGCATTAGCGTTCCCAAGTCTCCACGAGAGGTGACCAGCGCCTGACGAGCTCCGTGTTGGTGCTAAAAATAGAATCAATAGCACAGTCATCAAATATACAAGTTTTTAGCACCAGCGGCGCTAAATAACAAAACTCTTTTTTTAGATAAACACTGACCCGCTGATCCATTTCGTATCCATCATCCATAATGTCATCATCCACGTAGATCTGTCCATCCGCGTCGACGACTTCTTCCTCGACCTCTTCATAGCCATCATAGCCACCGTTTTCTGAATTATCTTATAGAAAAACGTCGCCGCCAAGAAAGAATACCTGTGTAATTCACGACCACTTCCTCTTCCAGATCCTCAAGGTCCTGCATCTCCACTGGAACAAGATTGAAATTACGGAAACCTTGAATCCATAAAAATCAAAGACAATCCAAAGTGTGTGGCTACAGAAGATGCTATTAAAACTCTGCCTACTCGCAAAATTCGAGCGTTCCAGCAAATTTATAAAGCTCGAGTAACTATAAAAAGTTTGGTGAAGGAATTTACACGGATTTTAATAGTCACCGCAGCACGTCTAGAAAACAGAAAGTACAAATAACTAAAACACTTGCATTATAGGTTGCTCATATGATATTATACAGCTAAATCTAATAACTCATACATTAAAAATGGTATTCAGCGGCCCAATCATGGATAGCTTTATTATTTGTCCTAATGTGTCAAACTACAGGATAGAAAATTTATTACGTAAGTAAACCCTTACAGGTAGACTTTATAAAGTCGCTAAAACTTGACAGATTTACTGGAATCTCGAATATTAAGATTCGCTCGACAGCTCGAATTATACAAATTGACAAAACCAATAACAATGAGGGTACCTTCATCGCCAGCTCGATGACCCGCCGAGCCGTCATCAGGTTGATGTCGTTCCATGCGCACGCAGAACTGAATGTTTTCATTTTTATTAGATAGGATAAGCGATTGCACGAGGTATTCAAACGGGCGACGGCTATAGCGCGGACCGACCCAAGCGTGCTTTATAAAAGACACTAATGTGGGGAAACCTGGAAAGTGGCTTGCCAAAACGTGAACGCCGCACCGCAACCGTGCCGCGACAGCGGGCACCCGGCCGGGCGGCGTCGATCGTAATACGGCGTCCACACTACCGTACTTCATTTGAAAGGGTGGGGGAGAAAGGAGTGACTGACTACTGACTAAAAGCTAAAAGGGGAAGAAAATTACAGGCAAAAGTTGCGAATGGATATAATGTTGGCGAAAATAAAACTCGAGCACCTAGCACATGTGACTCAGGTTTTTGACCCCCGGGCGTCACATTACGCGTTTACGTAAGGCGTATAGAACGGAATACCTCTCCTGAATTTATTTTTGCAAAGTGTAAAATGTGATTTTAGGCATTTTTAAAGTTGAAAATGCTTAAAAGGTGTGATAAGACGCGGAGCCGCGTTTGACATATGCACTTGGAAACCGGCAGTTAGAAGCTAAGCATACAGCCTTGTTATGTTTGAATACTAGGCCCCCCGACATTAATTGAGCTTTGAGTTGTTGAGTTTCGAGTCCTGCACCATTGAATCATTATTATTATTATTAGGAATGCTTTGTTTCTTCAACTGATTCAAGTGCAAGGCTAGCTAATAGGGAGCAACGAACGACAGGGGCAATAAAAGGCAGCAGCTGGGCCACGGCAACTCAAGCGATGGTTTCGGCCGCAACGAAAAATGGGACATTTGGACAAGCAATGCTTAGGCGACGCCACATTGGGCCAAAGACTACTCTAAAACTAGAAACTACGAAGCCTTCCTTCAGCTCGTTCTGAAATTCAATTTTCTTCCGATTTAGTCAGATTCGAATCAGCGCATCTGCTCGATAACTCTGTAAATCCACTTTTTGACGTTAGGATCTTAACTAAAAAGTTATAAGCGATCAAAGATTGCCCCTTGCATAGAGCTCGGAATTATTTGTCGTGACTCTCATTTGTATCTCATACGACAAAATTTCATTTCACCTCACCGGATGCTCACCGGATTATTCACATCACCGAATTTTGACGGTACTGGGCTGTTAGCAGGGGGAGGAGGACAGCAAAACAATAATTTTGTTTTTTCCGACTATGTCACCTGTTAAAAATTAGTGTCTTTGTGTCTTTTTTGTAGTGCTCTGTCTAAAATGCTATAAAAATTGTTTCGAAGTTGTTACAGGACCGTACAGATTAACTGGGAAAAATTAGTCCCACCATCTTAACTAGCTTTTATTAATTTTCAGCGAGTTGGCAATCGGTGAGCTGGCAACAAATCCAGCGTCCCCTCCTCCCGTCGCCTCAGATGCGGCGAAAAGGTTTGTAGAATTTCGGCAATTTCTGAAAGAAGGCGTTGTTGGCGCGGGTCGGGGCGCCTGGTGTCTCTTTGCCAGTGCCCTCACCTCTTCTCCGGCCGCCACACTCTCTTTTTGCGGTGGCTGTCATCTGGCCTATGGGCAATGTTGTGGAGGGAGTGGCCGGGCTGTCACTGCCATTTGCTATTAGGGCCCCATGTCTCCGGGTCGATACTCGGCCCACAACCCTCCCCCCTTTTGCCCCTCGCTTCACTTCAGGACCACACCGGTCCTCCATTTGGCCGCCACTCTCCGCTTCGCTCATTATGCGATTCTCGGCTCCTCAACACCTCCCCGCCCCAATCTCTCGAAACAGGCAAAACACCCGGATTAGGGCCACCGATTTTTCGAAAAGGGCCGCCGGCATCTCCCGCTGCGGACGGAGATTCCAGCAGGGGACATAGCCGATCTCTACAGTTGATTCCGCGCCGTCTTTTTAGAAGTTTTTAGAAGCTACTTTCTTTTTTCACAACATTTTTGCTTTCATGTTAACTAGTAAAAGTGGTACTGGACTATCGGCAGGGAGGAATTTTTTTGCCGTCTATACCTACCCAATAATAAATACGGTATTTTTAGAATGTTTTTCGTAGTTTATGATCGTCAGAGAGTTTCAGAAATATTTTACAAATTTTCGACCTTTTCTGTTCATTGATTTTTAAGTTTCCAAAAAAGGATCAGCAGAGCGGAAACCAAACTTTCCGTTTACTCCTATGCGGTCCTAATAACAAAATATAAACCATTTGATACCATTTTTAGATATACTAATCTTATCACAAACGTGTAAAACCTTTCCAATATTTTTGCTTTTTGACCAAAAATGTATGAAAACTGAACAGAAAAGGTCAAGAATTTCTAAAGGATTTTTGTAACTTGCTAGCAATCAAAACTACGAAAAACTTTATAAAAATACCGTATGTAGGTATAGACGGTAAAATAGAAATAAGTTCCCGCTGCAAACAGTCCCATACCACATCATTAGCGCTTTTTCGTGTCCGGCTAGTGTATTGCTATTCCATCTTCGGCATGACGATGTGACCAAACGGAGAATGGTGTTGAATTGCGGGTGGTTTTGAGCAGCGGGGGATGGGGGGGGGACTGTTTGACGGACTGTCATCGTCTGTTTGCCCTTGCTGGGCCATAGTGGGCCTGTCATTCGAGGCGATTTCCGAGGCCATTTCGGAGACCTCGTCTGTCCCCTCCGGCGAGTTGTCACTTGACACTCTGTCCACAGTCTATGCACGCATACACTATTCACCCTTTCACGATTCAGCAGCGGTTACACGTTTCCGTAGCTGTGTCATCTAGAAGCTGATGTTTCTCCGAGTTGCGATTATTACTGCCTAGTCTTGGAGACCTTTCTTCAGTTTCTGTCCTGACCAGGGGCTTCTAATCCAGCAGAGAATGCGTGCTTTCCGTGGCTACGGTTTACTTTACCCCCCCAGCCGGACGTTTTTGGCTATAACTTCTTTATTTTACATTATTGTAGGCTCAAATTAAAACTCTTAGTATATTTTTCGACGCTCTATCGAATGACGTTGCAAAAATCCCGACAAAATAAGCGAAAATACCGAAAACTTTCAGACCCTTCGGCTGTGGGGGGGGAGGGGGTAAAGTAAACTCATACCCCAATTTTTTTCAGTAAGCCTGTACCGTCCCATAACAAAATATAGATAATTTTTATACATTATGCATATCATCAAAATTTTCGAACATTTTTGACCTGTTGACCAAAAATGCATGAAAAATGACCAGAAAAGATCAAAAATTTTCGAGTTTTTTAGCAATCAAAAACTACCATAACATTATACAAATACACTTTTTATGATTAACATCAACATATTATACGGAAAAATAAACGTCCCCCCTGCTAATAGCCCAGTACCAAGTTGGCCCCCTCCCCCGCAAAGAACCGCATTAGAAGATCATGGCATAATGGTTTTTACCAAAACGTTCCTTTTCGCGGCACATCATGCCCCCGACACTGTGCCTACTAATCACTTATATTTTCAGCCATGGACCAGGTGCTGGCACAGATTGTGGAAAATCTAAGTGCTCAAATGTGCGAGGAGGGCCTCGGGACAGATGTGAAGGAAGAAGTCCCCGGTCGCTCCGACGATAAGCCATGCTCCGAATCGCGGCTCGATCGCGACAAGCGTGATTTCAGGACATGGCAAAAAGTACGTGCTTCGGAAGCGACGACTGCGTCAAGTTCAATTTACTCAGGCCCATTGATTTGTTAAAAAATTCCGCTTTTCAGATCGAATTTGCGAAGCTCATCCGAGAACGCAAGCACATCCTTTTTGGGGAATGTGATGGGGCTCTGGTCAGTTCATGCAAATTTGTTAAATTTTAATGAAACTTAGTTTTCTTTTAGTACTACTTTTTTATTTCATTAAATCAAAATCGTCTAAATTACATAATTAATTTAATGACAATTTTTTAAGGTGACAGCGAAGACGAAGGAAGATGCATGGCGCGACATCCAGAGTGAACTCGAAACGATGGGCGCCGATTCGTTTAAGGTTAGAAGATACTCAGTGTGACCCGGGAAATCTTTTGATAAAGTTTTTGCTATGAAGATTTCGGTACTGGAGTGTTAGCAGGGGGGGTAATTTTGTTTCTTCATCTATACCGACCTGTTAATAATTAATACCGTATTTTTATTAAGTGTTCGTAGTTTCTCATTTCTAGAAACTTACAAAAAAATATTTATACCTTTTTGAAAATTTGTAATGTTGATCTTTTTCATCATTTTCTATATTTTTCAGAAAAGGTCAGCATTGTATATTTTCAGAAAAGGTCAACAATTTCCGCAAATTTTTAAGGGTTTTACGAGCGCACTATTGCTAAAAATGTTGTAAATAATATAAAAAATGGGTTATATTTTGTTAACGGGACCGTAGAGGATTACTGGGGAAAATTAGTCCCCCCGCTGCTAACAGATCAGTACCAAGGCTCCTTCCAGGGCAAGCAATGGATGAGGCTGAGAGATCACGATTGGCAGTACATCCGGCGCCATGCCATGAATCGGTTCGAGAATGGGAAAGTATCGGTCCGTGTGTTATTAAACTGTTTTTCAAAATGTGCATAAATTACCGGTGCTCGCAAGTCTGCTTCAAAAATAATCGGAAACTTTTAGACGGGCCGCCTTAGCGAGTTGGATCAAATCGTCGTAGAAATCGTGCAGGGCGACAAGCCTATCAACAACAATGTTGCCCAGGTAAGCGATCAATACCACCAATAAAAGTAAAATCATGTTTTCAGCGGCTCTACGCGCGGGTAAGAGATAATGGGCGCATTTTTATGTATTTGCATGTATGGGCGAGGGTTCGGAGGGGGGCATAACCAATCTAACAAGATGCCTAGATTATAACCTGTGAGCATTTTAGGAGTCAAACGACGTCTTCGGGGCTCAACTTTGCTCGCTACTCGGTGTAACAGAGCGACAGAGCCCTTCGTTTGTCGAACTCCAAGAAGTAATTAAGCGAGTTTTGATAATATGAAAAACATAGACCCCCGACGATTACGCCATCATCACACCGCCGCCCTCAGGAGGCTCGTCAGACAACGCCGGGCCGGCATTATCTACTACCGGTCGAAAATGCAATGGGATGGACAAGTAAGTAGGAGTTGTAGACACGGGGAAAGTATAGTGTCTGCCAAAAAAAATGCCTATCGGTCCGTAGACGTGTCCAATTTTTCACGATCTAGTTATCTATCGGAAGCTTCCGATTCCTTTCTTTACTGAATTTTTCCTTTGATTGTCAGTATTTTTCATGCCTGTTACAAGTTTCTTTCAAAAACCCAATTTAATCGGCTTACGCATCATGTCAACTGTATTTTGCTCAAATCGCTTTCAAAAAGCTGTTGTTGGGTTGTCGCGAAAGGCGTGAAAATTCGGTAAGTTGGGGGGCAAAATTTTTTGGGTCATTTTTGGGCTACTTGGTCAGTTTTTCTCTGGCATAGGCTTAGCTTAGCTTAGTATTGGCTTGACTTAGGCTTAGCTTAGGAGTTGACTATTGCGCTGAAGTAGCCGCGCAAAACTGATCAAGTAGCCCAAAAATGACCTAAAAAAATTTGCCCCCCCAACTTGAGAGTACCGAAAATTCATCAATTGTGCTTTTGGAAGAAGGCCCCTTCATTGGATAAACATCAGAAAATCGGTGAGAACATATCCCTTCAGTCGTCGAGAGCTTTCGATCGATACCTGAATCATAAAACACGGATATGTCTGCGGACCGCTAGGTAGGGGGGACCCTGTATTTCCGGAAAAAGGTCAAGATCAGGCGTCGAGTCTATTCTCTAATAAAGCGATTACAGTGCTCTACGAAATGCTTTGGCCACATTTGCCTGCGCTTTCCCGAGCCCCGAAGCTTCGTCTCCTTGTGCCGCTCCTCCACCCCTATCAGCCACTCCGTCCAGAACAGCCACCGACCCTCCGCCTCCAAAACGCAGTCGCCCTGCACCCTCTCAAAATGCAGAAGAGTTGAGACCAAGTCTGGATCAACTACAAAGGCAAAAGCTGGAGTTGGAGATTGAGCACATGATGAATGAAGAACAACGGCGGCAGGAGCAACATTCCATCCAGATGGAACGCCTGAACATTTCAGTCTCAATCCTCAGGAAATGCCTGCAATCCGGCACATCGAACCCTGATCGATTGGCGGCGTTGCTGGATCGATTGGCTGATTGATCGCAATTTCTATTCATATCCGTTTCGACTTGGGTGTCTGATATCTAGTCCACATATCATTGGGTTGAAGTAGTCATATTTTCTAATGGCAAATTCTGAACCCTTACTATCTCCTGTGATCTCGCAAGATTCGTGAGCATTTACCGGATACAAAAACACGGTATAAATTGTTTGAAAGCTTGTTTTACGTCTAAATATGCAGATGCTCTACAACCAGGGACACGAGTTTGTAAACAAAAAAGCCTGTAGAAGCCCCTAAAACACTATTAAACCACTGGAAAGTTGTATAAATACTCTGTAAAAGATGATCTATATGGTGAATACTCCATAATACAGCGAAAACACAAGATAACATGCGAAGCTGCCCCTTTTCTACGTTAGCTTTTTTAGCTTTAGCTTTTTCGGTTATTTCAAGGGTTTTAGCTAATTTTACGCTCGTTTCTCGATGGAATATAAAATAGTATCGTCCAATTAGTCAGTCTGCTTCGAGTTTAGCATGCTGCTAGCGGCTAAGCCCGTCATCCGTCGATTCTACCGGCTAGTTTGCTTTACGAGTAAAACGAGTGCTTCCGGTTATCCGCCACCCCCCTGCGCTCAATCGAAATCTAAGTAAATCCGTGAACGTTTCCGCAATTCAAAAAGGGAGGGCCACGTGGTTCGTAAACCGCAAAAATTTACATATAACGTTAACGCAGCTTGCGAACAACCCTTGAGAGGAGGGCTACGAGGGGATACTTTCGACGAACAGCTTCATGCGTTCACGACAATCATTTCTTGTGCTTTTCCATGGCGTTTGCCAAAAAAAAGCTTTCAGAGCATTCCACTGAAGATCTCAGTTAAATAAAATATTTTTAAAATTAAATTACGCTAATCTATTGCTTTTTTTTCAGGGCATGGGCTCCTCGCAGAGTCAGCCAGCTACGGGTCCACAGCCTCAAGTCGTTCGAATAAATCGAGACCAGATTCCTGAAGAATATCGTTCAGTGGGTTTTTTTTCAACGATCTAGGGGTGACCTGGGTCATTTGAGTTGGTGTTGTTGAATTGTTAGCTCTAATCGGTAGAAACCACGACTGATTAATTGTCCAAGATCCCGATTTTGCAGGTCGGCGTCTCTGGAGCTGTTGTCAACCGCGTAAACTCGCAGCGCCCTGCCGGTTCGCCTCCTAATTCTGGGATTGCAGCCGATATCGATGTGCAAAAGCTGCGGTCAGGCGTATGCTGATTTTTCAATTTCTTTTTTTTAGAGCGGAACTCGCGAAAGAGCGCGGTGAAAAAGAATCTCTCCGCACCGAAGTCAGCGAGATGAGGCGCCTAACGGAATTGCAGCAGAGATCATTGGGGGATCGGTATGTCGGTGTGAAATGTTCGGTTTTATTGCTTCTCTAGATCCGCCATTTCTCTGGGAAGCGACATCGAGGACAGGAAGAAGATTTTTGATGAAACCGTTCAACGGTAATGCATCTAAATCAATCAATATTATCCTTTAAAGAGTCGAGAAGCAGTTTTTCAACTACCGGCGAGAGAACGTTTGCCAAGAGAATGAACAGGTTTGGTTCAGTTTTCAATCGATGTTGCTAAGTTGGGGAAGAATGCAGCCCATAAATGCGCCCTTTTAGCTGAGACCTATTTTTTTATTTAAAGTCTTCTTTCCAGGAAATCATGTCGTGCCTAAAAGCAAATCCGAATCGACTTCTCAACTGTAAAAAACTTGTGAGCGGCTACGAGGCGTGTGTTGGCGAGTTCAGGAAAGAGGTGCTGAAGGGAAACTGAACACGGCCCGCAATGAGGTTTAATTTCCCGGTTTATTCCCCCGTCGCCGTTGTATTTATGCTGCTCAAATAATGATGTGTAGATGTTGGTCATTAGTTCGTATGATGTTCTTACTAGGTGTTATTTTTTATCATCCATTTGGGCTGGCACGTGCTTTATTTTTAAAGCGTAGACAAATAAATTATGAATTATTAAAGTGTAGTACACATTTCTTTATCACATATTATGAGGGCGAGAAGTCGTGAGGGTTAATGCCTATAGAACATTTTGGTTGTGTGCTATTGTCCTTGCTGATGTTTGTTGGTCTATTTGTCTGTTTATCGATGGGATAGTCATAACCTTTTTGTTTTCCTGGTCCTTCTCTCTCTCTCTGGGCGCAGTTGCTCTGATCCTCGATGACGCAAATATTTTCTCTCAAAGTACTTGGTCCACCTGTCTGCTCGAGGGTTGAGTTGTCTCGTGCTCGTTCTCACACGAATTCCAGTCCTCATTTTTCTCTTATTCAGGTCAGATTGACGGTATTCAGACCATTTAAAAGATGTTCAACATTTTGAATCGCTACGTCGGGATCGAAGATGTTGGCAAGGCAAGTTCACCCTCCTGATCTTCTGCAATGTATTGTTGAGTTGAGGGAAACCATCAATCGCAGTGCAAGGCCCGTCAACTAAAGCTTGTGGTCTTGACTTCGTTTGGAGTCTTGCACAGCAGAGAATCTAGTCTTGATCCTTGAGCCTTTCGCGACCTCGCTTTATCACAAACTGATAAGCATAGATGGCTGCAATGTTGAACCAAAAATGACTAGCATAATTAAAATTTTTTTGGCATAACTGCATCGTTGATTTTGAATATATAGTTTTGGGCGCTTCTATTGCTCGTTGGGTTGTTTTCCTGTCATTTTATGAGATTCATTATTTTCGCTGTGCCCAAGGACTACTGGTTGCTATAGAAGCGGCCCGATTCCCATTAGTTAGGAGGAAAACGTTACGTTGCCAGACATGAATCGAGTGTTCCCTATTCAGATGCAGAACGGCTTGCTCGAATTTGGGCTGCTTTATGGACTACTGGTCGCCAACTTCGGCTACCAGTCTGGCGGATTCGTCAAGTTCTACGATGACCGATACTGCTTGTGGTTAGTAATTAATCGCTTGGCCACATTTTCCTCTGATTCCCCTTTTCAGGAAACTCATGTGAGTCCCTCTACTCCGCCCCACTTTTCGTAATGTCCGGTTGCAAGTCTGCCTAGAATAGTTGTATGTGCAGCGTTGGCAGCGTTCTGTTGATGCTAAAAGTGTTTGTGGATCTGTATCTATAAAAACGTTACCCTTCTGTCGCAAAGTCTCAGAAAGGAACAGAAAAATGCTTTTTATCCAGGACAGAACTCTGCCACAGCTGTGTCAATGTCTACTAAATGCTTTTTGTGGCGTTTGAAAGCAATCCTGGATAGATCCCTAACATCAATTGAATATTTTTTAGGAAAATTAGCCCGATCGTTGCGCTCGCCCTCTTTACTTATTTTCACGGAGCTGGTTTGAATGAGAGGGCACGCAAAATTCAAACGCTTGGAATCGGTCGGTTTTGCGTTTATGAATTTATATGGAGGTTTGTGTAGTTCTTGGTGGAGTCGGCGACTGGTTGATCGGCTCGACGAAGGAAGGCATAGTCACCGGAGCCATTGCGTTTGGCCTTGGCCACCTTTGCTACATGGTGCGAAATTTTAAAGGCGTGCTATTTTTCCTCCTAGGCACTCTTCGTTCCGGGAAATGTCAAAGTCGTGCCAGCCTTCCTCGCAGGAACTCTCGCTTGGGGACTTGTGGCCAATCAGCTATGTCTCGTCCCGATGATTAAGGTACGTGCCAGAAACGACTTTGGGAACGGTTACTTTCCCATCTAGAAAGTGGATCATGTTCACGGGGTTCCTTCGGACTAATTGCTAGATTTCAGGATCATCCCTACGCAGTCGGCATCATGATGGTCTACTCATTGCTCCTGACCGCCTGCCTGGTCTTCTCATACTCCCATTATCAACTGGGAACCGCGCGACATAAGGCAGGATCTGATGTAAGAAATTCATCTACTTGATCTTTATCTATTTAACTGATTAAGGCTCTTTTCTACCGACTCCTCGGCTTCGCCTTATTTTACGCCTCGGACAACATGTTGATCTTCGACCACTGCGGATACCCCATTCCATACAGCGAAATTTTGATCCTAGGTAATAAGCCGTAAGCTTTCCTGACATGATTCAGGTACCTATTACTCCTCGCAATATTTCATCCTGAAGGGCCTCGTCCATTGTGAATCTGGAGACTACATCGACGACGCTCAGAACCGGGGAAACGCAAAGAAAGGAGTAAAATCAAATTAGTCGCTGCACTTATACTGCTCATTGAAATAAAAGTTTTGGCGGGATCTGTGGAGCTTTTTTTGGGCACAAACACTGTGACATCGCAGTCAACCGGCTATTTGGGTGTCTTTTTCGCCTGCGCTCTCTTGTTTACTGGAAAAGCATGGGCCAAGAGGGAGAGAGAGCTCTCTTCGGGCGAAATGTGGGCTTGCTGGTTGTTTTCCTCGGCCCCTCACACGCATCGCTTTGGCCGATTATTGGGTTTGGCGTAAATTTTTGCTAATAATGTCTGCTGCGGCACCGGCTCGAGGATTAGCTATCTACGGCGGTAGCGTTTTTTTGGTAGGTTTTTTAATGCTAATAATATTATTAATAATCATCATTAATTTTTGGCAGTTTAGGTTTATTTGGAAACCCATGGCCTCTACTCGAATTCTCCATTCCTGGGATCGCTTCCATACCTAGTTCTAACAGCGCTCACGTTATTTACGAATATACGAGAAAGAGTGAAATTTCCAACGGCCGCTTCATTCTTGTTCTTAGGTAAGTATTAAAAGACAGTAGTAGCCCCGAAAAATTAAGCCCTCGGAAATTACCTGTTCGAAGCCCACCTACTCTTCGGTATCGCAGCTCTATTTGCGGCGTTCTCCCATGTTTTATACATGGTTGCGTTGCTGCCGCATCTCCGTGAATGGTTTGTTCTCATTAAGCCTATAAATAATCCATACACAGGTCGGCTCCTTTCCTTTTACTTGCCGCGGTGACCTTTTTCGCCGCTTTCGCGCTGATCTTCTCAGACGTTTTCATATCAATTCCATTCTTAGTAGGCAAGGAATAACAAACCGAACAACTTTTAGGTACTGCTTTTGTCGTCTTCCCTGCTGTCTTCCGTGCTTCTTGTGGCGATGGCGGGCTCATTTGTGCAATTCGGAGGCTGCGGAGAGATGGATGATTCAGTAGCAGTGGGTTTAAAAGCAGCTTGAAGCCAGGACTGAAACGGCTGCAGATTTCATGAAATTGTTTAGATGCATTCGCTCCGGCTCGTCGGAACAGTGTCTTGTTTCTTGTCGATGATCTGTTATATTTACGACCTGTTTGGAAGGCGTGATCCTATGTTGATAGTGCTAAAAAAGCTTTTTATGTACGCCGGAGAAGGCCTGTTATTTTTGGCCAATGAACGATCATTTTAACGGGATAAATTTCGATCTCATGCGTATCCCCTGCACCGAACACGACAGTCATGCATTTCATTGCAATATATTTTCGTCGTTTCGTTTTCCCTTGTCAAATTCGATGAGTTCACCACAATATTGGCTTTTCAGATCGCGCAAACATGCTGAAAAGTCGATGGAAAATCTTTCCAGGGCGAATCCGGGTATGAACAACGCTGAGTGTCCCAAATTGTTATTGCAGCGTACTTTTCACTCTGTCAGCGCCATCCGTCGAAAATTTATCGACTTTTTCGAGGTTATATATTTCACTTTCTTATAGACTTTTTGCTTAGGAGAAAGATCATCTCCATGTCCCATCAAGTTCCGTTTTGCCCAATGACGATGACTCGACATTGCTTTTCACGAATTCCGGCATGAATCAGGTCGCAGAGTCCGTTTTTTATGATCTTGAGTTTAGTTCAAGTCCATTCTCCTTGGCAACGATAAGCATCAGCTGAAATATGTCAACTACCAAAAGTGCATACGCGTGGGAGGGAAGCACAATGACTTAGGTTGGATCAGACACGGACAATCTTTTAATTTTTCTTTCTAGAAGTGGTAGGCCATGATGTACATCACCAAACCTTTTTTGAAATGCTTGGAAATTGGTCTTTCAATGGGAGTTACGGCAAGGTACAACGTTTGATAGTTCTGATACACAATGGTTTTTAGCGAGAAGCCTGCACATATGCTTGGGAGCTGCTGACCGAACGTCTGGCCCTTGATTCGACTCGATTGTACGTGACGTATTTCGGTGGATCAAAAGAATGGGGATTGGGGCCGGATGAAGATTGTCGCCAAGTATGGCTGGATATAGGGTACACCTGTGGTTTTGTCTTGAATGTTTTTTAGGATTCCCAATGATCGAATCATCCCTTTCACCTCTGAAAATTTTTGGGAAATGGGAAAAGTCGGTCCATGCGGGCCGTGCACTGAAATTCACTACGACCGGATTGGCGGTAGAATAGCGATCATATTAGCTAACGCGCTGTTTAGGGCGGCAAGCTGCTGAACTGGTCAATCGCAACAATTCGGTGGTCGAGTTATGGAATATTGTTTTTATGAGCTATAGCCGGTAAGAATCTTGGCACTTTGAATTGAAAGACTTTTAGGGAATCCGACGGCAGCCTGAGAGCCCTACCGGCTTTCCATATCGACACCGGGATGGGCTTGGAAAGGTTGGCGTCGGCTGTTCAAGGTGTGCCCAGCAATTACGAGACCGACATTTTCGAGCCGATCTTGATAGCAATCAGCAAGGTTGGTGTTGGAAGCCTTAAATTGTGCTTTATACATAGTTTTTAGCTTGCAAACATCACGCCCTATAGGCAAGCCGTGGAACGTGACCCACAGAAGGCGCAGTCCTACCGTATTGTGGCCGATCATCTCCGTGCCATTTCAATAGCCATCGCCGATGGGGCGAACCCCGATACGGCAGAAGCCGGGTTAGATATTGCTCTATCGAAATAACGTAGCTTCAAAGGCGTCTCGTCCGACTCCTAATCAGACGCGCCATGCTAAGCGGCGGTAGGCTGGGAATGCCTCGAGGAGCACTGGAATGTACGCATTTCCCTCATTTCCTGTTAACGTGTTTGAATTGCTAAGGTCGCGCAACTGCCATAATACGCATTATTTCAGCGGTGATCCCAGTTGTCGTTTCGACGCTGGAAGATGCTTATCCTGACCTGGCTTCACATGCCAACTGGATTCAGGGTATTTTGTCTAAAGAAGAATCCTGGTAATTTTTCAGATTCAATGGTGCAGGTTTTCTGATTAAGGTTTTTTCAATAGCCTGCCGTTAATTCCAGGTACTGGAAAGTCGTTGACGGCGGCCGTGAGAAATTCGAAAAAGGCAAAGCACTACTGCCGCCTGGGGCAAGCCTGATACCCGGCGAATTGTTATTTAAACTGAACTCACAAGGCAGGTCCATCGATTTTGCAACTTTATATTGGTTCTCTTAGGTGTCCCAATTTCTCTGTGCCGCGATCTCGCCACAGAATCGAACTTGACGCTCGACATGAAAGGGTACCAAAAGTTGTTGGATGAAAAACGAGCAGTCGGTGAAGACGATAGTTAACGGATTGTTTGGATGCTTAGGCTGGCCGCGATATTCGATTTGTAAATCAATTCGACGTGTCTCGGAAAGAGTTCCCAGAACATTCGGACGAGGCTAAATATCGATTAGACGTGAAGGTATCTGGGCCTGTTCTTGTAAGAACCCAATTTAGGAGACAGCAAAAATCCTGGCTCTCTATGACCGTAATGGTAGACGCGCAGATCGGCTAGAGAATGGTGGGCATATTGTGTTGGATCACTGTCAATTCTATGCGAAAGAAGGCGGACAGGTATGATCATTGATCATTTTTATTTTTTGCTTTAGTCCAGCGATCTAGGTTTTTTGGAGTTGAACGGCGAGCGGGTCAAAGTTGTTGACGTGATCAAGAACAATGGCATTGTTTTGTTGGAAGTAGAGGGTGGCCAGCTGAACGTTGGCGAATCGGTTGTGCAGGCAGTTGATATGGTATGTCGTTAGCGTTTGATTTCCGAAGATCCGCGGACCTCTACTTGTTTAGAAAAGACGCGAGGCCCTGATGCGTGCCCATACGACTACACATTTGTTGAATTGGGCTTTGCGGAAGTATGGCGTCGGCGAGGGACAGGCCGGCAGCTCTGTATATCCGGATCGCGTCAGGTAAAGCTTCCTTTCCCTTAGATCGAACCATTTGTAGTTTCGAGTACGTTGCTGGAGAAAACGCAGGGGAACGAGATGAGGTACTTAGTTTGTTTTTCTTTTTAATAATATCCTTCTTGTAGGTGCAACAAGTGCTAGATTTGGTCTCAGATGTCGTCACGCGAGACTATCAAGTACAGATCCGTAATGTGCCGCTAGCAGAAGCCAAACGGTTGGAGGGCCTGCAGAGTGAATTTCGGAAAGTGAGCCTAGAAATTCTGCTCAATGTTGGTTTTAGGGCAAAGAATACCCGCCAACAATTCGAGTGGTTAGCATCAGTGGCGCAGGCGAGCTACCTTTTGCCATGGAGACATGTTGCGGCACGTATGACGTCTCGACCCCGCATCACACTTAATTTTAGCCATGTTCGGCGGACGGCGGAAATTGGCGAGTTGGCCCTGATTCGCGATTATTCGAGGTCGAAGGGTCTGCGCAAAATCATCGTCGTTATGGGAGAAGAGTTGCAAGAGGCCAGGTAAGACAATAGCTGTTTGCACAGCTAGCGTTTTTTTTTCAGAAAACGCGCCGTTAGGGCTCAAACTGAGCTGGAAAACCTGTTGTCGGTCCGGACGACGCGAAAGGAAATTGCTGCTTTTTCCAAGGTATAAAACTTTGTGGAGATGCGGTATATGGCTTTTCTAGAAACTGCAAACCTTGGACATCCCGCTCAACGACTACTTGGCCATCCGCGCCCAGCTGAAAAAGTTGACCGGCGGAAAGACGTATATTGCAGCGAATTAGATTGTTGATTGTCTGTATTTTCTAGGCTGACCATAATAAATTCCTTATGCTCTTGTTTTATTACAGAGAGGAGGGCTGGCTGTGCAAATTAGCATATGCACTTCGAAGACTGAATTGAATCAACAGGAGCGCGCGATATCCCTTTTCGTGCCGGCTACCGTCATTTCGCAGGCACCCTCTCCAACGGCCAGTCCATTTTGGTGGGATGGGCTCGAATTGCCGCGACGATCCGCAGATGCCGCAGGTTTTGCTTTTGCGTTGCTGGACTGTTAGCATGGGGAAAAAATTAAATTATCCAGCTAATGCTGTGGGATCCTATAACAAATTATAAACATAGAATTTTACACTTTTAAATATAAAGCAGCCATCAAAAACGCAAAAAATGTGACATGTTTTGACTTTTCGCCAAAATGCCCGGAAAATGGCCAAAAACGTAAAAATTTTCGAATTTTCAAAAAGGGTTATGATATCTTTTTGTAACTTTCTCGCAGTCAAAAACTACGAAAAACATTACAAGCTCACGCTATTACTATTAATTATTAACAGCTGTAGATGGAAAAACGAAAAGCAGTTGCCCCTGCTACAGTCGAGGGTCGCCTTTCCTTCCGAAATATTCAGCTTTTAGGTAGGGCAGATCATCGAGCCGCACACGGAGACGAAGGGCCGATACCGTGTGTTACGCGTCATTTATTCGGGCCCCTTCTCGGATGTTTACCTGCTCGGCAGGGTAAAACGATGCTAGAAGCGCTCGAGGTGTAGACATATTACGTTTCAGGACAAAAACCTCAGCGAGAAGTATGCGATGAAGGTGGAGCGTCAGGTCGGCAACATACGGTAGATGCTTTGCCATTCATCACTATCATGTGCTACAGCCCGGTTTTGAAGCTGGACGTCTACGTGCTGCGGGAGATGAACGGCGGCACCGGGTTCCCGCGCTTTCTGGGTGCCGGCCAGACGCCGTATTATAAGTACTGTATCATGGAGCTGCTCGGGCCGGATCTGGCACGTGTTCGCCGCTCGATGCCCGAGAAACGGTGAGTAGTTACTAAGCATCCATTGACTAATCCATTTAGTTTCTCAACATCAACCGCCCTACAGGTGTGCATCCAAACTCTTGAACGTCTCGAGACCCTTCACGACCACGGACTGCTCTGCCGGTACTCACTATTGCAATCCAATCGACCCGATACTGCTTAGGGACGTGAAGGCGCCGAACTTTGCCATTGGTCTGGACCGCCAGGCATCGACGATCTACATGCTCGACTTCGGGTTCGCCCGCAAATTCAAGTGCGTTGGACTGTGAATGGACAGGTGATGGCCCGCTGCTCGTTTAGGGACAAAAACGGGGTATTGATGAAGCCGCGACCGGCTGGGGCCTTGATGGGCACTTTTCTTTACGCACCCATGGCCTCACACAATCGGTGGGAGTAATAATGTTGGTTAAATAGCATAACCCCGGTTTTTAGCGAAGAGCAGTGCCGTCGTGACGACGTGGAGAGCTGGTTCTACATGGCTTGGGAGCTATTGAAGGGTTCGTGACCGTTCCGATTCGATTTCTCGACTGTAGGAACGTTGCCGTGGGCCCATCTCTACGGCGTCGAACGTCATCAGCTGATCCTCGAGTGGAAGCAGTTCATCCGCGGGCCTGGCCTGTAGGGTTTTTAAAAGCAAACTTTACGCGAAGATTCCAGCCAGGAATTCCTGCTCAACCTCCCGCCACAGTTTGAGGAGATACTCCGCGCCATTGACCGCATCGGGTGGGTACCCGCCTTAGCAAAAGAAAAGCATTCATCCTCAATCGGATGTCGTTTTGTACTAGACTGTTAGCGGTGGAGGGCATTTAGCCGGGGAACCAAAATTTTTCCCCAGCAATCCCGTATGGCCCTATAACGAAATATAGAGCATTTTTATAACATTTAACTCTCGGTTTTTAGATATGAAAGTTTTCGATTTTTTGATTTTCTAGGCAGAAATATTTAAAAATGGCCAAAAAGAATAAAATGTTCATCATGAAATGACTTTCTAGCAATTAAATATTACTAAAAACGCTATGAAATACATTATGTCTTATCAACAGGTAGGTAGCGGCGGAAAACAAAAAATCAGCTTCTCCTGCTAATAACACCGCCCCCCCCACCCTCGCTAACAGTTTAGTACCGGTAATTGTTCAGCTTCTTCGAGCGCCCTGATTATCGCCTGCTTCGAGCCAAGCTTGAGGCATGCGCCGTTGCAATGAATGTCGACCTGAACGAACCGATTGATTGGATGGTTAGTGGCAAACAACGAATGCCTTCTCCCATGACAAATTTCCGCTTAGACATTCGAAGTCGCCCTCTAGCCGAATCTCTCCACACTACCGTCTTTCAGAAGAACAAACGCATCCAGCGCAAAGCGAACTGGGTCGGCGACCTGGGACAGTCGGACCAAGCCTCCGCCTTGTTGTTGGTACGTTCTCTGGCAATTTTTTTGCACCTAGTTGTATAATTTCTGTTACAAAAAGGCTTCGCTTTCTCGGACGTCTATGCTTAGGATCAGAGCGACATGTCGACAGCTGTTGACGTGACTCCCGTCGACGTGGAGACCTGAATTTCCGATGGACATCAAGCCACACGATGGCTGCTTGACCACGCTGAACCTTCAACCCCCCTTAAAATGCACGAAAATAATTCGATTTGATGAAACAGTCCTCTTTCTCCTTGGTTCCTTTATGATTGCTGAGCACTCGAATAAATGGTTTCTGGTTAATGTGACGAAAGGTACGCAGTGACGAGGTTTCAACCTCGATGAAAGTTTAAAATGTAAGCCGTGTGGTCCAGAGTTTTTGAAAGACATGAGCAATCAATATTGAAGAGTTACTGCCTCGTAAAGGGGGCGAAACGCCATTTTGCCATTCAAGGAATGTGTGTCAACCCGCATAAAACGGTGGACGGTCAACATCAGCGGCTTTTGAACGGTGGAAAATCTCGCTAGAACTAGTATTTCGTGGATATGGGGCGCTTTTTCACCATCATCTACGTTGTCGTTGCTTTAAGCCTGATCGTTGCGGAAGGAACCCGTGGTAAGGGCTGCAATGTAAAGTTTTTTCCGAAAGAAAAGTGTTATTTTGAGTACTTGAGTATTTGCGGGGGGCGGCGGGGTGGGCGACTTTTTTCCTATCAGTCCAGGATGGCCTAGTAATCAAACAGAAATTGTTTTTATACGTTTTTGGTAAAGGAAATTTTGGCAATTTTGGCTCGAAAAAGCAGGTTTTCTACCTACACTTAAATTTTTGTTAGTTTTTTTAGAAAATTTTTATGCTCAGGAATAGTAAAAAAAATGCTAAGCGCATCCCCTATTTATCTAAAAAAGCGAAAGTTTTGCTGTCGCCGCTCCCCCGGAGATACTCATACTTTTTCAACCGTGCTGTACCACCGGTAAATGCTGCAATGTTTAAGTGAATTCCATCGAAGGCGGTCCGAGCCCCAGGTTAGCACGCCAGACGACCTTGCCTGTAAGCTGTTTCAAACGCGTACCCCTTTTGGAACAGTCGATAATCTATTTTTCCTGGTCTTAGAGGGCCTTACAACTATATTTCAACCGGAAATCCGATGCCAAGTTGACCTCCCAAGTGGAGAAAAGAAGCGCGCGACGACGACGCTGGTTCCCTAGTAAGTCCAATAAAGGAGAGCTTAACAATTAAGCTGCCTTTTTATGAACGCATGAAATGCTTTTAGGCAAGATCAACCGCCCTGGATAAATCGGTCCCGTCTCGACGCGGGATGATGCGAAAAACCCTAAGCGATGGCTATTTGAAAACATGAAATGAATAATGAGAAACGCCACACAACTGACATTCTTATACGAATTGCACGATCACAAGACCCTTTTTGGTTTGGTCGTGGCTACAAGTTGGGGTTGTAGCCACACTCAAAGTTTTTATGATAAAAGTATTTTTAAATATGCTTTTTTGGACCATACAAAAGCTCTTAGAATACTATCGAATATCCTCTATCGAATGGCATTTTCAAAATATCGAAAATATTCAAAACGCCGAAAATATGCCCCCCTACCGTTATCCTATGTGCTGCCCATAGTTTTCAAAAATAGTTTTTAGGCTATAAAACTTTTATAATACATTTTTTTTGCGTTGTAGAAAAATCTCGGTGCTTCCAGGTTATCGGGGGTCGATTATTTTAGCGAGGGACGGTTGCGAACTTTTTTTCTATAATATCGTGCGGCGCGGCTAATTAAAGGCTGGCCGTTTTTATAGACTTGTGCGCCGTTTGAAATGGTTCTGGACTGTCAGCGGGGGAGGAGACATTAAGAAAAGATGAACTAATGAACTACGATACGTCGAATCAGTGGCCTTTAGTTGTCGTGGGCCACGCGGCGGCACCTGGCCGAGGAACCGGCACCTCTTTTGACAGTTCCGGATTTGCTTCCAATCCATTGCACGCAGCCTCGAAACAACTGTTGGGGCGCCAATTCTTATTTTTTGTTTAGCAAATCAATTCAATGATTGTAAATTGATTCCAAAACATCGGGAATTGTTCGGATTTAAATGCGTAGCCTGACGCTCGGCCATGCACCCATTGTTGCCCGACCGAACTTTAGGGGGCCTTTAGTCTCTTTTTTTATTGGCCGGTGTGAAGGAGGGGGGCATTTCGTTGGACAGGGTCACTTAATCCCTTCGATGGTTGAGTCAGCGGTCGGCAAATAGCCCTCTGCCCCCATTGCCCATTTCAGGACATTCGGCTGGGTCGTAGTCTCGGCCTGTTGACAACCTTTTTTTTCGACGAAATTCGGCAATTTTTTTATTGTTGGCGATGGATTCTTTAGAAATTTCGCTTTCTCTATTCGATTCCACTACACCATACGCAGATCTGAAGCGGTCGTTATTAATCACGAAATTGGAGGGCGTTTTGGCCCGTTAGCAGGGCTAGAAACCTATGTTTGCTTATGTATGCTCCCGTAGACAGCGAATAACGAGAATAAAGAAAAGAAACTCAGTGGAACAATTTCTCAGTGATACCAAATTCGTTTTAAAGTTTTGCCAAATAGTCGATTCAAAAAAGTTACAGCGATAATTAGATCATTTGTAGGCGCGGGATCGGTCCTATGCCATGATGTTCTACTTTTTTTTTAATATTCCAATTTATTTTAAGTAGCCTAGCTGATGGAGAATTTTATTCTATGTCGAATGGTGCCACTCATTAGTGCGTCACAGTCTCTAGACGTCGCCCTACGGGGTGTGAAATCGCTGTTTTTCACCACTTCCCTTCAATAAATCGTCGTTTTTTGAAGTTTTCAGCAATTTTTAGTTATAAGGCTGATAGAGCAAAAAAATTCTGAATACGATGACGAGATTTGTTTTTGAAAAACCAGCTGGGAAGATCAAATCAATGAAGTTGACCGTCAAGTTCGGAAAATTTGGGCAAATATTATTTTAGAATCACGGTGACTTTTGAAATCTAGCTATTTACTAAAAAACGGGATTTCGAATCAGTAAAAATTCAGCACAAGATAGGCTAGGTCCCGTGTCGAAATGCCAACTTATCCATTGGTGGTTCCCCTGTCAGCTACTAGCGGAACGGCCTTTTCCCAGAAACGCAGTTCTCGACCTTGAGGCATTTTCCCCCCTTAACCCGAGCGCCTGGATTAGCATTATCCAATGCCATTATTGTGAGCCGTGGGCCGGGGGTTGCTGAGGGATTTCCATGGAATTCGGGTATCTTCTTAGATGGCATAGGCGAAAGAATAGAACCTGTCGTCTGCAAGCATCGGCTGCCGCGCGCCCGCTGCAAATTTGCATTTGGCGGGTTGTCCCCCGTTAGGGGCTGCGGGTTCGCGAGGAATGCGATGCTTTGAAGCGACGGCTACATAGGACTGCAGGACAGTCGCTCTGTCTCTCTATCTTCCCCAATCTCTCGCCCTGGAAAAGCCGCAGGGCTTACAGTCTGCATGCATTCCATTCTCCCCCTCTTCCTCCCCACCCGCATTTCTCACTGCATTCCACCCACCGGCCATTGATCTGTCCCCCTAGCGATATTTGCGATCTTTGATAATATACAATATATTTTATAGTATTCTTAGCAGTTTTTGATTGCCAGAAAGGTAAAAGTGTTTGAAAATCGATCTTTTAAAGCTTTTCTTGGCATTCTTGTGGGCATTTATAGGGACTGGAAAAATAGGGTTTTTACGTTTAGGAATCAAAATCAAAAAATCAAAGCTGTTTCGAAACACTTTCTCTATTTATATTCGAGAAATTGGGTCCTTAGAAAAAAAGACCAATACTATCGGATCCTTCTAATGCTTTAATCCGTAAATGATACCCGCCATTCCTGATCTGCGGAGCTTCCTTGATCCGTGAATTCGTTGCTTCACGGCTTTCGCATACCAACGCTATCTGCAGGCGCATCTCTGGCTGGCTGCCGCCAAATTGGGCCAATCGCCCATATTCGTGGCTTGCCTTGTTTTGCGTTATGGCAACAACATAAACTTTTTACACTTTTGGGTACTTGACTCTTAGCAGGGGGAAACTAATTAGTAATTACTGTCTCTCCGACCATACCAAGCTGTTGAGAAAATCTAATATATTTTATAATGTTTTTAGTAGTCTTTGATTGCCATAAAGTTACAAAAATATTTTAAAAATGTTTTAAATTTCGAAAATTTTGCCTTTTTTGGTCAGTTTTCATACATTTTTGGCGAAAAAGTCAAAAACCTTTGAACAATTTTAGCAGCTTGTATTAGGCTTTTATGCTTTAAAATCTGTAAAATCAACTATAATAATTTTGCTGTGGTCTCCGTCTGTCTGTCTGTCTTTCTGAAGCCGAATTCAACTCGAAGGGGAAAGGAGCTAGAGCTTAGCTCTCTTCGGATTCGGATAGAGCGCCATCAGAAACCCCCAAACTGATAAAAAATTATGAAAAATTTTTAGTTTAAATTATTAAAATTAACTGTGAAAGTGGAGCCTTAATAAAACGAGTGGGGGGCTCTCTCCCGGGAGGCCACGCCCCCTTTCCCCGGCCCCTCTTCACCAGGCTCTATCCCGCGCCCAGATAGCTTTTTAAGTTACTTTAATACTTTTTAATACTTTTTAATTATGTTAATTCATTATTTAAATAATTTAAAGTATCTAAAGTCACCGGGAAGGTATTTAGGTAGTTTTTGAAGGGGATTTCGGCTAGGGGAGCTATCTAAAGCCATCAGGGAGCTATCGAAGTAGTTTTTTTAAGGGGATTTTGGCTAGGGGGAGGTATCGAAGTAGTTTTTTTAAGGGATATCGGCTAGGGGAGCTATCTAAAGCCATCAGGAAGGTTTATAGGTAGTTTTTGAAGGGGATTTCAGCTGTAGGGGGGTATCGGAAGCTGTTAGCGTGGGTATTGATGGAGGTGGGGAAGGATGTGGTGGTGTGGGACATGTAGGATAGCCCGAAGGCCAGATAGTTACAGTCGCGAAGCGACTGGAACCATCTGGTTCTATACAAACCGTTTGCATTTTGCCATATCCTGCTATTTAAACACGCTATTTTAAATCTCTTTTTGGGTGTAAAGGTCACGATCTGCTTTCCTGACTGCATCGCTTTTCAGCCCGAGAAAGCGAGCAATTCAGCAGAATGCTACTCCCAGTCCCCGTTTCAAGACCGTGGTATGAAAAATTAGCTAAACCAAACCCGATATTTGAGGTACCACGACGAGAACACCTTCCCGTTTGCCAATCTCCCCTCAAAATCCACTTTGCTGAAATGCTCAAGCGTGGCGTCGACATCCAACGACTCGGAAAATGAGGTGGGCGCAACCCAAAATTAAATCACGGTGTTTCGATTTAGATGTAATACAGTTTAATAAATATTTATAGTGGGACTCGCCGAGCTACACGCCTTCCGCCAGAGCACTCGGTCGACTTTTTGCGCCTCATGACTTCGATATTCTCGAATCTCTTGGAGAGGGTTTCTTCAGTTTCGTGCACAAGGTTGGCGTGAAGCCGGTTGGCACCTTGAAAATAGCAACGCGAGTTGCATCCCTGTCTCAATCGCATTCTCAAAGCATCTTTTGCTAATTAGATACGGGTGCGGACGACCGGCGAGCTGTTCGTCTTGAAGGTGGCGAAAGGAGGAGGCAGTCGACGGGACGAGCATACGACAATCGCCCGCGAGATGTCAATCCTTAGACGACTCTCTCATCATAGCGTCCTCGGGCTACGCGGCGTCTGCGTCGAAAGGAGCAAATGTTAGTAGAGTTTATGGCTAAACTCCAGAAACCCCCCCCCCAGCCGACCCCCACCTACCGTATCTCGGCTCCCTGTTCATCTACAGGTGTGTAAAGTATATTAAAATACTCGCCAGAGCAAGACAAACATTTTGGTATAATTTACACACCTGTAGATGAGCGGGGAGCCGAGATACAAAAGTCGGGGGCCGGCTGGGGGGGGGGGTTATCTGGAGTCTTACCTAGATTTTTTATCAAGTTTTTCGTATAGATATAGGAGGAAATACCTAGGCTAAGAACCTAATTTCTCAAATAACTAATGCCCCCGATTTCAGTTGGCTGGGATGTGCACCTTCTGACAGACTATTGCGACGGCGGCAGCTTGCAACGGGTGCTACTCGATGCCCAGCGCCCAATGAGATGGGCTGAGCGAATTGCGTACGCGATCGACATCTCAGATGCGCTTGACCATCTGCATTCGAGACGTATCATCCACCGCGATCTCACCAGCATGGTATCCACCCACCGAACACCATCCAAAAACGAGTTATCCCTTAGAATGTGCTGCTTCGGAAGCGTGTAAACGGCCCTCAGAATCCACCATCCTGGGACCGCGCAATAGTGTCCGATTTTGGTCTTTCTTGCGAATTCCCGCGCGATGATGAGGTGAGCCTCAATGTGCACTCGGGTTTGTTACAAATTATAAAAATTCGAAAATTTTACCTTTTTTGGTCCTTTTTCATGTGATGAAAATGGTTGATATTTTGCTATACGGGGCATTTTTGGGACATCCTGTCCTCCGTGTAGCTTTTCGCGTAACTTCGCATTATATATGTACAGGGTGTCCCAAAAAAAACGAACCATCTGGCATTTCGCCGTGTTACAACCAATCGGTCCCAAAATTGGACCAGGGGTGTATCAAACCCTAAATAACACCAATCCTGACTTTTAGCCCCATTGCTACAGTAGTACTCGAGTTATAGCAAAAACAAACTTTATTTGCCATTTTCCATAGGGTTTTCGTGGAATTAGACCCCCTAAACATTAAGTGAAAATGATTCGGTAGGCCTTCTTTACCTTAAGAAATTTTTTTCCGGGCTAAAATTAATCAAATACGCTTTGGTTTAGGCTATTTTTACAACGCAAAGTTACCCAAGTTCTTAAGCGAAATTAGGGATTCGCTGCCGGAAGTCGATGCAAATCGATGCAAAGTCCAAAAAGATAGCCGAAAAAACTGTTCAGAATTCCGGGAAAAACAGTATTTATGTTATAACTCGAGAACCACTATAGCTGCGGGACTTTAAGTCAGGATTGTTGTTATTTAGGGTCCGATACACCACTGGTCCAAAGTTGGGACCGATTGGATGTAACACGGCGAAATGCCAGATGGGTAGTTTTTTTTGGGACACCCTTTATGCTCACCCAATCGTTAGATCCTACCGCAAGTGGGAACAACGTACTATATGTCGCCGGAATGCCTCAACGAGAAGTACTACAACCAGCAAACGGACGTCTTCTCCTACGGTCTCATTCTGTGCCAACTGATAGCCCGTATTGATGCGGACCCCGAATGTGGTAAAACGGCATAGCCGAACCCCAAAAAAATGCAATTTAGGCCTGCATAGGACCAAGAACTTTGGGCTCAATTATGTTCGATTCGCCACCTATTGTCCGCCCGATACGCCGTTGAGCCTTCTGAAATTGGCATTCAGTTGCTGTCTGGTCAGTTTGTGATCTAACGCTACCCTTGACGGGTTACTTTCAAAATGTCGAAATTCACAATGCAGAACGTTCATCATGTCGAAATTTCAAAATATAGAAATCTAATAATGCCGAATTTTACCTAAGAAAGTCCCCGGAAAAACATGTCGATATATTGAAATTCCTACGTTATAACGTTTCTTAACTAGTTGTAACGTTATGAACTTTCGACATTATGATCGCAAATCATCCTTGAATTCTAGATGAATCCAGACTCAAGGCCGTCTTTCGAAAAAATAAGTCGAGAATTGGAGCAGATGAAACTCTCGCGACCGCCCTCGCCTGGAATCCTTCGCAAGCTGCAAGCAAATGCTCGAGTTACAAGGTGGGCTATCGTTGTAGTATGGATATTACCAGACGCCGTAAACGCACTGCTTTGCTAAACGAAAAATTAGATCTCGTTCGGATGCGGCGCTAAGACGTGCCCCATCTTTGCGCCTTCGTGGTTCAAAAGCTGCCTGTCTCGCGACGCGCTGTATTTACCCTGTCTCGGAAGGTGAGCCAACCCAGTATTTCACTTGCAAGGAGTCATACAGGGGTGCCAATATCAAAACCACCAACGACATCTGCGGTCGAAGAATTGGCGCGGAATTTCGTCCCCGAGCGGTCGACAGAGCAAATGGAGTCGTCCGGAAATCCGTTTCTCACTGATGAACGGTAAGCGAGACAAATAATAAACGACTATAAAAGTGCATGAAGGTTCCGCGAGCGGAAGTTGGTCGGTCCGCATCGTTGTCGGATGAGTAGTAGCAGCACGGGTGCGATGCAATCATCCCTGCGGCAATTGATCCGCCGGTGTGCGTCGCTACCTACAGGCATTGAACAGCTGCTGCCGTTGGATGAAGACGACAACTTCGCCCCCGTTGAGGAGGGAAGCGGTCCTGGGGCGATTCCGATGGCATTTAGGGACTCCGATATGGTTAGTGATTAAGAAAAGAAGGCACGTACATGGTGTCCCAAAAATACCGATTTTCTAAATTCCCCCATTTTCGTTAAAATTTGCTAACATTTTAGCGATATGGGTCCAATTTTCTGAAACTTTTCTACAAAATAGCAGTTGCTGATTTTTACACCTTTTCGGCGGCACGAAGGCAGCTTTTTGCAAGCCATTTGAGAAAATGCCGCTTGGATCCCGCTTAATCCGATGAAGCGGAGTTTTTAAGGAAAAACGTCTAACTTTCGCACTACAAACGCCAAAAATTCAATCAAAAATTCCGCAACTCGTCGAAAGATTTCGATAGATACCTGGAAAAATCGGACGTCTCGGGACGGCTAGGGGGGGGGGGAGGAGAGGGATTTTCGGGGGAACCTGTAGATCAATTTACCATCGGGATGGTACTATTAAACCAAATGTGTTCACAAACAAAATCAATAAGATCCCCCATTATTAGGTGTTCATGGATCGGGCGAAGCCTGTATGCAGAAAGGGCCATCTGGAAATTCAGCCTGGCCACCACACCACCCACAGCCACCGGTTCTGGGAAGCCCAGGTGCGTCTTCAACAAATGCATCCATGCCAATTTTGACAAACCACGAAAGTGACTTTAGACAGCAGCGTCCGCTCCGCAGGCCATGACTCCAACAGACTCCTCCATAACATCTCCAGTGGTATTGCAAGGGTGGTTTACGCAATGAAAGACTTACAGCTGTGCCCGCGCTCTCAAACGTTTACGTGTCTATTCCCCGATTCACTCTAAAAGGCATGAAATTTGTTATTTGTGTAAATGCCATTTTAGCTTTAAAATTGTGAAGGAAGCGTGACCCATACCTGCAAAAAAGCTATTGCATCCATTCATTTATGTTTGTTATTTTTTAAATCAAATACAACCATTTTCAAGCAGAAACAAGAAGATTGTTATCCCAATATTGCGTGCATCATTGATACTCAACCCGAGCCAAATTATTCGCATTTCTCCGTCATTGCCCATTCCCTCCCGCTCACCCTACCACCAATAGCATTGTTTCTCCTAAACCGGTCACTTTTCTTGTTGTCCCTGATCAATATTGCTTTCGTGCCAATAAATATCCCTGGGATATCTTGTGCAGATATTGATCGAGTAGCCGCGCCCGCCAGAAACTACATCAACCAAAGCGCCAATGCTACCACAACGTTTTATTTATTATCAGAAAATAACATAGGTACACATCTAAGTGTTTATTATTCCAAAAATAGAATAACCGTACTATTCCGATCGTTAATTGATCCCATCAGTCAAAATCGTCATCGGAATGGATTTCGACAAATTCGTAAGGCGATTCCTCTTTGGGCACCGGTTGCGATTGGCATATCTCAAAAAGTAAGATTGGTCCGAAACGAAGACAAATTATACCAATTCCTCTGAATCATCCGAGTCTTCCGCTACCGGCTCGACGGCGCCCATCCGTATCACATACTCAGTAGCTTCAAAGTCGGCGAGCGCAAGGGTCATCGTCTAGCAGCACAATTTGCAAAAACAAACACAAAGAATTATACGTGGCAACCCTCACGGTCCTCCTTTTTCGGTTCTGCTATCCAAGGAGTTGTTGGTCCGCCTTTCGATGACATCATTCCCTGAATAGAATTCATATAGAAAAGGGCCAATGGTTACAAAATATTCTTCGGAATTCGGACAATGTAGGCGGTGGAAGGGGTACTCGCGATCCGGCACCCAGTGATCTGCATTATAAGTGCATCTGGGAAAGGTAGAAAGCGATCTCCATGAAGCAACTTACTGCAAAATTGGACAATGCGGAAACATGCGCATGTATTCTCCACGGCAGCGGGACAAATGGTCCTCGAAATCAATGCGGTCGATGTCAAGGTGCATCTAAAGCGCAAAACGCTCATGATAAGTCCGCAAGGGCCATACCTCGTCATATGGGCAGACCAAGCGATCCAACAAGTCCGAATGCTGCTCGGAACGATCTAAATAAAAAAATTTATGAAACTGCGCAAAAGTTACTTGAATCCTGTTGCGTTCCTTCGTAATTTCCTTGACGCATCTCACTGGCATTTCCAAGGAAGAGGCTATCTTCTGGCCCAAGCAACGTTACCCCCGAATTCATTGCGTGCGCTCTGAAAATTCTGAATGTATCATAAAGGTGGAAATATCCTAATTCAGTTTTCAGGAAAGGACGGGTATGTATGGCCATGAGAAACCGGAAGAGAAACTGGTGCGAATGGTGCGGAAATACTTTGCGAGCAATCCAGAAGAGAAGAAGCGGCAAAACGACGAGCCGGAAGATCCGCGGCCACAGGTAGATAATTTCCACAAAAAAGAACTCCTTTGGCAGGATTGCTGCGGGTTATCGTGTAATCCCTGCATTTTCGACTTACACCAGCAAGACATTGTGCATTGGGCAAAGGTGGGAGATTCAGACCGCATTAATATAACACCATCCAGGAATGTGCTCGATCAATCGACACCGACACGGGTAAAACATTATTTGAGGATATTATGGGCGTTGAAGAAGAGAAGCATGGAGAGCGGGTAAGAGAAACATACGCTCAACCGCGTCCGGAAACTATGACTCGTTAGACAGGCCAACCGTTAACATTTCGCAAAACCTTTGCCAAATTACAGGAAGCATTCTCACGCGACGAATACCATCCACTAAATATCATCGCCGTCGAGTCACTGAACGCATGCACAAAATTGTTTCGCTTCAAAGTTGATGTCGGCCGGATCAACCTACCGCTCGGCTGCCATTTGATTGCAAGGTGGGTACGTGGGGAGAATTTCTAGCTAGCTCTAATATGGTTAACTCAGTCGCCAACCCGGTACAATTTATTCATATCTACCCGCGTGCAACAACATACAAATCAGAACCGTCAAATCAGTGCATTTATGAGCATTAGGTATCCACGTTTTGCTTCAATATTGCGTCCCGTTGTTCTTGGGCCCAGCGCAGTTTTGCTTTATACGCCTCACGCTCGATGGGATGTCCGCGGCAGTGCTCGAACACTGAAATAGTAACGAATAATAATCATCGGCAACATGAACGTACTTTGCAAATACTCATCTGCGTTCCAGTCGCCTTTCTGTATCAGGTATCGGCCGATCAAGTATCCGGTACGATTCAATCCATGAGTGCAGTGGACACCGATTAATGTATCTATAAATGTAAATTCATATTATGAGAGGAAAGAACCTGGTGGTGCCACGGCCAAGTAATTGTCAACAATTTGTATAAATTCCCGGACAATATCTTCGCGACCATCCACCTAGAAAAACAGTAAAACATCACTAAAAAACTTCACCTCATGACCGGGACACTGTAGCTTGACGTGTTGAATGCCCTGACTAGTAAATTCTTCCGGGTTGTAATATCTAATAACGCATTAGAACAGGGTTGTCAAATACCGATGCGTGTTTGTGAGGTCGATGATGAGACCAATCTTCTTGTTAACGTTGCCTGCCTAAAATCAGCGATTATACAAAAAAAAATTAAAGGCTTGCTGACCATCGCCAACAAGCAATCAATGGTGAAAAGCTGCTCGTCGCTGCAGCGGTTTCGCATGAAGAATTTCTTATCAAGCGGGCACTTCAATGGCAAGAATCGCGTCTGTTCGATGTGCTTGCCGATTGGGAGATATTGAAGCCATCTAGAAAAAAGGTCGGCAGGAGATTTTCAACGAACCTGTCAGGAATTGGGCCTGAACCATGGTTGCCGCCGCCTCGTCGATTCATTGTCGGACCAGCACTTAGCCGTAGACCTGAACATGAAATATAAATCAAAGTCGCAAGTAATACGTTACTTTTAAGCAGTCCAAGAGTGTTGTCCTGTCGCTTAAAGTTTCTCGACAGCGAGACCGAGCGAAACCTGAAAACAATCGGATTGCAAGTGATTAAAAACGGCTCAAGGAAAGCTGTTGAGAAAGTCGATTTGAAAATCGAAATTGTATACAAGCTTGGAGTGTTTGCCACCCCCGCTGCCACTATTTCAGCTAAGCGCCCAGGAGTTTGTTGTGTTTTACAAGTTGCCAAATAAATTAATTCTTTTCTGCAGCGAGATGGCTCACCGAACTTCTTTTTGGTGAAACCACCAGCCTGAACTGGGATTTCGGCGGACGCTACACGGGGCTGCAATCGACCGGCCTCTGCGCTGTGGGAAATCGAACTGCGGCTCGACCATCGTCTTCGCCGCCTATAGCAAAACTTCGATTCGATAATATCATATTGTAAGTCGACGCGATAGCCGCATAAGGAAAAAGTGATGGAGAAATGATGCTATAGATTAACTTCGCAGCCATGGCCACGCCGCTTGCAGGGAGCGTTTTTAGGTGGTACTTAAACCCACCTTTGAAAAACGATTGAACAACACCCAAGAATGGGAAAAAGTTTCACAAAGTTTACCTTTTCATTAAGAGCGGGCCGAAAATGGGCAAAAGCGACACTTTCAGGGCGAATTTTCCCCAAACCCGTGGCCGTCCAGCAGTTTTTGAAAGATGGGATTGTTGTTGACCCCCAAAAGGTATAGCTTCTAAATTAGTACTTTGATAAAAGTTTTAAAGTAGTTCTGTTGAAATGACTGTTAAATTCGTTACTTTTAAAATTCAGTACGTCGCATTATTAAGTTTTTCGGCGAATTTTAGAACTAATTACTTTGAGAAGTAATGACTTTACGACTTAATCATTGGTAGCCTGCATTGGTATGACGTTCTAGGGTCTATAATGCTATTTTAACTAAATTGTGTGGAAATGAGAATCGAAACACAAGCCGTGGTGGACATACTCGGCAATCAATTGGAGTGGTGGGCAGCCATTGTGTGCGTGTGTTCTGTCTGTGTATATGCAATGGGGTGGTGGATATGGGCCGAAACACGAGCAGATGGCCCAAGGGCCCACCCATTAGCCTTGTGGGATTAGAGGTCCCGCGGATGAGTGAGCCAGGGAAAGGATGATTGAATTCACAACTACTTCAGAGGCCTGACGGAGGGGCGTCTTGTAAAATTGTATGGATTTCTTTGTAGCCGTAATCATAAGGACCGGCACAATTGGAAAAGGGTTTAGATATGGCTTTGCAACTAGAGACGAGCTCAGCGTGCCTTTAGAAGGGAGTTGCAGCGGCTAGCAAGAATTTCCACTCGCTTGGCACCTCACGAGTAGCGACTCCGAATTAGGGCAGCACACCTAATTATTCTTGGAAATCGAATGGGTGGGCCAAGAAGGAAGGAAGGGAGGCCGTGAAGAGAAGGAGGAGCCCCGGGTCTCAGGGGGAGAAGGACGCGAATCGCATTGAAGCGACTCTCGGGAGACCCAGCCCAGCGAGGGGGGAGGGGCTCCTGGCCCTTGTCGCAACGCACGGCTAGAGAAAGCGTCATGCTCAATCTTATCGGGAAAAGCACTTACCAAAAAAAACTTTAATGGGGCAGTATTGTGCGATATTTTGTAAGTCTGTATGATACGACACATCCTTTATTCATTTACGGGGTTTTTATAATTACGCAACCGCTCTATTTTCGTTGTTTGTTTTTGAAGCATCTCCCCTCCATATTTGTAAAAAGGACTAGTAGTCACAAAGACAGTTGCACCACAGTATCACTAACAAAAAGAGAACTTTAGCAGACGGGCACTGAACCCATTGGCAACATGATATACAGAAAGCATAAAGAGAGAAAAATACGTTGAGCAATGGCCGCACATTTTTCGAGGATTTCTGGGGGGTTTTTGGTAGTGGGTAAAGCATGGGCCGGAACGAGGAACGCGAAATTGAGCGGTTTATGCGGGAATTAGCCATTGGCAGAGATCTCTACATGGTGATCATTAGAATATATCCGACCAGTGGGAGATACGGCTTCAGTAGTGGTCCGATGTACGGCGTCCAAATGATACAGTCGACAATATACCAATACGCCTGAAATGGACAAAAAAAAATCCGGATGCATAACGTTGTATTTTAAAGGGATGCCGACGGCATAGTCAATCGATTACGCGCGGAAAAGAGAATGTCTCTGCGCCTCTCCCCTGGGCGCGCTCTCTCCCCTGTTGGCTAATTGCCAATTTGTTGATGAGGGGGGATCGACACATCCTGTCGGCAGCCCTTTAAAGGGGATTTATTGTCGTCTTGCATGCTTTTGAAACAATGAAAAGCCATACCTTGAACTGAAGGCGTCCCCAACTCGGGAAAGTGGCCCGCTGATACCCTGCCGAGACGGTACCATTTGCCATCCGAGCCCGCGCCAATAATACCTATAGGTTTTTTTTACTAACCGCATACTTCAAAGCTGATTCTTGAATATTCCGGGGGGGGACCATTTCGGCTCTAGCCTAGATTTTCAACAAGCGGGTTCGTTTGTACATTATGAATAAAAAAAATATTCTAACTATTGTGGAGCCGAAAAACCGAAAACTAAGAAATTTCGGTTAAAAACTTATTTTTTGGGACGACCATTGATTTTTTGGACCTAAGATTAATGACTGCATACCACACGCACAGGCAGGTACTATCGGCCGCGGGTGTTCATAAGCACTCTTTTGGTATATATCGCAACGATTTAAGTAAAAACTATATAACTAAGTCCAATAAATATGTAGAATCGATTATAGTATATTAAAACTCATTAAATAATATCATAAGACGTTTATTAAGTAGTATTTCTTAATAAATTACGCCGCGGCCGATAGTACCTGCCTGTGTTTTTGGTCTGCCGTAGATTAATGTAGTAATGTAGATTAATGTAATGTACGATTCAGGCTTTTACCTGTTTTTATCTTTTTTTTGGTAAGCTTTTGTGCTTCAAATATTGTTCCCAAAAAAAGGAGACACAAATTTTAACTTAATTTTTCGACAAAAGGGATCGTACGGGCCGACGCTAAATCCAAAAGTTATGAAAACGCTACAGCAAGTATATTACGCTTTAGCCAACACTCTGTGCAAATTTCATCAAAAACCGCGACAGTTCCGTGAAGTTATGGCTTTAAGACAAAAAATATGATAGAATTTTGGCCAGTACCGTACAACTTTCTCACCTTTTCCTCGTTACACGTCCCATCTCTATTCGTGAAGTGGAAGCCGAATTTTCCGAGTTGCATCAGCTTGCTGCCTCCGTCCGTCTCGCAGTCGAGTTGGATGATGTGGGGTGGGTGCTGTTGATCTGTGTACATCCATTCCCAACTGTGGGCCACTCTAAAATCAACCGTAATGATTTTGCGAGGTGTCTGTTCAGTTCGTGTGAAGTCGATTTCAACTCGAAGGGGAAAAGGGGCTAGCTAAAGGAGATCTCAATCTTCCGAGTTCGGAATAATCCGATGCAGAACCCAAAGAAGACGTATAGGTTTGTAGCCGATTTCGGCAAATAATGAGGTGACGCGCCTCGCTTTATATATAGGCTACCGTCACTTCAGGCGCATGCTAATTATTTCCTAACAAAGAAGGCTGCCCGATTTTTTAACAAAAACCCAATTTTAATGTCGGTTCTTTAGGATTTCCGGGGAAACCAAATTTTTCCTGGTTTTCCCGGTTGACCTACTAATCAAATATAAAGTGTTTTCACATTGTTTTTAGTAAATTTTAACTATATTTAAAATACAAAAACCTTCCAAAAAAGTTAGAAAAATGTTTGAAAAAGTCGAAAATTTAGTCATTTTGGGTCTTCCCCCCCCCGCTAATCCTAAAGGTTCTATAGGATTTTTCGACCTAAAATTAATTTTTTAATTAAAATGCGGGTAGTTTTGATTCTCAGGAATAGTTAAAAACCATTTAGAAACGCATGCGCTATTTATAAAAAAAGTCTAGGATTGTGCCGAAAAAAATTGGTTTCCCCCCTTCCCCCTAAATCCTAAAGAACCTTAATGTCGAAAACAGCATCATTTGCAAAATCTGATATGCGTGCAGTCTCCGGGGCCGTTACGCACCTAAAGACGAAAAATACGTAGCTTAAGTCCCTTCCCCTCTTGAGATATTTCCCGGACGCGGTGACGGAATTTGCATGCAAATGCACACACACAGGAACTACAGGGTGTCCCAATAAAAAAAACACCCCCCTCTATCTCAACGGGGAAGGGTGCAAACGGAATGGTAGTTAAACCATTCCTTGAAACCAGCCCTTGAAACGGCGAATTTGCCACAAACTTCAAAACCAGGTTTTCATTTAAATCCGCCATTTACAATGTGTCGATCCCCCCTCATCAACAAATTGGCAAGTATCCAACAGGGGAGAGAGCGCGCCCTGGGGAGAGGCTCAGAGACTTTATTTCCAGCGCGTAACCGATTGACTATGCCGTCGGCATCCCTTTAAGGAACGTTCCCTACATCTAATTAACGGCTACTTCCGGTCATTTTGTATGGCGAAATTCAGGCAAATTAGCTCGTCTGCAACCTCGAGAAACTGGAAAATTTTACAAAATGGCTTGTAAAATAGAGGATTTAGATAAAAACATGGTTATGAAGATTGTTGGAAACTGGCCGTTTCAAGAGCTTTCGAATGGTGTAACTATCATGTCGATCCGATACTTCTGCCTCGAGTTAGAGGGGGGGTGTTTTTTATTGGACACCCTGTATTTTTATAGCAGGAATATATAGTAGGGTGTTTACCGAAACCGTTCCTTTTACTTTGTCCCCCAAGTGGTCGGTCATTCGTTATTTTTGTTTTTGAAGGCGATCTAGGTGAAATTTAAGTGGTATTCAAAGCCAACAGGGGGGAGTTTTTATTAGTTTTTGATGCGGGGCATTTTTTGGGCATGAGGTTACTTTGCCCCCCCCCCCCACACCGGAAGGGTCTCAAAGTTGTCGGTAATTTCGCTTATTTTTCGGGATTTTTGCAGCGCCATTCGATAGAGCGTCGAAAAATATACTAAGAGTTTTAATTTGAACCTACAATAATGTAAAATAAAAAAGTTATAACCAAAAGCTTCCGGCTGGGTGGGGGGGTGTAAAGTAAACCGTAGCCATTTTTTGTAGTCCTATTGCCTCTATCAAAGCCGCCAAGACGGGTTGTTCTGAAATCGCTGGTGTTGCTACGGAAAATCAGACTCCGATCTTTTTGACGTTTAGATGTGAAAGCGCCCGTTGTCCTATAGTTTTTGCTCTGGGTATCGGATCTGCTAAGGGGAAACTCCCTGACTGACTTGTGGGGAATATAAGCACATTTGACGCTGCCCCAGGTGTGGCACTGGTGAATCATGATGCCCATGTCCGGCGTGTACCTGAATTGGCTCATCAAAGCTGAAAAATGAATTTCCCTGCAAGTGGGAACCAAAAACCCACCAATGAGCCAGCTTGTCAGAGAGGCGCTCAAAGAATTCGAGTGTGTTATTACCGGCCCGGATGAACCAGTTGGCGCCTAATCGATGCGTACTGTCAAACTATTGTGTGCTCGCGTACCGTTGACCCATTCGGCCCGTTCCGATGTCTCATCGATGCCGATCTGATCGAAAATCGCGTCGTAGCTGAGGTCATCCTCGTAGTTCAAGTCAAACAGATTCTTGCGCCAAAATGTGTCCTAAAAGCCAGGCATAGAATAGAGTTAAAAAATAAGTAGCTACTTTGGCATTATCAGGGGGTGGGGCAGACGCCAACATTTTTTTTCTAGAATCCCTTTGTTCGAATATAACAAGAGGAAGTGTTTCTAACCCATTTTTATCCTCAAGTGAAACACTTTATAATGTTTTTTAAAGAATACAAAAAGATCAATTTTTCAAAATGTTTACGAATTATAAAGGCAATTTACATAAATTACAAAATTTTTTTAAAGCCTTTAAGAAAGTTTTTCCACTTCAAGTAGAAGCAAAGCTTACTTCCAACGCAATTAAAATACTGAATTTGATGTTAATAGGCATGCTTCTACTAATAATAGACTAATAGGACAAATAGCACTTGTCGTACCTTTACCCCTCCCCAACGATAAAGCGAAAGACGGTGTTCACCTGTTGCATCATCCAGAAGCTTTTCCCACGCCGAATCAGGGAAATAGCAAGATTCGCCCTCAGCAGGTAGATCATCTGATATGGGCCCTCAGCGAAGGAAAATGGTTTCTATGAATCTCAACATTCCTTTTGCGTAAATTGGTAACCCACATATAGTGAAGGAGTTGGCCAGTGGAATTGCCGGATGTTGGGCCAACGTTTCCGCATCGCGTCGCGGGCAACCGTGTCTAATGTCACAAAGATGAATCTGAAAATGCCATTTTTAGAGTGCGGGATAAGGTGTCTAGGCTGTGACAAGAAGACGTTTTAGGGTCTGTTAGCGGGGGAAACAACTTTTTCCCTGTGATTCTCTACGGCCCTATAACAAAATCTTAACCATTTTAATAGCATTTCACATAGTTTTTAGTTGTAAAAACAATATAAAAATGATAAAAATTTACGAAAATTGTTGACCGTGGTCAAAAATGTATCGAAAATGACCAAAACAGGGGCAAAATTTTCGAATTTTCAAAATTAAAAAAATGTTTGTATAACTTTCTATCAGTCAAAAACTATTAAAAACACAATAAAAATATATAATATATCATAAATAGGTGCAAAAACAGGATGTGGTTTTCCACCTATAACCCCCCCCCCCGCTAACAGTTTCAAAACTTAACAATTCTAGCTTACGGAGAATTGCTTGCTGAACATGCTAAACGACCGGCTTAAAAAAGTCATGGAACTTGCAACGAAATTACGAAGTACGTTTTAGTTTTAATCGGCTAAAAATCTACGTAAAATGGATTGATGCTGTTTCAAATAAAAAATTTAACACGAAGGTTGGGATTAGCACTTCCTCTTCCATTCCCCTTACCTATCGTGTACGCCGAGCGACTGTGTATTGCATAGAAAGTTGTCCGTCATGTTCAACGCAAACTGGTTGAGCATCAAAAAAGCCGGCGGTCGCATGAATTCGCGATCTAACATCCGGACCAACGCGTCGAATTCCCTTGAATTCTCCAGTATGTCCACGCCCACCGATGGTCCGTGTGCTTTCACGTAACGTACGGCTGAGATAGCATTGTTGGTTTTCCTGCAAAACCGTAAGCAAATTGCATAGCGCAAATCGCGAGCAAGTACGCGATGCAAAAAATGACGCTTATCCTATTCAAACGACTACATACCGTATGACGAGCAGCCCAAAGATGAACCAAAAGCCGTAGAAACAGTAGTAGGGGAAATGGCGAACCGGCCACGGTAGTCGGTATGCGTTTTTCGAACGGCCATAGTTTCTTGCTGCGCATGGCTCTTGGCTGGCAGAAGGCTGGTCGAATTTTGCCTCGTCGGAAGTCTGTGGCTCCGATGGGGATGGCCGACGTCTTCTCACCTACACAGATGTACTTTACGAAAATTGAGCCATAGCTGTTAGAGCTTCACAAATTTACCTAGGCTAACCCGGAATCAGGCTACGATTGAACCCAATTAGCCTAAGAAACCAAGTGAAGTTTGTACGTACCTCTGTACCAGCCATCTTGCCGGCGCCTTGAATCCCAGGAAATTATATGGGCTGGTCTACACTCTGTGAAGCCCTTCTAAATCAAGAAAAGTAGGATGGCATAGGATAAATGACAAAAAATAGTAAAAATGATTGAAGATAAACAATGACAATCCTTGAATGATTTTCTTGGCTTCACAAGGGCACAGCGTATTTTCTTATTTCGAGCATTGGAGGAGACTAAAGGTGACACATCTCGGAACCTGATCGCCCGTCATACCGAGTGACAGAAAATTGGAATACATTGTGGAATCCCGTGAAAATGGAAAGTTGAGGCTTCCCAAAAAAGGCATCCGATTTTTACCTTCACAAACTTGACCTTACAGGGAGTCGTTTTTAGGTGATATTGGAGTTTTTGAGCGAGACCTAGCTAGTTCGATAGAGAAAAAATTCTGAGCAAGATGTCGTTTTCCAAATCTGCTAACCGTGTATTGTATTCGATAAAAATGAAATTTAATGAAAAAATTCCGTGGCGCCACGCTGCCACAGATGGATCAGGCCCGGGACATAGGCCGCAATGCCACCAGCATCCGCATGAGATGGTGGCTTAGTGGATAGTGCAGGCGCCTATCAAACTTTTGCAAATTTATGCTCGAAGTTCAGAACTTTTTTTGGTTAGCTGTTTTGCTTTTTGGTTTTAAACGCTATTGAGGTCATATTTGGCATCACAGAGCAAAAAGCAAAAGAGTTTTACTAGCTAGGAGTCGAGCCCGAAGGCAAAAAAAATGAAAATTATGAAACAAGTGCACTACGCGATCGTGGTGGTTCAAGGGTCTGAAGGGGGCTATGTTCACGCGCACCACCAGAGCCAAAACTGCGGATCAGGTGAGAAATGATGGCGAAATTAATGATTTTCAAATTAATTTTTATCGAATACAATACACGGTTAGCAGATTTGGAAAACGACATCCTGCTCAGAATCTTTTTCTCTATCGAACTAGCTAGGTCTCGCTCAAAAACTCCAATATCACCTAAAAACGACTCCTTGTTAGCCTCAGCCAGGCGGTCTCTGGAATATTTACGAAAATCTTCCTTTTTGGAAATTTCCAGAAATTGGGATAGGGAGCGTTTGATGGAGGCGAAAACAGAGTTGGGTATATTGTGGTGGAGGCTGTGAGCTGGCACCCAACTAGGTGCGGCTGGGCCGGATTTTGGGGGGGGGGAATAGGGCCGACAACCTGTTGAAATCAGGATTCCGGGGGACGACTGTGTTGACCACAGCCGATATACAGTGACCGCCATTCGATTAAGCATGAATGAGGTGTTGACAGTCCCTTTAAAAACCAAGTTGTACCGCTTTTGGCTAGATAATAAAAGGACCGGTTTTTCAAGAGTCTTATCGATTCTCTGGTCTGATGGCTCTTCCTAGACCATCTAAAAAAGGTGGGCCGGATAGTCTGAATGATGAGGATGAGTGTTTGACTGGGTTGAGATCGATGTGTGGATGTGTTGGGAAGAGATTGACCTGGATCCCCCCCCTCGGTCCCTCCCGGTGCTATCCCCATCTAGCCTCCCTCCAGACTCAGACACGCACTGATTATCCCTAGGGAGAGGCTAAACTTTTGCGGGAATGAATACGTGTCGTCCACCGGGCAAACCTCCCGGATTTCCATTTGTCGATGTCGACACATTGAAGCGAAAACACGACTTGAGAACCGGGGGGTGATCTCTAGAAGCTTCCGAGCGCGGGCGAGATCCGTCCATTCTATCGTATATGAAAAGCTTCACCGGCAGGTGTGATAGACCCTTACGAGGCGAAACTCTGGACATTGGGCTTAGGGACAGTTTAATTTGCAAATTATTTTCGCTGATGTTGCCCAAAACCGGGATCAGGGCAAAGATCCCTTTAGACACTTAATCCCTTGAAACACGCAAAAAAATCAATAATGTATCGAAAGGTGAATGATCGTGAGCCGGAAATGAGCAAATAAGAGCTTCACCGGCAGGTGTGATAGGTTGGTGGGAATCTCGGCGTGCAAGTTGGGGAGTGGGGCGGGGGGATGGTCATGGGAGATGACCTTGGTCGTGGTGAGCCGTTGTTCGCGGTTGTACTATTCGGCGCCAGGATACTCGTCTAATGGGTCCCCCCTCTTCGTCCCCCATTCAACCCACCTAAACGAATGTTTTCCCACCCGAACCATGGGTTCCCATGAAATACATCATCTCGGTCAATTTGTGTTCTTCACCCTTACAAGGAGACGCTTTTCTTAAGGTCGGCGGGGTTTAAAGACTGTCAGAACGATGGAACGCGCACTGTCACCCCGAGGGTGGCAAACCAAAAGGACACCTGAACCAAACGCAAATTGGAACCGTGCGTTGCCAAAAGCGCGCACTAATGAGAGGATATTGTGCCCGGGGGCGGCAACGCGCCGCGCCTATCGCCTATCTGTGCACTGATAACGATCTGATCAAACTGATAAGCGCCGTTCCCTTCCAGAGTTCTGACGGTCTTTAAAGAATTTCTTTCCTGATTCCGGTTCGGCTAATTTGCGGAATCGCGATTTACCGAAAGAGAGCAACTATTTAAATTAGGAAAACCATTGAAAGTGGCTCATTTTGAGCGTATTGTCTTATGCCGTACATAACTTTGGGAAAATGGCCAATCAGTAAATGTGGTAAATATGTTCGGAATCAGCATAAAATCCGGCACAAGGTGGTCCTAATTAAGTTGAAATCCCGACGACACCAAAAATGGCCTGCTGATTAGTGGGGGGAAAAGATAGCTAACACATGCCTATGCACAACTCGCAGTGAGGAAAAAACTTAATAAAAGGAAATATACCTTGGACTGGACTGTTAACAGGGGGATCAGCTGTGGGAACCCAAATTTCTCCCAGTAATTCTGTGCGGCCCCACAGACACACAACACAGACTTATAATTATAGAATTTTTATAGCATTTTACAGAGTTTTCAGCTATGAAAAGCTCATAAAAAACTTTCTAAAATAAGCAGTTTTCTAAAATTGTTGAATTTTGGGCTAAAAATGTATGACGATGGCAAAAAAGGTAAAAATTTTTAAATTTTCGAAATTTGCTAAGATATATTTACAACTTTCTAACAACCAAAAACTACTAAAAACGCTATAAATTTATTAGTGCTTCCGTGCTAGCGGGGGAGCAAAGCGAATTTTTGAATTAAGCCTATGCCTGCATAGCAATGAACTAAAATATAGTTTAGTAGGGTTTTTGGTAGTTTCTGATCACCAAAACACTGGAAAACCTTATCAGAACATCTTATAATATTAACTTGTGACCTAAGTTTCTGTCCAAATGGGTCATTTTTCATACGTTTGGGCGCGAAAAATCAGTGTTTTCTGAAGTTTGATAATTTTTTGAAAGCGTTTGTATATGTATTTGTGTTTGCAGTTGAATGAAATCACCGTAAAATGCCATCGGAAATTGTTTAACTTTAATTACTTCACCCCTAAAACGCCTTCACAAAAAAATTATTCTTTGCCCCCACCCCCGCTAAAAATGGCTCCCCCGCTAACAGGAAAGCACCAATTTATTGTGTATCATCAATAGGTAAAACTATAAAAACTACAAAAACAAAAAATATTTTCCCCTGCTAAATGCCCCCCCCGCTAACAATCCAGTACTAAAGAGCGGAAGCTGATAAATTTGAGCGAATATTTTTGCAAAAAACCCGTGATTCCAGATTCCAGATCCGGTTTCTGATTAACCGCCGGAACACTGGACGCTGTTTTGAGCATTGCGTCCAATTTCAGCCGAGTCGAGGATGGAGCAGCGAGAACAAAGGGTCGTCGTCAGCTGGTGATTGTGGCTGTCTCTTTTTCGCTAGTTGCGGTCATTTGGAAGGGGAGGGAATGCGCGGAATAACGCCAAAATTCGCGAACATTTTTATAAGTGTTTTATGTGTTTTTAGATCTAAAACCGCATAAAATACTGTCCCCTGCTAAAAATCCTCCCCCCCCCGATAACAGTCCAGTACCGTAAAACTACTATGCTATAATTATTTAACGATACTTGCGGTCGTACAGGAGTCTAAAATGTGCTTGGGAAGCTCCGCTATTTGTAAGCGTTTTTAGGGGTAAATCAACCGAGGGCCGGTATCTGACGCGCCAATTCACACCCTCTAATGTTGGCGCTGGCTTCATCGAAGTTCCAATTAAGGTATTCAGTTTTCACAGCTTCTGGCTCTGTAATCTATGTGGTAATCAACGATCGAGTTATAGGTTTATGAAGAAGGGCGATTCTCAAATATCATCGCACAATGGGCCGTCGGAGATCCGGTTGACTGGAGAGGACCTTACGACACGGATCATCATTTTAATTTTAGAGAAGTAAGCATTAGACCTTAGACCATTAAAAAAGTCAGCCCGGCTTTTGGATGCAGCCGGAAGACATTTGCCGTTGTACATCATTCTTATTTTAGTTACCATCGCTACTGATCGTCTGTTCTGGCACCGGAATCGCGCCGATACCCCGGATTCTGCAAAAATTATTCGCAGATGATCGCGCGGAGACTCGGTTCGTCACTATGACATCAACTTCATCACCCGAAACCCGGAAAATAATCGGAAATGAGACAAATGAACGAGAGTTATTGGCATTCCACGCAAATTGCTTTAGGAATTAGTATGATGATTTTAGTGTCCGCGTCGTTTGTTGCTTCAGCGACCCGACTAGTCTGATCTTCGGCCGAGAACTCGGCTTTTGGGCTAGCCAATGGAACTGCAACATCTCCGTGTACTTCAGCCGTCCGTCAAATACGGTAGAATATATTGCCAGAATGAACGAACGAGCAAAGCTATTCTTTACAATCTAATAGTAGCAAAACGGTTTTTGCAGAAAATGCCGTCTTTTTAGAATGCCGCCCTCCCTTACTTGGTCGAGTGTCACAATCATCGCTTAAACGAAACGGACTTCGAAACAGAAATAGCTAAATTAGGCACGTGGCTGTTGTTTCAAAGAAAACGTACATTTCAGAAAGCATTTCCCGGAACCCCACACTGATCGTTTGCGGTTCGTTGGCATTTGAGAAGGATGTAGTCAATTATGCTGTCCGACAAGGAATTCCGCTCGAAAAACGAATTCGTTTTGCCTAGTGCATATTTTGGATATCAACCCCTCTACTTCCCCTTATCCTACGAGCCATAGCGAAAAACGTTGTTACCTGTTTGTTTCAGGTTGATGATTATAAAAATAAAACAAGGTATAAAGCAATCCTCGCTCAAAAAGACTGGCTTCCTCCTGCGCCCCCGAAACGCAACCGACCTGGCTCACCCGGGTAGACAGGGGTATAAAGGGCGCTCCTGTCAGCCCCCAACAACGCAGCAATGAAGAGAAAAATACAAGAGTCAGAAATCCATTCGTCATGGTGAATTGAGGCATTTGTCTGAGCGCTCTTTTTGCTCCCTTTTTGCAAAAATTTTCTCGGTATCCCCCCTTATTATACTATACTACTTTATTGTTCCTCGAATAATATGATCAACGCGGGAATATTCCCGCGTCTATTTTTCTGCGCCAATGGCGATTCGATCGTTGGATCTTTTTCCGATGTGTGACATTGTGAGTGATGAATAAAACTGCGCTCGTTCTACCGTATCATGCACGGGCTTTTTAGAAAGAAAGAAGGAGGGTTTTTCGCGTAGGCGATTTTGAAAACCGTGCACGCCTTTTTGAACGTTTTAACATTAGAAGCCCTAACTCCTTTTTCGCAAGGGTTTTGTCATTTTCTCAATCCACCATCCGCGACGTTTAGCTCCGAGATGCGCGTTTATAATTGGGACGGGTGGAAAGGCTGCGCTTTGAAGAATTGGTACGATGATGCAACCAGTTGCAGGCAAAAACTCAACCCAGTTTTTTGCTAATTTTAGGAGCACATTGTTTTGTAGCTTTGCTTCTTTGTTTAGCGGACCGCCGTCCACTAATCCCAGGTTGACACTCTGCTTTCTCTTGTTCTGCCACCGAAATCTTTGATACTTTTAATTTGCAGAAGATCCTCCATGGGCGACATCCAAAACCTGAACCGGCCGCGCGACGTTTTCGAGCAGCTCGACGTCGAGGATTCTGGATCGAAACAAGTTAGCATCGTTTTGTTTCGCACTCACAACTGTTTCTAGGCTTTCTGCCACATTCGGTTGCAACAGCGAACAGGCAGAAAGACGATCACCACCGTCCAGGGCATATCCTCCGAATATGAATTGAAGAAGATCGTGAGGTACAAAGGTTTTTACAGGGGCTGACATTTTCCTAGGTACTTAAAGAAAGAATACAACTGTAACGGGACTGTCGTCGAGCACCCTGAATACGGCGAGGTCATCCAGCTCAGCGGGGATCAACGCCAACACATAAAGAACTTCCTCACCAAGGTATAACTTTCTCTAGTCTTGATAAAGGGTCACTCGGTGTCCCAAGACGCGTTACCAGTTCCCCAATCGAATCCTGGCAAGGGCAAGGGGGACCCTTTTCTGTCTGTGTATCTAGGTTCTGCCTTCCCTCGCCCTCTTTTCCATTCGGACCGGAGCGCGCACTAACCCGTTGTTTTTAGGTGGGCATCGTCAAAGAAGAGAATTGCAAGGTCCACGGCTTTTGAAACTACGACGGACATCCTGCCAATCTTCGATGTTCGCTTAGTATCCTATGTTTTGTTCCCAATTTCCCTGTCTCACCCGCTTGTGTTACATTTGGCGTTGCGTTTTCGGGTTGTTGATTCATTTCGTGTCCTTCCATCACATAAACCTTCTTAGATGTGCATTTCGAAAATCCCCCATTTGGTCTCTGGCCTAAAATATCTTTGAAGCGGTCGATCAACTCCACATTTAGCTTTCGCTTAGTTATTCACTGTATCTGTTTAGAACGCATTGCGCCAAAGATGGAAGTGGAACAGGGCCACGGCCAGGATCAAAACTATGGATATCAAGATGAGGCCCTCGATGTAAGTTGTTATCGAGGGTGCCTTTTTGCCATTTCGAGACTGGATTTCTGAATTCTTTGTTTCTAGGTTAAGCCGTTGCTTGCTCCGACCGAGGATGCGCCGCCGCCCCACATCGAATTCAAGCCGGACGTGGATCGAGCTGATGATGGGGAGCGCCGCGACAAGTTTGCTTTCTTTTCTCATTATCACTTTGTTTTTAGGGAGCGCGATCGCAAAAAAGATAGGAAGCGCTCTCGCTCACGGGACCGAAAGGAGAAGAGGCGCAGTCGCAGTCGATCGTAAGCATCTAGTGATGAGTTTTACCTCTTTGCAGGCGTGAACGTCGTGACCGTGACCGCGGAGGCCGTGGCGACCGTGATCGTGGTGACACCAGACGGCGCGAAGAGCCGCTACCGAGGCGCAAAAATAAATATTGGGATGTACCGCCGCCAGGCTTCGAGCACATGACCCCACGCGAGTATAAAGAGCAGATCGGTAGGTTTTTAGTGATTTAGCGTTCTCCATCTGCTTTTCAAGCTTTTAAATCTTACGGAGCTAAGTTTTGGATGAGCAATGTAATTTTTTCAGCTCTCGGCGTGATCCCTCGCCACACACTACAGTCTGCGGTGCCAATCGTTGGACCCTCCATTACTTGCCAATCACGCCGTCTATACGTTGGCAACATACCGTTTGGCGTGAACGAAGAAGCTATGCTCGACTTTTTCAACCAACAGGTACTATTTTACTTGGGCTTCGCAGTTGTGCTGTTTAGATGCACCTATGCGGCTTGGCGCAGGCGGCGGGAAATCCAGTATTGGCCTGTCAAATCAATCTCGACAAGAACTTTGCGTTCATAGAATTCCGTTCGGTGGATGAGACGACTGCTGGGATGGCCTTCGATGGTTTGTGTAGCAAATGATTTTACACCTGTTTTCAGGCATCAATTTCATGGGTCAATCGCTGAAAATTCGCCGCCCGCGTGATTATCAGCCGGTTTCTGTCAACTATGAGCTGAACTCTCGATTGCCAGGTATCAGTAATCCTTTGGCAGTCACCAAGTTTTTAGTGTCGAACATCGTGGTGGACAGTGCGAACAAAATCTACGTTGGAGGGCTGCCTACATACTTGACGGAGGACCAGGTTGGCGCCGGTCTCTTTGCGTTAACATTTTTTAAGGTGAAAGAGCTGCTCTCCTCGTTTGGACAACTGAAAGCATTCAACCTGTCTTTGGATTCGGCCGGACAGAGCAAAGGCTACGCTTTCTGCGAGTACCTCGATCCGACGCTCACTGATCAAGTAATTTTTCAAGATTGGCCAGACATGGCATTGCCATTGTTGTGCCTTACTGCTGATCAATTACGGTTTTAGGCTATTGTTGGGTTGAACGGGATGCAGCTCGGTGACAAGAAGCTCATCGTCCAACTGGCCTGCGAGCAACAACGAGCCATCTCCTACAATCCATTGCAATCATCAGGTTCGTTTGTGTTTGATCCGGTTCACCACTGACTCTCTTTCAGGAATCGATCTCTCGCAGGGCGCCGGTGAGGCCACGACCGTTCTTTGCCTGATGAACATGGTTGGTGAGGATGAACTGAAGAACGATGAGGAATACGAAGGTCGGTTCTTATATATTTAGATCAATTTTTCGTTGCAGATATCATGGAAGACATTCGGGAAGAGTGTAACAAATACGGCGTCGTCGTCTCCGTCGAGATTCCTCGTCCAGTTGATGGCGTGGTGATTCCGGGTGTTGGAAAGGTGTGGCGTGAATCTTTTTAAAAAAAAATATTTTAGGTGTTCGTCGAGTTCGTCTCCACTGCCGATTGCCAGAAGGCACAAGCCGCACTTACGGGACGGAAATTCGCTCAACGCACCGTCGTAACGTCATACCACGATCCCAATGAATACCACAAGATGAAGTTTTAATTTATTCAACTCCCACAAATCCGTCGATTGTTCTGATCTTCATTTTGTCGTCGCTGAAGCCCTATTTTCTTCTGGGTTGCCCATTGATCTAACATGTTTTCATTGTCTCCTTGTTGCAACAGTCCGGCTGAACGTTCCGAATAAATAGAAACGTTTATTGATCAACGTCGCACATTAGATCGCTTAACATGGAAGTAGATCCTTTATTTGCGCCTCGCTGAGCGGCTTGACCTCCGGGAACGGGAGCGCCCCTTGGACTTGATGCGCTGCAGCGTCTTTTCAACGTCTTCAATGTGAGCGCTGGCCTTCTTGAGGTATAGTGGCTGGTTCTAAAAAATGTATGATGCTTCATGCCATTTTCAAGGCTATCATGGTCGTTGTACGGAGCTTGAACTTTCGCGGATACCCGGATGAACTCATCAGCAATCGCGGGCTCGACGGCTCGAGAAATGTCCGGCTCGGTAAGCATGGAGATGATGGCAAGGATGACTAGGATGGGACTTCACGACTATTTATAATACCTACTAGCTTCCAAAGTAGTCGCCGGCCGCCAATTTTCGAACGAGAGCAGCGCCAGGCAAACCTATCATGGATTTGGGGTAATAACGATATGCACTACCTCTCCGTTCACCGATGAAACGTTCGGATGGTATTGCTAAAGCTTTTGGTGCCGCTACATATCGCCATTACCTTATTCGGAAAATAGACGCGTGGAGCCAAGAAGGGGAAATCGCCGCTGAAGTCGATGCGAAGCACATGCGCAGCATTGCGCCATGGCGCCTCATTCTAAATCAGGGTGAAGCGAGGCTTAAGTGCAGTTTACCCCCCCCCCCCAGCCGGCACCCACCTACCGTATATTGGCTCCCTGTTCGTCCACAGGTGTGTAAAGTATACCAAAATTTTCCTCTTGCTCTGGCGAGTATTTTGGTATGCTTTACACACCTGTAGATGACCAGGGAGCCGAGATACGGTAGGTGGGTGCCGGCTGGGGGGGGTAAACTGCACTCTAACCTGAAGCGATTATATGCGCGGCGCGTGAGCACTTTTTTAGTAGCGTGGGCGCTAATTCAATTTGCTGGCCCCACATATATGGCCAAAGCCTCAATTTTCTGGTTCAGTTTTTGCGAAATTGAAGTTTTGGCCATATATAAATGGGGCGAGCAAACTGAAATAGCGGCGTAGCGTGCGATTTATATGCGACTAGCTATTAATAAAAGGTTAACGTTGTTCGCCTTTTCTAGGTTACGTGCTAATCAAACGACAAAAAAGAGCCTTGCTGAAAGTAACCCTTTCGAGACTATTTGAATCACCGACGATGTACTTGAGATAACATCATTTCGATTGCCTAAATTGACGCCGACCACAATCAGATCCAGTTCCACGATGTCCGGCGTGACGTGCTTGATGGCACCGCGGGCATATGGATGGTCGTGCCGCGTGAACTCGTCGATTTCCTGCGCAACCACACGTTTACCGACCAAAGGCAGCCACGTGCCTTCAAAAGCCGCGTCGCATGGGTTGCTCGCACATAAGTAGGTGAAGAATACATGAATAGAAAATGTCGATTTCCAGGCTTTGATTCGCCTTTTATATGTGGCTGGCGCGGGTTTATTAAAATTACAACTTTATTCAAATCGTGTATGCAATTTCACTGAATAAACCGGCTTGAAATGGTCGAGATCAAATCGAAAAGTTGTTCAAATTTTAGAAGATAGCGAAATGGTTCTCATCGGTCGTTGCGAAGCATTCACCCTCACCGACAAAGTATTCCATGTATTCCTTTGCGAGCTTCGGCTCGATTCCAACGATCTAAAAAGAGGATCGAAATGTATGTAACGCAATACCCTGGCAATATGTTCTGGGGTGCAGCCGACGTCTCCCTGTATCTTGCATTCCTGCTTGAGAGTCTTCAAAACCTAAAGAAACTTAGCGTACACATATATTCAAGAGGCCAATAACCTTATCACGTTCAGACGGAGGCCCGGCAGTTGGAGCGGGCTTCTTCAGTTCTCCGAGTGTTTGGGCGGTTTGTCGTTGGGCCACGGCAGCACCGCGTCCAGGTGCAGCAGGGTCCTGAAAAAACCAGCGGTCGACAACGGCGTCGTAAGATACCGTTTCCTGCATAGGTCCCGCCGCACACCCGCGGAGCTGCTGCATCAAAGCGCCTGCTCGTAGCTGATCGGCAACCTCCTAAAATAGTAAATTAACTGAAACCCGAACAGGAAGGATGCTCACCTGGTCGTGAAACAGCCGGGCGATCTCAGCCTCAAGCTTGAAACATTCGTATTCTTTTGCATCAGCCTCGCGGTGCTAAAATAGGAAAAATAAGCTCCAGGCAAAACAGCCAATCAATCAGCCTGACTCTAAATCAAAGAAATCTTCAAAAAAATAACCAGAACATTGACCCGTTAACGGACCTTCAGAACCAATACAGCCATCTCGTCGCCAGAATTACGGATCTTGCCAATGACCTGGATGAACGTCTCCTCCACGATGCTTACTGGCTCTTCATCCGGCGTGAACTATGTACAAATCAAAGGCAGAAACACGATAAGCTTACAGTTCGGAGAATATTTGCCGTGATTCGTGCGTTGCTGTTGTCTGGATCCACCAATGTGATCCTTATAGTGGCTCCCTGTTCCACCTCCTGTGTCGATTCGACTTGGGCCATTATACGCAGCTAAAAAGGAAACTATGATATCGATAACTACACCGCATAAAAGAAGCAAAGCAACCTTATATAGCACCAATGGGAAACAGTATAATTAATACAATTCGGCAAGACTAACCTGGCTAAAGCCATACTTCCCGACGGGGAACTTGTCATCGGGGCAGTTCGTCTGGGTGAGTTGCACAACGGTCACGGGAAACGGCAACTTCTCCGCAATACGTTGCGTCGAACTGTCGACATGCTGGTCTAAAATACATTTATTATCAATGCCACAAAATTACTGGTCGCAAAGGAGGCCTCGCCCCATCCGCCGTTTTCGTTGAAGCTCTGGTTCCACATTTTGATGCCTAAAGACGACATGACTAACAAGGAGACACGTGACAATTGAGCTTCCACGAGACCAAAACTACCTTGTGCAGAATTTTTCTGCTGATGCCGAATCAGTTTTCAAAATTTTTGAGGGTGACATTTTTTCGAAATTTCGCACTTCTCGCGCTGAAAAGCGTCATCACTTTTAAACTCTGGAGGTTTCTCAGCTTTTGAAAACAGAACCGGAATCAGCGCCAAATTCAGCATAAGATGGGGTTCGCCCCTATGGAAACTAGTTTGTTACTCAAAAAACGTATGCATGTAAGTTTACATGGGAAATGGGATGGCAAGACAATCGGAAAGAGGGGCACGACAATTGTTGTTGGGCAAGAACACGGCAAAACTTGTACATTCGTGTTTCCCGCTCCTCTACGAGTTCCATAGTTTCGTCGGTCCCGCAACGATTCACCTGCGCATCAGCGCTATCCCCAGTGATCGTCAAGCCAAAGATCAGGCTAGCATGTTCGATTCTAAAAAGTAAACCGGCGACTTTCCTTCTACCCTTTTCGCAATTTTCAAGTTTTTGTTGTTAGCGTGTTCTGAATCGGGCTACGCTATAGATTCTGGTCGTTTCATTCCCATATCGCTGCTCCCAATCGGTCCACTGCTATATTTATATTTTCAGAATGGCGTCCGTGGTCAAAGGCAAAATCCTGGCGATTATTGGCGATGAAGACACAGTCGTTGGGTTCCTCCTGGGCGGCGTTGGCGAATTAAACAAGGTGAGTAACTGCGATTCCATAATGGGTTTAATAGCTGGATGGAGTAGGCCGTTTTTATTCCCGCTTGTTATTGTTGATATTTGTTTCTGGCGAATTTTCTAGCTAACCACAATTTAGGCCCGTAAGCCCAACTATCTGATTGTTGACAAGAACACTGGTGTTGCGGAAATTGAAGATGCCTTCAAGTCGTTCTGCGCACGTGACGATATTGCCATCATTCTAATCAACCAGCATGTCGCCGAAATGATTCGTTTTGCCGTTGACCAGGTTTGCATTTTACCGGGGTTACGGGCTCGGCCGGTTTTAGATTGGTATTTTTTAGTATTGTGTTGGTCATGATTAGAAAACAAGCGTGGCGTATTATGCCAAACGTTTCTTATTACGATCTATCTGTTCAGCACACCGCCAGCATCCCGGCCGTCCTCGAAATCCCGTCGAAAGAGGCTCCATATGATCCCAGCAAGGACAGCATCCTCAACCGAGCACGGGGCCTTTTCAACCCTGAAGATTTCCGCTGATTCCAATCCACAATTGAATTATCGTAGCCCTCTTAATATCATACCTTTCCGTTTTTCGCTTCGAAGACTAATATGTATTGACCGATAATCTTGTGATCAACAATCTCACCAGTTGTTCTGTCCTTTACCTGTGATTGAGGCCCATTCCGATTTGGCTAGTGAAGTTAGCAATTTAGTTCTTATATACTGTTTTCATTTTGCACGTCCGTTGTATATAAATTTTACTTCAAGCTTTCTCGAAAGATATTACGGGTTCAATGCACTACAAATTTGTTTTTAGCGCATTGAGCTAGAGTAGCTAGAGAAATTTAGCAATGTTTCCTGAACACCTGTTTAGGTTACAGAATGCTTCGTACTTCTATTAATTTGATGCGGACGTCTTTGCGTGGCTTGGCTATTTCTCGTGAGTCTTGTTTTGCTGCGAAAACGTTAGTTCAGCTCGCAGCTCCGCCATCCCTCTGGTGATTGAAAATGACGGAAAGGGCGAACGCGCATATGATATCTATTCGCGACTGTTGAAAGACCGCATTATATGCGTTATGACGCAGGTATCCTTGTTTCTTCCGTGAAAATCTGAAATAAACGGCAGGGTTTTTATGGGGAATGATATAATGGACGTTTGTAGAATTTGTCCTAGATTGATGACTACTCGGCATCAGCAATCATTGCCCAGCTACTCTTCCTGGAAATGGAAAGCCAGAAAAGGCCAATTCACATGTACATTAACTCGCCAGGTATGTGAACCTTTGATATCGTTGTTAATATCGTTCTTTTTCAGGCGGCGTTGTAACCGCAGGGCTCGGTATTTACGACACGATGCAGTATATCAAGGCTCCGGTTCATACCTGGTGCATCGGACAAGTAAGTGTTTTTATTATTTTCTAAGAAGTTTCTTAGGCGGCGAGCATGGGAAGTTTGCTTTTGGCGGCTGGGGAGCCCGGCAATCGGACATCGCTGCCAAACGCGAGGATTATGGTTCATCAGCCAAGCGGAGGTGCACAGGTTCGTTTCGAAGTGCCGGCTTTGATATTAACGATCGGGTGACGTACTTATTGTTTGAAAATTCTGCTTTATCAAGATAAAAAGTTCATGCGCGCCATTAGCTTCAAATTTCCCTGGCGCTATTCTGCAACTAAGCCGCAGGGCAAGTCTTTTTGGATACGTAAGGAATGTCATTAGATGTGGCTTAGGCTTTTAGGCAAGGAGAAAAACGGCAACAATATATCATATTTTTATAGAAATAGGACTTTTACGATTATAATTGGGCTTTGCAAAAACCTAACAGCCCTTATTGTTAGGAAACAATTAGCACGTGCCTGGAAAAGCGATAGCCTATAGATACGGGACCAGGGCCGTTTTCAAGGCTGGTCCGGTGCGAAGAGATTGCAATCTATTGAGAAATGTTCTTGTTCAGGGTCAAGCCTCGGACATCTTGATCCGTGCCGAAGAGATCATCCGGATCAAGAAGCGTCTCAATGAGATCTACAATCATCACACCAAGCAGTCCCTCGAAGTGATTGAGAGGACTTTGGACCGAGATCGGTAAGTGAGATTACATATCAGTAAAGCAATCTTTTTTTAGTTTCATGTCTGCCCAGGAAGCCCTTGACTTCGGGATTGTGGATCGCGTAGAGACGCACCCTGGAAGCTGCCCTCTCGCCGTCAATTGCTAAGCCCTTACGTTCCGCTCGATTGCCCAATATCCCTCGCCATTTTCAAAATGTTCGTTTCGGGTGTTTCAAAATGGGTTTTTCCCCTAAAATTTAGAAGGCTTAAGATTGATTGTATCCCAACTACAAGCAAACCGTCTGTATTTGATACCCGTCCACCACCTGTCCCTTCAGTTACCCAAAAATAGCGATTAAATTATTTTTCTTTTTAAACAACGTCAATAGAATAAAGTTTTTTTTTGTGTCAGAAGTGTTAGCTTCTAGGCCCCACGCTCTCCAAATATCCACGCCGGCCCCTTGATCGAATATGCATTGACGAGGCGATTCTGCACCGCCTTCGCCAAGGGGCGCTGCCAGAGGTGGCCAACAAGACTTAGCGAGCCAATCAGCGGCCAGTCAAGGGGGATGAGCAGAAGTGTCGTGTCCGGCCGCCCCGCCCCATTACCCACGTTCCGAAATTGGCATGGTGAGCCGGAGAAGCTGAAGGGTTAGAAGCGGAGAAAGGCCACTGAGTGGAGCAAGTGCATAAGTTTTGAAATGGATAGTTTTTAATGGGCATTACTCCAAGCAATCACGAAATAGTTTGCATACAGAAGTTCGGGAGAAGTTGGGTTTTTGGCTGGTTGATGGTATTAATTTTGTATTTCGGGTTCTTTCCCATTATCTGGGGGCCGAACTTTTTGCATAAGTTTAAAAACGCCTAGCAACTGTAGAAACCGTTTAGAACGACTTCCACTTTTATACTTGAAAAAAGTTCCTAAGAAATAAAAGTTGGTACTCCACGACAAATGTAAACCGTTACCGTGGTCTTATCTGCTCGTTTCTTGTTAGAAAAATCTTGTCATATAAATTTTGGCAGTATTTAATGAATCCTTTTGCTTGAGATGAGTTCCGCTTGCTACTACCTAGTTGCTCCAAAAGCTTTTGCATGCTCTGCCAGGTTGATCACGAACTTTCCGCTGGTGAAAGATGCGGGGGGGCGGGGCGTAGTGAGCGGCGTTGGCCTTGTGTCTGGGCCCTCTCAACATGGGGCCCTGCTCGATAGGGCTTCCCCTCTGGCCATCATGTATCGGGCCTCGGCGGCCTCTTGCTCTCCTCTTCCCTTTTAGCCCTAGTTTCCCCCCAGGGGCCTTCCCGTCGATAGTTGCCCGCGGCCGCCACATCGTGTGTCTGCGCGGCTTCACCCCTTGTTTTTCGGCATTGGATCACTCTCGCGTCGTGTTCCCTTGGCTTGTCGTTGCTTTCCAACGATGTTTTTTTTGAAGTGGTTGCTGGGATTGGGCTATCCATACTTCCGCCTCTAACATTCCCGAGAGATCCAGCCCCTTTGCGCGAGCAGGGGTTCTCATTTTTACTTTTGATCAGTGAAGCAAAGTTTGGTGCGAGAATGGAAGCTTCGAAACGAAGAATGCGTTCACAAATCCCTTTGCAACGTAGCTTCCTAACGTTCATGCGCAACGCTTTCATAACGTAACGCCGTAGTTGTTGTCGATCTTCTCAGTTTCTCGAATCAATCAAGCAAATAAGGCTTGGAGAATTGGTTCTTGGCATTATCAGAAATATTTTCTATAAATCTAGCAACGTCAAAGTCGTCTAGTGGAAGATTATTTCTAAAATTATATTATATTTCTAAAACTAAAAAACTGCTTAAAAACGTGCAAATTTTCCTGAAAGAGCCGAAATTATGGTCAAAATTGACATTTTTGTAATTTTTACTTGGTAATTCGGTATGACGTCGGAAAATCGGTATTTTTAAGATGTTGTAATGAAATTAGTAACGTTTTGGCGTTTAGGGATTGTTAAAATAACTTCCACCATTTACAATTGAAAATTTTGATTTTGAGAAAAAAGCTGGTCCGCCCGATAAGGGGGGACAACCGGAAAATTATTTGAATTAAACGAATGTGAAAATTTGATTGCTTTTGATTTGATCTGCTGAAAATTTCTATATTAACGCATTGCGTTTGGCCGGTTTCAATGCCGCAGGTTCTGCCCAGCGGCTTACTCATCCTTCTCCCGCCTCTCTGTCTATTTGCCTATCAAAGCGTTTCGGCACAAACACCATTTTCGCTCCGTGTGGCCACTCACGCCGGTTCGACACCCGGGCCGCCCTGCTCCAGCTTTCAACAACATTTTTAGTGTTTTTCAAACGATAATTGACCATACAGCCGATAGCCCACTGTTTATGACCGCTCCATCTAGCGCTCGAGGAGAATAGTCTTTCTTTCAAATCCGTCACAAATCTAAACCCGTTTGGTCCTAAGCGCGGCCGCAGTGGCCGACGGGGGCCAAGGAATAAATTATCGCGTTCCTAGAAACCCCCCTATCCCTTGATTTTCTGCGCTCGCTGACTCGATTTGCACGTTAAAACACGACCCCCAGGGTACCGTAGATTGCCGTTTGGACAGGCGAATTAACTTGAGAGGTTGGGGTATTTTAGGTTTTATCTGTGTGTAATACAACAAAAACAACCGCTTACCGTAGATGTAAAATCATGACGGCGTAGAACACGTGCAAGGGCCGGATAACAGATTACGAATTTTTGTACACTAATCATAATTTTATTATTCTGGTCGTTTCGTAGATTATGAAAAGCTCGCCTCGTCAGCGAAAACTGGACTGTTAGCAGGGAGGATCTTTACTTGGGCGAGATTAATTCTGCCAATAATCCTGTACTGTCCGATAATGAATATAAATCATTTTCAAAAAACTTTGAAAATATTGAAAATTTTCGGGGTGACTTTTTTTTTTAAAAAAATATTTTTTAAAAAAAATATTTAAAATAAAAATTTTTTAAAAAAAAAATTTAAAATAAAAAAAAAAAAAAAAAAAAAAAAAAAAATTTAAAATTTTTTTTTAATTTTTTTTTTTTTTTTTTTTTTTTTTTTTTTTAAAATTTTTAAAAATATAATTATATTTTTTTTTTTAAATTATTTATTATTTATTAAATATATTAAAATTATATTTATTGGGGTGAAAATTTTCTGCGGTTTGGCCAAAAATTTGTGAAAAATATTTAAAATGTTTTTGTAACTTTTTAATAATCAAAAACTACTAAAAACATTAATTCTTACATTAAATTGTTAACACTAAACGGTAATCCGAAGCATTTGCCAAGTTTATTTCCCAAATTCGTTGTTCACCCCGTTGCAGCAGTTGCTCTCTGGTCGATTCGAAATGCTAAAAAACACGAGCTACCGTATCCGTGCTGTCGGAAAGCGATGGGAGGTGTCATCCGCCGACACCCCCGTCCTTCCATTTTAATTAGCGCTACCCCCGGGGCTCGGGCCCGCTGGCTGTGGAAGGCCCAACGGAAGGCTAAATGAGGGCCAAACACGCGGATGCTGTTACCCAACCCAGGTCGCATCGGCCACCCCCATAGGGCGTTGATGAAATTTTTTTCATTTCCCCCGTCCTCTCGATTCTCTTCATTGTCATTTTCTGCCCTCTGCTTCGTGTTGATTTATCCTAATCGCTATCCATCTACATCTAGACCACCGAATTTTTGGGCCAAAATGGCAGGCCCGCAGGAAGGTCTTTTTGCTAGTTTAGACGTGCCGCACTAACAAGGAGACGTTTTCTAGTGTCGTAGGGGGTTTCAAGTTAGGAAAGCCTATCTTGTGCAGAATTCTTCGCTGATTCCGGATCTATTTTCAAATTTGCGGAATCGACATTTTCCGAAAGTTATGCACGATTCAAGCCAGGCGGACCGTATCAGCTGGCTTCTTCGGACGCGCATAAATTTCGGAAAATTTAGTAAACTGACTTCGTAAGCTTTCGCAAAATTCTGTAGAAGCTAGGCTTGATATCAGCTTGAAACGCCGACACCACTAAAACACGCGTCCTTGTAAGCAGACTGGTAACTACCATCCACCAATTCGTTTTTTCCTATTGATTGGGCGCGGCGGTAGCCTAGGGATAGGCGGTCGTGTGATCGGTATCACATTAACGGATGCGTCAACGACCGTAAACGCCATTACTCGTTCAGCTTCGTGGATCCGCTAAAATACCGTTTTTTCCAAATTTCCAATGAAAGTAATCCTTACCATTTAGTCGTGCTGGCAGCTAAGCTTTCTCAGAGAGGCCACCTTGATGTTTTTCATCATTCCATTACCCCGTGTGTATGGCCAACTTTCGCGGGATTTCCGGTTTTTTCCCCGGGCTCCACTCCGATAAAACGGAAGTTGCGTTTCGCGAAGATCATCTGGATTACGGTATCGGCATGGAGATTCCAGCCCAAATCTAAAGGGCGCGATTTAGGTTCTTGCGTATTCCCGGGGGGGGAGGTTTATATAAATGGCGGAAGTGTTTCTAAATGTTTATAGCTATTCCTAAGCATAAAAACTTTACAAAATTTAATTAAAAAAATTGAATTTTAGGTCGAAAAATCCATTTTTCAGCCCAAAAATGACCAAAGTTTCCCGTTTTTCAATTACCGCGATTTAATTTTGGATACCCGTCCCTTTCCTGGGATCGGCACGTGGATGGAGTCGGAGTTTTGTGGCCGGGTGGGCCCCGGCTGTCGGCCCCCTAGGGGCCCTCACGATCAATAGGTCGACGGCGTATCCACTTTCCCTCCAATCTCTCGCTCTTTCTCTCTATCGCTATCCCTCTCGCTCTCTCTCACTATCTATTCCAGCTAACAACTTGTGCTTTTCCACTTCCCCCGCGCCATCATGTACACTATAGAAGGAGTTTCCCCGGGGGTCCAGAAAAGACTGCAAAGCCCAAAAAACATTCCAGATACACTTGCTGATACTAATCCAGCCTTTGCCCGCAGTCGCTCCTCACCTGGCATTCGGAACTTGCGCGATGGGGCCCGCCTAATAATCGACACCTAGCGCCAAATTTTTCTCCCCTCACACCTCAAAAAATTCGTGCATAGGGAGTGGCCCGGAAAGGGACCCGAAATGGCGAGCGGTGGCCGAGTGAAAAGCGCTTCCGCTGTGACGGGCAAATTGCCCTCGGACGCCCATTTTCACGCTTTGGCACTCTCGAGCCGGTGGATTGAGACCCCCGGCCATGCGTCGACATACCAACACTTTAGCTCCACCACGTTTTTTTTTGCGGTAAGGCGAGGAATTGCTATGGTAACGCGACTCTTCAGTTAAATACTGGGTGTGTAAATACGCACGCTTTGCGCTAGCTTACGCTTAACGTCCGACCATTTAAACAACATCTACGATAAGTATGTGAATAATATACGTATGGGCAGCCCATAGTCAGGCGTTGCTCCTACGTTTAAAAGGGCCAGGCGGGGCAAAAATATCGACCCCATCTTCGATTGGGTATTGACATCTTGGCTCTAGAATTTAGGCCCGAGCACTGGCCCCCAATTATATTATTGGGGCCACTATTGGGGGCTAGTGGGTCCCGTCGCGCACAGTCACTCACTCGCATCGCCACCCGGCCCCTTGCAGGCCCCACAATTTCCTTATTACCCTGGAAAGCTCCGGGGGGACATACTTTCATCCACCCACCCCTTCCCTTTCCCCGTTATAATCGCAAATTCCCTTAGCTACGCGATTTTGGTTTCTCCGGTTTGGCTGCCATATCAGGTGTCGTCTTCTGTCTTCCTTTTCGTAAACCCGCATTATCCGATACTATTGATTGTGGCTGTCACTTTTATGTGTCCGTGTCAAAAACACGCTACGTCCCCGACATCGCTTTGCAAACTGTATTAAAAACAACTTCGGAATTAAAAATCGGAAAGGTGTTATCAAGCATAGAGCCAGAAAAAAAAATCAATTTTCGCTCACTGGCACTGCCCAAAGTCTGCGCCTCGAAGCGATATCTCGAGGAAAGAGATATTTGCCTCACTCGAGCTAAAAGGGCCTTTATGTGAACGGACCCATCACAATAATTGCCGAAATGGGCGAAACCCGAGCCGACGAGCGCCCCTGGGGGCCCTCCATCCCCCAAACTTTCCGAAATTCCGAGGCGATACGTCTCGTTGGCGGGTAGGTTGACAGACTCCCGGATACATCACATAACACCGCGGGCCCTCGAGAGTTCTGTTCACCTTGACGACTGGCTTTGGCCTTTCCGGGCATTCCCGAAGTCATTTTCGTGTCCGGGCCTTCTATTTCATGCCCGCCATTGACACAACATTCCAGCCATATCCATATTTTGTTAAACAGTTCAATACTACGACTTCCCCCTTGCGGAATCCAGGGGTGGCAAAAGTGGAACACCTGTCCTCGGGCCCTTCTCGCCCCCAGTGGGCCTCTTCTGGGGCCCAGGAGGAGACGGGGGGGCGCGTGAGATCAATTGGACGTCTTCTGACCCGTCCCACTCCGCGCCCTCCGAATTCTACCTGCTCTCTCCTTTCTAATCCCTCTCATCCCAGTTTTTTGCTTCGTTTCCATGGAGAGGGGAGGAGGGACTTCTCCTCGCCAGCCCACTGCCACACACCCAATTATCACATTCCGCTGCCCACCGTCGTTCCGCGCTAAAGAATATTTTTACTCTAGTTTACTAACGTTTGCTCTCTCTCTCTCTCTCTCTCTCTCTCTCTCTCTCTCTCTCTCTCTCTCTCTCTCCTCTCTCCATCTGTCTCACTAGACTTCGCTATTTCGTATTAGTTGGCGCTATCAATTCAAAGTTGACTTTGTCGCCTACTCTGCCTCCTCTCTTTCTTTGGTATTTTTCTATTTCTTTTGGTAGATACTGTTTTTTCGAAAGTTTAGCGTTTGCTCTCTCTCTCTCTCTCTCTCTAGCTCTCCTTGAATGCAAATGCTTATTTCGATGCCTAATCCCCCTTTCAGATAGTCGTCGTCTCGACCTCCTCCCCTCCATCGGTCATCGTGGGAGTGTCGTCGGCAATGCGTGCGACAATTCTTCTACTTTTTTGCGTGGCCATAGCCCATACAAAGCATCATCTGCATCCAAGAGGTCGGTTTGTGACATTAGCTTGACGTGCTCATCCTTAGCCGGTCCAGACGCCCTAAAAAACCCTAGCAGCCCGGTTCGTCTAGGATTTAATGATACATTATACCAAGCTTGTCGTCAACTGCGTCAGAAACTGAAGTTACTTGAGGCAGAGGCTGCATAAAGGGATGAGCACAGCATGCAGTCAAAGATCCCTCGGGGAAGGGTATGGAAGGAGGAACACAGATCCATGTCCCTTTAATAGCACCAAATTGTTGGCGTGGAGCAGCGCTGGCTCCTTGGAAATGCAGGGAGAAGGAGCCCTGGTGAGGCGCAATTTCCATGCCCTCACCCCGATCCCCTCAAATGAGTGTTTTTGATAGGGGAGGAGGGCCCATGACGTTGCCCCAGGCGATGGAGGGACACCACCCTCCTCCCACAGCTCGATCAATTAAAAAAGGGCAATGCCTCTCGGGGCAGGCTAAACATGAACAGCTACAGGGCAAGAAGTTGGTTAAAGCTGGGACGTGAAGATAGGCGGGCATTTCAAGTTGCGTTTTAATAGAATATTCGATGTAGCTTGAAATTCTAGATGAGTCATGTTTTTCAAAGCTGCAGCCTGATAAACCGTCCTGGGGAAAATCTACGCCGAAATGATGCTTTACCCGCTATTCGCCCAAGCAAAATTTAGACGTCTTGATTTTTACATGTATTTAACTATCTGATGAGTTATGTGGCATCGCGAGTCACCAATCACACCCGGAAACCCCTGCATTTAAAAGGGGCTCAGAAGTCAAAATTCGTGCGTGCGGGGATTGAACCTACTGGTCAAAAAACGCAAGGGTCACTGCCGAGAAGTGCCAGAAAAGTGATTTCATTGCGAAAAAACGTAAAATATTTGAGAAAATCCGAATTCTTTTTGGCGCGAAAACGACATTTTGAGTGCGCGGCGATTACCTGTCGTAATGCCTTGTAAGGCACCCAATCTCTCGATCTCGGCGATCGACTGATCAATTTTGATAATTTAAAAGTCTGTAATGATCCAAATTCGTTGAGGATTCCAAAAATGGCATCAGAATTTTTAAATTCAAGCGTTTACGCGTCCAAACAGGGGCAAAAGGTCATGCGGCGCGGTCGCGTTGCGGTCGCATCTGGCTATTTGCCAGGAATCACAGCAGGGGGCCGTGGACCAGATTTCGGAGCCCCTTTAAGCCATGTTAGCCTTCGACATGTTGGATGCCGGCATCCAAATCGGAATTAAAACAAAACACAACCCCGATCTATCCACCCAAAGTACCCACCTAAAACCTCCCGTTGCAGTACCGATCATCAACCTTCACGGAGCCGAACTGCTCACAGCGTCGGTCCGCGAGGACGAAAACGTACTGACGACGGTGCCTGAGCTATCGATTGTTGATGAGACCGGTGAGTCTTTAGAGCCGTTCAAGCAGTTTGATTCGTGTAGGGCAACGGAAACTGATGCTCGCTTTTCAGGTCCCGTTTGCTCGTACGAGCTGACGAATGGTGGTGGCGGCGCTGTGCCATTCGAAGTGCAGCTCGTTGACAAATATACCGGAGCCGCCGTCATACGGGTTAAGGTGAGAATTCAGACAAGGGACGTTTAATGAGGAACATGTTTGTGCATCGCCAAGATCTAGCCGACATTAAGAGTCTATGTCAGAGGGAGTGAGTGAGAGAGAACTGCGAGAATGAGCTCCAGATCTATACAAACCCTTCGTACTAAACTAGCTGTGAAATCTAAATGAAAAACTTACAGGATGCTCTTGCGTTGGATTGCAAGACTCCAGAGTACAATCTGACCGTGACCGCCATTCGCTGTGGGACGGAGGGCGTCCATTCCGAGGGGTACGTTTTCAGGCCCCAAATCACGGTTAATGCATTTTGCTGCTGCCTTTTTTCCCCCGTGGGCTGGCGTTTACTATAATACCAACCCCTAATGTGTGTAGACGAGGGCTGTTGAGGCGTTGAGATGGATGGTGCGAATACACACCCGCTCACAGCAACTAATGAAAATCCGCCGTCCTTTTATCTGATCGTAGGGGCCAGCCGGGGAAGGCCAGTTTAGGGTTACTGTAGCCTGGGAAGATTTATGCTCGGACATGGGGGATTATCTACCCACTCATGGCCAAAACCGGCTGACGGGGGTTTGCAAAATAACTCTCCCACCAAATCCGCGGAAATTAAAACGCGTTGGAGTGGATGGATTATTCGTTTTGAGTTGACGGCTTGGCTTTCGGATTTCGCCCGGATTTTCAGGTGGTAGCAGGGCGCTAAAAAGAGAGAGAGAGAGAGAAGAGAGAGAGTATTTTGATGACTCTGACTCACCGACGTCCTTAAGATGGCATTGAGATTTAACAGAGTAGCGTACATCAGTTTTGAAAACACCCTGCGCGACTTTTCAACGATTGCCCCCCATTAGTCATAAAACCATTAGTCATAAATTCCAAAAGTCATAAACTCATTAGTCATAAAACCATTAGTCATAAATCCATTAGTCATAAATTCCAGTAGTGATAAAACCGTTAGTCATAAATATTTAGGGGGGTCAAACTGACTGTCACTGGCACAATTTTTGGCTAAACTCCGAGATACCGCCCCCCAGCCGACCCCCACCTACCGTATCTCGGCTCGCTGTTCATCTACAGGTGTGTAAAGTATACCAAAATACTCGCCACAGCAAGACGAACATTTTGGTATACTTTACACACCTGTAGATGAACAGCGAGCCGAGATACAAAAGTTGGGTGCCGGCTGGGGGGGTTATCTGGAGTCTTACCGAAATTTATGACGAATGATTTTTTGACTGTTGGAATTTATGGCTAATGGGTTTATGACTAATGAGTCTATGACTACTGAGGTTATGACTAATGGCTTTGAGGACTAATGGCGTTTTCCCCTTTTCAACCCTCCGTCCGTCTGGCACCCATTATAAGTTACACCCAAATGTCGATCCAAAAAAGGACAACTTGCGCAACTGTCCCTTTTATATAAGCTACCCTACTTCGGGTAGATACTAACCCTTTCGGACCAATGGCTTTTCTATTTTTGCGATTTTTCAACAAAAGCTGATTTTAACAGCGAAAGTCGAGGGTAAAAACTAAGCAGTTATCTCGAGCCCATTACCCATCTAATGACAAAGCAAAAATACAATTGGCTTTTTTTCTTATCGAGACAACCACCTTACAACCTGATGGGAGATGCACAAACGACCAAATTATATTTGTTTTATATTAAAGGGATGATACCTTCAAAAAGCGCGAACTTATTCAGACGGCGCGCGGTCCCAAAAAAAGCAAAAAGAGCTACGACAAAAACATATGCCAATGGCAGCGTGGCGGCTTGGGGGGCAATTTAGTGCCCAGCCACCTACCGTACCCCGCCTCCTAATAAGCGAGTGCCAAGGCAATTGATGGATAGTACTAATGGCACCGGGTATTGCGATTGCAAGACGCTCAAAAACCGAAAATGACTGTCGAAACACGTGTGTTCAGCGAATAGCGATTATTAGAACATAGCTCCAAACAAGGGCACAAACCTAAAATCCTCCTACCCTCCCGGTAGACGAGTCCGGTTTTTACGATTTAGGCACCTAGCGAAACCCCTTGGAAAACCGAGTCCAGAACAGCCTCCTATATTCGAAATCCAGCAGCTTTTTGTTCAATTTTGGGCATTTTTCATGCAGAAGGGACACTCTTTTCTGCAAAAAACCCCGAAATTAACCGGTCTAATGGTCACCCAACCTGTGTTCTTTCAAACGGCTTGCAAAAAACGGTCCTTGGGCTGCCAGTAAAGGCGTAATAATTTATAAGTTATGATTTTTCTAAAAATATCCTTTGATCGGAAAACATCGGAAAATCCGCCCGTTTTGCAAAAAATTAAAAAGTAAATGTAAGAAAAGTCCCTGTCAAACTGCATAGGTGAGATATTAAAAATTGAATTTGTATTGTAAATTTTTAGGGTGCCGCTACGCATCACGGTTCGTGACACCAACAATCATGCGCCCGAATTCGAGCAACCCTGGTACACGTTTTCGGTTGATGAAGGTAGGTTCACATCAAAAGAAGCGTTGGTCAAGTAAAGCTACGAGCTGTGGCAAGATACCTTAAAAGCCATAGATCCTCTGTAAAGTCCGAAACACGCTTGCCTTCAGCCCGTATCCACAAGGAAATCGCGCAATTAACGGCTACGGACGCGGACTGTGGACATCCCTTTGGTGAAGTCTGCGAATATGAAATCACCAACGGACTCGACAATTTCCCGTTCGCAATCTCGAATCAGGTAGGCCACGAGAAAAAGAAAAAAAACTAATTTCCGAAAATCATCATTTGACAAAAAATCGCCTTCCGAATTCGGTTAACCAAGCTGCCTTCCAGGGAGTACTACGGAACACTCGCCCCCTCAACTACACTCAAGCCAAATCATACATCCTCACGGTGGTAGCTCATGATTGTGGGATGAAGCGGAGCAAGAGTGCCCTCATCACCATCAATGTCAAGGGTATTTGGTGTAGTAGCTGCGAGAAATTTCCGGTGTTCCCAGAAGCGTGCGTGGAGGGTGTTAGCAACGTGCCTGAACGGATCAGCTATGCGCCAGGCAGTGGGGCAAAGACACTATTTGCTGACGCACAGGCACATTCATGTCAACAGGTAAGGTAGCGAGAGAGAGTAATAATAATAGATATTTCACCCAATGCCCATTGACATTCCTTTTCCAGCGCTCGGAATGTGAAATTGTGGGCGCGGAGGCGATGGTCGAGCTGAAGATGGCCCATGTCAACGGTGGTTGTTCTCGCCAGAATGTCTTCGGGGCTGACAATGTTAAAAAGTACGTATTTTGGTTCCATAATTTCATAGGGATTCACTAACGACGGCATTTGTTAATTAAAATAATACCTTCACGCAGGGATTCGATGAGTCCTTTAAGTTGCGGTCTTTCGCCGGCTCATGTGGATCTTCTTGGCGAAACGACTTCCGGCTCCGCGGAAGCATCGTCTTCGTCCGAATCCAACGAGGAGAATGAGGTTGCCGAGGCCGGAGAAGGACAATCCTTCGACGGACACACCAATGCAATAATCGTGCCCGCCCATGCTATCAAGGGTATGTTTGAAAGTTTAAGGCTCCCAACACCGTGTGGTATCTTGAAAAGTCGCCAGACGCTCAGTGATCGAATTATTTCAGGGCTTATCCCGGAGAAATTTACGCTGTCTTTCTCCATGAAGCATGAACGAGGCGATAAGGAGCAGCAGAACAATAAACAGAACATTCTCTGCGAGACGGACGATTTCAGTAAGCCATTGTTTCTCTTTTGCTTCTTTTGGTGCGAATTTTTCACATGCCTAATTTTCAGCCCTCAACCGCCACCACTTTTCCGTGTATATACGTCATTGTAAACTGGAGGTGAGATTAAAAAAATTAAGCGTTTCGAGAAAATGGCAAGGTGCAACGGTGAATTCTGTTGACCGGGCGTTATCTAGAGTAGTTGCCGGGTCCGCGGCGCGTGGACGGCATAAGGGCAATACGCTATAATGCCATCGAATGGCGGGCGTTGTGATGTGTACAGGGTGTCCCAATAAAAAAGGTCACGCTGGCATTTTGTCATTTCAAATCGGATCGACCTGAAATTTGGAACAGAGCTGCGGAAGGGCATTTAAAACGTTCACAGAAACTTTCAGCCCGATCGGTACAGTAGTTTTCGAGTTATAGCAAAAATAAACTTTATTTTACGTTTTTAACCTGGATTTCGCCGGAATTGAGCCTGCTAATATATGGCAAAAATGAAGTGCCGACCCTTTTTTACCCCACAAAATTTTTTATTTCGTAAAATTCGTCTTGGAAATAGGTTGTTTAATTAATTTTATTAAGGTGTTATCATCCCCGATGTTAAGAAGAATGAGGGATTTAGGGCCGAAATTGATGCTAATTGATCGACCGTCCAAAAAGATAGCCGAAAAAATGGAGCAAAGCTGTTGAAAAAACAGTATTTTTGTTATAACTCGAAAACTACTGTAGGGATCGGGCTGAAAGTTTCTGTGAACATTTCAAATTCCCTTCCGCCGCTCTGTTCCAAAGTTCAGATAGAACAGATTTGAAATGGCGAAATGCCAGCGTGACCTTTTTTATTGGGACACCCTGTATTCATAGCTTGCTGGCGCAGAATCCTTGAGTCGCACTCTCCCTGTAAAGGTTGCTTGAATAAATTGCCAGGGCTCTTTGTAGAACAAAGTTATCGAGCAGGGCTCGCGGCAAGCAATTTGAGAGTTGATTGCAGGTCGTCTTCCGCCGAGAGTATGGCGCCGCGCCGGAATTCCGGGCTGCCGAATGGCGATGGGCCCTTCCGGAGGTGAGACTTTTCCCAGAGAGACATTAGAAAAACAGAGATCCAAAGTTTTTGTAGCTGTTTCGAAGCAATTTTTTTTTCTACAGGGTTTTCAAAAAAATTGTTCTCAACTTCAGGTTTGAATAACTTTGCTAGAGGAATAATTGAACATGCCAAAATGCTTAAATATGTCAGGAAAGAGCAAAAAACTCAGCTTGAAGTTTTCGATTTTCGACGACATACACACAAATTCGAAAAATGACACTCATAAAAGGTGCGTTCCGTAAAAACGTGCCGTGCATTTTTCCGACGCTCTAGTGTTGGGATTGTTGCAATTTTTGGTGTAAGTAGCTGCTAGGGGTAGAGCTATGTTCAGAAAATTATGAGATTGATTTAACCAGGAAACTAGGTTAACATTCCGTATTAAACTTAGAACTTACAAAACTTGACGCGCACCTTCGAATATTATGAAGTTTTGTCAGGGACTAGCCACACCTAGCAGCTACTTACACACCAAAAATTCGAGGCTCCCACCCCTAGAACGCCAGAAAACTGTAATACACGGTTTTTGAAAAGCACATTTTCAGGTGTCATTTGTATCATTGCGTCGCCTGAAATCGAAGAAATCAAGTTGATCTAATTCTCTGGTCATGACATATTTAAAACTTTTGGCATGGTAACATATGGTTGATTATTCCTCTATCAAAAGTACCCTGTATTTCTTCCTGGCGAGCCGAGCTGTAGCCCCCCTAACACAACCCACTAGGTCTGCGATGGCGCGTGGCACTCGTACACGGTGTTGTTCAACGGCGTCGACGACGTGAATGTGATGGTTGATGGAAAGGGAAACCGGTGAGAGCTTCCCATACCGAGTTTTTAATGGAACCACCATAGCCATGACGAGCGAAACCCGGAGATTCTGGATGACTGGCCGCTACATCAGACGAAGCAACAAACGACGCGCCTCGTCGTTGGGGCGTGCTGGCATGGCAGACAACAGCAGATGGCGCAGTTCTTCCAAGGCCGTCTTTCGAATATGTAAGGAAACCGAATACGTTTAACCGGATCTGCTCTCATAATGCCGAAATTTCCTAGTGCCGAAATATCAGAATGTCCAAATCTTAATCCGTCGAAATTTTTTGCCGAGCATTTGGACGTTTTTCCGGGAGATGTGCCTGAGTAAATTTCGACATATTGAAATGTAGATATTCCGGAGTTACGAATATCCGAACTTTCGACGTTATGAATTTCGGGATTTTGGCGCATCAGCCTATGATGCTTAAGCGGCCGTTTTCACAAAGGAAGCAGAGAAAACGTAGATTACATAAAAATATAACGGCTGAGGAGACCCAGGCCGTTGGTATTCCGACAGAAATATTCGATGCCGTTTTGGAAATTCATCTGATTTCAAGGCGCCTCCTCGTCGGACAGGCCGAGTCGGAAGAAGCACTAACCTGCGCGCATCGATGCCCCGAACAGCTGGCCTTCAGCGGCTCCGACGAATTGACCGATGGGGAGGCGAGTGATAGAGTCCAAAATTTTGACTTGCCAATTCCAGTCAGCCATCTTGAATGCTGAGCAGTCGTCATTGCACCTCAACGCTTCATCGACGGCTTCGCTGAGCCGTATGCTGCAGCGCGTTGCCTATGTGAATAGCCGAGAGCAGCCACTGCAAGGCCATCGTCAAATTACCGTTTCCCCGGCCGTGGTCTGTGCTCAGGGCAAAAAGGTGGGCACGATTTGTGGGAGCGTTCGTGTTGTTGGGAAAACGTTTCAACGCCGTCATTTTCGTATTTGACAATATTCCAGGTCGACCTACCCAGCTATAAGTCGTATCTGTTCGTGCAAAAACCTGCCGAACCTGAGATCTCCATCTCCGGGGATGCCCTCACCACCGCCGATCAACATGCCTTGAAGGTGAGGATATGTTTTGCTGGATGGGAGGGGGAACAAATACAGGGTGTCCCAAAAAAACGAACCATCTGGCATTTCGCCGCCTAATCCGGTCGATCCCATACTTTGCACAAGGGTGTATTAAACCCTAAATAACCACAATCCATGGTTATAGCCCAATCGCTACAGTAGTTTTCGAGTTATCGCCAAAATCCTATTTTTTACGCGATTCTTAATAGTTTTTTCCGCTATCTTTTTGCACTTTGCATCGATTTCCATCCACTTCCGGTTGCGAATCCCTAATTTCACTTAATGTTATGGGGTCTAATTCCACGGAAACCCTATGAAAAATGGAAAATAAAGTTCTTTTTGTTATAACTCGTGAACGACCGTAGCTATAGGGCTATTACTCAGGATTGTTGTTATTTAGGGTTTGATACACCTCTGGTTCAAATTTGGGGCCGATCGGATGTAACACGGCGAAATGCCAGATGGTTCGTTTTTTGGGACACCCTGTATGTCTTCCTGGTTCGGAACCGAATTAGATTTGAGATTAGGACGCTTATAACGCTGTTTTATTGCGTATATAATAGCTAAAAGATAAATCAGTCGATTCTTCTCTTCGAGCTCTGTAAGTATGCACAAGTTTCGAACCGAATCCCGAGCAGAGACCATCTCCTTGCAAGTAAGAGGGCCCAAAAATACAGGTAGTGTTAGAACATTCATTTCCAAGTAGCTGCAATAAACCTCTGTCTTGTTTCAGGTTGGTACCTCGATGCTACCAAACATCAAGATCACGGTCAGCCAGACGGGCCCTGGTAAGTTAGCGCCATTTTGGAAAAAGTCATTGAAAGCGGACGCGCACGGATTTCGTGAGCCGGCTAGTTAGTACCAGTACCTGTATATCAATACGGTATTGATATTTCAGACGGAGAGGTTGGCGAGGCAACAAGCGCTAGCACACTAGATTGGTGCAAGGTTCATCTAAAGCCTTCACGCGATATGGACCTCGAATACTTCTCATCGCCGGCCAGCATCATTGCCGGCATGCGCATCGACTTTGAGCACGACAAGGAGGTAAGGAGCGATCCCATAAAGTGCTTAGGCATTGGTATCGATTTTATCAACAATTTGTAACAGTAATTCTTGAGGGCATCCTTCTACGCGGCGAGGAATCCGTGAAGGGCTACCTGGATGTGCTGAGCAAGGTATGCCGCCACCATTTTCTTGACATGTGCGCCTGTAGATTCACTACTTCAACACCCGCCCGGAGAGCTACAGCAAACGCATCTACAGCGTGCAGTGCGCGATGCAAAAAGGGCGCATCCTATCGAATGAATTCATCATTACGGTAAGCGTTTTTGTACGTACTTTTTCGGCGAAAATGCGGTCCCACTCAGGGTTACAAAGGCAAGGGAAGGAATGCGAGAGAGGGAGGGAGAGAGAAATATGGCAAAAACAAAGAGCTAAGTGGGCATATCGTCCGAGTCTTACGGGTCCGCGCCGTAAAACGATGCCAATTACGATTGGAGTACGTCTAGCGTTGGCCCCAGCTGTTATTTTACCCCGCGCTTTTCGATTGGAAAGATTAACTCGCAAAAAAGCAAAAGCGGCTGATATTAGACTAACTGTCCGGGCCCCACAACGCCCTTACTTCCTGTCCCGGTGACCTTTGTTTCATGCGCATGCAAGGGTACAGGCAGATTGCGTAGCTAGTCGCCGCTCGTAGTCATTTTTCAGCCGCGACTAAGTGTTCCCAGGACTAAGCTCTGCCCCTACCGCCATTCCCACATCGAATTAAATGGGACTTGGATTTAGGGGCATGACTGGCTAACAGACACTCAAACATGGATGGGGGAAGGAAAACTTTTTCCCGCCGCAGGGGGACGACGGCTCGATCGCAATTTCGATATAATTAATTCGGGAGAAGGGGCAGCTCTCGAGGCCCATCCCACCCAGCAGGGCCAGTATCTTTTTCCAACACACGCCCCCCAATGCCCTCAGGGCAATTTCCCCGGGCGATGGGGGTAGCGGCCCAGGGCCCAATCCGATGCCCGTACTCCCGCCCTTTTGCCGGCTTAGGGCCCAACGGCCAACGACACACCCATTCGACTAACATCATTATTACCACTGGTCGCAGGCGCGGCTAGATCACGATTTTGGCTAACAGTAGCACATCAATGACCACAGATCTAGAATATGTATTGCCTAAAATCCGAAAAGAACGCTCTTTCCCCTAGGCTCCTTCTTTCCTTTCCCCTAGCCGAACAATTTGAATCCAGAATCGGCAGGCAACACACGCGGATCCCAATTATCTTCATGAACCGGGCGGGGCACCCTTTTTGGATCCGTGGGCTCGTATTTCCACCGGGAAATGCATAATGCCGTTCTTTTCATCACATTGCTGCCCCCTACACTCAATACCAGCGCAAATATTACGGGGTGGTGGCTGGGAGGTCTCAATTAAAATTGATGAGCCCTCTCGAAATGGGCCATGTACTTTGTATTTTCCAGAAGCGGCCACCGCAAACACGCGTCGGCCTAATCTTTCTCATACCAGAAAAGTTTTCGGCTTTTTTCGACGATTTGGGGTCGGCATCACGTACACCCTTAATTGGTACTCCCACCGGAAAGGGCACCCGTTTTTTAATTAGGAAAATGGAATTACTGGGAATCTGTTTCGGAAAAAGTGTTTTAAAGGTACACTAAAATCTCGTTGAAAAGTTCGGTTGCGGGACGAAATTTGGGCTCTCGGCCGCACCTAACCCCAGCCCCTTCCTGTAGCCTCTCCCCTCCGTACTTCCCGTCTGTCCCATGGCCTAGTGGTCCGAAGCGCTTGTCCCAGGCGGGGGGCGCGGTTCGTTTTGCTCCGCGGTGCCCCTACCGTAACCCTGTTTGTTATCCCGCGGACGGTTACCGGCCGGCCCGAGCTTGTGTACCTTTAGGGGATGTATCGAAGTTGTATGGTGGCATCCCTCCAGGTTCACTTTTCCATGAAGTTTTAATATATCGTCTAAAATGCTATTTGCAGATGTCCGTGACGCCGGCCCAGGTGCCGTTGCCAACCGACGCCCCGGTGACTGCTCCTCCGCTTGATGTACTCGAGAAGGTTGGTAACATAAAAAGAAAGTAGCTAGCGAGAAAATACAACGTACGTTCATAACATTATTGCCACGTCCGGGCGGGTATCCGTGACAATGGGAAACTGCCAGGGAAGATTTCTAGTGAAATGCTATTGGGAAATCTCCCGCAGAGCTTCCCTTTCGGAGCCTTGGGCTATCAGACGGCTGGAGAAAGACAAGGAACCTCCTCTTTTCCCATAGGCCCTAACCAAATCGGGAGACCCTTGAATTGCGCCGCTTTGTCAAGCTTCTCATCTTTGCGCGGACGAGCAATGTCCTGCTGCCCAAAATGATTGTTGACCAGCGCCCAAACCCCGCTTCGCGGGCCTTGGGCGCTGGAATGCGGCCTTTGCATGAGAAATTAGACTTTCCGATAACTCGGGTCCTGCGGACCCCCTGCCCCGACCACACTTGCGAGTGCAACGGCAAGAATGAGAAAATTTCGATTTTTCACATTGTGCAAATTAGCCCGCACGGACCCCAAAAAATAAATAAAATCGGCTTTAACTTTTAAACTTTTTTTTTATCGAAATTCTGAGAACGCCATCGGAAAGGGGAGGGCCGATTTCCCCGAGAATTAGCCATTTTGAACACGGGAAGGCCCTTAAACCCGGGCTCGAAAGTGACATTCACACACACCCACACACAGAGATACACCCCAAAATTATATAAGTTAGGATTATCGTTAAAAGCACGCTCGAGGCTATGGATGCTGTATTAATTTTCGCGCGCCCTGCCATGAATTTTTAATCAGTATGTTTAAATTATCGAAAAATACACAGGCAACAACGTGCATCTGTGTCCGCTCAGCGTTCCCTTCAAATGGGGGTCTGAAAATAATAATTAGGAAAAGCCTACCTAAATGGAAGCGCACACCTAGAAATTTGCCGAAAAAGGGCTCAATATGAGTGGGTAGTGTTCTATTGTTTTCAACTTCCACAACACCTTCTAGTGGTTGGAGGTGGCAAATCGACGCTTTGTAAGTCTAAATGATAAGATCCCTTAGTGAGATTCCTTTTTCGCGTTCCCCGATTTTTCCATCAACCCTATAGGCACCAATGAACCAACCAAAAATAGCACTGCGGATTTTTAGCATTTCGAGCCGGCGTTCGACCAGCTCGGCTCGTCTCGTCTTCAAAATATACTGGAAATGGATTTGCCACGACCGAAGGCTCTCCTCTCTCACCATGGATATGATATGGGACAAGGCGCCGTTGCTGGTGAGCATATTTCATACGGTTACTTCAAAGTAGAGAGGTTATTATTCAAATCAAATCCGACTCAAATCCTACTATACTATGTCTGTGTGTGTCTTGTGTGTGTGTGCCACTTTGCATCCACTTCCGTCTGTCTGTCCGGAGGATATCTCAATAGGGATGAATTTTAAGGTATGTATGATACGTCATTAGGTGCGTAATGGCCTGGAGATGGCTGCACGCATATGATATTTAACAAAAATACCTATTTTCGACATTAAATTTAAGTTTTTGTGAAAACTTCTTTGTTAGGAATAATTAGCATAGACCGGAAGTGGGGCTTCGACTATATAAATGGACAGGAGAGGTTGTTTTTAATTTTTTGTCATCTGAATTTAGGACAATTATGCAAAGTGACGGATAAAATGGGGTCAGACGGGGCCAGGGTTGAAAAGTCGCGATGCGGTTTTTCAACCCTGGTCCGATTTGATTTGAATAAGAAGATTTGAGATTTAATTCCGCTGAAGAAATTTTTTGGTTTCTGGATTTGCGGAAAACGTCTCTGCGCCCTCTAGTCTTGGCCCCCTTTCTCCCACGTTTTTTTGCTTTGCATTTCCGGATGGCTCGTTGCCCAAAAATAGATGAGACCTGATCTACTCGGCCCTTCCTGATCCGATTATGGGGACGGGGACGGTTTCCAATGATTCAGAACAGGGTGTGTAGTGAGCGACTAAAAAAAAATAAAATGCTGTTAAGGCTCCTGGGCAGGGACGTAGCGTAATACCGGCCCCGGGCCCCCCCCCGAAATCGGCCGGCCGAAATCAAGCCTTTGCTCAACCCAATTTTTCACAGGCGGTGCCGTGGCGGTGGTGGTGGTCGTTTGCGTTGGATTCCTGCTGGTACTGCTAGTGATTGGCGTATTAAAGATGCGTGACGCCCCGGTCCCAAAGCGTCATAATCGACGTCAGAAGAAGAGCGTGAGTCTCCATTTTGCGGTTCACCGAGACCGAGGCCTCAAATAAGAATCCGATGATGCGAGTTAATTGCTAAAATTCAGGTGCAAGAAGCGAGCATGGCATGGGATGACGAAGGAATGAACATTACCGTCAATCCAATGGAAGACGTCGAGAAGAATGGGACGGCTGAGGAATTCTCGGATGACGATGACACTGATCAGGATAGGTGGGTGTAAATGTCCGGAAATGGTTCTTCTAAAGGCGCACCCAGGACCGGAAAGTTTCCCCCGATTTTCGCAACGAAATAATTTTTTTAAACTCTTAGGGAGTACCCCTCCGTTTTTGACTCGTAGTTTGATTACCGGCCCACGAATTTTGACTTCTTGACCCCTTTAAACTACCATTTTGTCAGTTTTGACGGAATATTTTTGCAGCGAGTGCTCTTTTCACGAGGACGAGGAGATGAGTGAGGACGATGACGCCGAGGCAGAGGTTTGTCATTTGCAATAAATTCGAAGCGGCGCAGGCTTGCGCGTATCCGGACGTTTTGAAGGCTCAATAAATCCACTTGATTTACGTTTCCTGTTAAAGGTGTTGCCACACACGGAGAACCGCGGGCAGAACGGACTCGAGTGGGACGACGAAACAATCGCAACTACGCGATCATACAGGGTCTAACGAGACTCCACGACCCTGAATTTACCCTAACCATTACCGTTACCCATCTTCGAGCTGTACATCACCCGCCCCACACCATTCCCCCCCCCCCCGTCAATCATCCAGTCGAATCGCACATCACCCCCCATTCCTTGCCCCCTACCCCTATCTGATCTCCACTTAAAATATTTCCCGATCTCGGGTCGGGTCAGCCCTCCAATTCATTGATCTCTTTTCCACTATAATCCTAAAATGCGGACGATTCGGTGCGGCAAAGGCGTTTTTAGCAGTTGCTCGTGAAATCCATGGGCAAGCTAGCAGCAACCATTTCCGCCTGCATGGAATGCTGCACCACGGTCGTCCATTACTCCCGGCCCCCCGAAAATATCCAACGACACCCCAATCTCCCCCTTCTGTCCCCCCGAAAATGTCACCAGTATCCCCCGTTAACGTGTCCTCCTTTATGTTCGCGAGAAAGGCATGACGATGGGTTTGTTATCGAATTGCATAGTGGATTACAACCGGTTCAACGCTTAATGGATCCATAGAAAACACCGTGGCAGTGAAAGCCCAACGTCAAGCCTTACTCGTCCCTTTGAGGTGTGAGTAGAGGGTCGGAAATCCAATCGCTCCAAAAAAGGACTTCAAGCTGTGGAACCTTCCAACCCCACTCAGCCCCGTTTTGTGTTGTGGATTTTGTATAATTCTGTAGCCTCTCTCTTCTCCCCCAAAAATCACCAAAGACAACTCCGCTAGTCAAGAGTGAGCACTTGCTCGTAACTTCCTGCATTCCGGTATGTTAATTCGTTTATGTCTTGTCCCGATTATTTTCCCCCAATCCACTACATACTTCTCTCCATGTCACGGCCCAAATATTCTTTATAACAAGACCCAATCTTTCCTGTTTCTTCTCCCTTGATAAAAATTTCCGAGAAATTAGCAAAACAAAGCAAAACCAAGCAAAACAAAACACAGATTTGTCGACACTGAAAGGTTGCGCGACATCATGGGACGAAGGGAGCATACAAATAATCGATTTCACTCGTACCTCGCCCATCATTTCCTGTGCGCTAAAATCGGCTTATAAAGCGTCGTATTCCAACGGTTCCACCCTTTCATTATTCCACCATTCCCACTATTCAACCACTTTTAATTTTCTGCCATTAAATTGGTGTTAGACTGTTAGCGGGGGGGCAGAGATTTACATCAGGGAGGAAACCACGTATTGTTTTTCATCTGTTGATAATATGTAATGTTTTTTTTAGTGTTTTTATTGGTTTTCGATCGGTCAAAGTTATAAAAACTATTTTTAAAAATTTTGAAGATTGGAAATTTCGCCCTGTTTATCGTTTTTCATACAATTTTGACAAAAAAGTAAAAATCCTCGAAAATTTTCCGGTTTTTTATAAACTGTTGATATTGAAAAACTGCGTAAGCTTCTACAAAAATTATTTATATTTTGCTGGGGTTAAGTTTTCTTTTGCTCGCTATTAATCCCCCCCTCACCGGCTCTACTTTGGCTCAACTTTTCTGATCCACGAGGTGTCGATGAGCGACATAAAAATCAGAAAGAAAGCAGAATGAGGACAATTTATTCATCAAGCAGATTGACGCCACTTTTTACCATCGTATTATCAAGAGGGCTTGGGGCTGCTTGTTGCCTGAGGGCTGAACGAGAGAAATAAAACCGGTTCTCCCGGAGCGGATGGTTGGTGTCATTTTCCCCGTGGATCAACGATCCTCCAAACGATTGTTGCCGTGTAGACGATTAAAACTGCGCCTGCTGCTTGCTAATCCCAAAATAATGGGCAAAAACTTATCATGACCCTGTGTTTGAAAGCTACTTGCGATTGATGAACACTGGAGGCAATTTGCATGGATTAAACTGGTTAAAAAAGGACCTTCTCCTCGCTATCGTTTATCTCGTTTTTTTTGTGTGTAATTATACCCCCGGATTTTAGAAGCTTACTAGAAGAAAATCGCAGAACGCACAACCGGCGGCGTGTTTTTGCCATGGATGGCGCGCCATTCGTCGCTATATTTCTCCTTTTTGTGAGTTCTTCCAATCTTTCTGCTTTATCACGTCAGGATTTCTTCACTTTCAATTATCTTAAAAAGGTCATAGATGTGCACTACAAAAAAAGATTTTTGATTGGGGGCCGTTTTCCTTTTTACTTCTTTTTTTCTGTAGTTCTTCTGTACAAATCCGATGTAGCAATGGATTGGTCGTGCGATACGATCCATGCATTTTCTAGCCCACCTACCTAGTCAAAGGGATTAATTTCAATGCTCCTATTGAGTTACAAATACCCTAAAACCTCGTGTATAGTTCCGGGTGAAAATTTTAATGTGTACGGAGCGTCCGTAATCCCGTATGACCGTCATTAGGTGTGTTTCGTTTTTTCGGTTTTTGCAAATAACGCCGCTCACGAATGGTATTTTTGCAATTTTGATGGAATATTTGTTCGTATTTCGACTATTTCCAACCATTTGAGTGGTTTAATGAAAGAAATTGCTGCATGAGGCCCTGAGAACCGGCTCTTTTGGCTTACATAGCTTTTGGGCCGAATTGTACCCTACGCACATTATTTGGTGTCATTTGTATTGGTACGGAACCAAATTGTACCGGACCTATACACGAGGTTTTAGGGTAATAATCCCAACTAGGTGACTACAACTCGATCGGCACTCATTGGTCTCGAGGGTTGTGCAGAGAGCAAATCCTGCTGGGCCCAACCACCTGGCTGTCAGGTTGGTAATATCACGACAAGACATTTGAACTGAACACAGGATAATTGTGTGTCGGCAGCGACTTGGATATGGACAGAAGCTGGATTCAGCATCACGGTGCGCAGTGTTTTGATGCTTCCTATCTCCGCTCTGGGTTCTTTGGCATTATCAGGGGGACCAACTCTTGTTCATAAGTCATGAAATGATTAGTAACCTAATGTGATTGAATTTTTATTTTTCGGCATGTGTTTTAATAGGGTTTCTAAGAACATGTGACGGTGTTTTAGGTGGGAAAACAATAACAAGCCTTAGAAAAATGTTTTGGTTCTAATTTTGGTCGAAAATCTGGATTTACTTTTTAAGAAAAATTGGAAATTTTTTGCGATCAGTATAAAAGCACTTTAGAAACACTGCTTCTATTTAAGGGCGCCGGGGGGTGTCGGCCCCCCCCACCAACAAATTGGCAAGTAGCCCAAGGGGGAGGGGGGCGCCCGGGGGGGGGGGGGGGGGGGGGACATTTTCCTCCCGCGCGTAATCGTTGACTATGCCGTCGACATCCCTTATTAGAAATATGGTAACCCTAGAAAAAAAGTGCCCCCCGATAAGCTCTCCCCTGATAATGGAAAAGAACCCAGCTCTGCCCTTTCAGCTGTCAGCCTCCGTGTCCGATCTCGATCCGTCGCGGCCCTATTGGCTGGCTCTCGGCTTTTCTCACAACCAGAGGATGGTAAGAAATGCTCAGTATCGCCAAGTTTTGGGTGTGAATTTAGTTTTGAGGTGGTTCCAAGCGAAATCTTTTTTAGAATTAATTTACAAGGCACATTATATCGACCAAAATGCATCGTTTTGAGGCCCATCAAAATCTACAGATCTTAATTTTTACCTATAACTGCGAACCAGTGAAAGCGTCGTGCGCAAGAAGGTCTGCACCCTGGAGTGAGCCAGCGCATGCGAATTTCTCCACCTTTTTCTTACCCGTATTAGCCAGAAAGGTTTGCCAATTTTTGTGAAAGCGTACCCTGCAGCGGTTTATCAGAAAGTTTATGTTTTTCTGGAAAAAGCTAAATTTTGCACAGATAAGGCATGGCCGGATCCGAAAACAATTCAACCCAAAAATCGCCCCCTGTAAGAAAAATTACAAAAAAAGGACTCTAGAATGGGTTCAATCGGGTCTGGGCTTTCCTGGCCTCGTCTCGATCCAGCAAAGAACCCACAAGCAAAGGACTTTTCAGGACGACGACACGGTCTTCGAGTGTCTGATGTCACAGGACGGAACTCGGTCTATTGCCCAGATTTCATTCAACGACGAGACGGCCAACCACGCGCTTCCGCAGGTTGGATCTTGGGCAAAAACGCAGATTATCTGTAGGCATCGTCGGTGATGCTCGGCAAAGAGAAAATAGAACTTGTCGACGGAATTCTCTCATGTACATTAACTTATTATCCCGACAACCGGAGCCTCGTCTATCCGGATGATCAATACAAGGTAGGCAGTAAAGTGCATAATGCATATCGCGGTAGCTTGTGTTCGAAAATTGATAGCGCAGCGCAGCGCAACGTCCATGAAGGCGGTGCGCTGGTGGGCTACGCTTCGGTTTACCGCTCTTTAGCCCGGAGCCATAAGTCCTATTAATGCGTCAAGTAACTTATAAGGTTTTAGCCGAATACCTATGGCAAGTTTGTTTACCGAGATCAAAATTGTTAGAATCATTTTTAAAAGATTTTGAAGCTTGAAAAGATTAAGTTGCAATGGTTCAGCGTACGCTTTTCCGGTTGCTGAAATATTTCCAATTTTTGTTGCTGAAATGAAATTCGCCACGGCCCGCAACGACGACATGTGATTCGAAGCGCTTTTCGAGCGCAAAAACTTAGGAGAAAATCTTTGAGGGCTGATAACTTTTTATTTGGATTCTAACTTAAAAAAGTGGATTTCCAAAGTTGTAGAAGAAAATGCGCTGCTTCGAATGTGACTAAATAAAAAACATTCGACGGAATTGAATCGAAGAAAACTGAATTCAAAAACTGCGTCGCACCAAGGTTTTTTTTTTGTTTCTCAAAACGGTGGATACTGAATGGCGTCGCGTAGCCCCATTTTCCGTGCAAATTTCCCAATTTTCGCTGCGGCCGAATGCTTGAGTTGATTGCTTGAATTGCCGTGTCGTGGTGGCGCGATTGTGACGTACCATTTTGTTTTAAAGTTACATCAACTCGATGCGAAGCCGTACTATCTATTGCTGGCACGTGGCAGCGCTGATCCTTACAGTATGTGCTTTATTTCAAAATCAAAGCGGAGAATATTTATTTCAAAATCGACTTTGGCGCCAGTTCAAAATTTCTGCTTTCCAAACGTTCATCTTCATCCCCCAAGGCTCTGCCGCTTCAAAAACAAGCACCCGAAGCAATTTGGTGTTTGCTATGTCGAATTTAAAAATATCGAAATTTCAACTCAGCTAATTTTTGCAGAGTATTTGGGCCTTTTTTAGGAGATTTGCTTATGTAAATTTCGACAGAATGGATTTCGGCATTCTGATTTTCGGCATTTTGAATGCAGCCCACTTTGTGTGTAGAATTTGCATGAAAACCCCTTCGAACAATACCTGCAAGATGCAAATTTAGCTTACTCAAAGGATATACATTTCATGAATGACGGGCCACTTTTCCCGTGGATCAGCGGTGAACAGGTACATAGATACCGCCACTTCCAAAACAGGTACAAGATTTCTAGGCGGACTTTTGTCGTTCGAACTGTAGTGGGCCACAATTTGTGCGCATCGACAGAGGATTGCAAAGCCATGTTGAACGCTACTGGCGGTATCGCATCGCCGTTTTCCATGGTAATCGTTTTCTAACTTTGTATCTAGGGCCCCGGTGTAGTGTCCTTTTTATGATTTACAGTAGCGCACACAGGAAAAGTAACACTCTGGAAGCAATTAGGTTGTGTTTCTCTAGATATATTTTAGACAAGGTGGTATGTTATATACAGGGTGTCCCAAAAAAACCGAGCCATCTGGCATTTCGCCGTGTTACATCCAATCGGTCCCAAATTTCGACCAGGCGTGTAATGGACCCTAAATAACAACAATCCTGACTTACAGCCCTATTGCTATAGTTGTTCTCGAGTTATAGCAAAAACAAACTTTATTTTCCGTTTTTCATGGTGTTTCCGTGGGATTGGACCACTAAATGTTAAGCTAAAATGATTCGGCAGACCTTCTTTACCTTAAGAAATTTTTGCCGGACTAAAATTGATTAAAAACGGGTCGATTTAAGCGATTTTTACAACGCCAAATTACCCCATAGCTTAAGGCTCCGAATTTCAGGCTGCACGCTGATGTTTGGCTGGTGGGTGTTGGTGTCGAATGGAATACTCTTGGCCCGGTTCTTCAAGCCGATGTGGCCACGGAGACGGTTTTTCGGCGTGGCTGTCTGGTTTCAGGTCTACTTTTCCGAGCAGCATTCTTTCAGCGTGCGTGCGTGTCGTGCTTTTGTCGGCTCCCGGACATTTGCGGCCGCGACACTTGCGGCCCACAGTTTACTATGGGAATGGGCCGCAAATGTCGGGCCGCAAGTGTCGGGCCGCAAGTGTCGGGCCGTGGCACCGCTTTTATCTTTTTAAAGGGATGCCGACGGCATAGTCAATCGGTTACGCGCTGGAAATAAAGTCTCTCAGCCTCTCCCCAGGGCGCGCTCTCTGCCCTGTTGGCTACTTGCCAGTTTGTTGATGGGGGGGGGGGTCGACACATGCCGTCGGCAGCTCTTTAAGCAATCGTTAGACCCTTCAAAAAGATATGATCATTTCTTAGATATAGCAAAATGCATCCGATGCCCGGAGATGAAGAAAGGTTGGTGTTGCGGAAGCAAGAAAAGAAAGTCTTTTGATTCAATTACGCGATGCCTGTACGGCGCACCCCTTTGCACTACGCCCTGTGTGCGCCCTCCCCGTTCCCCGGCACAAACCCCTTTTTTGTGCGTGTCTTTTTCATTCTTTCCACTCGGCCCGTCTTGTCTCGCGGCTTGTATTATTTTAGGCTATTGCCGTTATCGTAAATAAACTTTGTTCTCTCTTCTTTCGTCCAAATCAATTCAGGTGTCAAACGACTCTCTCGCAAGGTATCCCCTTGGATTGAGCCAGCATTCAAGAACTCACGCACAGCCACACCTACAACAATTGGCGATCAAGGATTCGAGCCGAATTGAAGAATGGCCGACGACCTGGAGCTCAAGGACGTGCTCAAGCAGCTCGCCGCCACGAACCAGCAGATGACCGCCGTCATGGTCGCCGGGCAAGAGCGAGAAGCCAAGCTCATGGCTGAGCTCGAGCGGATCCGCGCCGAGGTCCAAACGCACACGGACTCGGTTAGCGAAGATTCAAGCCAAAGCCAAAGGCCTCTGAATGCAGTCGAGTTGGGCGCTCTAGCCACTCGCATAAGTCGATTCGAGTATGACCCGTCCCAGGGGATTACGTTCGAAAAATGGCATGAGCGGTTCAAAAACCTCATCGCCACCGAATCGCGCATCTCGGAGGAGAACAAAAAGCATCTTGTTCTCGGGATGTTGGATGCCAAATCCTATGGCTTGCTAGCGGATCATGCTCGACCCAAAGAGCTGGCCTCCATCGCATACGACGACATCGTCAAGCATTTGACTGAGATGTTTGGAGAAAAGCTGTCGCTTTTCAGTCGACGTTTCCTCGCCTTTCGCGTAGCGAAAGAGCACGATGAGGATATGCGATCCTACGCCGCTCGCGTCAACAAATTATACGAGCAAGGTCGCGTCAAGGAAATGAAGGAAGATGAAGAAAAGTGTTTACTTTTCGTTGCTGGACTGTCAGACCAGGCACATCGCGACATCCGCAAGAAATTGATCCGTATTCTTGAGTCAAAGAATGACGTGAAACTGGATGATCTGCTGCGCGAGTGTGACCTGCAGACGAGCCTGAACATGGATGTTGTGGTCGAACAGCATGCCAATGTCAACCGTATCCAGCAGTCGGGATACCGAAAGACTTGGAACAAGGGCCCAAAGCCTACCTCTAGCAATGGTGGCCCAAAGCCTTGTGATACCAATGATCGGCCCCGCGGAGACAAACGAAATGATGTGTGTCATCATTGTGGAAAGCGAGGACACTGGGCAAAAGAGTGTCGCTCAGATTCTGGAAACCGTGGAGGTAGTTTTTCCAAGCAAGGAAAACAAAACCGAAACAAGGACTGGAAACCGAAGGTGAACCAGGTTGTGCAGATCAATGCTATTGATTCAACACGCAAGGATGTTGAAATCTCAATCGAAGGCAATCATTTTACGCTGCAATTAGATACTGGCGCCGCCGTAACTATTATTGACGAGGCTGTGTGGCATCAGTTGAATTGCCCACCACTTACGCCGTCCGATATTCAACTACGTGCTGCCAACGGTAGTCGAATTGACGTGAAAGGACTGTTTGAAACCCGCTTTCAAGTGAAAGGCATTGAGGGACATGGTCGTTGCTTTGTCACCAAAGACATTCGGTTGATGGGGCTGGATTGGATCAATCAGCTGCCACAATTCGCATCCTGTTTCGATGAATTGTGTGTCAATAAGGTTCAAGTAAAGCAATCAAAGCTGGAAAAGGAACTTGTTGAGAAATACCCGAGTGTATTTTCGGATGGTCTAGGCTTATGCACTGTTGCTAAGGCTGAGTTACAGCTCAAAGCCGATGCGCAGCCAATCTTTCTGCCATTCCGACGTGTCGCATTTTCTATGGAATCAGCCATTGAAAAGGAAATTGAACGTCTTGTTGCTTTGACTGTGTTGAAACCAGTCACTTACAGCGAATGGGCGGCTCCGGTCGTTCCAGTCAAGAAGAAGGACGGTTCATTGCGACTTTGCGGTGATTTTTCTACCGGATTGAATGATGCGTTACAAGATTACCATCATCCTCTTCCCACAGCGGAAGAAATTTTCACCAAGCTCAACGGTGGACAAGTGTTTTCCCAGATTGACTTGAAGGATGCTTATTTACAAGTCGAGGTTGAGGCTTCTAGCCAAGAATACCTGACAATCAACACACACAAGGGACTTTATCAGTATCAACGACTGATATTCGGTGTGAAAACAGCCCCCGGTATTTTCCAGAAAATTGTGGATAATTTGATCGCAGGCTTGGACGGTACCGCTGCCTACCTGGATGATCTGTTGATCACCGGCCGGAACCAGGAGGAGCATGACGACAGGGTACGTCAGTTGTTTGAGCGAATCGAAAAGTTCGGATTGCGCGTCAAAATGGAAAAGTGCACGTTCGGCCAGGCTTCGGTAAAGTATCTTGGCTTCATTCTCGATGCCCAAGGCCGAAGACCCGATGGCGAACGCACGGCTGCGATAGCAAATATGCCACGACCTACCTGCCTCAAAGAAGTTGAAAGCTTTTTGGGCATGGTTTCGTTCTACCAGTCTTTTATTCCTCGTATGCGACAGTTGCGCGCCCCGCTTGACGAGTTGAAGAGAAAAGACGCAAAGTTTCTCTGGCGTGAGGACTGTGAACGAGCGTTCCAGTCGCTCAAGGAAATTGTAATTTCCGATTTGTTACTCTGTCACTATGACGCCAAGTTGCCGATCGTCGTCGCCGCTGATGCCAGTGAGCAAGGCCTTGGGGCAGTCATTACCCACCGATTCGCTGATGGAACTGAAAAAGCAATCGCACATGCTAGCAGAGCATTGACTGTGGCAGAAAAGAACTATAGCCAGATTGAAAAAGAAGGCTTAGCCCTCGTATTCGCAATTCGGCGCTTCCACAGATACATCTACGGAAGGCGTTTTGTATTACTGACGGATCATAAGCCCCTTTTACCGATATACGGGTCGAAAAAAAGGAATCCCACAACACACCGCAAACCGTTTGCAAAGGTGGTGTTTGCAATTGAACAACTACGATTTTTCTATCGAATATCGTAACACGACCAAGTTTGGTCAAGCGGATGCCCTTTCCCGTCTGATTCCGCCAAATTCGGATCCTGAAGAAGATGTCGTGATTTCGCAGATAGAAATCGACATTTCAGCCGTTTTTGAGGATAAATTGAGCCAAATCCCAGTTTCACACAAGGAAATTGCTGAGCAAACTGAACAGGATTATTCACTCAGCAGCGTGATTGACTCTCTGAAAAGTGGTTCTTTTCCAGACTGTTTGCCAGGCTCGTCGCTGTACGCCTACAAAAGTCTTGTAAATAACTTGTCAATTCACCGAGGCTGTTTGTTTCTGAAAGAGCGAGTTGTTGTGCCGAAAAGGCTGCAATCGCGAATCCTAAAAATGCTTCATGAAGGCCACCCGGGCCAAACGAGAATGAAATTGCTCGCAAAGCAATATGTGTACTGGATTGGCATGGATTCAGACATCGATCGCATCGTGAAAGAATGCGAAGGCTGTCAGAAAGCCCAGAAGATGCCTGTAAAAAGTGAATTGACTCCCTGGCCTACCCCAAATCGTCCAATGGAGCGCGTGCATATCGATTATGCCGGTCCGATTGATCAAAAAATGTATTTGATCGTTGTCGACGCTTACTCAAGATGGCCTGAAATCTTTGAGTGTAAGGTGGCAACAAGCCGAGTGACGATTGCCCAGTTGAGAGATGTTTTCTCCAGGTTCGGAGATCCGGAAACGCTCGTTTCGGATAACGGAACTCAATTCACTTCCAAGGAGTTTGAAGATTTCTGTAAGGAACGTGGAATTAACCATATTCGCACGCCACCGTTCCATCCCCAGTCGAACGGTTTGGCCGAACGTTTCGTCGATACCTTCAAGCGCGCTTTGAGCAAAGCCGCTGGTTCGACTAACGCTGAAACTTTGCAAATTTTTCTGCGAACTTATCGGTCCACCCCTTGCCCATCTTCACCAGAACAGCTATCTCCGGCTGAAAGGTTTATCGGGAGAAAGCTTGTTACTCCCATTGCTCGCTTGCGTCTGCCCCAGAGCAACAGCAATACTAGTGCGAATCTCATCTTTCCGAAGGGGGGAGAAGATGAAGATGGTTGAACAGTACAACCGGAAGCACGGCGCAAAGAAGCGTTCCTACGAAATCGACCAGACCGTCTGGGTTCGAGATTATAAAATACCTAGCAAACCTGTCTGGGTAGAAGGACGTATTTCTAAATTGTGTGGAAAGTCCATGTACGAGGTTGAAACTACCTCTGGAGTCGTTTGGCGTCGACATGCCAACCAGCTACGTGCTCGATTCGTTCGAGACGTACTCGATGATATCCTGGAAGAGTTCGATCTTGCCAGCGATGATAAAGTCAATGTGCAGGACACTGCTCCACCTCTTGACAAGCCTCTCGAGAAGCCAGCTGCATCATCCGCCACAACTCCTACATCGATTCCCCTTGTACCTGTTCCGAATGTTCCCCATCCCACTGCTCACCGGCCGACAACACCAACCAAGTCGCCATCGAAGTCGCACCCACGATCACCGGCAAGATCACCAGCCGTGCCGCGACGACCTCAAGTTGAACTGCCCGAAATCGTTGCTCAACACCCGCAAACTGAACAACTCGATGACGTTGTTCCACAACCGCAAGGACGCGACGAAGAACCTGAACTTCGTCAACAAGATCAAGCACAACCTGTGAAGAAGACAAAGAAGACTGATGCCCTTGGACCGATCCTTCACCACAAGCGCATCCGGAAACCGCCGTCGCGATATCAAGATTGAAGTGCCGTCAACGTCGTCTCCATCAAGCTCAACTTCATCACCGAGTCAAGCTCTTCATTCAAGGAGGAAGATGTTGCGGAAGCAAGAAAAGAAAGTCTTTTGATTCAATTACGCGATGCCTGTACGGCGCACCCCTTTGCACTACGCCCTGTGTGCGCCCTCCCCGTTCCCCGGCACAAACCCCTTTTTTGTGCGTGTCTTTTTCATTCTTTCCACTCGGCCCGTCTTGTCTCGCGGCTTGTATTATTTTAGGCTATTGCCGTTATCGTAAATAAACTTTGTTCTCTCTTCTTTCGTCCAAATCAATTCAGGTGTCAAACGACTCTCTCGCAAGGTATCCCCTTGGATTGAGCCAGCATTCAAGAACTCACGCACAGCCACACCTACAACATTTCTTAGATATAGCAAAATGCATCCGATGCCCGGAGATGAAGAAAGGTTGGAGAAAACGTTATTTCAGCTCCACCGCGGCTTAAACATCATTTCTCTATGCTTGCAATTGATTGCTGTCTTGCTTATCTTCTATCAGAGTGGCTGGGTGTGGTACGAGTGTAGCTATGAATGCGATCTGCAGGTAAGGAACCAGCAAGTCACCACGGGAAGCTACGATAATTTCCTGTTAACGAAACTCGGGCTGGATTCCCTATACCGGTTGGAATTCCATAGATAGAAAATAAGCTTCCGGAATTCCGGAATTGTGCCCGGGGTTAAGAACTTGTAAAATTGGATCAGATACAGATTTTTTGCCTTTGCCCAGGCTCTCGCCAAGAAAATGCACGCGATGATCGGTGGTCTGGCGACGGTGTTGGCCATACTGAATCCAATGATCGCACTCGCCCGACCAGCCCCAGATTCCAGGTAAGCAGCTTTACACGGAACTTTCGATACTCCAATGCGTTGCCATTTCAGCACTCGTCCATTCTTCAATTGGTTGCACTGGGGGCTTGGACTGGGCGGATGGGGATGTGCGAGTATTTTTTTCATTATTAACCAGGGTCGAAAAGCCGCTTCGCGACTTTTCAACCCTGGCTCCGTTTGACCCCATTTTATCCTTCAATTTGCATAATTGTCCTAAATTCTGATGACAAAAAAAATGAAAAGACAACCTCTCCATTACATTTGCATAGTCGAATCCCAACTTCTGGGCTATGCTAATTATTCCTAACAAAGAATTTTTCACAAAAACTTGAATTTAATGTCGAAAATAGTTGATTTTGTTGAATCTATTATGCGTGCTGTCATCTCCAGGCCGTTACGCACCTAATGACGTATCATACATACCTTAAAATTCATCCCCTAGCGAGATATCCTCCGGACAGTGGATGCAAAGTGGCACACACAGACACTATTGTTTATATATAGTAGGATCCGGCGGCCAAAACCCGCTTGGCACTGGAAGTTAAGTTTACAAGGGAAATTGAGGTGTGAATGGCTCGCGTCCTTGCTTAATGGTCTGGAATTTACTGCACAAATAGCAAGGGTTTGAAAGAATACTTTTCAAGAGCCACAGGGACGACTTCTACTATGCTTCACAAATTATATGATTGCAGGTTTAACGATTCTGCTGTCCGTACCGCTCGGCAAGACTGGGCTCTACGCGGCATATGGGCCAATTCCTTTTTACATACTGGTAAATACTCATGTCCAATTCCAGATTTTTCTTAAAGGCGCATAGGAGAGATCGGCATGGGTCGGGGCAGGCTGCTCCCCGGATGTTTTTTCGTTCGTAAATTTTGTTAAATCGAAAATGCTGAGCTGTCGAAAATCGAAAATCGAAAGTTTCGACGCAATTTTGATTCAATTTTTGCCGTCGGTGGTCTTATTTTAAAGGGATAACGCAAGCAGCAGTCCACGTGTTACGTGGATTCCAGGAACTTTGCCAGATTTGGGCGGTTGTGCGCTTATTTGCCTTGCCAGCGCTAATCAGCAAATCAGCGCACTAATGAGAGGATTCGAGGCGCGCAGATGTGATAACGCGCGCCCTCACTATGGCTGTCTTTTGTCAGGCTATCTTTTGGGCGGGCAAGGGCCTTTTTGGTGTCGGTTCCAGGAGTCCAAGTAACACTTAGATTTCTGCTTGCGATTTCCCTTTGACGAATTTTTTTGTCTACGGTGCTCCATTTTCGGAAACTTTTTCACGCTGCCCCCTCCGAAATGTCGCTGCTCCCCACAAACATTATGGTCAGCTAGGCCCCTGGTTTCTTAGCTGGCATTTCCTAGGCGTCGCTTTGAAAGTTACGTTTTAGTGTTCCTATCTACTGTTCTTCGTTGCCATCAACATCGCACTTCAGATAGTAACGACGAGCCATGAGGCGCGCCAAGAAAAAGCCGGCGGGTCTTGAAAGCGATAGTCACGTGCCATCATTTAGAAGCCGAAAGTAGCCACCGTTTTGTCGTCGGCCACTCAGGTATGGCATTGTCGATAGTCAATGGGCCAGCTACCGTGATACCGGCCTCAAAACCCACGGTAGGTGTCTTACCATTAGAGGAGCTAGGAAGTCATTTGTCTTTGCGGGGAATAGGACCAACCCGTTAGAAAACTAAGGGATTACTGCCCCAACAAACCCCAGGAAATATCTCTCAGGCAAAAGAGAATGTGATCTCAAAAGGGTAGTGTTTTGGTATACTTTATAGCTATTCCTAAGCATAAAAACTTTACAAAATTTAATAAAAAAATGTAATTTTAGGTCGAAAAATTTTTTTTCCAAAAAATAAAATAAATTTTTTTTTTTTTAAATTTTTTTTTAATTTTTAAAATTTTTTTTTTTTTAAAAAATTAAAATTTTTTTAAACAATGTGAAAACACTTCTATTTGATTACTACCCCCCACCAGGGCCGACAGGAAAAAGAGGTGGTTTCCCCACGAATTCCTCCCCCCCGGAATACACAAGAATCTTGAATTCTCCTCTTTTTGATGAAGTAAACCAAAACACTCCCTTTTGAGCCCCTTTTCCCCCATTATCAATTGAACCTTTTTAGAAAAGCACTTGTCCGTTATTTCTGCTGTTGCTACACGTCGTGATATCCATGGTAGTTGTTACGGGCCTCACCGCCTTACTGCTCAAAAGCCTGTGGTCCCATTCTCCCTGATCTCAAATAAATCAATAATTGACAAAAATTGTTATGAATAGTTCATTGTCAGAAAATCACTGGCTATGCCAAAACCTAACAAGGAATGGTCACAGCTCGCCATCGAATTACGAGTCGTCATCGATTTGCACATACTGATAGAGCTCGACAAGACGAATCGATCGACTTTCAGCTGCTGATATAGTAACACCATCGTTTTAAAAGCGTTTAAAGTTTGGTCGGAATTTCGGCCTACCTTTATAGTTTCACCCCATCACGGTGGTCCGGGCGGCCTAGGGGCGTAGTAGGCGGCGTCTGGGGAATCTAACGAGGTTTCTAACCCGCTCACGAATTTAATTTTCTGTTTTTTTTTTGTCCGAAGTTTCGCCTTGTTTTCTAAAGGGCTTCAATAACATTGTTATCATTAACTATATACCAGGAGGCGCTCCTAGCAATAATACAACTTCTTAAAATTTTTGAAACTTTGAAAGTTGGCAAATTAGGATCAGTCGAAAGTAAAATACTTTTAATCGTTTCAGGAAACTTGGGATATGACAAGGTGTTAATACGCAGATTGACAACCTTTTAAAATTTCTCAAAATTTTTTGAGGCATGAGCATAGGTACCAAAAATTAATTGTCTTCCGAAGCTGTATTATTATTAGCAACGCTTCCTGGTGTATAGTTACGATTAAAGGGCTGCCGACGGCATGTGTCGATCCCCCCTACATCAACAAATTGGCAAGTAGCCAACAGGGGAGAGAGCGCGCTCAGGGGAGAGACGCAGAGACATTTTATTTTCCGCTCGTAACCGATTGACTATTCCGTCGGCATCCCTTTAAAACGTTCAATTTTTATCTAGAATTATTCCTTCAAACAGAGCAGATTTTCCTAACGCTTCTGTTTACGGCTAGTTAAACCGATCAATATTGGTTGCCACTGGTCTAATAGCGAACTTCATGAGCTTCATTTTTACACCCTACATGTCCCCCTAGCTCAGCAAAAGTTCCATTTTTTCACTTCAAGGTTTTCTACTTTTTCAAAAATGTTCAAAATTTACAACGAGGGGTCGTCAAAAATCATAGAAAGCAATCATGTAATGAGTTGGTCGTTGCCGGTAGCCGATCAGATGATATCCGACGTTAATGCAGGAAACTGGCACAATATGCCTGGTTGACCC